CGCTCTATGTGGGGCTACCTTTGAACGTGACCCGGAAACTACAACTAATCCAGAATGCGGCAGCTAGACTGGAGACTGGGAGCAGCTGCTGAGACCTCATAACTCCGGTCTTGAAAGACCTACATTGGCTCCCAGTACGTTTCCGAGGACAATTCAAAGTGTTGGTGCTGACCTTTAAAGCCCTAAACAGCCTCGGTCCAGTATAACTGAAGGAGCGTCTCCACCCCCATCATTCTGCCCGGACACTGAGGTCCAGCTCTGAGGGCCTTCTGGCGGTTCCCTCACTGCAAGAAGCAAAGCTACAGGGAACCAGGCAGAGGGCCTTCTCAGTGGTGGCGCCCACCCTGTGGAACCCCGCCCTCCCAAAGAGAACAACAACTACCAGACTTTTAGAAGACATCTGAAGACAGCCCTGTTTAGGGAAGCTTTTAATGATTAACAGACCACTGTATTTTAATACTCTGTTGGAAGCCGCCCAGAGTGGCTGGGGAAACCCAGCCAGATGGGCGGAGTAAAAATAACAAATTCTATTGCATTCTATGGGAGAAAGTGGATGAGGTTTCTCTCCCTCTCTGATAACACTAGAACTCATGAACAGTCAAGGAAGCTGAACATTGGAAGATTCGGGATGGATAAAAGAAAGTGCTTCTTTAACGCAGAGCACAATTAAACTGCGGAACTCCTTTCCACAGGAGACAGCAACCTGGATGGCTTTGAAAGATAATTATAGACACATTCATAGACGAGAAGGCTATCAATGGCTCCTAACTATGAGTAGGCCTGGGTGATATAGTCATATATCATATATTGCCAAGGACCTGTAGAAGAGGCGGACCGTGATGGTGGCTTCACTCAGCGGTATATTGCAGGTGAAACCACTGTCCTCCTGCTGCCAGCGGCCAGCATGCCAAGGGAGGAACAAGGTGCAGCCAAGAGCTGGAAGCAGAGGGACTCTGGCATGGTGGCATTTGGGAGCGGTGGGTGAAGCCACCATCGCACTCTGGGTGAGGAGTGCAAAAACGCCCCTTCCTCCAGCTTTGCAAAAAGGGATTATCTTCTTAGCGCTGTGGCGATGCTACCTACAAACCTGGAACGCTCCTGTGAGAAAATTCCACATCTATTTTTCCTCTGCAGCTGACGCCTTTGCAGCAGGGACAAAGCCTGTTAGGAGGTTATTTCGGAGTAAATAAATGCAAGGTCCTCTGCTAGAGCTGCAGTGGGAGGGAGCTGTCCAGGGTCCTGATTCCAGCACGCCTCTCTCAGGCCAGGAGTGGGGAGAGTGTGGGTCCTTCAGGTAACGAAGAACTACAATTCCCATCACGCTGACCACCGGCAATGCTTGCTGGGCGCTCATGGGAGATGGAGTCCAGCAACATTTAGAAGGCCGCACGTCCCCCACCCGTGACTCAGGGTTAGTTCCCTATACTAAAAGGTAAAGTTAAAGATGTTGTTGTTGTTTAGTCGTTTAGTCGTGTCCGACTCTTCGTGACCCTCTGGACCAGAGCACACCAGGCCCTCCTGTCTTCCACTGCCTCCCTCAGTTTGGTCAAACTCATGCTGGTACCTTCGAGAACACCATCCAACCATCGCGTCCTCTGTTGTCCCCTTCTCCTTGTGCCCTCCATCTTTCCCAACATCAGGGTCTTTTCCAGGGAGTCTTCTCTTCTCATGAGGTGGCCAAAGTATTGGAGTCTCAGCTTCAGGATCTGTCCTTCCAGTGAGCACTCAGGGCTGATTTCCTTCAGAATGGATAGGTTTGATCTTCTTGCAGTCCATGGGACTCTCAAGAGTCTCCTCCAGCACCAGAATTCAAAAGCATCCATTCTTCAGCGATCAGCCTTCTTTATGGTCCAGCTCTCACTTCCATACATCACTACTGGGTAAACCACAGCTCTAACTATACGGACCTTTGTTGGCAAGGTGATGACTCTGCTTCTTAATATGCTGTCTAGGTTTGTCATTGCTTTCCCTGATCATTAGGTCCAGTCGTGGCCGACTCTGGGGTTGCGGCGCTCATCTCGCTTTATTGGCCGAGGGAGCTGGCGTACAGCTTCCGGGTCTTGTGGCCAGCATGACTAAGCCGAACCAGAGCAGCGCACGGAAACGCCGTTTACCTTCCCGCCGGAGCGGTACCTATTTATCTACTTGCACTTTGACGTGCTTTCGAACTGCTAGGTGGGCAGGAGCAGGGACTGAGCAACGAGGGCTCACCCCGTCACGGGGATTCGAACCACCCACCTTCTGATTGGCAAGTCCTAGGCTCTGTGGTTTAACCCACAGCACCACCCACGTCCCTACACTACCTGCATGCAAAAGGTCCCGGGTTCAAACCCAGAACTTCCAAGCAGGGCTGGGAATGCCCTCTGCAGGAAAGCTGCCAGCCAGTGCAGACAATACTGACCTATTTCCCCCTGCTAAGTCAAAGCAGGCTGGCAAATGATGCCATTTTTCGAACTTATGATGCTGTTTTTCAGTACACGAACTCCACGCCCACCGCCCGGCTGCATATACTTGTGTTTTTTTCTTCCAAGGAGGAAAAAAAAATAACACAGCAAGCAAAACGAGTATTTACTGGAAAAGCAGAGTGAGGCTGTCCTGTCTGTGTTATGCAAATCGTGCCAATTTGCATAAGCGCTTCATGCCACCTTGCAAAATATCTTTTGCTAGCAAAAACGAAGAAGGGGAGAGTTAGGCTCGGAACTGAAGAAGCGCCATTCACCTCCCACCCCGCTGACAATGGAACTTTTCGCACTCTTGAGATTTCAGTAGGCACAGCTGGATCTGCCCTTGAGGGCTAGAAACTTGGGGGTGTTTTGTTTTTTCAAAACAAGAGAAGCAGTTTCTGGAAACTAACAAGGTGGGTTTGGAAGGTGCAATCGCTGGAATACTCACAGAGAGACCCCAGCCATTCCCATACATGACAAGGATGCAAATTAGAAAATGCATGACATTTTAGTGTATTTTTGGTCTTTGTTGGAAGCCGCCCAGAGTGGCTGGGGAAACCCAGCCAGATGGGCATGGTACAAATAATAAATTATTGTTGTTGTTGATGATGATGAAGCAGGAAACTGGGCGTCTTAGCTCCTCATGCCCGCTGCTACGAAACAGTTTGGAGGTGGTAGCGATTTGTGACTGGCCTACACTTGGGATCTTGGTTCAGAGAAAACCAGTCCCACCTACGTGCCCCAATGAAATCAGAGCAACATAAGAAGATATTTAAATTTTAAATTCTTAAATTTGAAACTTTCAATTCCTAGGAGTTTATCCTTACTTGGAAAATAAACGCAACCCAGGTGGCTAAGAAAGCCCAACAGAGACTCCATCTCCTCAGAGTATTGCGGAAGAACGATGTCAATCAACATCTGATGATCTCCTTCTACCAGTCCACAATAGAAAGTGTCCTTTCCTACTGCATCAGGGTGTGGGATGCTGGTTTGACATCAATGGATAGGAAGTGCCTACAGAGGGTGGTGAATACAGCACAAGGTATTATGGGATGTGCCGTGAATCCCCTGGATGAAATAGCGGGAAGAACGCTGCCTCAGGAGAGTGAGGAAAATTCTCAGGGATGATTCACACCCTGGCCGGCACTTTCTTGATCTCCTGCCCTCGGGCAGAAGATATAGAAGCATGATTAGTCGCACCAACAGGGTAAAGAACAGCTTCTATCCTTGGGCTGTTAGGCTGCTGAAGGAAAAGATAGCAACAGGGCAACTGATTTTCGGGTTTGGTGGGTAAACAAGGGGAATTAAGACTAAGAGAGCTGAGTGGGGAGGGGTGCTCGTGTAATCTCACTGTATACAAGTTGTACAAGTGACAATAACTTTTTTAAACAATACACTGAATGAAGAAGGGCTTTGTCCACAATCTTCCAACATTCAGCTTCATTGCTGTTATCAGAGAGGGAGAAAAACCTTTCTCCATGCCTGGCATAATTTTATAAACTTCTATCCTGTCGCCTCTTCCTCGCCATTTCTCTAAATTAAAAAGTCCCGAACGCCGCAACCATTCTTCATAAGGGATTCGCTCCATACCCTCAATCATTTTGTTTGTGTTTTCATGAACCTTTCCCAACTCTGCGATATCCTTTAGGAGATGAGGTAGCTACACCGGTCCTGAAAGACCTTCATTGGCTCCCAGTACGTTTCCAAGCACAATTCAAAGTGTTGGTGCTGATCTTTCAAACCCTAAATGGCCTCAAAGTCCCAGTATACCTGAAGGAGCGTCTTCACCCCCATCGTCCAGCCCGGACACTGAGGTCCAGCACCGACGGTCTTCTGGCGGTTCCTTCCCTGTGAGAAATGAGGTTACCAGAAACCAGGCAGAGGGCCTTCTCGGTGGTGGTGCCCACCCTGTGGAATGCCCTCCCACCAGATGTCAAGGCAATAAACAACTATTTTACTTTTAAAAGACAACTGAAGGCGGCCCTGTTTAGGGAAGTTTTTAATGTCTGATGCTGTATTGTTTTTAATATTCGGGTGGAAGCCGCCCAGAGTGGCTGGGGAAACCCAGCCAGATGGGCGAGGTATAAATAATAAATTATTATTATTATTATTATTACTACTACTACTACTGTATTGCTCAACGGCTGCAGCTGTTGACTGAGCAATGGCCCGGTGACATGTGTGGGGCAATGGCGTTCTTTCCTTCTGACTCTGTAACATTTCCAAAATCGCTTCCTCAATCTGAGCACCTTCACCTGTGGTCCTGGTGCCCACACCCCCTTTTCCCCACATCTCAGCATTTGAAGGTCACCTGTCGCAGTTAGCGCCTGCCTTTCTCGCCTCCCCAAATCCTGGGAGTTAGAAGGGACCTCCAAAGGTCATCCAAACCAACCCCCTTTAATGTAGGAATCGTGCCTGGCCGTTTCCAAAGCGGCTGCCCCTCCAAATCCTGACCCCCCCCATCATCCCCCCCCACACACACGCAGGAAGAGACACACGGCAGCAGCTTAACTTTAAAAAAATGTTTTGTATTTTTTAATTATTATTATTATTTCAAGGTCTTTTAATTTTTTTCACATTTTCAAACTCGTTTCTCCAAAAAAGGCTGGGTAAAATACAAAAAAAAGTCAGTCGAGTCACAGCAAAGGTTTAGAAATCACAGCAGTGAGGGGGGAGATTTGGGAAGGACGGAGGGGAAGGGGGGGAAAGAGTCAGGAGTGAGGCTAACCCAGGCATTATACAGACGGCGACGGAACACACAACCCAACACACACAATTCATGGGGGGGGGGGGAGAGACACACTTGATAGAGGAAGAGTTTCATCTTCTTGTGTATTCTTTATTATTACCCTTGTTTTTCCCGCTGTACAAAAACACATCAAAGCATGCTATGAAGTCGTTGGGGAAGGGATAGCAAAGAGAATGAACGATTACGAGAAATAAGCTTTGTACAAAGAGGGCGCGACCCTCGTGCTCTTAAATGTTTTATTCCGCCTTATTTCCGTTTCCCTCCTCCCTCCTCATTTCCTCTCTCTCTCTTTCTCTCTTTCTCGCTTTCTTTCTTTCTTTCTTTTTCTCTTTCTCTCTCGCTCTCTCCTCTTTCTTTCTCTCCTTCTGGCCTCTCATGTCAGGTTGTTCTGCAAGCAATTCACCTCCGAGTCGTCCGGTTCCCCTTTGCCGTTGTCCAGTTTGGGCGACATGGAGTTCTGGATGTTGAAGGACTCCTCGTCTTTCAGGCACGACTTCAAGGGGTCTTGAAGCTTGTGGGGGGCATTGGGGTCGTCCTAAATTGGGGGGGGGGGGCGGTTGGGAAGGGAGGGAGCAAGGAAGCGTGAGAGAGAAAAGGGAGTCAGCGCTGGAAGCGGTGATGGCAACAGAGATCTCAACTAGGAAGGCCTAGCATGGACGGGCCCCTAGCTGGCTGAATCCTATGCTTCGAGGTAAAAAATCACAAGCTCCTGAATCGTACAACTGTAGAGCTGGGAGGGACCCGTGAGGTCATCCATTCCAGCCCCCTGGGCTTAATCCCCAGGGATTCGGCAAGATCCCTGCCCCTGATCCTGGAGAGTCAATCAGCGCAGACAATAATGAATTGGATGGATCCATGCCCCGACTGGGTAATAAGGCAGCTTTTGGGGTTCTCATTCAAACCAGACCTCCATGAGGGCTAGAATCTTGTTTTTGGAGCCGGGCCCTAGTGTAGTGATCAGGTGGGATTGCTATGAGGAATTATAACAAATATAGAGTAAGCCATCTGTGTCAGCAATGAAAGCATTGCGTTGACTGGGTTTAAACTATTTTGATAGGATTTCTGATCAATCCACACCTCTGCATCCCTGTTCCATTTCTCTTGCTTGACCAGTCATGTACACTGCCAGTTGCTTCGCCAGGCAGGCATCCTGGGTCATCAAAGACAGTGGGCAGTTTCTTTGATGTAGCTTTTCTGATATGTTAATCTTAGGGCCAGGAAACAGATCTCACCTGAAGGTGATAATGATCGCTGTCCTCCTGGCCATCCTTATCATGTATATTGCTTGTTTATCACTTCCCGGGGTTGCCAAATGCACTCCTTTGTAGTTCTGTTTTATTTACCCCATGCTTAATTAGTTTTGGTAGTTTAACTTTGTCCCCATGTGGGGTTTGTTGAAATGCTTAGAAGAAATCTGATTGGTTCTTACGAACACTCTGTAAAAAGCTCTTTTGTGAATAAAACGACCTGAGCCGGGGGTGGAGGGAGAGATTATTACATGGACCCTTCCCAGGGTCTTGCTGGTTCAAGCCTCTGTGTATATTCTTATTAATCAGAGTTCAATCCTTCCTTTACTTTGGGAACGCCTCACCCTAGCTCACTGGGAGAGCACCTCCTTTGAATCCCAGGTTTAGTCCCAAAAGGCACCTCCAGTTAGGGCTGGGAAAGCTGCCCTTCTGAGTTGATGGACGACAGCTGCCAGTCAGTGTGGGAAGTAGCTAGCTGGACCAATGGCCTGATTCTCTGTGCTCCTGGCTACGGAACAGATTTCCACACAGATTCCATAATCTGGAAAGTGCTTAGCAAATATCTTTCTGCCAGTCCGTGCCTTTTTAACCAATTCAACTGCCGCTCCTCCCAGTTTTAAATCAATTTTTAAGCCCTAGGTTTTAAGCTTCAAGTTCTTTCATTAATTTGCAACGGTTTTCCCTTGCGGTTTAAGGTTGCTGGGTTTCCTCTTCCCCAATCCAGTCAGAGGACTCCGGTTACGTGGGGCGACAATAGAAATGTAGTAAAAAGCAGACATAGCATCATGGTCTCAACCACGCTTCTGAGGACAGCGCTGGGATTTTGGCACTTAACTCCAGGAGAGTTTAGAGTACCAGGATGCTGGTCTCAAATACATTTTATTTTTTTAAACTGGGTTACTGTGCATTTTAAATAAAGGTAAAGGTAAAGGGACCCCTGACCATTAGGTCCAGTCGTGGCCGACTCTGGGGTTGTGGCGCTCATCTCGCTTTATTGGCCGAGGAAGCTGGCGTACAGCTTCCGAGTCATGTGGCCAGCATGACTAAGCCGCTTCTGGCAAACCAGAGCAGCGCATGGAAACACCGTTTACCTTCCTACCGGAGTGGTACCTATTTATCTACTTGCACTTTGATGTGCAACTGCTAGGTTGGCAGGAGCAGGGATCGAGCAACGGGAGCTTACCCCGTCGCAGGGATTCGAACCTCCGACCTTCTGATCGGCAAGTCCAAGAGGCTCAGTGGTTTAACCCACAGCGCCACCCGCGTCCCGCATTTTAAATAAGGATGCTTTAATTCTCCAACGGCATTGTTCCTGGACGTTTTAATTCTGTTTGGATTTTGTGACGGATTTCATAGTTGTAAAATTCCTTTGGGAGCCATATTGGCAGATAAGCAGCATATATATTAATACAGTGGACTCTCGGAACGTAACTTCCGGGTTACGGACGCGACAAACCCGGAAGTGCATACTTCTGTGTTTTGCTGCATGCGCAGAAGCGCTCTGTTCAGGTTGGCGGGCGTTGCTGCCTCCTGCGGAAGGGAGTTCCCTAGTTTAACGGCGCACTGCACGTGAAAGTCCATGCCGACAATATTTCGTATATGCTGCGTTTTTATTGTAGCGCAGTTTGAATACCACAGGATTCAAACCGAAATACAATTTAAAAACCCAATATATATATAAGAAAGCTGGTGGTTCGTGGATTGGGACCGCCTGCTACATGAGCCAGCAGCAACTCCCTGGCAAATGTACATAGGATTGTGGCATTAATTTCTCTCTCTCTCTGTCTATCTATCTATCTATCTATCTATCTATCTCTGTCTATCTATCTATATCTATCATCTATCTATCTATTTACAGTATGTCTGTCTTTCTGTCTATATATCATCTATCTATAATAATAATAATAATAATAATAATAATAATAATAATAATTTATTATTTATACCCCACCCATCTGGCTGAGTTTCCCCAACCACTCTGGGCGGTTCCCAATCAAGTGTTAAAAACAGTATCTATCTATCTCTGTCTATCATCTATCTATCTATCTATCTATCTGGATTGAAAAGTCCTCAGAGATTTATGTGTGTGTGTGTGCTTTTTAATGAAGGACGGAATATTAAATGCCTACAATAAACACACAAAAATAATGAAATAAATACCCTGAAACCCCCAGCTGAGGAGGTCTGTCTGTTGACACCTCCAGAGTGTCCCTGATGCTCTCTGCACATGCTCTGTTGCATCCCCATCTCCTCCCCCCAACTGCCCCCCACTTCCCCCTCCCACAGGCAGCACTGGAGAGAGGAAGCAGCAAGCGCACAGCAGCCTCGTGCCCCCACCCCAAGACCCCCGTGGCCAGACGTGGGTGTGGGCATGTGGTTGTCGGCACGCAGACAAGCAGGGTCCAAGCCCCCGTGAGGATGGACACAAGGGAGGCGGGGGGGGTTGCGGAAACATGGAAGGGAAGGAGGGGCAGGGAGCACATTCATCGGGGAAGCATCGCTCAGGCAAGCAACAGCAGGATGCAGGCTTGACAGTCCCAAGGGCCGGATCGAGAGATCTTGGGGGCCACATTCGGCAACACCGCCCCCACCCCCAATCGCTAATCATGCGCATCGCCAGGCCAAACAGTTGCTTTGTTTAAAGGCGCAAGACCGTCCTCGTTTCCTGCTTCTCGAAATATTTGGCCACGATTCCTCCTCTGCAGCGGGGCTGGACTAGATGACCGCTGGGGGTCCCTTACGATATTTCAATTCTACGCGGCTGCCCCAAAGCTACTGGACATCCAGCGGGGCATGTTTGGTGGTCATTTTTCTGACTGGCTGACTTTCAGGTAAAGGCATATAGGATTGCAGCATTAATTTGTATTGTTGTTTTTTTTAAAATCTGGATAAAAGTACATTTTATGCAAATGTGGTGGACTTTCCCAAAGGCCCTGGAAAAGAGGGTTAGGCAAGCAGGCGGGCAGGCTCAGTGCACCGGATGAACAGAGCGGGTGCAGAGAAACGCAGCCACGTGGGCGAACAGTGGCACAACTTCTGCATGGATCGGGCAGCAGAGAGCTGCCCTTTTAAAAGGATACAAACGTAAAGGGTCCCCTGACCATTATTAGGTCCAGTCGTGACCGACTCTGGGGTTGTGGCGCTCATCTTGCTTTATTGGCCGAGGGAGCCGGCTTACAGCTTCCGGGTCATGTGGCCAGCATGACGAAGCCGCTTCTGGCGAACCAGAGCAGCGCACGGAAACGCCGTTTACCTTCCCGCCAGAGCGGTACCTATTTATCTACTTGCACTTTGATGTGCTTTCAAACTGCTAGGTGGGCAGGAGCAGGGACCGAGCAACGGGAGCTCACCCCGTCATGGGGATTTGAACCGCCAACCTTCTGATCGGCAAGTCCTAGGCTCATTGGTTTAACCCACAGCGCCACCTGCGTCCCTTTAAAAGGATATATTATGCAGAAAATGATCAGTTGGGTTGCAGCAACTCCCTATGAGGGGAAAGGTTGCATTTTCAGCTTGGAAGGGGAAAGGCAAGTATAACGGAGGATGTGGCAGAAATTTATACAGTGTGCATAGAGGAGGAATAATTTTTTCCCGTCCCTCTCTCATAATGGAAGAATGTGGGCATTCAAGGAAGCTGAGTGTTGGAAAGGGCAGAATTTTCACACGCAGTGTGCCATGAAACTAGGGAACTCCCTTCCGCAGGAGACAGTGACACCCACCAACGGGGACTAGATAAATCCACAGAAAAAGGATGCTTTCAAACACATCCAGCTGTCTGGATTCACAAGGGAGGAGTGTGCAAGTATCGAACTCAGGTCCCTGCCTTGTGGGGTTCCCACCGTGCCACTGGGATAACTGGCCACTTCTTAGGAACTTACGGGGTTCCTGCCAGGGTGTTTCCTGGAGGAACCTACAGGTGAAACTCGAAAAATTTGAATATCATGGAAAAGTTCCTTGATTTCCACAATTCAACTTGAAAGGTGAAACTGATATATGAGATAGACTCGTGACATGCAAAGCGAGATATGCCAAGCCTTGATTTGTTACCGTTGCAATAACGCACAGTTTATGAAAACCCCAAATTAACCATCTCAGAAATTAGAATATTCAAGGAAATCAGCAAAACAAGGATTGCAAATCGAGCGAGATTTGGACCTCTGAGAAGTAGAAGCAGATCTCGCTTTGCATGTCATGAGTCGATCTCATATATTAGTTTCACCTTTTAAGTTGAATTACGGAAATCAAGGAACTTTTCCACGATATTCTAATTTTTCGAGTTTCACCTGTACTGAGCCACTAGCTCTTCTGACATCCGTATGGAACTTGCAGCTCCAGGGGCAGTCTATCTCAATTCTTAGGTTCTGTGGGGCATTTGGACCCTGGGAAAACAGGGTGCCAGGATAGGTGGGCCTCTGGTCAAAGCCAGCAGGGCTGTTTTGGAGTTATCTCTGGTTGGGGGCAGCCAGACCCCCCCCCCGACTATTCCCCCATTGCAGGCACCGGCAATTTCTCTCGCTGGTGTTGGTCTGAGCGTGCTCTGGGGCAGGCAGTGGGGCGGGAGACGAGGGTGGGGGGCAGGAGGCATGCAGCAAGGGGGGGAGACGTGAAGAAGACAAGTTACCTGACAGATAATGTTATCATAGTAAGCCAATGCACGAGCATGAGGGGAGAGGTTGGAGGGGGTGTCACAAAATTTCCTTACATTTGGGTGCGAGCCCTCCGCAATTGTGGACAGCGAGAAGTTGTCGTTGTGGAGCTCAGAGGGGGTTCGGTATCTGCCGGCGGCGGGGAGGAGAAGAAGAGGGGAAACAAACAAGAAGCAGAGAGAGGAAAGAAAGGAGAGAATCCGGAGGTCAGAAAGAGTCATTGCAGACTTGGAAGGGAACCCAAAGGTCATCCAGGCCAACCCCCCCCCATCCCCGCGATGTAGGACTCTCAACAAAGGCAGGACACAACTCGATTGTTGAGCTGGCAACAAACCATAGCAATATGTCCAGGGAACTTTGAGTGCCTGCTACACTGTTCAAACACGATTACGGCTCCCAGTACGTTTCCAAGCACAATTCGAAGTGTTGGTGCTGACCTTTAAAGCCCTAAACGGCCTCGGCCCAGTAGACCTGAAGGAGCGTCTCCACCCCCATTGTTCTGCCCGGACACTGAGGTCCAGCTCCAAGGGCCTTCTGGCAGTTCCCTCACTGCAAGAAGTGAGATTACAGGAAACCAGGCAGAGGGCCTTCTTGGTGGTGGCGCCTGCCCTGTGGAACGCCCTCCCAGCAGATGTCAAGGCAATAAACAGCTATTTTACTTTTAAAAGACAACTGAAGGTGTCCCTGTTTAGGAAAGTTTTTAATGTCTGATGCTGTATTGTTTTTAATATTCGGTTGGAAGCCATCCAGAGTGGCTGGGGAAACCCAGCCAGATGGGCGGTGTATAAATACTAAATTATTATTATAATTATTATATGTGGAAGTGAACGGCATAGAGTTGCACAAACAGAGGGCAGCTCCTGCAACCACTTTCTCTTCTGCACACCCAGCTGTACTCCCCTACCCCCCCCAAAAAAAGCCTTCTCCTAAAATGAAGCAATCTAGCCGTTCGTTCCACAACTTTTTCCATGGGAAAAACCAGAGGTCACCCACACTCACTTTGCAGAGCACCAGAACAGGTGAAGCGCTGGGAAGAGGTTGCCTCTGAGCAGTTGCAGGGTGCCTTTCACGCAGCAATCTCCGGCCAAATTTGCACTTGCGGAGGAGAACTTCCCAGGAGGAAAGTTTCCTGCCTAAACCTCCTGACTGATTTTTGCTTAAAACTGATTTTTGCCTCATTTTTGCTTAAAACGATTAACATTCGCAGAATCTACAGTCAGAAGGGACCGACAATGTTGTGGCATCCCTGTGACCATCCATCTTTTTATTTTTCTTATTGTGGAGCTGGAATAATATTAATTATGACATATTGCTCATCATTTCTTATGACAATAACACGGGGGGGGGGGCAGAAAACCCTCTTCGATAATGAATTGATCGATTGCCAATTCGTTTTTAAAAAATCACAGCAACAATTAAAACAAATCAAAACAATTAAAAAACAATTTTAAAAATTGCAACAAAAAGACATAAAGTTGTGCAGTAGAAAATATACAGGGGAAAAGTTTGACCTTTTCCTGTTATGCGAAGATCGTAAGACCCAGATGGTCGCCAGATTCTGTGTACAGATCTGTACGCGCAGACCATCCCCCGACCCAAACGAGTTCGTTAAGAAAATCCCCAAACTCGGTTCCATGGGTGACTCTGGGTCATCTCTCTGCGGTAGTTTATCTGAAAGTGTCTATACGCTAATCGCATTTATAAATTTTAAATTTATTGTTGTACATGGTTTTAATTGTTTGTTTTCCTTCTGTGACTGTACCCTCAAGTGCGTTTTATAAGCTGGTCTCCGACCGGAATAAATTATCTAAACTAAGCTATACAGGAAAGTGAGAAACAGATGCCAGTTAACAACTGTGGGAAGCTCAAGGGCCACATTCTCTCCCATATAACCTTCTGGGGGCCACATTCCAATGGTGGAGCAAAAGTGCTGCTGTTCCTGCATTTCGGGGGGGTTGGACTAGATGCCCCCCAGGGTCCCTTTGCAATTCGACCGTTTTACGATTCCATGGCTTCATTCGCAAGGGGGGGCACAGTGCGCTTGGTGCCAGGAAGGCGCGATCCGCCACGTTTTTGCGCCACGCTGCGTATCTCCCCAAAGGGAATTGAGTTGCTTCTCACCAACGCTGCCCCCCCCCGCTCTCAGATGACCTCTGCCCCCCCCCCAAGATGCCGATGGAGGGAATCTTTCCCTTCGAATACCCCCACCACCACCACCATACAAAGCCATACCTCCCCACCCGACGGACAATACGGCCATCTGCTGTTGCCAAGCTAAGAGCCCCCACGCAGAGCCCCAGCTGCTCAGCGCCCCCCCACAAAGCTCTTTAAGGGAGCTGGAGGGAAGAAAGGGGGGGCATTGTGGCTGCGCACTCAGGCGGTTTTGTTGTTTTTTTTAAGGGGGGGAGGAAACCAAGCTCATTTGCAAAAGAAAAAGCAGCGCATAGGAATGCAAGGCGCTCCCATGACCTCTGGCAGAAAGGGGCGCTCGGGAAGAGGGGTGGGGGCAGTTCCCAGGCTCCGTCCTTCCTCCCCCCCCCCCAACCAATGTGTTGTTGCTAAGAAGCCAGGGACCCATCTCTGCACATATTAAGCACTGAAGACCCCCGCCCTGCCTGGACGGGACCCAGCTGAATCACACAACACAGAAACCCAGCGTGGATGTCAAGGCCCTAGAGAGAAGGGGCGAATAGCTGTCAACTTTCCCCTTTTCTCGCGAGGAATCCTATTCGGAATAAGGGAATTTCCCTTAAAAAAAAGGGAAACGTTGACAGCTATGAAGGGGCGTACCGTTCCAGAGCAATGTCTAGGCAACACGATGACCGCAAACATACATAATAAACAATCTTTATAGAATTCCTTCAAATCACAAAAAGTTCAGAATGAAATCTTTAGTCTCAAAGTCTCTGGAAATCTTTAAATGAAGCGAGGTGCCAGACTTTGTACAGTGGAAGACAAGCTGTGAAGCGTTGTGCATTCAACAACGATGTCTAACACTGAACAGTGATTCCGGATATTGACTACTGTTTCGTAGAATTCTTCATCAGCGTGGTGGGTGGATATAGAATTGCTTCATAAACCCACCTTATCTCAAATGAATGTATGTAAATGAAAATATCAAATGCTGCAACTACATTATTACATGAACACTGTTCCACAGCATTTGATATTTTCATTTATATACAGTCATTCGAAGTAATTCATTCATTCATTGTTGAATACACAAAGCTTGTCTTCCACCGTACAAAGTACAGAGACTTTGAGACTAAAGGTTTCATTTTGAACATTTTATGATTTGAAGGAATTCTATAAAGATTCTATAAACTTCCCCAAACAGGGTTGCCTTCAGATGTCTTTTAAAGAAAAGATAGCTGCTTATTTCCTTCACATCTGAAGGGAGGGCGTTCCACAGGGCGGGCGCCACTACCGAGAAGGCCCTCTGCCTGGTTCCCTGTAACCTCACTTCTCGAATGAGGGAACCGCCAGAAGGCCCTTGGCGCTGGATCTCAGTGTCCAGGCTGAACGATGGGGGTGGAGACGCTCCTTCAGGTATACTGGGCCGTTTAGGGCTTTAAAGGTCAGAACCAACACTTTGAATTGTGCTCAGAAACATACTGGGAGCCAATGTAGGTCTTTCAAGACTGGTGTTATGTGGTCTCAGCGGCCACTCCCAGTCCCCAGTCTAGCTGCTGCATTCTGGATTAATTGCAGTTTCTGGGTCACCTTCAAAGGTAGTCCCACGTAGAGCGCATTGCAGTAGTCCAAGTCCATTGAATTGGGTCCACAAGGGCTAGAAACCGGCTTCTAAAGCAAGATTCACGCAGAGGCGATCTCAAAATGTTGCATTTTTGCACGGAAGACATTGCACCATGGGTTTTTGGTCCTCCGACAAAATCACGGCATGCAAACGGCCTTTGTGCTAAGTAGCTAAGCGGAACCTCCATATCCAAGAAGAGTCTATCTCTGTTGCCAGGCGCTGAGCACAAAGCGGAGGGGCCAGCCTCCCTCAAGAGGGAGGCATCTGCATAGCCACTGCTACAGAAAGCGCATTGGGTCTGAAAGACTTGGGTGCCTGCAGCTTGGGTGGCGATTATTAGATTCTGCCACGACAGGGAGCTTTGAAAAATGGCTCATCGCAGCCAGAAGTGAGAGGTCAGCTGGGATTCTCAGAGAGGGGGAGAGAGGGGGGGGCCTAGTTTTTTGTTTGATGCAAACCCACTCTATCATTTTGCACCTTCCCAACAGGATACCACCATGAGACTTTTGTTTCCCAGTGCCTGGGATGCGGTCATTCCCAGCGGCAATAACCACAAATGGCGTTGCCTTGGCGAAAAACGGCGATGCCCATGACATGCAAAAAAGCCCCGTATTTTGGAGTTGTTCTACTGAAGATGTAAGGGAAAAGCTCAAAGTGCATTCAATGCCCAGAAGCTGCTGGCAACTACCTTTGCTCTCCCCCTCCCATGGCCCCCACCCCACCCCCACAGGTCTTGCCAGACAGTGCAAAGCACTCCTTGGTAATTACTGATGGCACTTTTGCAAAACAGCAATTAACCGCTCATTAGGGAGCTGGCCTGCTCAGACCCAGGAGGGGAAAGAGAAGAGAGCCAGGAGCTGGGATACAAAGCCGCAACCTTAGCCGAGAAGCAGCGCAGGAGCTCTCCCTCCTTCCCATCCTCCAGATGCTAAGTGGGGTTATGCAGGGTGAGCAGGCCTGCGCTTGCAGCCCCAACCGACCGGCAGGCGACAGAGTTTCCAGCTTTCCTTGGCTCAACGTTGAGCATGAAGAAGAAGAACAGAGACCTGGGACAGGCTACAACTCGTGGGCATCCAATGAGGCTGAGGGCTGGAAGATTTCCTTAAGGTCCATGAATAATCATAGTTTAGAGGTCCCGGGCCCTAAGGAAGTCAGACTATCCTCCACCAGGGCCAGGGCCTTCTCAGTGGTGGCTCCAACCTGGTGGAATGCTCTGTCCCATGAGACCAGGGCCCTGCAGGATTTAACTTCCTTCCGCAGGGCCTGTAAGACAGAGCTATTCCGCCTGTCTTTGAATTTGAACTTAGCCTGATCTTTTATTCCCCTTCCTTCCTTCCCTCCCTCCTCCTCCCCCATTTTATGAAGATTACCCGGTCTGGGATCCCACAGCTAATTCTCCCCTGGTCTCCTCGCTGGCCCAAATAGGACTAATTTAGCCAGCTAGCCCTGGGGATCATCTAATGTTTATTGGATGGATTTTCCCCCTAAATTGATTTTTGAATTTGTTGTTATTCACATTTTATACTGTACTTTATGCTGTTTTTGTTGCATCAATTAAGTGTTTTAAATTGGTTGTTAGCCGCCCTGAGCCCGGTTTTTTGAACCAGGAAGGGCGGGGTATAAATAAATTAATAGTAATAATAATAATAATAATAATAATAATAATAATAATTTCAGGGTGGATGGAAGGAAGTTCTGCTGCATGCAAGCCCACGGTTAACCTATGGAACTCACTGCCACAGGAGGCAGGGATGGCCACCTAACCTAGATGGCTTAAAAAGAGGATTGGGCAAATTCGCGGTGGAGGAAAAGGCTATTGGCGATGGAGGCTGGGCTCTGCTTCCACGTTCGGAGGCAGAAATGCTTCTGAATTCGAGTTGCTGGAAACCACAGGAGGGGAGGGGGCGCTTGGGTTTGGGACTGGTTGGACGCAGAGGAGGGAGGGGAGGCACCAACTGGAGAACCCCCATGGGAAGAAGACTCAGAGCCAGGGGATTGCTGGTGGGACAACGATGAGTGGGCACAAGGGGAGGACTGGGAAGAGGAGGTGTTGGAATCTGAAGAGGCGACAGGGCTTAGTGAGCGGGGAGAGTCAGTGGCAGAGAAGAGTCCAGACTCAGAGGCAGAAGCAAGAAAGGAGGGAGGCCAAGAGACAGAGATGAGCCTGGTTGGCAAAGAGTCACAGGTGTCTCTCCCACCTGCGGCGCCAGCTTGTATGTTTATGTTCTGACAGTTCCCTCACCTGCAGGCAAAAGCAGTCCAGCCCAGAAGGGATTCTGCCCCACAACTGTATGAAGTGGGTAGCCCAGCGAAGTACCATCCCCTGAAGGGCAATGGGATTCCCTGGCGGATTCCCTAAGAGGCAAGGGGGCAAGAGGTGGGTGCTGGAAGTGGGGATTGAAGACTCTTGTTAACTTCTCTGCAGTGGCTCCCCGTCTGTGGGGTGCTCTCCCCAGGGAAGTTTGACTGACGCCTTCATTATACACCTTTAGGTGCCAGGCAAAAACATTCCTTTTTAACCAGGCCTTTGGTTGACCTGATCAACATCCCATACCCTTTTAAAATGTGGCTCTTTTGGGGGGGTATAAATGGATTATAGGGATGCAGGTGGCGCTGTGGGTTAAACCAGAGTCTAGGACTTGCCGATCAGAAGGTCGGTGGTTCGAATCCCCGCGACAGGGTGAGCTCCCGTTGTTCGGTCCCTACTCCTGCCAACCTAGCAGTTCGAAAGCACGTCAAAGTGCAAGTAGATAAATAGGTACAGCTCCAGCGGGAAGGTAAACGGCGTTTCCATGCGCTGCTCTGGTTCGCCAGAAGTGGCTTAGTCATGCTGGCCACATGACCCGGAAACTGTACACTGGCTCCCTCGGCCAATAAAGCGAGATGAGCGTCGCAACCCCAGAGTCGGTCACGACTGGATCTAATGGTCAGGGGTCCCTTTACCTTTACTTTATAATTGGGTTATTGCTTTTATTTTAATTTTATATACTGTGATCCTTTTATGGGAACCGCCTTGAGACCTCTGGGTATAGGGCGGTATATAAATCCAAGAAATAATAATAATAATAAACAAGACATTGGGAAACTGGACTCGCTGCATCAAGCCCATCCGTCACGCTGGGAATTTACTGAGCAGTGAAGAAGTTACTAAATGTGGCACCTAGGACTCTTGCTAGAGGACTTTGAGAAGCTGGCATCAAAGATCAAGTTCACCAGGCTTGGCGGAGTAATTAAACGAAATAGTTTTAATTGGGTTTTCAGCGAATGCGCAATTAATGGCTGCTGTTTCGAATTTTATTGTCGTCTTGTCTTCCTTAGTGGGTCATGCAAACTGCTATTCTGATAAATTCTTTTTTTATATATATGGGGGGGGCAGTTCTGAAAAATGCCGCTGTGTGCATTTTTCAGAATGGGCTCCCCCGCCCCTTCCACTCTGTTTCACCTCTTTCTCTGATGTCACCCGGGAAATTTACAGCCCTGAGGAAGAGGCGAACTGACAGGCGCTCCATCCCGGGCACACACAACACTTGGCGTTTCTCCCAGCCGGAAAACTCCCGCCCCGTAAATCACAGGATGGGGACGGGAGCAGGGATCCCACAAAGACTGTCGTTGATGGCAGGATCGTAATAAGGAAAGCCTGCCAGATGAGGCCAAAGGGGGCGCACCCAGTCCAACATTCTGTCCTCACAGTGGCCAACCAGATGGGAAACATGCAAGCGGGATCCGAGCACAAGAGCAACTGGAATCCAGATAATAATAATAATAATAATAATAATAATTTATTATTTATACCCCACCCATCTGGCTGAGTCTCCCCAGCCACTCTGGGCAGCTTCCAATTGAGTGTTAAAAACAATACAGCATTAAATATTAAAAACTTCCCTAAACAGGGCTGCCTTCAGATGTCTTTTAAATATAAGATAGCTGCTTATTTCCTTCACATCTGAAGGGAGGGCATTCCAGAGGGTGGGTGCCACTACCGAGAAGGCCCTCTGCCTGGTTCCCCGTAACCTCACTTCTCGCAGGGAAGGAACAGCCAGAAGGCCCTCGGAGCTGGATCTCAGTGTCCGGGCAGAACGATGGGGGTGGAGACGCTCCTTCAGGTATACAGGACCGAGGCTGTTTAGGGCTTTAAATTGCTGTCTCTAACCACAGATGCAGAGCATAGCTATCCTAGCTAGGAGCCCTCAATAGCCCTCTCCTCCATGATGATAAACATGTGTTGCTCCGCCCACTTTTGCCCCAGGCCCCGCCCACTGCTACCATGCGGCCCTTGCGATGTGGTCCAGAGATGAGTGTGGCCCTCAGGACAAAAAAGCCAAAAGACACACACACCCGGGACCTCCGCAATAAAAGGATGAAGATGAAACCTTTTCCAGGAACGTCCCTCTCCCTACTCTTCCTCGCCAGTCAGCGATCGCACCATTTAAAGATGGAGTTAGCTCTTCACTAGCAAAAACCCAACTTGGCTGAGTGTGCGGCTGAGCAAAGCAGCTCATTCCCAGGAGCCTTCCTCCGTGAAAATCAGTTGCCGCGTCCCGACCTCCTCTCCGGGGATTTCCCACGCGATCTGAGACTGCGCCTGCATGAGGCCAAACTCTCCTCCGCCCTGTTCATGCCTCTCTTGGTTCTGGGAGACAAGGCAGGAGGAGAGCTTGTCACAGCAGCAGGAGTAGCTTCTTCACCAGCCAGACCCATCTCTGCCTCTTGGCCCCCCTCCTCTCCTGCCTCAGCCTCCAATTCTGGACTACTCTCTGCCACAGACTCTCCCCGCTCACTAAACCCTGTCGCCTTTTCAGATTCTGACACCTCCTCTCCCTCTTCCATCACCCTTCCCAGGGCTCTGCGCCTTCTTCCCCTGGGGGCTTCCCCAGCTGGTTCCTCCCCCTATTCCTCTGCGTCCAACCCGCCCATGACATTGACACCCACCCACCAAAAAACCTGCCCAGCCCAGCCCCGCTGCCACTCACTTGGTCTTGCGCAATTTGCTGTTTTCGGTTTTGAGCAGGTAGAGTTTCTTGGCGAAGAAGACGGTCATCATGAAGAGGAGGAGGACCACCAGGGCGGCCGAGCCCACGGCGATGCACATCACCTGGAAGTCGGTGATGATGGACTCGCAGCGGATGCCTTTGTGCCAGATGTAGTCCTGGGTGTTGCACCTGCGGGGCAAGAGGGAAAGCGAGGTATGCTCAGCAAAGGGGGAGCCTGGGAAAGGCATCAATCCCAGTACTACTACTACTACTACTAATAATAATAATATCTGGACTGCCTCGCCAGAGTGGTGAATGCTCTGGTTATCTCTCGCTTGGACTACTGCAATGCATGTGCTCTATGTGGGGCTACCTTTGAATGCTCTGGTTATCTCTCGCTTGGACTACTGCAATGCATGTGCTCTATGTGGGGCTACCTTTGAAGGTGACCCAGAAACTACAACTAATCCAGAATGCGGCAGCCAGAGTGGGGACTGGGAGCGGCCGCCGAGACCACATAACACCGGTCTTGAAAGACCTACATTGGCTCCCAGTACGTTTCCAAGCACAATTCAAAGTGTTGGTGCTGACCTTGAAAGCCCTAAACGGCCTTGGTCCAGGATACCTGAAGGAGCGTCTCCACCCCCATCGTTCTACCTGTACACTGAGGTCCAGCGCCAAGGGCCTTCTGGTGGTTCCCTCACTGCGAGAAGCCAAGTTACAAGGAATCAGGCAGAGGGCCTTCTCGGTAGTGGCACCTGCCCTGTGGAACACCCTCCCACCAGATGTCAAAGAGAACAACTACCAGACTTTTAGAAGACATCTGAAGGCAGCCCTGTTTAGGGAAGCTTTTAATGTTTGATGCATAACTGTATTTTAATATTTTGTTGAAAGCTATCCAGAGTGACTAGGGAAGCCCAGCCAGATGGACGGGGTATAAATAAATTATTAATAATAATAATAATAATAATAATAATAATTTATTATACTTTGCCTGTCTGACTGGGTTGCCCCAGCAACTCTGGGTGGCTTCCAACAAAAATGCAATTTAAAAAGGAAGGAAAACCCAAACATTTAAAAGCTTCCCAAAGGAGGGGCTGCGTTCAGATGCCTATGAAAATTTTTACAGTTGTTTAACTCTTTGACTCTTGCCGGGAGGGCATTCCACAGGGCGGGCCTCCCCTGCTCTCCCTGCACTGGATCTTGACCACCACCCCAGCTCCACTCAAGTGGAGAAGCCTACTCATAAAGGCTAAAAGTGGAGCTTCCCAGGTTAGGGGCAGGATACCTTAGGAAAAGATAACCACATGTCACCAGCTTGTCTGTTTCCCTGGGACATCCCTTGTCAGAGAAGGCGCCGAGCTGCCAATTTCAAGTAGCAAATTTCAAGTGCTCAGAGCACTTCTTCTTAAAGGGATAATGATTGAGAAAACCCTACGACGGTCCTGCAAGGTAGGCCTTGCAATGTAGATGGCAGCCAGGAGAAGGGGCTTGAGGACGAAAGGGACAGATTTGTGACTCTTCGATAAACGCGGCGATTTACTCCCCTGAAAGGCCCATTATAATAATAATTTATTACTTGTACCCCGCCCATCTGGCTGGGTTTCCCCAGCCACTCTGGGCAGCTTCCACAAAGACCAAAAATACATTAAGATGTCACACATTAAAACTTCCCCAAACAGGGCTGCCTTCAGATGTCTTCTGAATGTCAGGTAGTTGTTTATTTCCTTGACATCTGGTGGGAGGGCGTTCCACAGGGCGGGCGCACCACTGAGAAGGCCCTCTGCCTGGTTCCCTGTAACTTGGCTTCTCGCAGCGAGGGAACCACCAGAAGGCCCTTGGAGATGGACCTCAGTGTCCGGGCAGAACGATGGGGGTGGAGACGCTCCTTCAGGTCTACTGGACCGAGGCCGTTTAGGGCTTTCAAGGTCAGCACCAACACTTTGAATTGTGCTCGGAAATGTACTGGGAGCCAATGTAGGTCTTTCAAGACCGGTGTTATGTGGTCTCAACGGCCGCCCCCAGTCACCAGTCTAGCTGCCGCATTCTGGATTAGTTGGTGCCAACACTGGGTTCAAAAGCTACGCCTAGTTCAGCTTAGCGGCACAAACAGGTCACCAATTTGGGGCTAGGCTCAGTATGCAAACCAGCCCCACATTGTAGCAGCAACCTATTTGCTTGTTTCGTCAAATTCATATGCCGCTCAAATGCAAAAATAAAACCTTCAAAAGAGGTTGACAAAAAGGATAGAACCATAAGAAAACTACAGTCATACCTCGGGTTACAGACGCTTCAGATTGCGTTTTTTCGAGTTACGGATGCGCTGAAACCCGGAAGTACCGGAATGGGTTACTTCTCGGTTTCGGCGGTCGCACACGCGCAGAAGCGCTAAATCGCGCTTTGCGCATGCGCAGAAGCACCAAATCGCAACCCGCACGTGTGCAGATGCGCTGCTGTGGGTTACAAATGCTCCAGGTTGCGAACGTGCCTCCCTCACGGATCACGTTCACAACCTGAGCATCCACTGTACTAAGTAAAATTAGGAAAGGTAATTTCAGGCGTCGGAAAGTTAAAATTACAATTAAGGCTTGAACCAGCTTTCTAAACCACTCAATGTTTTTATCAGGCGCAGAAGAATCCACAGTGAAGGTGCTCACTTAATATCAACAGGCAGGGAGTTCCACAGTCTAAGTGCCGCCACAGTCAAATATTGAGCTCTTACAAATATCGAATGGGACTTATTCGGCGCCTGCCAGTTCCAGCAATCAAAGTCAGTTCATGTGGGGTGAGGCAATCTTGCGGGTAAACTGGTCCCAAATTGTTCAGGGCTTTATATACTGATAGCAGCACCCTGAACCTTGCCCGGTAACAAGCTGAAATCCAGGGCAGGTATCTGAGCACAGGTGAGATAGGCTGGCAAGGCGTCTATCCTGTCAGCAATCAGGCTGCAGCATTCTGCGCTAACTACAGCTGTGGATCGAGAGAAAGGGAAGCCCCCAAGTACAGCGCCTTGCGCAATAATGTTAGGGCGGCCTCAGCTGCTGCACGACACAGAGGACCCTGGCTTCCCCCAAGCTGGTGTCGTTTTGGACTACAACTCCCATCATGCAGGGTGGATAAAAATTAATGATTATATATATATATATATATATATATATATATGATTTTTAAAATTTAAATCGCATTTTTAAAAAAAATAATAAATTGGATTTTTAAAATAAAATGCTTTTGGAGGAAAAATCTTTCTAAATATAGTTTTCTGTTTAAGTTACATATGCTATAATGTTATTGTTTTAGTTAAATAAATGGTTTAAATTGTTACCAAGGAAATGATTATTTTTCTTCTTCCAATAAAGTACAGCAGGAAAGTTGTCCAAATATAAACAGCTATTAAGCCTCACACTAATTTCATAATTATCTGTGTATTTCTAATAGTATAACCAAATCAGTAATTTTTGATGTAACTGTAAAAGCTATTCTGAAAAATTATTATTCCAGAAATGAAACCTTCATCTGGCTGTAAATATTAAGATTATACCAGCAAGAATGAGTCCTTCTGTAAAAAAAGAGATTTAAATCAAGTCTTACTGACCAGTGATTTAAATCGGGATTTGATTTAAATCAAATCCACCCTGCTATCATGTGTGTGTCCAGGCCTCTTGGGAACTACAACTCCCATCGACCCCCATGGCCAATGGATGATGGGATTTGTAGTTCTGCAACACCCAGAGGGCCGAAACCTGCCCACTACCGACTTCTTTATTTCTCATGCTTCACACTCCCAGTATGGCTAATGATAATTTTACAAAATGCAGTGTAAAAACATAGTGGTTTTTTTAAAAAAAAAACCCAGACAATGCAGAATAAAACACTATCATGCAATACATGCAGATTTTGCAACGGCATCCAAGGCTTGCTGGGAAAAAGGATTTAGCTGGAAATGCTCATCCCATCAGCCCAGAAGGACCAAGAAAAACACAGGGAACCCGCAGGTGGGTGTATCAGCCTTAGCAACCTGTGACTCCGGTATTGCTGGGGTTGGACTAGATGACCCCCTTGGTCCCTCCAAAACCAGACAATTGTACGACTTTATGAATGCACAGCACACGCCACACCCACTGAACCAACAACCCTTCCCCTGTGGCACACCAAGGAGGAGTGAGGCAGAATCTGAACTCGCCTCCCATTTGCGCTTCAGGATTTTTGCCTGATTGCAAAAGGGGTGCATCTCCCGCAGAGGACCCCTACCCAAGCTCTGCTCCCGGGGCGCCCTGTGACTCGCACCCAGAACGCCATCTCTGGATACAGCGCGCCTTCTTCCCGCCACCGCTGTCTGCCAGAGCTGATTAGTGACTCAGGGAGAGCAGCCCGTCAGCGTGGCTCTGACCTAATTCCGGCTCGGCTGAGCAGGCAGGGTGCTGTGGGGGCAGGGAGCACCCGGGAAATCCCTCCCCCTTCTCCGCTCAGCAGGCAGCCGCCGAGACGCCTTCAGGCTGCCTCTCGCAACCTCGGGTCGGGCAGAGGGCACGGGGCTGGGATAGCATCGGACCTACCTCCCAGGGTCGTCGTAAACAAAGGACTCGGGGCACACCTTTCAGAGACCAAAGAGCATCGCCCTGTGAGCCCAGGGTTCGAATCCCGACTCGGTGTGTGACCTTGGGGGCCGGTCCCTGCCTCGCAGGGTTATTGTTGGGGGGCACTAAACGAGGAGGGAGGGGGAAAACCACAGGTGCCACCGTGAGCTACTCAGAAAAAAAGGTGGAATGCAATAAATGTATAGGAAATGCGGGGAGGGGGGACGAAATGGAAAAACAGGAGTTCGGGGGCAGGAAGAGAGAAGGGCATGGGATATTTTTCAATAGCCTGTGGTTGATGGGAGAAATCCGCGCTGCAACACTTCGTTGCAGTTCTTGAAAATACAGTGGTACCTCGGGTTAAGTACTTAATTTGTTCTGGAGGTCTGTTCTTAACCTGAAGCACCACTTTAGCTAATGGGGCCTCCTGCTGCTGCCGCGCCGCCAGAGCACGATTTCTGTTCTCATCCTGAAGCAAAGTTCTTAACCTGAGGTACTATTTCTGGGTTAGCGGAGTCTGTAACCTGAAGCGTATGTAACCCGAGGTACCACTGTACAGTAGAACCTTGGCTTACGTTACTAAACTTCGGGTAGCAAAAGCAGCAAACCCGGAAGTATTTTTCTGGGTTTCGCCGCTCGTGTATGCGCCTCTTGTTGTGGAAACCTCGGGATCAGACCAGAGCTCCGGATTGGATCCCGTCCGCAACCGGAGTACCACTGTACTGTCTGTATCTGTCGCTGATGGGCAAACTGCAGTCAGGATGATGGGCGGTGTAGTCCAATAACGTCTGGAGGGCCACAGGTGCCCCATTCCTTCAGGTCGATGAGACCATTCCCTAAAGCTCCATCACAGTCCAGTGTGACCCCAAACCCCACATTACTGCATTGCAAGGGGTTGGAACAGATGACCTTTGGAGCTCCCTTCCCACTCTATAATTCTCAGATAACTCAGGATATGGGGGTCAGCAAACAGGAGCGTGTTCCCACTTGGGGGTGCCAGATGAGATTTCCCAGATTTAGCCCGCATGCCAAGAGGGATGCGCCCCTTTTCTTCCACATTAAGCGGGTAACTGGCTCCCGGTGGAGTACAGGGTCAGATTTAAGGTGCTGGTTTTGACCTTTAAAGCCCTTCATGGCCTAGGATCCTTGTACCTACGGGGCCGCCTCTCCCGGTCTGCCCCACGGAGAGCCTCAAGGTCCATAAAGAGCAACACCCTAGAGGTCCCGGGCCCTAAGGAAGTTAGATTGGCTTCAACCAGAGCCAGGGCCTTTTCAGTGATGGCCCCGGCCTGGTGGAACGCTCTGTCTCATGAGACCAGGGCCCTGCAGGATCTGATTTCTTTCTGCAGGGCCTGTAAGGCAGAGTTGTTCCGCCTGGCCTTTGGCTTGGAGCCAATTTGATTCCCTCCCCCTCTTTCTTTTCTCCTTTCTGCATTTTAGTGTTTTAATGTTTCAATATTTTAATGTTGTATTTTAATCTTCTTTTTAAGTTGCATTCTTTCAACTTGCTTTTATTATTGCTTGTTAGCCGCCCTGAGCCCGGCTTTGGGTGGGGAGGGTGGGGTATAAATAATAATAATAATAATAATAATAATAATTATTATTATTATTATTATTATTATTATTATTATCATTATTACCTCCCATTCAGTCCTATGGAGAAAAAGTGCAAGGCGTGTGACCTCTGCTGCAATTAAGGCTGAGGCAATCCTTCTCCTCGGCTCCCCTACCAGCCTGCTCTAATACACCCCCGATGCTCTCCTAGTTGGGAACCTTGCAAGGCAGCACATGACTTGCACATCAATCTCACCACGTTGGTTATTTGGTTCATGAGGCCATAAAGCAGGCCACTAGCCCCTCTGGCACAGTTGCCATCCAAAATACGGAGCCTCGAGGTTCCTGGTACAACCAGAGAGGTTGCTAGAGCCATAAAAAGGAACGTGAGCATTCTAAACAAAGTCGTCTGGAACTCACTATCCGGCACCTTCGCTGGACTCTTTTCCGCACATGTTAGAAACATCCTAGTTTAGACAGGTCCACTCAGATGTTTAGAAAGGCGGTGCAAATTTCCATCTGTTTTTGGTCCATTGCTACTTTCAATTATTGCGGCCATTTTTCCTTATGGATAATTTTATCCCTTCATCTTTCTTGAGGCTTTTGCTTTCTTACAACCAGGCAGCATACAAATCTGATGAAATAAATAAAGAAAGCCCAAACTCCCTGCAGTTAGAAAACTAGCTCAACAGGGAGCGGTCTAGGCTAAAACCGTTGCGCCTGATGCACTGGTCTTCTTACTTGAAGGGGAGCTTTGTGTGTTTTCACACAGGGGGGGGCGTTCCGTTAACAGCACTCACCCATTTGAACTATGAACTGGTTCCATCCACTCTGACCAGCTCTGAATTCGAACCCCTCACCCTGTCACATGCGGAGACCAAGCTGAAGCCAGTGCAGTTTTGGGTGGAGGATGAATCTATGCTTCAAATCCAGGGTCAGCCTGGCCCATCCCAGACCTTTTAAGGCTACTACTCCCAGTGGAAGAAGACTCAAATTTCAGGGGCACCCCGGGTGTCGCTAAAATTCCCCCTTGCCTTTCATGCTCCCTTCCACATCCCAGTTGTGGCGCCCCCTGCAGCACGGTGGCCAGCGCGGCCACAGCTGCCTCTGCTACTCCCACCTCACCTGCCAGGGAAGCCCCGCCCACTTCCAGGTAGCGCCTCACCTGCAGAAGGCCCCCAGGTTCTCCACCAGATAGCACTGGCCCCCGTTATGGCAGTAACTGGGGAACGTGTCACACATGGATTTGCAGGAGTTGTTGTGCCGGACAAAACCACTACGGCATTCGGTGCCGTTCTCCACGACGCCCAACAGGCTGAGGTCCCGGCCAACTTCCGCCGGACGGGGTCTGGGGGTGGCCCTGCCGCCACCCCCCGTGATGACAAAAGTCTGCAGAGGTGGGACGACGTAGCGGCGGCTGGTGGGCTCCGCTTCCTGGACGGCGGTGTGGATCTTGGGTGTAGCCGGCGTGGGGATCCGAAAGCCGTTCTCATCCTCCAGATCCCTGGCCAGCCCTCCTCCGCCATCTTCCTCCTCCTCCTCTTCCTCCGGCTCGTCCAGGTCTTCCTCATCCCCATCGGTGTAGAAGGAAGTCGTGGGGTAAAAATCAGACTCGTCGAAGGGCGTGAAGTCATCGTAGAGGTCGTGCAGGGACCACGACATCCCTTTGTCGTCCACCGGTTTCCGCTTGGTGGAGTCTAGGCCGGCACCGCCTAGCCTCTCCCCGTCAAACAGGTCATAGTAATCGATGTCGATGATCTCGGAGGCCAAAGGGTCCTGCGACGGCTTCGGGGAGGCCTTGACCGGAGGCGTGACAGCCGTCCGCGAGGTCTCGGCGCCCGGCCAGCTCCGGTCAGTGCGGCCTTCCGCGCCCTCGGCCGGTGAGCTGCTGGAAGACTCCACCCACAGCTCCAGAGGCTCCTCCTTTTGGGCGGAGTCTTGCTCTGGGACCGCCCCACCCTCCTCGGGGGCCGGGACGTCGGCCCTCGTGGGAGACGCCAGCACTGCCACCCCAAACGTGTTGAGGAGGAGGTCCGTCTCGGCCGAACTGTGGCCCAGGCCTGCGGGAGAGCTGGCCTCTGGTGCAAACTTGGGGGTCGTGGTCCGTTCTGCCAACTCCCCTTGATCCGGGGAGGCCTTGGCGGGCTGGTCCCCGCTACCGGCTTCCTCTTGGCTTTCTGGGGCGGTGTGGGGGCTCCCCGCTGCCCCGTCCTTCCCGTCAAGTAACTTCCAGGCCCCCTCCTGCCCCTGCGCCGGCTGGGCAAATTCGGTTCCGCCCGACAATGCTTCGAGGGGGCCCTTGCCGTCGCGTCCCCCCAAAAAAGGCTGGCTGAGAGTCCCTCCGGGGCAGCCCAGACAGAGGCCCGACACGTTTTTCTCCTCCATCTCTCCAGAAATGTACCTCACTGTGACACTTGCCCCTGGGGGGCTGCCAGCAGCTGGGATGTCAGAAGCGACGGCGTCTCCTCCATCGCCGCCTGGGAGAACGGCAGGTGGCTTGAGCTGAGATTCCTTCGCTCCCGCTGCCTGTGAGGCTTTGGCGGTAGAGGCGTTCCCTCCTCGCCAGGCGCTGGGTCTCGGTGGCGAGGGATTCTCCTTCCTCGGAGGCGGTGCTCTGCTCACAGCGGCCGGCCTGCTTTGCCAGGGGGCTCCTCGGACGTCAGTGGCGTTGGGGGATCTTGCAGGTTGCTCAGAGGCTGCAGGCAAGAAAGGCAAAAGCGCTTGTGAGTGGAGAAGAACACAAGCAGGGAGAGGCGCTCCTTTCTGTGCACACAGAGGCGTTGCTAAGCTCCCTCCCCAAAATAAGAACCCATAAAGAGCCCTGCAGGATCAGGCCCAGGCAGCATCCTGTCCTCATAACCTGATACATAGAAAAGTCAGAAGGGACCTCGTGTGTCATCTAGTCCAATGCAGGAATATTTTGCCCCACGTGAGGCTCGAACCCATGGCCCTGAGGTTAAGAGCCTCACGCTCTGACAACTGAGCTATAAACTGCATCAGGGCAGAACAGGGCAGTTGTCTCAATGCAAAACCCGCAAGCACGACCCGGGCGCGAGAGCATAGCCATTGTGGGCTGTTAGCCCTCGATGGCTTTAACCTCCATGAATCTGCCCAGTCCTATCTCAAAGTCACCTAGATTGGCCACCATTGCCTCTTGTGGAAGGGAGTTCCACAGATCAACTCAGCGCTGCATGAAGAAGGACTTTATTCTATCCGCCCTGAATCTTCCAACATTCAGCTTCTCTGCTTTTCCAAACCCCAGAACCTCCTACGGACAATTCCAGTGCACCGAATGGTACTTTCCCTATTATATATATACGTATTCTTCCTTGCCGCGGTGTCAAAAATAGCAGCGGTCTCGGCTCGCGGCTCATTCCCACACATTCTGGCTGCCTGATTCAGCTTTTCTCCTTCCCCCTCTTTCCCAGTGTAGTAGAGCAGAATTAATCACTTGGAAGGTGGGGGGGGGGGAGAGAAGAAGCTGGCTGGTTGTAGCGAGGAGAGGGGTGTAAATATGGGAAATATCTTTGGCGCTAACAGTCGCCTCGGGGTTTATTTACCAAATCGGTGGACCTCTCCCCGCAAGGAAGGAAGGAAGGAAGGCAGCCTGATCAACCTTCGGGAGAAATCCTTCCTTCCATTCCATGGGCAAAGGGTGGGCTCCCTCTGACAAGACCCCCCACCCACCCAGTGTTCTAATTTTGGCTTCCCTGAGAAAGATCTCAGGGTTTTTTTCCGAGGCTTAAGACAAAAGCGAACAGAAAAAGGAGGGCGGAATGGAAAAGAAGCCAATGCAAAACAGAAATAAGTGGTTCTAGAGGTAGGAAACACCCCTCCTCAAACCAGGGGGAAAATAAATACAAGGAGGAGGGTGTCTGTTTGGTTTTTGAGCATCCAGGACTGGGGGTGTGACTGAAGAAGAGGACTGCAGGCAAAACCAGCTGGAGAAGAGGGATGGAGAGATCCCAAAAGGGTGGACATCACCTCCATGCCTACACACAGACGCACACACCTCAAGTCAGCACCTGTCTGACTGGTCATCACCAGATCCTAGAACAGGTGGAACCTCCTGGTCCGATCCTGCCAGGCAGCTGAGAGTCTTGCAGGGGGGAAAAATCATTTTGCATTCCCCCCCTCTGGAAGGAAGGTCTGACTGAGTCACTGGTTTTTGTGGCCTTCTGACCTGAAAATCCATAGATTTACACATCTGAACCAGGCAGCAGCAGCAGGCAGGATAATTCTCACTCCCTTCCAAGCGTCTGGGGTTTATTTACGACAGGACACGGTCACCGGGGGACTATACAGATAGATCTCTTCCACCATCAAACAAGACCCGCATTTTTAAAGAAATAAATGGACTCTCTTTTTGCATTCATTCGATCTTCGACAGATTTTTTTTTTTGAGAGGGGGTGCAGCCAAGAAAGGCACAGGGGGTCTTCGATGTTGCACCACCACCCCTGACTCGCCCACAACGGAATCACTAGGACGTGATCCGGTGCGATTCCGCATTTCGCTGCGATCTCCCGCCGCTGCCGCCGCCCGCCCCTCCCCCTGCCCTCCAGCTCTCCATTTGCCACAGCCTCCTTTTTTGGGGGGGGGGGATACGGACACACACACCCCAAAATACATTTGCAGGGGAGGGGAAGCAGGGCGAGGAGAGTGTGTGGATTTTGTAACACGTGTCTTGCATTACAACTAACGCCGCCACCAAATCACTCAACAGACATCCCCGAAAGCATCCTACAAAATGAGGGGTGGGGGAGGGAGAGGAGAAAAAGGAGGGGTGGGAATCATTTTTTGGGGGGGAAGGGTCTTCTCTTCCCACCCCAATGTGGCCATTTTGCACCCCCCAGCCCTAACCGTCCCCCACCCCACTTCTTGAAAAGGCTCCCCCAGTTTCCTTAACCATTGCCAAAAAATAGTAATAATGCGCCCTCCTTATTTTTTGCGCGAGGGGAGTGGTCGGGGGGTGGGGGAGAGACGAGACTGTCTGGGTTGGGGGGGGCGGTTCCCCCGTTGCAAATTCCACCCCCCACCCAAAAATAGACCCCCAAATATTTGCAATCCAGAAAATATCCAGGTAGAGAAAAAGGGTGGAATCTGGGGATGGGTGTGTGTGTGTGTGTGTTGGCGTCTCCATCCCACCCCCCAATTCCCCTCGCCCCCACCTACCCGCGAGGAGGCCCGCCAGCGCCATCAGGCCGGCGGCGGCGAAGGCGAGCCAGGCGCGCCCCATGCTCCGTGCACCCTCGGCCGCGTCCCGCCCTCGGCAGGAGGCTCCGCGCGCTGCTCCGGCTGCCGCTCAGCGCCGGCGGACGCCCCGCCACATGGCGCGCCCAGCCGCGCCCCCCGAGATCAGCGCCCAGACGCCGCCGCCGCCCAGCCGGCCCGAGGAGGAGGAGGAGGAGGATGCCGCCGCCGCCGCCGCTGCCCCATCGTCCCCCGGCCGCCGCCGCCGCCTCCAGCCCCAGCTCCAGCGGCAGGAGCAGCAGCAGAAGCGCCGGCCCCGCCTCGCCGCGCGCAGCGCCAGAAGCCGCGGAGCGGGAGGAGGAGGAGGAGGAAGGAGGAGGCGCTTCTGCAAGGAGGATTACGGTGCCCGCGGGGGGGGGGGGGGAGAGACAGACACACACAGACTCACACGCACACACATGCACATGGGCGCGGAGGCGCGGGCGCGCGCAGCGCCCCCCTGCCCAGTTGCAGCCGCTGCGCTCTTGCAGTTGCAGGACGCGCCGGTCGCTGCTGCAATGCATGCGCGCCCCTGGGCACCGGTTTAGAACTGGGGTGGGATGTATGGAAGGCAGTTGGGGGAGACGGAGGCTGGAAGCGCTGGAGGGGGGTGGATGCGCGAAAGGGGCGCAAAACCCCGGAGAGGGGGCGGCCAGAGGGAGGACCGTAGAATCGGAGAGGTGGAAAGGGATCCCCAGTTATCTAGCCCCGTGCAATGCAGGAAATTGGGAAGAACTGGAATGAGAACGGGAGAGGAGCCCACGGCGGATCAGGCCCCTGGCCTATCTGGTCCCTGGCGCCGTCCTCCCACCATGGCCACCTGCGGGAAGCCGAGCAGCAGGATTTGAACACAAGAGCAGCTCCCCATCTGGGGTTTCCAGCAATTTGGAAGCACGGACCCGTAGAATTGCAAAATAGCCCCAGGGGTCATCTAGTCCAACCCCGGGCAATGCAGGAATCTCAGCTAATGCATCCGTGACAGGTGGCCACCCAACCTCTGCTTAAAAACCTGCAAGGAAGGAGAGTCCACAAGGAGCGTGTTCCACTGTCAAACCGCTCCTACCATGACAAAGTTCTTCCTGAGGTTTCGTCAGCGGAATCTCCTTTCTTGTAACTTGAAGCCTTGGGTTCAGGTCGTGCCCTCCGGAGCAGGAGGAGAGGACGGGGTCTTGCTTTGCTGTAAGGGGTGGAGGGATGCATGGAGGAAGGCCAGTGGGGTAAGGACATAAGAAGAAACGTGCAGGATCTAGTCCAGTGGCCAGCCAGAGGCCCCCAAGCAGCCCTCTCCTCTCCCCTCCTGTGGTTGCCAGCAAGTGGTATTCATTGGTGTTGCTGCCTCCGACTGTGGAAACTAGTTGTAAAAGGACCCCTGACCATTAGGTCCAGTCGTGACTGACTCTGGGGTTGCGGCGCTCATCTCGCTCTATAGGCAGAGGGAGCTGGTGTACAGCTTCCGGGTCATGTGGCCAGCATGACTAAGCCACTTCTGGTGAACCAGGGTAGCGCACGGAAATGCTGTTTACCTTACCTATTTATCTACTTGCACTCTGACATGCTTTTGAACTGCTAGGTTGGCAGGAGGGAAACTAGTTGTATGTGTGTGCAAATACCACGCTCTGTTGTCCCTGGGTGTGTGCCACAGCTCTCACACGCACACACTCCTCTCCAGATCAAGCCCGCCTTTGTGAAGGACTTCCTTGTATCTGACTTTTCATTTTTGGAGAGGCATTGTCGCCCAGAGCATTTCCTAGGTGCATCCGCTTCTGACAGTCACACACAAGCATCAAATACCATGTTATGCGCAGGATGAATTGCAACGTCTTCCCTTCCAAATCTCCTTTCCATTCGTGTCTAGACCAGGGGTCAGCAAGCTTTTTCAGCAGGGGACCGGTCCACTGTCCCCTTGTGGGGGGCCGGACTATATTTTTTGGGGGGGAATGAACAAATTCCTATGTCCCACAAATAACCCAGAGATGCATTTTAAATAAAAGGACACACCCTACTCATGTAAAAACAGGCTGATTCCTGGACCGTCCGTGGGCCGGATTTAGAAGGCGATTAGGCCGGATCCGGCCCCTGGGCATTAGGTTGCCTACCCATGGTCTAGACGCTGCACAGCGGACCAGCCATTGCTCTGGGGGCATGTGGGCCACAGGCAAGTGCCCATGACACGTGCGCCAGCTTCAAGAAACCTCTCCTGCCAAGCTTCTGCTAGCTACATGAGCAACTCCTCGCTGTGTTTGCTGCCCAATGCAGAAAACAGGGAAAGAATTATTATTTCCCATGAATCTGGGGCAGCTGCTCCCCTTCCGTCCTCCCCTCGCTAGGGCCTGCTGCTCAGCCAACAACATCCATGTGGACTTTTGCTGCTTTCCCCCACACCCTCCAGCCAGGGTGAACAGTGATCTGAAATTCATTGTCTCGGAGTTGAGCCAAGGAGAAGGGTTAAAGCTCATATACAGTGGTACCTTGGTTCTCAATTGGCTTGGCTCCTGAACAAATCGGCTCAAACCCGGAAGTGAGTGTTCCGGTTTGCGAACATTTTTTGGAAGCCAAACGTCCGACGCGTGCAGGAAGCTCCCGCAGCCAATCGGAAGCCGCGCCTTGGTTTTTGAATGGTTCCGGGAGTCGAACGGATGCCCGAAACGGATTAAGTTCGACAACCAAGATGCCACTTTATAGGGAGGGGAGACTGCTGGTATGGAGGGACCAGGAGGACACACAGACCGCAAGCCTTAAGCTAAAACACAGTTTCCCATGATGGGAATCTGGCTGGCCACTGTGGGAACAGGATGCTGTAACAGATAGGCCATGGGCCTGATCCAGCAGGGTCTTCACATGTTCTATTCAGAAGAGTAGTGAGCTGTGCAAGGCAAGGGTGCCCTGAGATAGAAGAGTTTCCGTTCCCAGCTGGTCTAAGATCCAGCAGGGTCTGAGGTGGGCAGGAGGCATTTTTACCATGTTGCCTCTGGCTCCTGAGTGCTCCAGGCCAGCCTCTTACCCAGCGGTCAGCAAACTTTTTCAGCAGGGGCCGCTCCACTGTCTCTCAAATCTTGAGGGGGATGGACTATACAGTCATACCTCGGGTTACAGATGCTTCAGGTTGCGTTTTTTCGAGTTACGGATGTGCCGAAACCCAGAAGTACCGGAACAGGTTACTTCCCAGTTTCGGCGGTCGCACATGCGCAGAAGTGCTAAATCGTGCTTTGAGCATGCACAGAAGCGCCAAATCGCGATCTGCGTGTGCGCAGATGCGGCACTGCGGGTTGCGAACATGCCTCCCACACGGATCACGTTCGCAACCCAAGCGTCCAATGTATTTTGGGGGGGGGAAATGAACGAATTCCTATGCCCCACAAATAACCCAGAGATGCATTTTAAATAAAAGGACACATTCTACTCATGTAAAAACATGCTGATTCCCAAACTGTCTGTGGGCCGGATTTAGAAGGCGATTGGGCTGGATCCATGCTCTTACCTGTGTGCTAAAGCCTCATCTCTGGCTCGACTGCACTCTCTCTTCTTCGCTTGCAAGGCAAGGCCTCGGGAAGCCCTCTAGAGACCCGCCAGAACGGATCCTCCTCGATAATTAACGAGCTCATTGAAACACTAGCCCTGCGGCGGAGGCAGCACTCTGATTTCCGGCTGCTGCTTCCAGCTGTGAACTCTCTCCACAAGGTGCCAACCACCTTGGCTGCAGCACTCAAGAACCAGGCTCTCCTCTAGAACATGCGCAGAGGGCAACCAAAGATGGATCTTTCTGACGGTAAGAGCTGTTCAACAGCAGGATAGACTTCCTCGGGAGGTGATGGACTCTCCATCATTTGATGGGGGGGGGTGGCTGTCTGCCAGGGATTCTTTAGCTGTGATTCCTGCATTGCATTGGGTTGGACTTGATGACCTTTGGGGGTCCTTGACAGTTCTACAAACCAAGCAGGTGTGGAAGCTATTTCAGGCTAAGGAAAGAAAGCAGGCCAATCCTGGAAACATTTACGGAAACATCCAAATTTCTTCCGAACACCAGAATTGCAGCGTAACACTATTTTTCAGCATTTACTCAGGTGGCAAGGGGAACAAATCTTCCTTTGCCACTCTCTTCCTTTAAATTGCTCCTGGTGTTTGCAGAGAGGGCCCACAGCTTAGGGACACCTGCTGGGCATGCAGAAGGTCCCAGGCTCAGTCCCTAACAGAATCTCCAATTAAAAGGGTCAGGTAAACAGCAGGGGGTGAGGAAGACCCTCTCCTGTACCAGGAGAGCCACTGATGTTCAGAGGGGTTGATATTGGGCAAGATGGACGAGTAGCCAGGGGGCAGCAAACTATGTTACCAGGGCACCTAACCGCCCAGGGAATCAACAGATCCCAGATGTCTTAATAGCTCAGGAATTGCTTTGCTGAAGTGGATCAAAGCAACATCCAGGCCAGCGCTCTCATTTCTCAGCTATCTCCCGGAAGTCCACAAGCTGGTTATGGTTTTGATGGGTGTCAAAGAGTGAGCCAGCACACCATTCAAAGTTGGAGTCAACTCTTTATTAGTAACATCACAATCTTCACAGACTTGGCTGAGTGTCAGGCCTAATGAGTGCAGCAGCTCATCCCCGTTAGGTCTTGTCCCATGAATCAGTTGTGAGATTGAAAGCCCCTGCCTTCCAACAACTGCCTTAAGTCCCATCTGCTCCAGAGATTTTCCCAAGCAATCTGAAACTGCACCTGTGTGCAGCCTGTCACTACTCCGCCCTTTTCAGCCCTCTCCTGGTCCTGGGAGATGTGGGGAAGGGAGCTTGTCACAGCAGGAGGGGAAGACACCCCATGCCTCTTAACCAATCTGACTCATCTCTGCCTCTTGGTGTCCGGTCTCAGAATCTGCATCAGATTCTGGACTTCTCTGCCACACTCTTCCTAATCATTAAGCCGTTACCTCTTTAGCTTCCAACACCACCTCTTCCCAGTCTTCTCCCTTTGACCACTCATCCTCCCCCTAGCTTTGTGCCTTCTTCCCTTGGGGATTCCCCAGCTGGTTCCTCCCACCGTTCCTCTGCCAGTCCACGACATCAGGTCTTTGGTTTGGTTTGCCCCAACTCTGGTAAAGGTGTAACGTAGGGATGGGCACCCTGTGGCCAAACTCATGAAGCCTCCGGCGAAGGCACTGTGCTGAGCCCTTGAAAAGCGGAGGAGGAAGATGGCAGAGGCACAATGGGCAGCGCTGTTCCTAGAGAGCTGGGCAAGGGCTGATCTGGAAGGGGAGAGCCAAGAGGCTGCCTCGCTCCCATGAATACCAGATCAGATGGGGCCCCCACTTGCTGCTTCCCCTCCCTCTCGCCCTCTTGCTCAACAGCGTATTGTCCCGGCCACCGGGACTCAACTCTTTCAAGGCAAAGGATTAGTTCCGTCCGAGAGCTGAGGTGCTCAGCATCTTAATGAACGAGGCCAAACGGAGTTCCAAGTGGAGGAAGAGACTGGTGATGCTACTTCCCTTTCTCTCTCTGCACATCCTTCTGAACAGCTGCCCTATTTATAGCAACCATTTGTAGAAGCGAGTTGGAGGCTCTCGTTTGCCCTGGGCCCTTGTATTACCCAACCACTTCCTCTCCAAACGTCACCCCTCCTCACCCAACATTCCGTCTCAAATCACATCATGGTCTGCAGCAGAAGAGCTGGACACCAAAGAGCCTTCTTGCTCGCTTCCATCTTCATCAGCCCCTGGCCAAGAGACTATCATCTAGCACTTACATCACATGAAAATGCTCTTCCCACCATCTTCCCCCTGCAACTTTTTATCCATTAAAATGCACTGTGCGTGTCGTTAATGACGCCCGATGGGAAGGGCAGATGGGTAAAGGGGTGCAACTCCCCAGTTCAATGTTCTCCTGGAGTATTCTGTTTATTTTTATATTTATTAAATTTCTAAAGCGCCCTTCATCCGAGGATCATGGGGCGGTCTGCAATAAACAAACACAAAGACATAGTAACAAACCAAAGCTATACCCCCTCTAGTTCAAAAGGCCCATCGATTGTTTAATTAGCCGAAGGCGGAAGAGGAATGTTTTTGCCTGTGTAACCAAGGGGCCAGGGTCAAGGAGCGAGGTGGACGGCACCTTCTGTCCATTCATCCCAGACTGCATTTGAATGGAGGGCAGTCATTCATTCAAACCCGTAGCAAGAATCCAACCCAAACCACTTCTGAGCTTGGTTCTGGCTAATGAACACAGGGAGCACAGATGTGTTTTGTTTTTAAAAAAACCTGCATTTTTATTTCACAAAATTTAAGTGGCTGAGTTGCAAGAAACGAAGGTCTCCCCACTCCCACTCCCCACATACAGGACCAGACTAGAAGGGGCGGGGGGACAAACCAACAAATGAAAGGTCATCACTCCCACCCACAACCCACCCACTTGTGTACAGAAACACCCTCGTGTTAACAATTCATATTATGCTGCAGGACACAAGTCAACAGTAGAGTAGAAAAAGAAGAAGACAAGTTTCTCCATCTAGAACCTTGACATTTGAAGTGGATCTCGCTAAAAACAACCTGAGGTTATTAGTCTAAAGAGGACCATGTTAGGAATCTCGATTCCACGCTGCTCCGAAGACAATGGGGTCCAAAGGGGGTGGGGAAACACAGCAGCGGGGGAGACGTGGGAAGCACTTTCCTTTCTGAGGGGGTGTGTGTTTTGGGGAGGACGCAGAGGAAGAGCTTCGGCCAGAAGGCAGGGGCTTTTCTTTTCCTGAGAAGGGGATGGCGTTATCCCCTAGGTGTCCTAAGTGAGAGGGTTAAGAGCAGGAGTCCGGATGGCCAAAACTAAGTTGTTGTTCTCCTCATCCCTAGAGCCCAGAACTTCCAGGCAGCAGGGTGAGGAAGGAAGGGGCAAGCGTTGCTTCTGTGGCCAAAGAGCTGCAATCAGACCAACCTCTACTGGCAACCCTTATTTGTGTATGGTGGTATTAGGAGGGGCACTAACCGTACAGGAGCAGTGAGGCCTAACTTGGAAAACTGATACACTGCTCCCCCCCTGGAATGGCCCCTCCCCAGCCCAGTGGGCTGCAAGACCACCCACTTCCCTGGCATTGTTCTCAATCAAAGCCAAAGTTGCTCATTTACACTCCTTTGCAAGTTGCAGGAACAAGAGGAAGAAAGACTGGCAACGGGAAAGGGACGCAACGCCCACAATCTGGGCAAGGAGCAGGATACGGAGCAGCCCAAGTTGTAGGTTGAGGGCGAGCTCACCTGCAGCCTTCTATATGATGCTGGGACTACAACTCCCATCAGCTGCCGCCGCCACCACGGGCAACGGTCAAGGGTGATGGAGTTTCAATTCCAGCAACATCCAGAGAACACGGCTGCCCCCAATTGTGGTTGTAGGTGAACAGATTCCCTTGCTCCCTGTGCAGCCCCCCGGGGTTCAAGTGTTCCCAGCAAAGAGCTGGAAGATAAGGAAGCAGGGAGTGTGCACTGTACCTATGTGTGCTTGCAAATAAGGAAGATGTCGGTGATGTTTCAGAGCTCCTATTCGGACCGTTCCAGTAAGGAAACGTGTTTCCTTAATCTGCTCCCCTCAGCCCACCCCACGGCTGCCTGCAAGAGGTAGTTGGGGTAAGCACACACCCACACCCCGGCTGCTCCAGCACAATCCTGTAAACTTGCGCTTTGCTATCTACGGGAGTTTGATTGCTTGCTCGTTTTGAAAGAGGAACACCACGATATATGCTCCAAGGATACAGGGGAGGGAAAGGAAGCAGGCTTTATTTACCCGTCCCTCCGCTACTGTAGTGACCTGTTTGATATGAAAACGAGAGGGGAGGGAGAATAGGTGCATCGACCCCACTCCCCTTGCGCTGAAAGGCTGGAGTGGGAAAAGCGAACATCACTGCAGAGAGCACCCCGCCAATTGATCTGGCTCCCGGCTCTTCTCGGGCGAGATCGATATTTCCTTTTAATAATATCGCCAGGCAATCCCCAGGGCTCGACAAGCTTCCTCAATAATTGCCCACCTGCAGCGCCTGTGGTCAGCGTGAACCGAGAAGCCGAGGCCAAGGGGAGAGGCAGGCTGCTTTCCCCACCGCCCTGGCCGCAAAACGCTTCTACTCTTGTGACTGAGGAGGGGCGGCAACGCGACGCCTCGCCTCCCACAACGAAGGGACCCAACGGGCTTCTGGTTACGCTGCATCTCCTACCTGGGGAGGTAAAGAGGACCCAGAGGCTCAACATGCGAAGTAACAAGTTGGAGCACTGTCAGCTCTGGCTGTGTTCCTGGCAGAAAAGGAAGGCACAAACCGTCACCAAAACTGCGTGGGGGAACAGGTCTGGGTGTGGGCGCATAGGGGGCGAGGGCAGAGGCCAGGGAAGGAAGGAGCAGGAAACTGAGGAATGGTGTTTTTGGTTGCTACTGTCACAGCTTGAGAGACGCCTTGTTGCCGGACCGATCAGGGAGCTGCGGAGGCTGTTGCTGCTCCCGCAGGAGGTGGGGTCGCCCCGTCAACTGGAGGCTGCGGCTGTGGCTGCGGCGGCTGCTGTTGCTGCTGCGGATCTGCAGAGGAATGGGTGTGAAACCGAGAATTATTTTTTTTTTTTTTTTTTAAATCATATTTATTAAAATTTCCAAAAATATAAAAATACAAAGAAAAAAGACAAAAGAAGAAAGATATTTAAAAACCTTACTTTCTTTCCCTACTTTCTGGGACTCCCCCCTCCCCCCCCAATTGTATTCCCCTTTCCTTAATTTGGTTCTACAAGCTCTCACTCCCAATTTAAAACTTAATTTGTTTAACCCACTATCCAGATTGAATTATACAACTCTTACCACCGTCCCACGTCATTAACAGAAAAAGAAAAAGATTTTCCCCAAGATCCACCCCAGTTCCTTCCACAAATTCCCTTTTTTTAAACACGTCCGATCAAAGTAAAATAACATACGTAAGTTATGTAAAGAAATAGAAAATAAAAGATATAGAAAAATTCAAAAAATGGTTACACAGCCTTTGGATTTCAAATCTCCCCCCTTCCCGGTTTGAATTCCCCATGTCCATCAGTCTATACATTATCAGCTTGGGAGTCTCATTTCATGACCAGATTTCTCCCGATTCCATCTTGCCGGTTTTCTTTTAGTTTATTAATTTAAATAATATTTGACTTCAAATGTCCAATCTAACAAAGGCCTTTAATTTCCTTGATCTTTACCACTCCTCCCGTTGTTCTTTCCGTGTCGTAATCAGTCCTTTATTCTTCTTATTCCTCACTTTCTCAGGTTTCTTGTCCTGTTCAGCTGCTAAAACTTTCTAATTCAGAAATCTAGTGTCTCTGCAGAGGTTTGTTATTCAGGAACAAAAACTTACGTCCAGTCCCTTTCTTTCTTCAATAAAAATTCCATTGTCTTCCTCTGTAGACAAAATATTCTTCAGTTTTGCAGCTTTCCCAGAAGATAACAAATCCTGTGCGAATCCCAGGGTATTTTTCCACTTACGACCGTTCTTGTAGTATCCCGAAACCCCTCTAGGGGATTGTAATAACTTTGTATCCTCTAATCCAAAAGTCAAATTGTTACTTATTTTCCAACAGTTTATATCCATATTATAGCAAATTGTAACAAAATTTACCAGCAAGGTCCTCGTAAAGTCCTCTTTATATTCTCCAGCTTTGACAGCCACTTTGACAGCTGTCAAAGTCTCCGTCTCTCTTCACCAGGCTCCACGAATCGCCCCGGTTCCCAGGGGGGTTGCATTTTCTTCTCCCCCTCCACTCTTCTCCTCCAGCACATTTCTTATAATTTCCCATCGTGAAATTAATGATTTTTATCAGAGACATACTTCCCTTTGGACCTTGGTTACCCAGTCCTTGTTTTGGAATGTTTACAATAGGGGGATTGACTTCCTTTTTAAATCGCCCCCGCTCGTGCCAAATCCAAAATTTTAAACCCGGTTTCCCAATTACTCACGGGTTGTTGTTAATAGTCCAAATTTTCAATAGAAGAAGTCAGCGCTCTCCGCCGAATGGCATGCGGCTGCGCTCGGCAGGGAAAGCAGTGGACTCAAAGCACCACGCCACTCCCGGCACCCGATCCGAAGCCTTTAAAAGGCTCCTTCACGAGTCGGGAGGGCGCTAATGGTGCAAGCCGAGTCACCCATGTCCACGGACTCCGTGCCCGTGGTTTTTAAGGGTCCCCGCGTCGCCGGCGCGGTAGGACCCAGCCCCTGCCGAGCAGACTCCCTCCGGAGCTCGGAGGGAGTCCGCCATTCGGCGATGGCGCTAACCCGGAAGTTCGTGAAACCGAGAATTAAAGGCAGGAAGCTTGGCAGGGACATTCCTCACTCCCTAAAACTGCCTGCCAGGAGTCCAAATGGCAGTGCTTTCAGCTCCAGGATAGCACCACCCTCTGGTTGGGAGATGGCGCTGACCATCTCACTGTCTTACAGAGACACTCTCCTGGACCAGAATTGGGAGATCGCTTGCTGGGTTTTTCAACGTGAACATCTGACCCGTCTACCTATCAAATTAAGAACTGGAGGAATTCCTCTCCCAACCCCCACTCCCGGTGTCCAGAGGAGAGTCTTTATAGCTGGGGTGTCCTCTCAGGAACATCCTTTGGCTTGCAGCCTTCCACTTTAGGAAATCAGAGACCCCTCTTGTCCAACAGCTGCATTGGCCAAGGAGGTTGCTGTGGCCTGATAAATCTTCTCTAGAGGAGACTGCGCCTCCAAGGCTGACCCACTGACCCTCTCACCAAGTGAACCAGCGACCCACGATCCTGCATTGCAGGGGGTTGGAATAGATGACCCTCGGGATCCCTCCCAACACTGCAATTCTATGAACGTCCTCTCTGGTCCTGTGGAGCACCAGATCAAGCGTAAGAACTTAAGACTGGCCTGACCCAGCAAAAGCAGGAGGAGTTCTGAGGATGGTGGGCTGGGTGGTGTTGGGGGAAGAGACCCTTGGTGTCATAGGACTAGAGTGAGGTGAAGGAGAACTCTCTGTCTACAAAGATCACTCACCCACAATGAAGAAGTAGTCAGAAGACGGACTGCTCTTGCTCTCTGTATGGGCAGACCAGTGATGGTGCAGAGCAGCCCCACATGGGGCAGAAAAATCCTGACATTGCAGGTGGTTGGACTACATAGCCCTTGGAGACCCCTTCCAACCCAGTGATTCTGTGGCAGGTCTAGGACCTGGGGTTGGCGAGGGGGAAGGGGCACGCAGTGGGGAAACACAGGTGACCGGTTCTACTTACACAAGCCGTTAGGAGAAGCCAGGGCCCCCCGGGCTCCCACGATATTTCCCGCCGCACCGGATGGGGGAGCACTGCTGCTGCTGCTGCTGGCTTGGTGAGCGCTGGCCGATCCGCTTGGCATTGCCCGGCCTGGCAAGGGCTGCCCGGGGATCATGGAGCCTTGCCCTAGGATCTGAGCTGTGGGAGGGAAGGATGGTGCTTAATGGGGGTGGGCATTCAGTGGTGGTGAAGAAAAGCAGCCACGACACAGCTCTGGACACCTATGCATGTCGCAAGCACCTCCCGGGGATCTTTCAAGTAGATTGGCAAACACAAACAGAAAGGGGGGGAAGAAAACCCACACAAGCTGTAAAATCACTGACCCCACCTTGAGCTTTGGGGAGCCCAGATGATGCTGGCTGCAGCACGATCCAGGAGGTAAAATCCTGGCATCCCATGGCTCCAAAAGTAACTTATTTTCCTGCCAAAAAGGAGTTAAGCTTCCACGGCCCACCCACAATCACTGTTGCGGACAGATGGGCTGGGCTTGCTCAGTAATTTTCCCCCAGTCCCACCCACAGGCCTCTCGACAGCCACTCCCTTCTGCTCGCATCCTGGTGCTGAAGATGGCAGAGGTAATTATTCTTATTCTCGTTCCTTGGAGGTTTTAACAATAATTTATTATTATTAATAATAATTTATTATTTATACCCCGCCCATCCGGCTGGGTTTCCCCAGCCACTCTGGGCGGCTCCCAACAGATTAAAAACAGAATAAAACATCAAATGTTACAAACTTCCCTAAACAGGGCTGCCTTCAGATGTCTTCTAAAAGTCAGATAGTTGTAGTTTCCAGGTCACCGTCAAAGGTAGCCCCACGTAGAGCACATTGCAGTAGTCTAAGCATGAGATAACTAGAGCATGCACTGCTCTGGCAAGACAAGTCTGCAGGCAGGCAGGGCAAATAAACAGCTGCCCTGGACACAGACTTGACCTGCGCCTCCATGGTCAGCTGTGAGTCCAAAATGACTCCCAGGCTGCGTACCTGGTCCTTCAGGGGCACAGTGACCCCATTCAGGACCAGGGAGTCCTCTACACCCACCCACTCTCCCAAAACAGTACTTCTGGGTGGCCGCCTGTCATGGCTGCTTCAGCTGAGATTCCTGCATTGCAGGGGGTTGGACTGGATGACCCTCGGGGTCCCTTCCAGCTCTGCAATTCTATGATTCTGTTTGAAGAGTGGACCAGAGGACATTCAGTTGATGGGATGGTCCCTCCCTCTGGACTGAAGAGGCAGAGTCTTCCCAAGTCTTTCACCACCAATTAAACAATTATTACAGAGGAAGAAGGCCACCGTGCTATCCTGACCAGAGGCAGGGAAGATCTGGAGGAAGGGGTGGCTCCTTCAAGGCTTGGGAAGACCCTTGGCTATACAAGCCCATGAGAGGCATCGGCCTGTCACCTGAATGCCCTCCAGCCCACTATGGCAAACCTCATCCCTGAAGGCAGGTACACCAGCTGCCCAAAGTCCCAACCAATGCCTGCAGTCAAGTTGAGAGAGTGGCCCTGAGAGAACAAACAGGTCAGGCACAATGTTTAGGGGCTCCAGCCCTGGCAGTTCTGTTCAGGGCAGCGGAGAAGACTTCTGGGCAAAAAGCCGAAAAGAGGAGCAAAAAAAAGTCCCTCGCCTCAAGTTGAGTCACCAGATGGAGGCAAGAGAAGGGGGTGTGGGGAGAGATGGAGGAGCTGAATTGGGCCAATTCCCAGTTTACTGGTATGGAGACTTTGCCTCTCTTAGGAATGACACTTCACAGAAGCAGCAGGACTCAAGGAGCGTTTGGAAGAAAGAGTGTGGCAATCCTAGAGTGGATAATGGGTGGGTTCTTTTTGGGAACAGTATTACCAGCCCCAACCCGTGGCTGCGGGGGACCGTTCCGCATTATCTCTCACAATGAATTTACTTTTCAGAGACAGCAAGAAGTGAAGTGGCCTTTTCCTTGTGGCAGCTGCTGCTCAGCGAGGGGATTCAGGGATGAAGCCGTCTTGTGAGAGAGCAAGGGCCACACAGCCAAATTATTTCTCATTTCGTGTGTGGGGTGGAAGTTGGTGAGCAATGATGGGCTGCAGCTGTTCATAAATTTAAACTTGGATTAAGGAGGGTCCTTATCCTGGCCGTCTCCAGGAAACTGAGGGAGGAGAGAGGAGTGCAATTGCTGTACTTCCTCACAGGGGCACAAGACACACACACACACACACACACACACACACACACACAGCACTTTGGCCTCTCCAGCCAAGAAAGCCCATTAAAAATGTGTTACACAGCAGTGGTGGGAACTGAGGCCAAGGAAATTCCTAGCTCAGCAGATAAGGTGAAGTCTGCTATGTGCCAAGTTATTGACTGCCACTCTTAACACCCACTTACAGCCTGTTACTGCGACAGATTTATTAGCATCTTGTTAGCATCAAGAACTACTTTTTTTTCTTCATTAAAAAAACTCCAACCCTTTCTAGACACACAAATGCTAGCGGTTTCTTTTTACAGGAAGAAACCCTCATGTCTGGTACCTCGATTGCAAGTTAGGCAGAGATCACATGCAACTCCTCTGGATCCAGAAAACTCAACACCCCCTGCAGGTGAGAGTGCCTGAAATAGAGGACCCATAGCCCAGTTCAGGACCAGATGAATAAAGGATTCCCAGCCTGGAACTGATGAGCTCCAGCCGAGCTCTCAATCTTCCTTAGACCTTAAGATCTTTGTGCTGTGCCGGCCTGGCACACTTCCAAAGTACCAGCCTATCCTATTAACTTTTGGTCACAAGTCCACACTTCTGTCCAGCACCACAGGCCAGCTCTCCATAAACTCCACACCAATGGAACCCAAATCGTTCCTGAGGGACATAAATTGTTCTGTAGACACGGTTCCAGTTTTAGGACAATTTTGTTCCATGCAAAAGACTGGAGTAATGACACTGGATGGGAGGACCAAGAGCACAAACCTCGTGAGAATGGGCCCGGGGTGTGTGTAGCAAGCAGGGAGAGCAGCAGCAGAAAGGAGAGAGAATTGGCTGCCCCTTGCCTGGTGACCTACTGGGAGTTTCTACTGAAGGCGTCACAGTGATAAGGCATTTGCAGCGCAATGCTACTAAGAAACCTCACTGGTTGCACCTTTTGATATTTAGCAAAGGGGAGCTGAAACTTATGGAAGCTTCTCCATTAGGGAGTTATCTTCTGCAATCATTAGCAAAAGAAGCACTTTCTCTCTCTTTTTTTTCTTAAAAAAGCTGCCTTTCTTCTGCCTGTACCCCTGAAACCAATTTCCGCACCACCAAAGCCCTCCAAATCCTACGCCTCCTGCTTGAAGAGAGTAAAGCGAATTCAGTCCTCTGCAATTCCTTGTACAGTGGTACCTCGGGTTACAGACGCTTCAGGTTACATACACTTCAGGTTACAGACTCTGCTAACCCAGAAATATTACCTCGGGTTAAGAACTTTGCTTCAGGATGAGAACAGAAATTGTGCTCCAGCAGCAGCGGGAGGCCCCATTAGCTAAAGTGGTGCTTCAGGTTAAGAACAGTTTCAGGTTAAGAACGGACCTCCGGAATGAATTAAGTACTTAACCTGAGGTACCACTGTAAAAGGAAACTGGGATTCCACTAGCACCTTCAGGCTGGCAACCACGACATCCCACGTTTATGCTGAAGTCTCCTATTTGCATGGTTTATTCAAAGACACCACACAGCTTCCTGGGTGGTAGGATATATCTATAATCTTTATTGAATCCCCTTCCCCTCTCTCCCCTCCAGTAACAGGGTTCAGAAACCGGAACCGTTCAGGCTCTTCAGTCTTGAGACAGCCAAACATATGAGCAAAAAACTCTGGCATTACTGCAGCACAACAGATGGAAAAAACCTCCAAACCCTGCCTGGGCAAAGGGCTCTCAGAAGAATCTTCCAACCAGAGAGGAGAGACTGCAAAACCCATCCATGCACACACGGATGTGCACATAGCCTCCGGCGAGCACACTCTCCACACGCAGCTATGGCATTTCTGCCATTCCCTTAAAGAGCAGCAGCAGCAGCAGCAGCAACAACCCACCAGAAGCTCTCCCTGTGCAAAATCTCCTCTACTCATCGGCCTGAGTAGACTTGCTCCCCCTTCCAAAGGAGAAACAGGGACTGCCCACAAGGCTTTTGCTGCTGGGGTCTTCTTTCGATGCTCCAGAGCACCTGACCAGGTGAGGGCAGAGCAGACCATGTGACAACACCACAGAAGATTTGCAGGGAACCCCCTCTCCCTGCCATGTTCAGCTGGAAGTTACCCAGCTTGGCTCACTCCCCTCCTCACAATGGGAGAGCCGATGGGAGCAAAGAGTGCAGATTTACTGCTGCTGATTCTGGCTTCTGGCTTTTGTCTGCCTCCAGTTCCCTCTCTCATGAGATCTGAGGAACAGAGACCAGTAAGAATAATAAAAATTTATTGTTTATACCCTGCCCATCTGACTGGGTTGTCCCAGTCACTCTGGGAGGCTCCCAACATAATATAAAAACACAGCGAAACAACAAGCATGAAAAACAGGACTGCCTTCAGAGGTCTTTGGGAAGTCACATACAGCGGTACCTCGGGTTAAGTACTTAATTCACTCCGGAGGTCCGTTCTTAACCTGAACCTGTTCTTAACCTGAAGCACCACTTTAGCTAATGGGGCCTCCTGCTGCTGCGGTGCTGCCGCCGCACAATTTCTGTTCTCATCCTGAAGCAAAGTTCTTAACCCGAGGTAATATTTCTGGGTTAGCGGAGTCTGTAACCTGAAGTGTATGTAACCTGAAGCGTATGTAACCCAAGGTACCACTGTAATTGGTTCTCTCTGACATATGATGGGAAGGCAATCCCTCTGCCTGGTTCCCTGTAGCTTCCCTTCTCGCAGTGAGGGCACTGCCAAGTTTGCAGCCTGTCACAGGTGAATAGCAACCTCCCCCAATCAAAATTCAGACCAACCGGGGCAAAACATGCAGACATTAATATCAGGGGTTAGCAACAGACATTTGCCCCTATCATTCGCTCCTTCATTGGAGGTTTATAGGCAGAGGTTGAATAGCCATCTGCCGTGGATGCTTCATCGGAGATTCCTACATTGCAGGGGTTGGACTAGATGACCATGGGGGGGTCCCTTCCATCTCTACAATTCTATGCGGGAGCTGTTTGATGAAGAAAATCCAGGTGGAGAAACTTGTTCCCAGGTATAGATGCTGATCATAGCCTGCCCTTAACGGGCTAAAAATGACTGCTTAGCCTCTGAAATTTCACCTACTTGCTCCAGAACTGAGGCTACCACAGGCTAAGTTCTGCTGCAGGCAAACAGAAAAAGCAATGGTGGGCTCACTCCAGCCCTCTCTTCCTAGAGCGCATGAGGAGCATTGTGGTGGGACTAAATGGCAGTTTGGCGACCACAGAATTAGACGGAAGCCGACAGAGGGACTGCTTGGACCAGAGGGCTTTTTCAGAGCTGAAGAGAGCAAGTTCGTCGCTCTGCTCATCTGGGAATTACCGTGAGGAAATAATGGAAGGAAGGTCAATAATCCCGCGGTCTTCATGGAGCCCTGCCTCTGATCGCTCAGATTCTGATCTTCAGGCTGAAAGAGGCATTGCGCTCTCGAAAGGCTCACGTTTCCCTTCGCTCGCCACTTTCATCCTCCTTCTCTTTCCCTACAGTACATAAATAGCCACAGCCACCAGAATGGTCAAGTCTATTCCTTGAAACCCAACCGCATCCAATAAACAGGGAGCACTGGCAATTGAGTTTTTTTCAGCCACAAAATGTTTCCCCATCTGCCCTGGTTAGATTTGCACAGGCCTGTTAAGCCTGAGATTTCTCCAGCAGAATCAAGGCACTAATGTAAGTAATTAAAAAAGGGTGGGGGGAGGATGACGGCAGGTGGAAAGAATCGACTTAATCCAGCTCACACTAAGCTGGGCTTTTGGGGAAGAGGGCTGCACAGGTACCCCAACCCGCATTAGAAACTCAGAAAAATAAGCTGTTTGCCAAATGGCACCTTAAACCTAGGTTATGGTCGCCACAACAGAATGGCCACCGTTCCACCCCAACTGGTGGAATGTATTATTGTTATTCATTTCTATACCGCTTTATATTTTTAAAAAATCTCAAAGCTGTTCACAATACACCCAAACATCAAATAAAACAATCCAGGATAAAACAAATTCAAGCTTCAAGGAAAATATTTCGGATCCTTCTCTGAGTGGCATTCGGCTTTCCCCATTTTTATTCATCTAGTGCAGGGTCTGACCGTTTGAAATGAGCTGTCGGAACTCAAGATTCTGGGCTGGCACTTTGACTTGGGTCCTGGCTGTATCCCGCGAGGCACATCTGGATTTGTAAACCCCACACCTGGCTAAGTTTGTGGCCTTCTGCCTCCAATAGTTATTCCAGGCAAATTCCAAAATGTTTCAGTGCACAAGTCTAGTTCATCCTCAACTGGCCTTTTCTCCCCGCAAGTTAGAAATGTTTCAGGTCTGAATTACTGAACTCCTCTTCCCAAAGACCCCGTCATCCAACTGGACTGAGTTCTTCTTCTGCCAAGCTTATATACAGTGGTACTTCAGGTTACATACGCTCCAGGTTACAGACTCCGCTAACCCAGAAATAGTGCTTCAGGTTAAGAACTTTGCTTCAGGATGAGAACAGAAATCGTGCTCCGGCGGCGCGGCAGCAGCAGGAGGCCCCATTAGCTAAAGTGGTGCTTCAGGTGAAGAACAGTTTCAGGTTAAGAACGGACCTCTGGAACGAATTAAGTACTTAACCCGAGGTACCACTGTATTTGCTCCAGGTAATGTAGCATAGTAAGCCAAGGTTTTTATTAACCTGGCAGATGCTAGACCACTGAGTACTATTAACCTTATTCTACCTTCAAGTACAAAATCATCATCATCATCAAGTTAGTTCTTGGATAATATTTAGATCTAGGCTTTGGACTTGCAACAGTTGTTTGGGCTCCGCTTTCTTGGTGAATGTTATTAGCATTTCTCGTGAGGCATTTTCAGAGTGAGTGCTTCAGTGGTGAGGGTGGGAGAATGGGGATAATAATCATGGCCCTACCTTACGAGAATGTTGTAAGGATCCCTAGTGCTGCGAAGGGTCTGAATGAGCCATTTAAAATGTATTTGTTCTGCCCTCTCCTCCTCCCCCAGGAGAAATTTCGGTGGGAGGCACGTTAGTAAAACACTTGGGGGGTGCCCTGCCCTGCCCCAAGATCAGCTGGGGAGGGAAAAGCCCTCTGCGGCTTCCACTGGCACCCGCCTTCTGCCTGTCCGTTTCTAAGCCTGCATTGTATTTCCCAAGAAAATGGCTTCCCACTAACATTATTCTTGCAGCGGAGACGCGGTGATCTGTTAAGGCAAGAGATGCTCGCGGGCGACTCTCTGATCGCGGCAGCTTTCAGGCTGACAAATAACGTAGCTGAGACCATCCAGGGTGGGGTGGGGGAGCCCGTTTCAAAAGTGGATTAAGCATTTTGGGCATTCCGGTCAGCAGGAAAAGAGGGGGGGCGGGGAGAGAATGCACAACACAAAATGCTGCTCTTTGGGAGGAAGAAGAAAATACGGATGAAACTCAAGAGGCAATGGCGGGGGGAGTGAAAGACAGTGAAGTGTGACCTACATAAGGAAAGGGAAAAGCTTAAAGGGGGAGGGGGGGAGGCAGATGTTTCAGGAGGGAAGGTAGGTTCACTACTGTGAGAGGCAGCCTACTGAAAAAGCCTGTTCCACGTTTAGGTCTCCTCCTCCTCCTCCCTCGGCCGGCAAAGTCACGCTGTGTGGCATCAGGCTCACATATGTTGCATGACACAGGCGTGTGCTTTGGGCTGCGCGGGGAAGCTTCAGCCTGGACAGGCCCCCGGGGGCTGTCCTGACACATTTATCGACTGCTCCTCCTCTGTTAATGGCGACCGATCACATTTTGTTAAGTGGAGAGTCTAGCATCAGGCTTTCGGGCTCTCCGAGTAGTCCTGGCTAAGGGGAGGCATGGGATGGAATTCATTTATTCCAAACATTTCTGTGCTGCCTTCTCAGTTTACATTTTTTTTATTAAAAAAGAAAAAGCTTGTTAGTGTAGCAGGAATTTATGTATAGGTTGGGGGGGTTGCCCCTCCAGCAGATATCATGCACATGCAGCCCACTCCCAAAACCAGCACAATCGCTTTTGTGACTTTTGTGATTTGTCCCCAAAAAACACCCCATCACAGTTTCTTCCTATCTATTCAAAGGGCCTTTGCTGCACAACACCAAATGTCAGAATTCACTGATAAATGTATCTATGTACTGGCTCACTGGGGAAACTTCAGAAATTCATATAGACGTGTGAGCTCAGCTATTCAGCAGCCCCTCTGCCTGAGTGATAATTCCTGGCATCCTGATACCTGAGTGCCAGACAGGTAGCCATTCCAGAAATAACAAACCCAGATGAAGACAAAAGGGTGTGATTAACTTGGCTGGGAAACAGGGAAATTTAAGTATCTTTTGTGTTACACTTGATGGGTGTTTGGTGGAGGGCAAGGGGAACCATGGGGCAGGGTCCAGGATGCTCAGATTACTGCCACCAGACCTCCCCTTTCATGATGTAACCATGATGTATTAGTGATGTAGTGTGGGGTTGTAATATGGGGATTAGCAGCTAATAAAAGTTTGGGGGCTCTTTTGTTCGGGGCCTCCATCTTGTTCCACCTTGTGGCAGGTGGGAGTCCTGTCGTGACAGTCTTCAATAAAGACCAAGCCTACTGGCTGCTGTTTGCTCTGGTATTCCTGGCTTGTCCTTGTTTTTTTGTTCAAGGGAGCCCTCAGATTTCTCCGTTAACATTAGGATGAATTTATATTAAGCCAGAGCACTAAGGGCTTTTCCTGGGAGCTCAAAATATGCCACATCATGTTCTTTTGCTAGCCCTGACAACTCCCCCTTCTAAGGTAAGCCCCCAAATCCACATTATGGGGTTTTTTTTTGGGTGAGGAGGAAGGCTAAGGGGTTATCACTTATAGAGACGCACTTGCAGGTTGAGAGCTGCCAACAGCCCTGTCCCACCCCCAAAATGGATGACAGTCTAAGGTGGAGCAGGAAGTAGTGGCCGTGTTGCCTTACTGCCACTTAAGAAAAATAAGAGTGCCAGTGTGGTTTAATGGTTAGAGCACCAGGATTCAAATCCCTGCTCACTCAGCCAAGCAGCTCACTGGGTGTGACCTGGGGCCAGTCACCGTCTCTCGGCCTAACGCACCTCACAGGGCTCTTGTGAGGATAAAATGGGGGAGAAGAAGTATGCACACCACCTTCAGCTTCTTAGAAGGTGGGATATAAATGCAATAAATGCATTTGTTATTAAACCAGCTGAATGGAAGAGAAGCTCTCTACAGTGTGCAGGTATTTGTCTAGCAGGGAGAGCATGGAAACCAGAGTCCCTTCTGTGGGGCAACCCAGTGCCATTAAATGTGCTTACGCACACACCCGAAAAATTATGAATGGGTTCCATAAAGCTGGACTGCGAGTCTTAATACCACCAGGCAAGCGCTGGAATCTGCCCTTCCTGCCGAATGTTTTCCCCAGGAGACCCAAAGAATCGCAAAGCCAGGCACTGAATAATTAAGCACGGTAGCTAATTTAGCACCAACTCTCCAGCTCCCCACTCCGCCTGCCGTGAACATTTCCATCACTTCTCTCCAGTGTTATAATTCACTCTACGCCGGTCGGAGAAACGGCAGCCCCCCCAAACACCAGCCTAATGCACCGAGAGGGTTATTTTCTGGGTTAAGACCAATTTGGACACCAAGCAAGTGTCCAGGGAGCTTCTTCCGAACACATCAAGCAGCGGGCAACGTAGTTTTTCAAGGCCAACACTGCCCAGACATAAAGCAAACTAAGTGGCACGCCAGGACTGAACTGGCTACCTTCAAATATTTATGGCTCCTAAATAAAATATCTCTGTCAGGAGGCACCAAGCAATGAAACTCACTCAAGTGTTTTCTGCAGGCATAAAAGGCCTGCACAGCTCAATGTAGTTAAATCATTCTCTGGCATCCGCAGGAGGCAATAACCCCTGCCTGACTCCCTTTACTGCCAGTTCCAGCACAGGCAGTCTTTTTGCCTAGCCAGGTTTCAAATCCAGTGGGGCTATGTAGAGACTGCTAGGGCCGAGCTCGTGGAAACCACCCTGGGCACTGGGCAGCCTCAAGTGGTGGCACTGAATATTCAGGCTGGAGCATCTCAAGACTCTTCGCAAAGGATGTTTCAGCTTAAGTCCAACGGAACGTAGACTAGTTTCTCTCCTGGGAACAAGCTTTGAAGCTACCCAACAGAATAACGAGGTCTGGATTTGAAAGGGATTACATGAACCGTAAGAAAAGTCACAAGGGCACGGGAGAAGCAGCTCAGCCAGCCCTGGAGGTCTCAATTTGTGGGCGCTACTTTTCAGCGCTAAGTTAAGGTGCTGCAAGCAGCTGTGTTGCCTCCACCTGCCTTACGGCTTTTGCTACCTCTCAATTTCTGATTCATACGAAGGATTCCCCCCACCCCATGCCTGTTCTTCATCCGGCGAGACGAAGGACGACGTAGAAACATTTTAAACAAAATGCTCTGGGCTGTAAACCATAGCTATCCCCCCCCCCACTTTCTTCTTGGCCAGTAAGCATTTTATGGGCCCCTTATCTTTTCTCTAGACCTGCCTGTCACTTCAGCAAGAGACTTCGAGCCCCACACTTCCCTTCATGCTCTGCCGGATTAGTCACCAGGAGGCAAAAGCAAGCCTGCCAGGGAATGGCTGCCGAGGGTGGGCGTAAGAGGCGCGCAACCTTTCCCAGGCCACTGTGACGGAGCCAAGGAAGGAGGTCAAGCTGGTTGGTGGCCTCTGTGTGTGCTTTCTGCCTTGGGGCCTCCTCCTTCTCTTCCTTTCACAGAGAAGTCATTTGGGGATGGTTGCAGAGGCTTCACAAGCCTGCCTATCCCTCCATGCTGCCAGGATCACTCTTGCAGAAATCCAACAGGCAGGCAGGCAGGCAGGCAGGCAGGCAGGCAAGCAAGCAAGAGCAAGCTGTAGCTTTCCCTTTGCAGATGAACAGGTGACACACAAGCTCACCCTGCACAGACTAACTGGGGCACGGAGCGCACACCTGGTGAGCTGGAGGTCAAGGGAACTGCAGGTGGAGACACAACAGGAGAGCAAGGTGGGAGTCTGAGGACCAGCTGATCAGAGTGCGGAAGGAACAGAGCACACCGGCAACAAGCATAACACCACTGAAAAAGCCTGCAAAGACCCTCCAAACCTCCTCCCTCAAACTCTCCACAGGCCTCGATTGCCAGTGCAAGGGCTCCTGGCATTGCACCTGCAAAGGCTCATGGGATTGCTAGGTGTCGTTTCCACGCAGTTTTCACCATTTCTGCGCTCTTTTGGGGCTGTTTTCGCCCTTTTCCTAGTCACTTCCGGGTTCATGGCGATGCACACGCGTGCAGTCATGCACATACTGAACGCACGTAAAATGGTCATTGCCTTTACTGATGTAAGAACCACCTGCTGGATCAGGTCAATGGCCCACCTAGTCTAGCATTCTGTTCTCACAGTGGCCAACCAGATGCCTCTGGGAAACGTGCAAGCAGAACCCAAGCTCAAGATCCATTCTCCCCTCCCATAATGCTTCCCATAATGCTTCTTCCGGGAGGAGCGTGAGAGGACGACCAGTACAATTCAAGGGTGTATAAGGTGGTCTCCTTAATCCATGGTTGTACTGGAGGCCAACCACGTGTCATGCAGAGAACCACAGTTTAGTTAATATTTAAAACTTAGAATAGCTTTAGAAGTGGATTTAGGCTGTAGGATTAGATGTAGAAGATAGTGTATTCTAGAATAGTATTATTTTTAAGTGATAAAATGTGAAGATTTTTTATGGTAAAAGTAAGCGTGATAAAAAAAAATGGTTAGAAATTATGATATATGTAAACTGCTGAAGATGAGGTAAAATGAAAATCAGATAGGGGGGACTTGGGGAAGTCCACCTAACAATGTTTAGAAAAAATAAGGATAAGACAAGAATTTGTTTGTATTGTTTTTCTGTTTGTGTTTTTTAGTTGTGTTATAAAATGAATTAAAAAATTTCATTTAAAAAAAAAAGAGAACCACAGTTTAAGCAGACAGATTCAAAACTTGTGCTTGTAACACGTGGTTTATTGTGACACTGCATTTGGTCACTGAGTGGCAGTCCCTCAAGAGACACTTGGCGTTTTTCAATAGCACTGGATGCTCCCCTCTCTGCTGTGTGTCCTGCAGCAACACTGTGTGGCTTTTGCTGCTGGTCGGGGTTTTGGACGGGAGGGTTGAGATGCTGCCGCCGTCTTGCGTTGAGTGTGTGTGGATAATACAGCGGTTGGTTTTAGATTCTGTGTTCCCCCCCGTATATTTATGTAAACCACCCTGGGATCCTTGGGTGAAGCGTGGGCAGCAAGGACTAAAAATAAACAAAAGTGTGAGTCCTGGAGCAGCCACCTGCCTAGCCTTGGGTATTTGTTTTCCAACACTGGCTAGTCACAGTGCCTCTAGGGCAGCAGAGGTGGTGAGATTCTACTCAGATATCGTGGTCTAACATGTTTGAGGCTAGGGCAGAAATCTCTGCTGGCTGGTCACATATATGCAGTTGTACATGCCGGAGTTGTACAACTGGGCAGTGGGAGGTAGAACCAGATAATAAACAACAACAACAACAAGCCCAGACAAGTTTACAAAAGGAAAACAAAGGACTGTGGTGCTGCCTGCCTTTGACAGCTTCAAATAATGTCTAACACAGGGTGACTTAACTGCCTGTTCAGAAGTCTGATCTGACACACACACACACACACACACACACACACACACTTTTCTGATCTCCCAAGAGTTTGCTGATTTTGGCAGTGGCAGCGAACATAATAATAAATAAAGGAGACACAGTGCTGGCATGTGCAGAGTGTGTGCAACTGATGTGTACCACCAGAAAGAGCCTGACTGTGACCGTGTGGGGGTGGGTTTTCTGACCAAACCCTCCATTGATTGGCAGCCCGCAGAGGACTGGCCAAGAGTGAATGTGGCCCTTGAACATAACATAAAATAATAAAAGTAGAATATGATAAAAACATACTACAATATAATAAAATAGGTTATCCACCCCAGATCTAATAGGGTCCTTGCGACATTATCAATCTTCATGGGGAAGATTGTGACGGTTTGTGAAGTTGAGAATACTTGTGCTTTCTCTGAACTCTCATCCATTGCGCAAGCATTTTGTACGGGGCTGGAATTAAAATCAGCTGCCCTAATTTTTTGTCCTCCAGTTATTTTGGACTACAATTCCCATCAGCTCCAGCCTGCATGGGGAAGGGTCAAGGATGACACGAGTTGTACTTTAAACTAGGGGGCTCCAGGTTAAACTGGAGGTCACTGCAGGCTTGCCCACGGAGGGAGGTTTCCTGCCTCCCTCCTATACAGCAAAGAGCGCTGAAGCCCCCACACAATGGGGCAACCTTTGTTGCTCATTCCTTTGACATTGCTGTGAGGAAGATGCTCATCCCTGCCACTCATTTGGACAACCACAGACTACCATGAAGTCTGTGCCAGTCATTCAGGGGAAGGAGGCTGTTAACAGGTCATTTTCCCAACCATGCCTTCATTTCAGGTTTTAATTAGTTTTGCTAGAGGACTCGCATTTGATAAGAGGCACAGACTTCTGGGGTACTGGAGCAAAAGAGGTTGAGCAAAATAAATCCATCCGGCTTCAATTGCTCATGTTTTCTGGCACCGCAGGCCTACAAGCACAGCACCACTGATGAGAACGGACAGGTCTGGATTTCTAACAACACATAACAGTTTACCCAGAAAGAATCGTGTACCTGACAAGTTGCCTCTTCTGCTTGCACCTCCCCATCTGTTGTCGCCCCATCGGAACAGCCTTGCCATGGTGTTCTTTGCTGCTTCCTTTTCCCATTTTAACTACTTCACTGCACCACCCTTCTCCTGATCCTATACTTCAAACTACTGTAAAATCTACCCCTGCCTTCCCTACTCAAGGATCTGTTCGTGTTTCTTCCCGGAGAACAAACTACTTTAGGATCTTGAAGTTCACAACTTCTTCCCAGAAGAGCATGCCTACGTTCAGGGCAAAGAAGCCCAGGCATCCGTTACGCAGAACTGTAGAGCTGGAAGAGATCCCAAGGGTATAGTCCAAGCCCGCAAACAATAATTTAGACCAGGGTTTCCCAAACTTAGATCTCCAGCTGTTTTTGAACTACAATTCCCATCATCCCTGACCATGGGTCTTGCTAACAAGGGATGACAGAACTTGTAGTCCTGGAGACTGAATTTTGGGAAATCCTGATTTAGATGAACATGCTAACTATCAGTAACATTGATCCACTAAGTATTTTATCAAGGCAACAGTAGTGGTGGGAGAGGGAGAGGGAGAGAGAGAGAGAGAGAGAGAGAGAGAGAGAGAGAGAGAGAGAGACTGCGCTCCAGAAACCGAAGGCAGCATGAACTACACTCCTTTAGATGCTTTTGGCTTCTCAGAGCAGTTGTTGGCGCACACACAATTGGCACATTAGAGCGGCTAGTCTTAAGTTACTTTCAGGAGGTTATGTGCTGTTTAATCCTCTCCTGAGAGGTTATGGGAAAAGGTTCATCATGAGGTGATGGCTTGGGTTCCGTATTTTAAGATAGGGCTTGGATTTGAAGAAGTCTCCCTAGAGTACTTTCCACAGGGCATCGTGAGGCACTGGTGCTAGCACATGTGTATCACGCCATGTCTAGTGTGGGGCAGCTAAGCAGACAGAACAAGCAGCCCCTGTTTAGAATGGCACTGCCCCCCCCCTTCCAGGGCACTGTAATCTGATGGAAAGCTTGCCCTCTTTCATTCATCGGCCTCCAGAGTGCTGATGGATTGACAGGTGTGGAGAAGCGTGATCAAGTGGGGCTCTTACAAAAGGCCAGGAAATGGAAGATATAAAATGAGGAGATGAAAAGCGGTCATGATGAAATTACACAAAACGGTAGCGTGGAACGCCAGCTATGAGGAAAGGTGCTCTCTCACAGTTATCCAGATCGGAAAAACCCTTTTTCGATAACAAAGTGTGGGGAAACGGCATGAGAGGTACTTAAGATTCAGAATTGCAGGACCTGTATATCGTAAAGTGGCCTGATATTTCCCAACGCTCCAAATCCCAGGGCTCGGAGTGGTGTGTGCCCCTTGCAGAGCAAACAATGTATTCTGGGCCCATTACTTGGCTACTTGGGAACACCTAGCTTTCAAACTAAAAGCAAACCCCTACACTTTGCTGTGGGTTAAACCACAGAGCCTAGGACTTGCCAATCAGAAGGTCGGCAGTTCAAATCCCCGTGACAGGGTGAGCTCCCGTTGCTCGGTCCCTGCTCCTGCCAACCTAGCAGTTTGAACGCACATCAAAGTGCAAGTAGATAAATAGGTACCACTCCGGTGGGAAGGTAAACGGCGTTTCCATGCGCTGCTTTGATTCGCTAGAAGCGGCTTAGTCATACTGGCCACATGACCCAGAAGCTGTACGCCGGCTCCCTCGGCCAGTAAAGCGAGATGAGCGCCGCAACCCCAGAGTTGGTCACGACTGGACCTAATGGTCAGGGGTCCCTTTACCTTACACTTCTACACATAGATGTGTCCCAAGCGTGCAGGCACATTGCTCCCTCTCAGCTATTTCTTTGTGCCCATTTTTTGCCACAAAGCTATGAATTTCTGGGGGGAGGAGCCTGCAGAAACGCTGCAGTCGTAATAAGCATACTTACCTGCTGAACCCGGCACATCTCCACAGTCCAGCCTCAGACCCGTTTCCAAACTTCCACCAAAAGCACAAAGGGGTGTGTGTGTTTCCCAGCCCTTACCTGGCTGCGGTGGATGAGGAGGGGGCATCTGGTGGTGCATCATGGGATACGGAGGAGGCTGCTGGTGAGACAACAAGCCCGGGTGGCTGGGTGTCCCCAGAGGGTTCATGCCAGGGCCGCTGGAATGCTGGTGGGACTGCTGGACGTTCTGGCTGTGCTGCTGCTGCTCCATTTGCTGGCGGGCGCGGAGCTCCGCGTACTTCAGCTGCTCCATGTGGAAGTTCTGGCGCTCCGTCAGCAGCTGTTGCCTCTGCTGCTCCAGCTGATGGGGGAAAGGGAGAGATTCACAGCTGTGTACTGACTGAAAGCCAAGCTATAAAAAAACCCTTGTGCTTTTCCTTCCGCATACAAGTCTGTACAGTACAGCATTCCTTGATACAGTGGTACCTCGGGTTACATACGCTTCAGGTTACATATGCTTCAGGTTACAGACTCCACTAACCCAGAAATAGTGCTTCAGCTTAAGAACCTTGCTTCAGGATGAGAACAGAAATCGTGCTCCGGTGGCACGGCGGCAGCAGGAGGCCCCATTAGCTAAAGTGGTGCTTCAGGTTAAGAACAGTTTCAGGTTAAGAACGGACCTCTGGAACAAATTAAATACTTAACCTAACCCAAAGTACCACTGTCTTCGGTTAAAGCAGCGGCACCCAAGCCTTTCCAGGCCACCACCTCCTGAACTAAACCAACACATCCGTTATGGAAAATGACACCGCGGTGGCTCAACTAGATCTTGAGCGCCACCATCCCCATTCCTGGACTAATGCCCTTTTAAAGCCATCACCTCACCCTGAGGGGGTATATTCTGTAAACTGTGCCATTAGAACTTCAATTTTCATTTTTTATTGTGTCGCAAAAGCTTTACCAGATAGAATTTTAGAGTTCGAAGGGATCCTGAGGATAACCTAGTCCAACGCCTTGAAATGCAGGAATACGCAGCTATACCTTATGGGGACTGAACCTGCAACCTTGGTGTAGTCATCACCACACTAACCAACTGAGCTATCCAACTCATTTTATGCTGTAAACAGCATTGCCAAACGCCTTGCTCTGCTTTCTTTTGGACTGCATCCGTGGGGCTGGGGTGGGTGGGTCTTGTTGCCTGGGCAGCCCAGGACCTCCAGACACACCGCCCAGGCTTGCGCCCTGGAGAAGTCGCTTTGGTGCTGCTAAGGCAGCAAAAACCCAATGTGGGAGGCAGCAGTTATGAGTTACCAGTCTCTGCACCCACAGCGGGTGCTGTTATTCTCCAGCAGCTTGACTTCAGCGCTGGAGGCGTACTAAGTTATCTCTTGAGACAGACAGGTGTCAACAAGAGCTTTTTAATATGAAAGGTAATCTATAAATGCTTTATGAATTAAAACATTTCATATTAAATATTTAAACACTATAAAACGCTACTTATTCCATCCTGAATCTGCTGCCAATTTCATTGGATGTGTCCAAGTGCAAGTATTACAGAAAAGAGGGGGGACTATTTGCTTCTTCCATACCTCTCACAAGTTTTATAACATTCCCCATTGGCGATCCCCCCCCCCCCGGACTAAAAAGCCCTCAACACATTAGCCTTGATAGATAAGATGTTCTCCAAACCCTTGCCCCTTTCTGCCCTCTGTCCCGCTCTGAAACAGTCTTTTTGAAACAGGGCAGTCAGAACATTATGTATAAAGACACAGTAATGCTGCCCCCAGGTATTCATTTGTGAGAAGCGGGGGCCCATTGTGCTGTGTCCGGCAGGCAGGTGCCAGCCCCAAAGTAAGAAGCGTCCTTGATTTCAATCCATATTGAGGATTAGAACAGGATAACCTGCCTGACGCATTTCCCCTGCACTCCCATGTTCTCACTGCACCATGTGCTTAAAACCCATCTCAACCACGCAGGGCACCATCCTTCAGGGAGAGCGCTCACAGCTGCATTCTAGTACTTGGGGTGGTGGGGTGGCCTCTGCAGCAAGCAACAACTACGATGCATTTTATTTGTGCTAATATGCCTTCCTTTCTCCTTGGGTAAACAAGACACATATTTCCAAGGATTCACCAGTGATAATAATGGTGTGTGGGTAGAAAAAACACACGATTCAATAGCTGGGGGGCAATTTCACAGCTGAAACTGCTCTGAGAGGAAGGCTTAATAAAGCAGCTCTCTGCGATGGAAACACACACACACACGCCTCTCCTTCCAACCGCGGCTCTTTGGAGCTACAGCGTTGCCAAAATTGGCCACCTCATTCTTCCCTAGTGGGGCAAACAGCTAGCTAGCAACAGGCAACAGCTCTTTAAGGGTCATACAAAAAGCAAAGGCAGCCATGTGGGTTCATAAGGGGAGACGACAACCCCAAAAGGGTACAGTTGGGCAATACCTCTACCAGTGCAGATGAAAGCTACATTCTCCAAGCAGTTTTGCCATGTGCAATCTCTGTGGCGGGCGAGGGGTGCGGGGAGGAAGAAACTGCAATTGCCACAGATGCATGCATGCGTTTAGTGGGCAGCGTATTCAAGGTGCTGTACGAAACGTGTGAGTTAAGCTCTTGAACAGAATTTTAAGAGAGAGAATTTTAGCAAGCCAGTGTTTCACAGCGGATAAGAGTGTTGGGAGTAGAGTGTCAGGGTTTCAATTCCCCACTCAGCCATGAAGCTTGGGCCAGTCACTGCCTCTTAGCCTAACCTACCTCATGGGGTTGTGGTGGGGATGAATGTCCGTCACCTGGAGCTCCTTGGAGGGAAAGGTGGGATAAAAAAGCAGCAGGCAAGAAAATACATTTTATGCCGCAGGAGTTGAATGGAGGAGACAATAGGAGACGCTTGGAAAGGAGAAGCACGGATGAAGTGACTGGTGGCCAGCAGGAAGAAGGAGGCTAAGAAGAAGTTGGTTTGCTACAGTCTGAGAGGCGACACAGAACACAGCACATAGAATAAAGGCAGAGCAGAGGCAGAGCAGCCTTTCAGCCACAAAGCCCTGAACGCCTCTCGGTCGGAGACAGGAAACTTGCCCACATCCCCACAAGTCAGGGGCCACCTACAAGTAAATTACCTGGTGCAAATGTCTGTGGGTGACCTGCCTTTGCCTGCTGTTTGAAACTAAGCTTCCAGGGCAAAGTAGCGCGCACAGCACCGCCCAGGCAATGCGCAAAGAGCTTTGCAGGCACAAACAACCAGCTGATCTGCAGTGCCTGCAAAGTCCTTCCTGTCCAAGTCCTGCCTTTGCCATCGATGGTGACAGGTGTAGGCAGGTAGGGCTTGCTTGGCCATGACAGCCCCATGGGTCAAAAGGGGAGGTCTGGTGGGTCCACATAGCCCCGCAGACTGGAGGTTGCCCACCACCAACTGTTTAGTCAAGAACTGACTTGTCGACCTTCTTGGGAAGATAGCACCAAGACAGGACCCTCCTCATATTGACATTTTAACTGCAAATTCATCTCAGCACACTAGCCTTTGGTTTCCAGTTTTCGAGGTCACGTACAAAACGACGAGACAAAAATCACACCGAGATCAAGCTCTGCACGGCACTCAGCGCATGACGGCAAAAGCTGGGCAGGAGCAGAGATTCTGCTCACAGTAGTGACAGTAATCAAAGGGGGCAATCCAATTGGGCCAGGGAGCGCTGACAGTGAGCAAGGCTTTCAGGATCTGTAATTGGGAAAGGCTGCCTTGAAGCGGGCTTTATAGGACAAGAATCAGGCTGCCTAACCCAAGGCTGCAGCAGAAGCCACAAATGCTACATGCCAAGCCATAGATACCCAGATGTGGCAACTAGATATTCACATGCAAATGCCAAACGGAAAGCACAAACGCCTGCATCTGTTTGGTTTATACAACTGCTGTTTTCCCCCCCAAAAATATTGAGTATTATTACTTTGGGAAGGTATGACCAATGAAAGGAAGGAGGCAGGGGTCCAGAAAAAGAGAGGGTCATGTGGGAAGAGAGATACAACCCGGGCTTTTCTGAAACTTAATGAAAATAGGAAATAGAGCAGGATCTGAGGTTGTAAAATTCTGCACGAGGTCCTGAATTCTGCTCACACACTCTGCATCTCCAAATGGTGGGAGGGAGGCAGGGCAGGTTCAGTCTGTGGTGCAGCCTCTCAGATAACAGCCAGGGGGATTCTGCTGCGCAGTGTGCACTGGAATTCGATCTCGGTTCATATTCGCTGGGTGGCTTTACCCAAGTTGTAACTTCATTGTTTAAAATGGTATCTTGCAAGTGGAAAATTTTTATCTTGGCACCAGGCACACAAGTGAAAATGCTGCTCCAGGAATCAGGAAAGAAGAACGCCACCCCCCACATGTCACTGTCAACTGTACATCGTAATACATTCTGTCACAATTTCTGGATTAACAAGTGCTCTTGACTCAGAATACAATTTGGGCTGACAGCCCTAAAACGGCTTCGGTTTACAAATTAGATCATATTATGCACAAACCTGTTGACTCCCCTCCTCTGCTCCCCACTTCGAAACGACAAGGAAACAGCCTTTATTGTGCTATGAGAGGTTTTGGGCAACTGACCCACAGGAAAAGACTAAAAGCTGCATTTTTTTTTTAATCGCTGGGAGCTTTTTGGAAGGAAATTTACAAATGAGAAAGTCTGCTTGAAAAGAGACAGAATATCAGATGCCTGAAGATGGAGTAAGAATGGCTGATGCAACAGAGGATTTTCCTTAAAGAAATGGGAACCCAGGGAGAATCTCCCCCTTAGCAACAGCTCTTACCTTATCTGCCAATCAGCAGCGGGGTCTGTGAGCTGGTGGGGAGGAGCAAGGCAGAGATGCTCAGCAGAAGAGCTGAAGATACAGATTTTTATTTTTTGGTGTTGGGGAGTGGAAGATACAACACACCTCCTCACACGGGGCTGAGCCAGAAAGATGCAGCCTGTCTTGGCAATCTGGTACGTCAGGTGATAAATGCCAGCAGGAAAATGCAGTGGCAAAGAACCTGTTTTTGCATGCAGAAGGACCCAGACTCAAACCCCCACATCTCCAGGTAAGGCTGATGTGCTGCCAGGAATCGGGGAGAGCCACTGCCAGTCAGTATAGACAAATTCTGATCAGCATCATGGCATCAGGGGGAATGTGTTAAAGACTCCCCCACAGCCCACCATCCTAACCTGGCTTGGGTCCCCCTCATGCTGGCTATCGAAGCTGTTAAAAACCACAACCGCCACACCTGCTAGGTAGTTGAGTGTGGCCCTAAAGGAGGGGAAAAGCTGAAGAAGAGGGCAGAAGGACCTAGAAGTTATTACGCATCAGAATCTGGACAACACATATCCTTTAAGCGTTCCAATCGTGGAAAATAATTCTCCCTGCTCTCTGACAGACAGCTGCCGCATTCACTGCTAATTTTCCCAGTCCAGGACAAGATGACAAGCGGGAGAGAAGCTCAGCATGTCCTGAGAGGGGGTGGGGCAGACAGTTGCTGGTCTTGGGTCCAGAATGATTACCGTGCTTCAAGCCCGCTTGCAGGTTTACCACAGGCACCTAGTTAGTAACTGTGAGAACAGGATGCTGGGCTCTTCTTAAGTTCTTAACCTCCCCATTCAGTGCCAAACCAGGGGAACAAGCTGTCCTCATCCAGGCAAGCAGTCAAGCAGAATTACCTGGCGGACCTATTAATGCCAACATTCTCTCAACATGGAGGGGGGTGTCCCTAAGAGGACACAAGCTCCTCCCTGCCTATTCCTTCCCTTGCATGAAACCCAAGGCCCCAATTCACTTGGCCTCCAGACCCCTTGATCAGGAAGAAACAAGATGCAAGTGTTGTGTGATGAGAAAGAGAAAGAGAACAAGCCCTACACAGAATGGACAGAGGTTACCCAGCACAGTCATTTGGGGTTGATGGGAGCCATAGTCCAACATCTAAAGGGCACCAGGTTCACAAATGCCGTCACAGAAACCGAGCTGAAGAGAATGCCACAGAATCGCAGAGTTCGAAGGTACACCAAGGGTCATCTAGTCCAACCCCCTGCTCTGTGGGTCTGCTCTGCCCATACAGAGGGCAAGAGAAGTCCATCTTTTTGCTTCTTCTTGAAGCAAATCAAAACACTGCAATTGACCTGGATTTTGAAGCCTGGGCTAAGCTCCTAGGTGGACGGTGCTTTATTGCACGATGTTTCAATATAACTAGTTATAGGCTTCCTCTCTAACTTTTATTGCAATGCAGAGGTGCTGTCCAAGACAGCTGTCGGATGTAAGAAGAGCCCATGGAGATGCCCAAGAAGAAGAAGAAGAGTTTGGATTTGATATCCCGCCTTTCACTCCCCTTCAGGAGTCTCAAAGCGGCTAACATTCTCCTTTCCCTTCCTCCCCCACAACAAACACTCTGTGAGGTGAGTGGGGCTGAGAGACTTCAAAGGTCCAAGGTCACCCAGCCGCTGCATGTGGAGGAGCAGAGACGCGAACCCGGTTCCCCAGATTACGAGACTACCGCTCTTAACCACTACACCACGCTGGATTCCATCCATTAGCATCAACCTAGCAGCTGCCCCAAGATACACCCTTTTGCAGTCTCACCAAGGTCTGATCCTAGACACCGCTCCTGCAACTTCTAAAGGGAATTTAATTAGGCTGGCATTTGAGGGTCCTGTGAGGGGTGGTGGAAGGAACTGCTAATGATATATCCCAACACACACACACAAAGCTACTTTTGATCCAAATGATCCAAGGGACAGTGACAAGAGGCAAACCAACTGAATTCTGGGTGTTCAGAACCTGTCAGATTAGCACACTCCATTTTGAAGGAACTATCCTCAGATACTCAGTGTCCCAAACCGTTCTCCAATTTTTCTTGCATCGGACAGGAAAAAACCAAGTCCACAGAGTTGCAGAACTGAGATAAGTAATCAGCCCATAAATACATATGCAATGAAACTTTCAAAACCATATGAAGAGTAGATCTGTACAGATGTGTGTTATCCAAAAGCAAGGAGGCATCATCAATGCACAGGAGAGATGCAACATTTAAATGCTGATGAAAAGCTTAAACTGACACAGCCCCCAAAGTACCAACGCCGCTGAGCTTTCAGGGGGCACCATATAAAAAATAAACATGCCCCTCCCCAACCAGTCTTACCGCCTCTTTCTCTCTGTCCATGATTGTTTCCAGTTCCTCAAAATGACGGAGTTTGATCTCCAGTTTCTTCATCTGTGTTTCCACCAGGAGGGCGACCAAGGACTTGATCTTCCTTTCCTCAACAGCAGCTAGATGCTGGGAGGAAAAACACAAACACACACACCTTACCTACGTGCAGGAGAAACAATAGCAAAGCCCCCCACCCCAGCTTTTTCATTTGGACAAAACATTTTCTGACTTCTAACCTGGTAACAGTTCATTTTCCTCTAAGATTTCAGGGGTCTTATCAAACATACGGCGTCAAAGTCCTTTGAAAATGTGAACTAGCTGGTGCTGAGACTGCATGAGGCAATAAATGAGGTTTGTAGGTTCAATGGTAGCTTATTTTTATGCTATCTACAGTATTTGCTTGGGAATCTGTTTAATGCCAAGATTTAGCAGAGGGCCAAAGTAGCCCCTGATATATCCTCCTCTGCTGCTTGCATGGAGTACTAACCCGTAGACTACTGAAATTGAAACTGTACAACTACTTTATGTAGGAGCTCATTAAAGGTAAAGGGACCCCTGACCATAAGGTCCAGTCATGGCCGACTCTGGGGTTGCAGCGCTCATCTTGCTTTATTGGCCGAGGGAGCCGGCGTACAGCTTCCAGGTCATGTGGCCAGCATGACTTAAGCTGCTTCTGGCGAACCAGAGCAGCGCACAGAAACGCCGTTTACCTTCCCGCTGGAGCGGTACCTATTTATCTACTTGCACTTTGACGTGCTTCCGAACTGCTAGGTTGGCAGGAGCAGGGACTGAGCAACGGGAGTTCACCACGTCGCAGGGATTTGAACAGCCGACCTTCTGATTGGCAAGTCCTAGGCTCTGTGGTTTAACCCATTACAACAAACCTTATAACAAAGTAGTATGTTAAAATTTCCACTAATGTAATAACTTCATTTACTCCAATGTTTCTTTAACACATCTTGAAAGACTGTTCAAGATGGGCTTTGACACTGAAGTTATGATCATGGGAACCTCTGGAACAGCTGTCATGCTGAACTGGCACTACTAAGAGTACATTTTGATACATGGGACTAAGTCATACCCAAGACACAAAGCAGGGCTGGCTAACAGGTCGCAACAATTCCCAGATTTTTCATGCAAACTAGGATGGCGATTGGTTCATCCACTAAGAGCCTACTGGATCAGGCCAATGGGCAATCTAGTTTAGCATCCTGCCCACACAGTGGCTGGTACCTGTAAGAAGCCGACCAGGAGGACCTGAGCACACCAACATCCTCTCCACTTGGAAGAGAAAAGCAGAACACAGTTGCCCCACGATTCAGCTTTGGAAAGCACCAAACTGTCAGTAACGACTCCCTCTTTTATGAGTGCAGGATGCCTATGTCTCTATGGAATTCAAACTGACCGCACTGATTGGTAGCAACTCTCTAAGCCTCACTTAAAAACGCCAAGGACTGAACCTTGGACATTCTGCATGCAAATCAGATCTTCTACCACTGAGCTACAGGCCCTCCCCAAATTAGCCAGACACCTTTTCTCTATTCACACCTTAAAGAAAAGGAGGCTTGGCTTCGCGAAGGCAGAAGAGCCACCCTTCCTGTTTGCAGAATATTCATCCTTATACGGATTTGTATTGCTTGCCGTAATGACACCCATCAGTTTGTGATGGACAGGACTCTTGCAGCAACGTATGTTATACAAGAGCCCTCTGCTCAGGCTGTGAGTCTCAAACACTCAGAGATGGTACAAGTCGGGCTGTGGGAGTATCTGTGCTTGAATGAGAAGGACCCCTCCACTAAGACGTATGACGGCCCCAAATTTCTTGAACATGCTATTTTGCCATTGATTTCTCCATTAGTTGGGTATATCTCTTTCCGTTTCATTCTTTAACAAGAGACGCATCATACTACCATTCTGTGAAGATATCACTGTTCAAGATGGAAGTGATAGGCAAATAAGGCACAACTCTTCTTTTTAAGGAAGCAGAACAAAGAAGCGGGCAGGGGGAATCACGGGGGAGAGCCTTGCTAAAGAGGGTCTCTGTGCGCTAGCCTGGAAACCGGAAAACTGAGAACAGAGCAGGAGAAAAACATCTATTTTGCGCCAAGTGCCGAAGGCCAGAAAAATGAGGAAATTCCTCCTCCGGTTCTGTAAGTTCCACACAAGGGCTTCCTTCAGCCACACTTTCTAAGTTCTGTTTTCGAATGTGCTAACCTCCCAAGGAATTGGTAATGGGCTTATGAGGAAAGGAATGCCTGGCTGAGTTCTTGAATCTTCTCACCAGCAAAAGAAATAGCCCATCAAAAGCTGAAAAAGAAGCTGACAAACTTTCTGGATAGGCTCTCTCACTGTGCCTTTTAGTAAGCCCACAATGGCAGCCTCAAACCCATTCACAGGGAAACAAATTTCATTTAATGATAACATTCATACAGCTGAAGCCGAGGAGCACAGAAAGTGCATTTTAAAAAGGCATGAGAAGCAGAAACAAGCTCCATTGGTGCCTTTGCAAACAATGGGGTCATTTTAAAAGCGTTCCCTGAACAGCACCGGAAACCAGATGCAGTGGAAATCTGTGCCCGACAAACCTTGGCTTTGGTGGCAGCCGAGGCGAGGGCAGCAGCTGCAGCCGTTGCCACGTTCCCTTCGGAGATTTCGTGCTCCACTCTCTTCTTCCCAGCGTCGCCCTCCTTGTCTTTGCACACATCAAGGTTCTCCTTGTTCTCGTCTGCTTCCTTCTCATCTAAACGAAAACACTCCCTAGTTAGCCTTGCACATCCCTTTAGCGCAGCTGATGCTACCATCTCGCTCCCGATTATTTGTGCAGCGCTCAAACTTCTAGCATAAAATAAGACCATGAAGTACTTTCAGGTTCACTTTTGGAAATACACCACATGTTGGGATAAGCTGTCATCTTGGGTGCCCTCCTTAGAACAGCCAAGAAAATACACACCTCTGGCTTGGCCCACCCCAAGAAGGATGTGGTGTGCTCAGTGCACCCACTCAGAATGTCCCCTTCCATTTGAGAAAGAGAAATATTGGCTTTCAAGTTTAAAGTCAAGGGACCGCTGCAGTGAGACAGCTTCCTAACAGCACCCAGAACCAGCTCACTGGATATACTGGCCCAGCCATGACTTACGAAATAATCATTTGACTGTCACCTGTCTCTTGTTACCTGGCTAATGATGCTGCTTTGGGCAAGGGGTTCCTCTAGCTCACCTTCTCCACACCCCCAACTATGCAAATCAACCCTAAAGGTAAGAGAAATTATTAAAAGCCTATCCCCCGACCCAACTATTTAAATTTCAAAAAAGCAGACAATTGTTCTGAAGGACATAAATGTTTTCATGGTCTAAATTATCAAGTTTCTGTCAACTGAAAGGCAGAGAAGACAGCAAGATACTTAAAAAGTGGTCACAGCCTGCCCACCTATTCTTTCCGATTAAGGCTGAACCAATGGCTTAGCAAGAGGAAATAACACACCCAATTCCTATTAGGCAGGGCTGCTTCAGCTCAGCAGTGGTTACCCGAAGTGCACAACCAAGATGAAAAGAATTCCTGACTGAAGCATGAAAGGATTTCAAATCAAGATTTAGCGCCTGAGCCAGGCTTGTGTGAGATACAGCCTGAATATGGACTACTCCATTCTATCCAAAGCAGACATGTTACGGTGGGGTAGGGGTTGTCGATGTTTATTACTTCTCTCCCCTGGCAGCTACTAGGCTGGGAAATTTTTTTGTTGCTTTTCTTCTAAACTAATTGGGGTATTTTCCTGGGGAGGGCAGCTGAGGCAGCTAGAGACAGCCTTCCCTTCCCAGCTCTAAACTCCAGGATGCTACCCCCCCTTGCTAATATACACACACAATGATTAGTCTTGAAAAAAGGCTTCTATTAAAGCCAAGAGATTTCTTCCCAAGCTAATTTCAGAGGCAGTGGTCACGGGGGTGCTAACTGTTGCCTCCCCAGTTGTATCACCTCTGCAATAATTAGACTTGAAGAAGCTTTCTACTGGCTGCAAAAGGGTGTGTGTGTGTGTGTATGTGTGTGTCCACATGCGCTGAGGACGGAAGGTGTAACCCTTTCCCCTCCAGCTGCAATTCCCCCCTCTTCTGCCCTAGAAATCACCCCTGAATTGGAAGGAGCTTCCAAACTGCAATAGTAATTCTTTTCCAAGCCTAACTTAAATTCAGAAATAGGCTGTTTTCAGGATTCGTTTGTTGCAGCCCTGGAGGGGAGAGTTAAGCCTCCACTTTTTACTGGCTATAACAGAAAGCCTTTTCAAGCCTTAATTTCACTGGCGGCGGGTAGGGAGCAAAGGGAAAGCCCTTGTGGGTGCCATGTTGGCAACTCATGCTATGGGGAATAATGCCTTCGTTACAGCTTAATTTATGAGACATGCCTGGAACTACAGGGAAAGCACTTTAAAGCCTCTGCACAGCGGGGAGAGTGAAGCCGCAGCTTCCTACCTGGCTTGGAGTCCTGGGAGACGTCGCCATCCTGATCCTTTTCTGCGTTTTTCTCCTCGTCTCCTTCCTGTGCCTTGTTTCCATCTGCAAGTTCATGGTCCCCTTTGTTTTCAATCTAGAGGATATGAAAAGTGGGGGAGGCGTACTGTAATTAAACAGCTCAGGGAAACGAAATTTTAAGGTTTCTATTGGGGGGGCGGAATATTCCTCTTGACAACCATAGTTACTAAGCAGGAAACAAATAACTGCAGAAGTACAGACACAGCAGGCCATGAAAATAAGGATAGCTTTCCTGAAGAACATCGGTGCATTAGGAACACCAAGTGTTCACTTTAAAAATAGAAATAGCAAGGGATGTCATACAAAAAAAAAAGTAGGAGAAGGCAATTGTTTCCTTATTTAGAAATACTCTTGACCGATTCCAAAGCTCCAAACTAGAAAAGCCAGCTTTGAGTCTTCAGTGAATACTCTTGGCTTCAGTTTCTCTGTGTGTTAAAAAGTAAAGGGACCCCTGACCATTAGGTCCAGTTGTGGCTGACTCTGGGGTTGCAGCGCTCATCTCGCTTTATTGGCCAAGGGAGCCGGCGTACAGCTCCCGGGTCATGTGGCCAGCATGACTAAGCCGCTTCTGGCGAACCAGAGCAGCGCACGGAAACGCCGTTTACCTTCCCGCTGGAGCGGTACCTATTTATCTACTTCCACTTTGTGCTTTCGAACTGCTAGATTGGCAGGAGCAGGGACCGAGCAACGGCAGCTCACCCTGTTGCATGGATTCAAACCACTGACCTTCTGATCCGCAAGCCCTAGGCTCTGTGGTTTAACCCACAGCATACTGGACCTAAAACTGACTCCAAATATTCCCTTCTAACAACAAAAGAGCATAGTGGGAAAAACAACATCCAATGAAACAAATCCCGTACTGGAAGTCCAAACTGGTGGATTTCATTGACTGCTTTTGCATGGTTTAACCCGGCCTTCGCCAATCTGGTGCTCCCCAGACGTTCTGCACTATAATTTCCATCAGTCCCAACTAGAGTGCAGGCTGACTGGGGCTGATGGGAGTTGTAGTCCAAAACATCTGCACGGCACCAGGTTGACGAAGGCTGATTTAGCTCAATATGCATAGGCACCTGTCTGCTCTGTAGCAGATGTAAACCAAAGAATCCTGTGTTTACTTTGGCATTCTTCAAATCTTCCTACTCAAGTCTCCTGCTTTAAGTTAGCAATATGTTTTAAAGGGATTGTTTTATTACATATGTTTATATTTTAATGCTTGTGCAATTGGTTTTTAACCGTTTGGAGGGGTTTTTTTCAAAAAATGAACTGATGTATAAACTTTATGAAACGAATAAAAATAGAAGCCGATTTTTGCATTAAGCAAGACATAAATTAATAAATACATCATTTTAATTTAGGTAGAAAACAAGATGTTTTCTTAAAATAGGTGAAAACAAACTTTCTGAGCTTGTGAAAGTGGGACTTTATTTTCATTCAGAGGCTTCTGTATTATTATTAATAGTAATAATTCATACTCATGAAATGCTTGAAGCACTGCACGATTTAAAAAAATGGTATTTGAAGCAGTCAGACCTTAACTTTTTCTGCCTGTGGTCCATCTGTCTCTGTCTCCATTTTCTCTTCTTCAGCTCCATCTGTAAGGCAGAATAATTAACACTTAACACAAAGCTGACCGTGTGGCAGCAGGAACAGTTATTGATAACCCATCAGAGGGCTAATGGAAGTCTCTTGTTTTGTTTTTCAGAGCACTTTCACAAAGCATCATCACATTGAACAAGGCGATCGCAGCTCAATCCCTGCTGGCCATGGGTAATCAAACCTTCAAATCAGATCAGCATTACGAGTCATCCCGTCCCAGGAATCAATGCTCCTCTGCCCACCACCAGTCTGAGAATACACTGGCAGGCCTGTGCTACATATGCATATATATGTACAGTGGTACCTCGGGTTACATACGCTTCAGGTTACATACACTTCAGGATACAGACTCTGCCAACCCAAAAATAGTACCTCGGATTAAGAACTTTGCTTCAGGATGAGAACACAAATCGTGCTCCGGCGGCGTGGCAGCAGCACGAGGCCCCATTAGCTAAAGTTGTGCTTCAGGTTAAGAGCAGTTTCAGGTTAAGAACGGACCTCCAGAATGAATTAAGTACTTAAGCCGAGGTACCACTGTATAGAGATTACTTTCACTTGCTTTCCAGAAGAGCAGATTGATTGGGCCACTGAATTTTTTTTTTAAACACCTCCATTTCAGAGTAACAACCATCAAACCTAGAGGGGCTTACTTCTGAGCAGATCTGCACAAAAGTGGGAAATCTAATCTAAGGCAGACACAATGAAAACAGAAGCAGCAAAGCCTTTATTCCAGGTTACCTAATCCAGGACACTTTCGCCTCTGGCTCTGCCCCCAAACAGGAAAAGGATTGCCCATCCCTACTCTAGAGAGATGCTGTGACACGGATCCTGCTCTCAGAAGCCAGCCACTTGCATGTATGTGGCTCTCTGAAAATCAACTCTTCCCTGCGGTGGGTTAATTCTCCACAAGCTCCTCTAGCTCAATGGCAAGCATGGGTGCTGACATTTCTGGCGGATTGCTCCAATTATCATTTAGGCACGGAAATAACGTGTGGAACACGGCGATACGATCTTGCAACAGTTCCTAAAACATGTGTTCCTAAACATCCGATTCCTGGAAGCCTGGGGTAAGCTACAGGGACCCGTAATTATTCTTCCAAAGCATCAGGTTCCGGCTTCTGTTGGATGCAGAAACCCAAACTCTGGCAATGAGAATAGATTAAGCAAATTAAGTGCGTTTATGCACATTTTCTTAATTGCCATAATTTATGGGCCCAGGATTGAATGTCTTGGCGCAGGGTAAACAGTCCTAAGTAATTGCCACTCAACACCTCCACACAGCCTGTAAAACAAGTTAATTAGATATATAAAACTCTCACAGCGATCAATTAGAAGAGGATCTCAAGGCAAAGACTTGTTAGTGAGTATTTTAGCAAAGCTTCCCTTTGCTCGTCCCACTGTGTTCATAAGGAGGTTTCATATTATGCTTGTAACAGAATACGAAGTGCCTGTGAAAACTTGCCCCCCACGCCCCCAGGGTCCCCAGCCATTCCACTGGGGCCTCTGTGTCTTTTCAAGCTCTTAAAAAGTCTCCCTTTATATCCTTATTTCCACAGTTGCTCCAGCCAGCTGGCACGCCTTAGCAAGCGCCTGCAGCTTGCTTTCCGTCTTCCCCAGGTGGCAACTGCTCACTCATTCAGTGGCTACTAAATCCTCTTGCACAAAACCACATGCCAAGAGAGGACAACCCACACTGGACTGCGACGACACTCTGATCAAATACATCTCCTGTTTGCTGAGGCAATTCACTCTCAACTTTTGAGCGCTGTGCTTTTCCTCAAAGCCCTTCCTGAGGCTCTCTCAGTGCTGACTGACTCTCTGCTAAACTCTCATCCGTCTCAAGCACTCCCTGCCTTCTGGATAAAGATCGGGCAATTCTGCTTTAGCCCTGAAGGTTAAAAACCAAAGTACCTTGTCATCATTAGCCAATCCCCTACGGATCCACCCATCGCTGGCCTTCCTCAGCTGCAAAAGCACATGCAGGGGAGAGACTGCTGGAACCATTAGGGACAAGCTATTCCACCCGCCTTGCCCCATCCCCTACCTGAGGGAAGGTGGGGTTGTTGTTTTTTTCTATTTGAATGTTCCCTATTTTATTGTTAGGCATTGTTTCAGTGTCTACTAACATGAGGTGTTTGCCCTATTTACATTAGTGCGACTGTTTTGCTTAAACTGTGTTCTGTTTGCATTACCGTGAAATGTGGTTTTCATTTATTCTGCATGTTGTGAGCCACTTTGAGAATGCACCTTCCATGGGAAAGTGGCATGCAAATGAAAACGTGACATGCACGAAGGAAGAGGAGCTTTGAGGGGTTGGACTAGATGACCCTTGGGTCCCTTCCAACGCTAAGATTCTATTATTCAACCCTCTAGCTGCCTTCACAGAAGGAGAGACGCCTGCTGCAAAAGGACCACCCCAAGGCCACTGCCTAGGGTTGCTTGGCAGTGCAGCTGGCTCCAAATATTCTACTTACCCGAACAGGGTTGCCGCGCAAATAAAAAACTGCAACCCCCCCCCCCATATGCTGCCTTGAACAACTTGGGAGGATGTGTGCACAGGAGAGGCCCTGAAGTGAGGTTTTCAGCAACGGAAAACATCCGATCTGAGCAGATGTAGAGCTGCATCCACCACAGCTCAAGCCTGCCATGCTCCATGGAAACAAATTTGCGGGCTATTCATTTCCCTTCCTAATAGAAAGCTGGAAGCTCATTGAAAGCCTCAGATATTGAACAGCCACTGGGAGCTCTGCATCCAGGAAAAAAATGGATTAGCATCTAGTCTTCCAGGATAGAACAAGCTAAGCTGCAAGGAAAGGAAGAAAATAAAAGATTTTGTGGCTCTGCATGGGCACACTCAATAAATAAAACAAAGGGAGTGAGGAAGAGACAAAATCAATCCTGAAAAGGCTCATTTAAAAAAAATCCATTTCAAAAAATGGTTGGAAAGGCCAATGTGTACAGCCATGTTTATCATAAGAATACAGTGGTACCTCTGGTTGCGAATGGGATCCATTCCGGAGGCCTGTTCACAACCTGAGCAGAACGCAACCCGCGTCTGCATGGGTCATGATTCGCCGATTCTGCGCATGGCGCGACGTCATTTTGCGCATCTGCACATGCGTGAGAAAAACCCGGAAGTAACCCTTTCCGGTACTTTCGGGTTGCCGCGGGAAACCTGAAGACGCTCAACCTGAAGCAAACGTAAGATGAGGTCTGACTGTAGATTCAAGAGTCTACTAGATTAGACCCATCTAGTCCAGCATCCTGTTCTCGTAAGAACCAACCAGGGAGCAGAACCTGAGCATGAGAACCCTCTCGCATTCTGCGGTTACCAGCAACTGGTGTTCAGAATCATTGCTGCCTCCAGATGTGGAGGTAGAACATAGCCATCCTGGCTAGTAGCCACTGATAGCCCTCTCCTCCTCCTCCTTGAATTTGTCTAATCCTCTTTCAAAGCCATCCCAGCTGATAGCCATGAGTGCCTACTGGGAGAGCGGAGTTCCACAGTTTATGCACTGCTTGAGTACAGAGGTACCTTGGTTGTCGAACTTAATCCGTTCTGGGAGTCCGTTTGACTCCTGAAACTGAAAATACAGACCACTGTATTTTCATGCTTTGTTGGAAGCCGCCGACAGTGGCTGGGGAAACCCAGCCAGATGGGTGGGGTATAAATAATAAAATTAATAATAATATTATGCCACTGTACAGTGGTACCTTGGTTACATACGCTTCAGATTACAGACTCCGCTAATCCAGAAATAGTATCTCAGGTTAAGAACTTTGCTTCAGGATGAGAACAGAAATCATCCTCCGGCGGCGTGGCAGCAGCAGCGGGAGGCCCCATTAGCTAAAGTGGTGCTTCAGGTTAAGAACAGTTTCAGGTTAAGAACGGACCTCCGGAATGAATTAAGTACTTAACCCGAGGTACCACTGTACTTTTATCTTTTATCTGTCCTAGATGTATCAAATTATAACCTGCCCCATGCAAGCACAGTTATCACCCGAGAGCTTCCAAACGTGAAATTCTCCTCTCTTTCACCTGTCCCTGCAAAGATCACAAAAAATGCTAACTATTTCTGCTCATGTATATTGGATGTGGACAAACCACATCCAATATACATGGAGACGCATATTCTTTCCGTTAGTCTGGAACACACATGAGCAGGGTTTGATGCTCTCTCAAGCTAGAGGGCAGCTGGGCACTTGGGGCAGTGGGAAGGGGCCAAGACCTGAGTGATTTAATGCACAGTTCCTTGTCCCACTCACCTGGCCAGATAAAATCACCAATGTGCAAAGCAAGTGAATTTGCATAAATGACTCGGAACGAATGTGAAAAATCTGAATGTCTGAAGCCCAGATTATACAATATATGGCCCATGTTAAAAACAATAGAGGAGGGAGCATAGCTTAGGGTTAGAGCACATATTTTGAACACGAGAATCTCCAGGTTCCAATACCCAGCATCTCTAGGTAAAAGCGACAGGGAACAGGTGATGGGAAAGACCCTTCCCTCTGCCTGAGACCCTGAAGAGAGCCAGCTGGCTGGGGACTCAGAGTGGACAATAAGGGACTAGATGTACTGTAAGGACGTAAGAGGAGCCTGCAGAATCAGGCCAGTGCTCCATCAAATCCAGCATCCTGCTCTCACAGTGGCCAAATGAATGGGAAAACCGAAAGCAGGATCTGAGCACAAGAACAGCCCTGTCCCCTCCTGTGGTTTCCAGCAACAGGTATCCAGAAGAACTGCTGCCTTCAACTGTGGAGGCAGACAATAGTCATCACGTAAGGCGGCTTCTTGTGTTCCTTCCCAAGCTAGAAAGGAAAAACCTTCAAATCTTGCAGGGGGAGAAACCCCAGTGTTCCTCAGCTACCAGCTCCACTTGCCACTTTTGCTAAAAGCAAACATCCCAAGGCTTTCATATTTACACAAAAGGCAAGTGGCCCATGAAACTGTATAAATTTCGCATATTCTTATTCACTTGGCAAAAATTGCTTTTGAGTGCCTAAAACTAAGTAGCACCGGAGCCTCTGAGGAGGCCAGGCCCTCCCAAACGGCACACTTATTACTGCATTGCATGTTCAGAATCACAGAATCATAGAGTTGGAAGAGACCACAAGGGCCATCGAGTCCAACCCCCTGCCAAGCAGGAAACACCATCAGAGCACTCCTGACATATGGTTGTCAAGCCTCTGCTTAAAGACCTCCAAAGGAGACTCCACCACACTCCTTGGCAGCAAATTCCACTGTCGAACAGCTCTTACTGTCAGGAAGTTCTTCCTAATGTTGAGGTGGAATCTTCTTTCTTGTAGTTTGGATCCATTGCTCCGTGTCCGCTTCTCTGGAGCAGCAGAAAACGACCTTTCTCCCTCCTCTATGTGACATCCTTTTATATATTTGAACATGGCTATCATATCACCCCTTAACCTCCTCTTCTCCAGGCTAAACATGCCCAGCTCCCTTAGCCGTTCCTCATAAGGCATCGTTTCCAGGCCTTTGACCATTTTGGTTGCCCTCCTCTGGACACGTTCCAGTTGGTCAGTGTCCTTCTTGAACTGTGGTGCCCAGAACTGGACACAGTACTCCAGGTGAGGTCTGACCAGAGCAGAATACAGTGGCACTATTACTTCCCTTGATCTAGATGCTATACTCCTATTGATGCAGCCCAGAATTGCATTGGCTTTTTAGCTGCCGCGTCACACTGTTGGCTCATGTCAAGTTTGTGGTCAACCAAGACTCCTAGATCCTTTTCACATGTACTGCTCTCAAGCCAGGTGTCCCCCATCTTGTATTTGTGCCTCTCATTTTTTTGCCCAAGTGCAATACTTTACATTTCTCCCTGTTAAAATTCATCTTGTTTGTTTTGGCCCAGTTCTCTAATCTGCCAAGGTCGTTTTGAAGTGTGATCCTGTCCTCTGGGGTGTTAGCCACCCTCCCAGTTTGGTGTCATCTGCAAATTTGATCAGGATGCCCTTGAGTCCATCATCCAAGTCGTTGATAAAGATGTTGAATAAGACCGGGCCCAAGACAGAACCCTGTGGCACCCCACTAGTCACTCTTCTCCAGGATGAAGAGGAACCATTGATGAGCACCCTTTGGGTTCGGTCAGTCAGCCAGTTACAAATCCACTGAGTGGTAGCATAGGGGGCCCAGCAGATGCACTAAAATCTAAAAGGGTTGGGGGCAGGCCTGACTGAGATGCCCATGATCAAGACAGCACCAACGGGTTTCCATGTGCCCCTCCACAGCCCACCTTGCCCGTGTATACACAATAAGGAGTCAGTTTTGGCGAAAGCCTGCTGCGGTAACTGTTATGATTTTTATCTATCCGAGCTGCTCCAGCGAGCGGTACTATGATTTGCATACATCATGTGAGTGTCTGAGAAAGCGTGAGAAAGGAAGTCGGTATTATCTCTTCCTTCTAAGTACTTTTGGAAGTTGGTTTCACGTCTGTGTGTGTCGCAGTTCTGTACGGGGGTTCAGAGAGCACACATGTACAGATGGAGTCTCTGTATATAAGACTGTAAATAAAGTAGTTTTAGAACTACGATTAAGTCTTTCTTCTGCTATGATATACAATGGTACCTCGGGTTAAGTACTTAATTCGTTCCGGAGGTCCGTTGTTAACCTGAAACTTTTCTTAACCTGAAGCACCACTTTAGCTAATGGGGCCTCCCGCTGCCGCCACGCCTCTGGAGCATGATTTCTGTTCTCATCCTAAAGCAAAGTTCTTAACCTGAAGCACTATTTCTGGGTTAGCGGAGTCTGTAACCTGAAGCGTATGTAACCCGAGGTACCATTTTACCAGAAGACTGGCGTGTTCTTTTCAGGAGAGAAGGGTCGCTTATTACCAGCTATTCTGTACTGAAGAAGATTTACAGCCAGAGTGGGCCACCAGGGAATGCTCTGGAGACTGGGGAAGTTTGCAGCCTTCCCAGGGCGTTTTTCCAGGGTGGCGGCGGCGGCGCGCAACCCTGGGATGCTGCACTTGAAGCCTCCAGTAAGTCCTAAGAACCAGTGAACGATGCGAGTGAGGATTTCTCCACTCTTTCAACACGAAGACATGGGAATGACAAAATATTTCGCTTAACCTTAGGGTTTCTTCATGCCTTATGCAGTGGCATTTTCTCAGCTACCTGTACAATTGCACATTTGCCGCGGGTGTGCATTACATACTCACTTGTTACATGTAAATGTGTGGTGTGACCCGCGGTCTACGCTGCCCATCATGGCTCTGCTAAATGATTCAGGGATGGGCGCTGGGACTACCAGCTAACACTGCCAACGCAGTTGGTCATGCTGCAGTTTTACGGCTCAGCTACAGTAATTACTAGTGAGGGATCACCCTTCCCCCCAAAGAAACATTTTTAGCACTCTAGAGCAATAATGTTTTAAATCCAACCCTTCTGGTTTTAGCTGCCCAAATATATAAGCAGTATTTTCTGCAGGCATATACCATGCAACTTTGCTGTTGCATATTTGTAAACCTCCCCCCCCTGCAAAAAAAGCACAGGCTTGGCAGAGGTTTTCTTCGCCTTGCACCCTCTGGTGAAAAGCTGTTTCAGAGCAGAGGCGCTGCAGCCCGTCGAGTGACCCAATTCAATTTTGCCAAGCCACTCCCCCACAGAGAGCCATCTGCTCCTGCCCTAATTTATTCCATTAGTCACAGATCAATACAAATCACATTAACTGGCTAACATTAACTGCAAAAATCCAGTTCATTTCTCTCATTCAGAAATAATCTGCATCTCACGTTTTATTCTCTGGGCCAAGGAAAGGCTTCAAATTCTATTATCTGCCGCTAGCGAGCGAAAGGGAAAACACGTGGCTTCTTACTTATGTTTCTGCTGTCCTTGCTGTAATTTTGCATGCTGTACACCCATTTACTGTATTTTTAATGGAAGCGGGGTCTCTAAATGTTTCAAAAAGGAAATATTCAGCACTCAATACTAAAGAGCCCTATTCAGGCGCTTGTTCCTCCATCTGATGTTAATCACGTGGAGAACACAGTGGGAGTGAGGACGCTCGCCCTGCCACATTCATAGTTGCCCCTGATGAGTTGGAGGATGGCCGCCTGTAAGAGGTAACCAATTATACAACCTTCCATAGACATCTGAAGGCAGCCTTGTATCAGGAAGCTTTTAATGTCTGCTGTATTGTGTGCTCTTTTATGTTTTATTGGAAGCTGTCCAGAGTGGCTGGGGCAACCCAGTCATATGTGCTGGGTACAAGCATAAATTATTATGATTATTAATAATATTATCATCATCTCCACTTAAAAGCACAGAACTCAGCACAGCCAGGAAAAATCAAAACCTCGCCCTGGTCTGGTTCTCTGGGAGGAAGTTCCAGATCTATTGGAGCAGAGTATTAGCTAGGCAGCCATGAAGCTAATCACAACCTCAGGTGTTCACCTGAAACCTATAAGGTACATGGAAAGGACACAGAAGGGAAACAAAGCATAAGGACAGTTACTGAGACGTTCACAAGGGTGTGGAGCCTTGAGATTTGAGTTCAAGTGTCAATGCTTGACATTACTGCAGCTTGACTGAAATTCCCTGTTCTCAAGAGACTGGGGCAACGTGTGGTACTGTTGCTGTTATCGTATGTAATTGTGGGAAGGAAGATTACTGTAAACTGTGTGGGTGCTGAAGGTTGGTGGGTATAGGAGGAAGAGAAGAGCAGGAGTCTAGGAAAATTAGTTTCAATAGACAAAATTGGTGAGACGCTATCGTTCAGGAGGGCACAAAGTAACCGAACGTCCATCAGCCAAACTGCGTGCTCCTCTGTACCTTGACTGGCACTGCCTGCAGAAACGTTAAAAGTAGGTAACGTAACCTACAAACATAACAGTGTGCTGCAGACTAAGCACTGTGGCATTTTGGTCTTAGCAGGAGACTGAATCAAAGGATGTATTCACCATGGTGCTCAGTAATTATATTTTGACAAAGCTGTAAAATTCTGCTTTATTGTGTATGCAGAAAATGGAAGGAACCATGCCCTAATTACTCTCAAGTCTCACACCAGAAGCAATATCTCTCACTCAAGGACTGCTTTCCATTGTGTTGTACAATCTGCTTAAATGTAGGAATTATCAAGATGACCCCTAATTTGCTGTTTCCTGAACTTGCCACATACTGATCTATGCTGGTGTGGCATTTCGATCATTATTCCAAATGGGGAGAATAATGTTCAATCTCCAAGCATAAAACCAAACGTCTCATATTGTAAACGACTTTCTGGGAAGTAAATAAGGTAGTCCAAAGCTTCTGGCACTTTTGACACACTTTTGACACCCCACGGATTCTCAACCATTGTATCAGGCATAATTCCAACTGCCCCGTCAAGATCAAACATTTCATTTTTCTTGAGTTCAAGAACGATGCAGGCAATAATGATTACAGAGTACGAGCTGTCATGTGACTCTCAGAGTCACAATTACATATTGGTTTTCTTCATCGCTCAATGGCCAAAAATATGGTGGCTTATGTGAACAACCCAATCTCTAATTCTGCCTGCTCCCCACCCCACCCCAAAATAAAGCAAGTCATGTTCTACTATAGCTTTTCCCTTAGTTATTATTCCCTTTGGTTGACATAAACACAAATCAGAGACAAGCATGATGGACAGGAGCACCAGACGGCAACCCCTAAGGACATACCAAGTTTCTCTGGCTCATCTGGAGCCGTTCCGGCAATGCAGCTGCTCTCTAGTCCGTAAGTGGGATCCACTTTTCCAGAGACTCTGGCTGCCTCCTGCACCTTCTTGACATGGGCCTCAACCAGTTCCAGTGGGACTTCCTCTCGGACCCTGGAAAATTCCTCTGTAAAAAAAGTAAAAATGACAAAGCTTAGAAGTTTGTTTTTAGGCGGGAGGAGTTTCAAAGTCATGTACCAATAGAACAGGTAACTCTTTAAGACAGCGGTTCTCAACCTGTGGGTCCCCAGACGTTGTTGGACTACAACTCCCATCATCCCTGAGCTCTGGCTTTGCTAGCTAGGGGTGATGGGAGTTGTAGTTTAACAACATCTGGGGACCCACAGGTAGAGAAAGGCTGCTTTAAGATGACCCTGCTGGATGATCTGATTGCACATTTTACACTATTGTAGTTACTCCTGTTTATTGGACATTTAGCAAGGGAGATGTGAGTCACAAAGCCAAGAGCAGAGTGGGAGAAGGGGACAAAGGGAGCTGACAGCAGGACAGGCCAATGAATAGCAGAACAAAGGGAGATGTGGCAAGAGACTCGGGCAAGGCAGACAAGAGGACCCCAAAATTAATGGCCCAAAAGCTCAAAGCACAAAGCAGCACCAGCCTTGAGAGGGGAGCCATGAAAAAGAGACATAAAAAGGAAGGTAATTTTAGCACCAGCGCTTTGAATTGACTGATCAGGGAAGATGACATGCAGAGAAGCCTTTTGGGGAAGCTGCCTGCAGAATGGATAAGGCAATTTCCAAGTTATTTTAAAAACGCATTACTCTCACACACTAAACTCTAATGCACGTATTGCCATTGTGCGTCAATTAATAATACAAGGGCTGTTTTGTTCAGAAATCTTGAGAGCATCTTGGACAGCATCTCAGGAAGATGAAATCAAGGATGGGAGCAGACAGCAGAACCTGAAGCATTCGTAATAGGTTAGCAAGGCCCTTTTGAAGTTATACACTGAGCTACACAAATGACAAATTAATGCTTGGCGTTTAGGTACCACTTGGCTTAGGCGGTGCTTTACTAACATTAACCAATTAAAGGTAAGTGACAGCAGGCGGCAGACTATAGAAAAGATGAAAGCAGGCTTCAATTTGCTTCTCTGGGCAGGTTTGCCAGCCTGTGCGCAGAATGTTCCCCCCCCTCAACCCCCCCCTTTCTAAATACCAGCATCTTTCCAGGCAGTCCTTAAGTAGTTTTGGTGAACTTACGACAGATCAGCCAAGGAGACGGTGGAGGATTTTCTTTAAGGCTAAGTCAGCACCAAGCATGAAATTAAGACCTTCTCAGACAAGATTGAACTGGAAAGCGGGTGGGGAGGGAAGGTGATCCATACCTAAAGCTGCTTTAGCGGCAGCAGACGCCACCCGGGGATCCACGACAGATGCCAGAAAAGCCACGGTGCTCATCACAGGGTTTCCAGACTGGCTGAAAGGCACAGGCTGGTAAGCCAAAGGGCCCAGCGAGGCATCGGAGTTCTCCAAGTAAGGATCCTCAATTGGAAGCCTCAGGAAATGGAGGATGCACTCGTCCTGAGTGCGGCTTCCGACATGCTCAGAAACTTTATTCCAGTCATCTTTGTACATCTCCAACGCCTTAAAAACAAAAGGGGGGGGGAATCAACTTTTAAAAAGACGCCATGCAAAAGTAGTTGGTTCACAAATTTGGTAACTGAAACATATACCATGAGAAGAGCAGGAACTGAACATTTGTTCAGATAATAGAAACAATTTGTGGTCCTGTTGAGATTAGAAGCAGGTGTTAGTAAGCTGTGGGAAGGTTTGGCTACATGTGACTACTCTTTTAAGAGAAATATTTTGATCGGTTTTTGTGAACGTCTTTCAATGAAGGTAAATAATAGCAAATGTGTGTAAAAAGAACAAATATGAAGAGCTGAGAAATTCTGAGAATGTTTATTTCAGAAAAGGTGAGCTACCAGACCTGCAAAGCAAGTGTCAAAAGTGATTACGCTGGACCAAAACAGCATACATTCTGCAACTTGTTTGACAGCAGGATCCTTCTATTGTATGAGATACATGGGAACCTTCTTTCAGTATGGCAAGCAGTCAGAGAAAGGCCAGAACATTAGAGACAAGAATTTATGGTGTAAGCTTGCCCCTAGGTACCATCCTCCAGTCTTTGGTACCGCTGGGCCATCACTGCTACTTCTGAACTCTCCTAGTGGCAAAAAATGTCCAAGCAGCAGCAACTCTTGGGGATCTTTTACCACCCCTTCCTTCTACAACACTGACTCTGAAACATGAAGAGAAGGTAGCCAAGCGCTGTCATTTAGATCCTCTGACCTCAGAAACATGCCTAAAACTTTTGCTGCATTATTGGTATGGTGTCTTCCATTCAGGTTCCCCACCCATATATTTCCCTGACCACAGAAACAAAATTCACCAAAGTAAGGCCTACACCCGCCTAGCACTTCAGCTTTGGATATGAGAGTTGCTATTTCAAAACACATTGGCGACTAATATACACACAGTAATTACCAAAATAATTATACATTCTTTATCAATCTTCTGAGAAAAATACAAAACCTTGTGCAAAGCCACATAAACTTGCAAACTACCCTGTCTAAGATGAACTTATAATGCCTTATAATTTCAATAGATTTTTCAAATGCTTAACTCAGTCTTTTGTTTTCTTTCTCTTTTTAGGTAAGTTCATGAAGATACCTATTAAAAGGTAAGTCCGGTGTTGTTCACAATACTGAGAGATGCTAGTGAAGTTGTAGATGGATGTTAGTGAAGTTGTAGAGACAGGGTGCCGGCGTTTTGCTCCTCCTTCCCTGGCCACCTCCAGTCCCACAGCCTTGCCTCACTGGCCTTTGCACCTCTACTATAATCTTTCCTATCACCTTTCAAATGCATTGCAACTCTCACCTCCCATCCCTCTTCCTTTGAGCAACTCAGGTCTCTGCATCCTTTTCTGCCTTCCATCTCTCTTGACCCATCTCCAACCTGGTTTCCAATTACTTCTAATCTACTAGTCCATGCTACAGCGTCATCTCTTGCCAAGATTATTATTATTGGACATAATCTTTGTGTCCTTCCTTCCTGTAGTCCCTTCTCTTGGGTTGATTCATATTGGCTCATCTAAATTGTCCCCACCCCACCCTGACATGACTCCACTCTGACGTAAACCATCACCTGAAGGCGTAGGCTTTCAGACTGTTTTCTTTATTTGCTGGCTTCTAAGCTTTGTGTGGCTGAATTATCTCTTCCAGCTTGTGTTTTCTCCAAATTTTGGAACTATGGCACCTAGAATAAGTTGTGGAATTTAATCTAAGTATCTGGAGGAGGGCAGAATTGGAAGACGGAGATATCCTGTTTCTACTTCCCATCTGAAATGCAACAGATCTGTTTCTAGAGCATGTTGAAAAGGGAAAAGAAAAGTGAACTGATTGTTCTTAAGGTGAGGGAGGGTACCAAGGAGAATAGTGTAGTGCAAACACTTTGATTTTTACGAAAATATTGCACAAAAGGATTACAAATTTTTAAAAAAGGAAAGGCATACCTGTCAAAAAAGGAAAGGCATACCTGTCAAATGTACTGGAGGGTACAAATAAAAATAAAAAAGGACTTCAACGGGTTCTCTTTCTCTGGAGAGAAACATGACCTCCAAGTCTTCTCTCCCATATGGAGAATAACAACCCAAAAATTTATATGAAAGCAGCTGCTGACAATTTGATTAGCTGAGCTTTCCTACATCAGCCATCGTGTCAACCGTTCTACAAAATCCAATGTCACCTTGCTCATTCCACACGGAAACAGCCAGACTTGTACTGCTATTACAAGACGCAATTCAAGTTCCAGGGACTAGAAGTCCATAATAAAGATACCCGGGTTTCGCAACAGGAACAAATAAGGCATATATCTGTGTGCTGTATGTTACTGGCATGAGTTCCTGTGAGATTTATTTGCTGCATTGGGAATTTGGTGTTCTCTTCTGGAAAGGCCGGGGCAGCGAATGCTTTTATAACATGTGGTAGCAAAATGTACACTTAGTCAGCCGCTGCAGCCAATCCCAATTTCTTCACTAATGCACCCGCAGGATACAAGCGTTAGAGAACATGTTTGTTGCCATTATGTTTTACACCTACACTACACAATGTGCGAAGCAGCTCTAAGAAGGAAGAAATGTGTGAATGGAGCTAAAAAACAACTGACACTGTAAATGCAAAGAGTCAGGGAATAGGAGAAGCAGCTGGGAAAGAACTGGCTTCTGTGCCAAATCACATTTTCTATTTTAACAACTACAGATACAACATGTTCTTGGGTTTAGGCAGTAACCAGGAGAGCCTGAGAGGCAAAGGATGCTGGAGAGGTCACAAACTGAGTAGGGGGCTTCCAAGAATCTGCCCCACCTGGATTCCACTCTGTGCTGCACTAATTCTAACCGGGCACATAAATGTTTTCCCCCATGGCAACCTTGATTTCCGCTTGTTTCAGCTGTCTTACTGCTTAGAAGAAAGCCAATAACGTTTCCTTTTGTGTTCTGTGGAATTTAACATGTATGTAACACAACTTCATTTATCTGCCTGCTGAGATCTGACAGTGATTAACCTGCAGGGAGGGGAAAAACCGACTCCGCGCCAAAGAGATACAGGGCCGGCAGGCAAGGGACAACTTGGATATTTATTTTTTTTGAAGCTTGTGACATATGCACTTCCTCAAAGGCACTCTAAGAATTTATAAAGGACGTGCTTCATCTATTGGAGGTTGAAACATAAACTGATATCCGCTTCGCTGCTTTATCTGGATGTTAAAAAGTGTGAGAGGAAAAAAGCAGTTGTGTCTAGAGAGCTAAATTATAGTACAGACGCTGGGCTCTCTCCCTGTCAAAAATGAATTAACAAGATGGTCCTCCTATGAATTAGCTGCTCTGAAGCTTTCTTGCCGTCTTGCATAGCAACAGTTCACTTTTACCCAAGCGCCACTGATATAATTGTCACCTCCTTTCAAATATGGAAGTATAAGATCAACTGACACCTCTGGGCTGCAAATAAACCACATAACTGTATCTTTCTGGAAATCGCTGTTCCGGGCTATTCGCACTATTAACGGCAATGAAAGTGTAAGATATGCTGCCGCTGCAAATAACCTTATCAACACGACTGCTTTACACAATCAGACACCGTAAGGTGCATTAAATGACATTATTTTATACACTGCATCCCAGTGTTGATAAGCAATGCAGTGTCAAACTCATCATCCTGAAGTAACACAGATGTTTTCATGTAAAATGGACCTCTGTATGGAAGCAGAATTCTGTTATGCTGCCCCATCCAATGAAGAAGAAGAAGAAGAAGAAGAAGAAGAAGAAGAAGAGGAGGAGGAGGAGGAGGAGGAGTTTGGATTTGATATCCTGCTTTATCACTACCCAAAGAAGTCTCAAAGCGGCTAACTTTCTCCTTTTCCTTCCCCACAACACTCTGTGAGGTGAGTGGGGCTGAGAGACTTCAGAGAAGTGTGACTAGCCCAAGGTCACCCAGCAGCTGCATGTGGAGGAGCGGGGAAGTGAACCCGGTTCACCAGATTACAAGTCTACCGCTCTTAACCACTACACCACACTGACAGTGTTCCTGCTACGTATTCAAGAAATCAGGGAGAGACAGTGAGTGCACCATTTATAAGACAGAACCTGCCTCCCCCTTTTGCTAGTACTCTAACATCCACACTGCTATTAAGGGGGAAGCTTTACCTAGCTACCTTACCATGAGGGAACAGGTGGCATGTGGAGACGGCAATGAGCCGGATGGTGACTGTTTAGTTCCTCAGGTGGTTGTGTGTTCCCTCCCTACCCCACTCAGGTTCAAGTTATGCCACTAAACTCCTCTTCAGGAAAGGCTGGGGTGGTTTCCTAAGCAAGAGGAGAAAGTCTATCCTGGCTGCTTTCCTGAAACCAAAGGAGATTTGCTTGGCCTGCCAGAGCTATTGCAATCCCAGCATGGGCTAGGCAGAGGAAGACCAGACCTGCACGCTCTTGCCGATTAGACAACTTGATTTACTCAAGGAAGCACAAGGCATGCTTTGCCGCCAAGCAGGAAGCCGCCTGCGCTGTCAGAAACCAGCAGCTACCGTTTCCCTCTCGTCTGGCAAGAGGGCTTCTGGCTTGCTCAGACACCAAAGTCAGCCAGCACTTCCACGTTTATATTAAGCCATGACATATGCGAGCACAGATCTTGAAAGCCTCCGTGTTGGAGCAACACAGGGGGAAATTAGGCCTGCTCAGAGATACAGCACAGCTGGTGTTTACTACAAACTCAGTGCTGAACAATGAAAAATCTGCAAGGGTCGTAATCCTGCACACTTGGCCTAGAAGAACTTGCACCCCACAAGAAGGTGACAGTGACGTCAGGCAGGATGCATGTGTGAGCTCTTGCCGGGGGTGGGTGCTATAAACATGCAATGCGAGCCCCCACCCTGCAACAGCCAATGAACACACCTAGCAGACTAGAACATCACATGACTAGAGCAACCCCTTGCAAGAGCTTCCAGCTCAGCCCTGCCTCTTCAGTCTGAGCAACACTCAGCTCACCACGGCTCTCTGATAAGTATTTCCTGCCTCACTTTTTATCCGTGCCTCATCCTGTGCCTTTTTACTTAATGCCGGTTGACCTAGCAGTAGCCCAGTCTGACGTTTCTCCACAAGTGCTTGGGGAATACAAGTCAGATACATGCCTTTTTCTTTTTCTGCTTTGCTCCCCCAAACTCAAAATGCTATTAAGCTCTGTTTTTCAAAAAGCGAGACAGAAGCACAGCAAGGCTACAATTAACGTCAACAGGGAAAAGCGGGTGATATGGAGAAAATATCGACTGGAAATACCATCGAGACCTCCCAAGCAAAGTATCAAGACACTCTTATTTTCAGACTAGGGCAGGCAGTGTGCAAGGTTTTGTTGCTGTTGTTGTTCCAATGCCCAATGATGGAGTGGACGGCCTGGGTAGGAACAGAATACTATGGTTCAGTTCAGCATTGACAGAAAACCATGGTTTCCTGCTATGTGAATGAACCACGGTGAGCTTTGAGCTTCTGCACCCCACTCCCCTCTTTCATCTCCAGGAGTAAGAAGCTTCTGCTTCTATAAGAACAACAAACATAAGAAGAGCCTGTGGCTCAGGCAAATGGCCCATCTAGCACACCATCAGGTTCTCACAGTGGCCACCTAGATGACCGTGGGAAACCCGGAAGCAGGACCCAAGTGTGGCGATCACACAGGGTCCCCAGACATTTCACCGTCTATTGATCCCTGTGCCACTACTTTATTTCTCGCTGCCACCACCCAGGCCCTACCTGGGACAATACTGAATCCAGTCAGGGTTAAATTGGAACATAAACTTCTGTTTATTTATTGCAGTTTAACAAGCGTGTGGTTTCATAAACAGTATCAGACAATTACATTCATGGGGTGCCTATCCAGACCTATAACTTCCGCTACCTGCTCTCACTCACTAAACCACCTCTCAGATATTTACTTGTCTGCCTAGCCCCTAACTGTTCCTGACTCAGCCTATTTCGCGACACTAACTCAACCTACCCACAAACTCACTCCCAATTCACTCCCACTCCAACCAACCACCCGAACTCCTCCTTTTTGCCCCTCCCAGAGCTGGTTTTATAGTCCCACTGACTCCACCCCCCTGGGACCTGACTGGGCAACCTGTTTAACTATTTCACCTCCAGCACTCTCTCATATGTTAACGTCACACCAAGCAGGTCAACACTCTTGTCTCCTGTGAAAGAGAAGCACTGCTGTCTCCAGCTGTAGAGGCATTAAAGCTAGGAGCCATCAGCAGCTCTCTCCTGCGTAAATTTTTCTAATCCTCTTTTATAAAACTTATGTTTATAATACATTTATCTTGACATCCAAACTTGGGAAACCCATGGTTTGTTTAAATTAAGGTGAGAACAAATAAGGATCAAAACATAGGGAACTGTGGCTAGTTTAAAATCTGAAGCAGAATCCTCTAATCTCCCCTGACATGTGGAAGATTTTTTTTGGGGGGGGGGGGCAAGTGAACACAAAAGCCCAAGCAGCCTCATTCATGTAGAGGGGAACAATGACTGCCTCTTGTGCCTGAGGGCCAATGGAAGAGGGCCTTTTCCTACTGGAGGCTGCCTGAACCATTTGCTCATCAGAGGCTCTCCTCCAGGTCCTCCCATCGCCTAAAGCGAGGTGGTGGATGCCTAGGAAGATGATTTTTTTCCATCGTGGTGCCTTGCATTAGTAACACCTACCCAGAGCAGCTCACCTGATGCCATTTTTGAAGCCTCTTCAGCACAAGGAAGAGGGTCTTTTTCAGCTGCCTAGCCACTGCAGCGTATTTTAGAGCATGTTTTATTTTCGTTTTTATAGCTCTGCTGGATTTTATGAGTGCTACCCTTTTGCACTTTTAACGTTTTATATAGAGATTTCATTACAGTTTCTTCATATAAACTGTACATCACTCAGCAGCCTTTGCAATGAAGAACTGCCGATAGATAATATTAAACAAATTCCAATATGTATGTAAGCAGCTTTGAGACACAACCTAAGGCTCTGTACAGCAAGATTACAAAGGCCTCATCGCATCTGGAAACCAAGCCTTATGAGGAATGGTTTAGGGAGGGAGGAATGGTTTAGGGAGGTGGATATGTTTAAGCCTGGAGAAGGGCAGACTGAGATGTGATACAATAGCCACCTTCAAATATCTAAAGGGCTGTTACATGGATGATGGAGCAAGCTTGTTTTCTACTGCTCCAGAGGGTAGGACTCAAACCAATGAATTCAAGTTACAAAAAGGGAGATTCCAACTAAATATCAGAAGAGCTTTCAGATGGTAAAGCTGATCGACAGTGGAACAGACTCCCTCTGAAGGTGGCAGATTCTCCTTCATGGAAGGTTTTTAAGCCATCTGTCATGGGTGCCTTGCAGGGGGGTTAGACTAATGACCCTGGGGTCCTTTCCAAATCTACAATTCTATTTTTGTAAGATTCTTGCATCGACTCCTTTCAGGTTCATCCACAGCTTTGCAACAAAACACCATCAACAATTCTATAGCCATACAGCTGACAACCAAGGACTCATGTTTTACTTATTGCTTATTATTATACTATTATTATTTTATTAAATTTATGTACCACCCTTCATCAACAGATCTCAGGGCAGTTTGGAATAAAATACAAGATAAAACACAATAATTAAACCAAAACCACAAAACAATAACCCCCCCCCTTCCCACAGGCACATGTAAACGTCTGTAGGATATTAATCAGCCAAATGCTTGGTTGAAGAGGAACGTTTTTGCCCGGCGCCTAAAAATATATAATGAAGGTGCCAGGCAAACCTCCCTGGGGGAGAGCATTTCACAAACGGGGAGCCACTGCAGAAAAGGCTCCGCTCTCTACTCAACAGCCTTGTTCTATACAAGAAGTCACCCAGAAACATATTAATTCAATGTAAGTCAGAAACTAGGTACCACTTCAAATGTCACTCAGCAGCCTCCTTTTCTCTGCATCCCCACCATCACAATTCCCCAATTTCCCCCCACTCAAAATTTCTTACCTCAAGTAGCAGCAGAGTCTCTTGTTCTGTCCATTCTCGCCCAGCGCTAGCACTTTTGCTCTGTATGAAGGAGGGGGGAAACAATTCACTCGTGTACCCAGTGCACAGATGAGTATGGCTATTATTGTCAAGAGGTGGGATTGGCAATTTGTTCCATCACAGATGTGTTACTTGTTGGAAGGGGCCTCCCTAAACACAGACAAGCCCTAGTGGCACATGCCATGTCAAAGGAGAACCTGATAAACTCTTGCAAGTTGCATCATCTGCATCATCATCATTTCATTATTTGTATGGCACCCATCAGCCACTCTGGGCGGCTTCCAGCAATCAATCAATCAATCAATCAATCTACACACACACACACACACACACACACAAAATAAAACATAAAACTTTAAAAACTTCCCTATATAGGGATGTCTTCTAAAAGTCAAATAGTTGTTTATCTGTTTGACATCTGAGGGGAGGGCGTTCCACAGGGCAGGCGCCACTACTGAGAAAGATGACTGCTGCTCCTTGGGGCAGCCTGACTCAGCAGTTGAGGCAAGAATCCCCAAAGCAATCAACACTCGCTCAGTAGGAAATCTGATCAGAATAGAGGGTTAACTATTTCTAAGGTTACGGATCTGTGTAACGGAAGAAGCGCTGCATGCAGGCACTTTCCCTTTAAGACAATGTTCGAACAAGTGAGGTAAAGTGCAAGAGCTCTCCTTTTAGCAACAGCCTACAAAGGAGAATAGTCCCGGGGGGGGGGGGGGTGGAAGAGGAAGGATTGCAGAGAAGGAAAGAAGGCAAAATGGCCCTCATACAACACCCTGCACTGATACTAGGATATGGCTGCTAATTCAAAAACCAAGAGTAGATTAGCCTACTATCATCCCAACTCTCTGCAACTAAGAGATAACAGGAATGCACAACCTGCGTCAAATTTTAATAAATGCAACATGCCAGCAAAGACTGTGACTGAGACAAGCCCAGCTAAATAAATGTGCCCCAGTACAGGGGAAGGCTAACATGCCTTGTCCCAACATCTGCTTATTTTCCTCTTCCCAAATATGGCAATCAAAAGCAACGCTTAGAATGCCCATTAAATCACCCAGAATTCTCTACAGGTGCTCATAAATATTTAGCATTCTAGGAAAATATCACCCCAGCCTTAAAATTAGCATCAATTCTTGTTGCTAAAAAAGCCAAAAAAAGGATCAATGTGTGTGTGAGAGAGAAAGAGAGAGAAACAGCTGTTCTGAACCAAACACACAGCATTTATAAAGATTTGACTGTGTAGAAGTTCTGTGCATGGTACGCAAACATCACAGGGGCACAAGTCTGAATATTTAATGACAGCCATGTATTTCTGTTGAGCTATCATAAGCAGAGGGCATCGAGGAAATTAATTCCTGCATTGTAAGAACACCCCTGCAGGATCAGGCCCATCTAGCCAGGCACCTCCTTCTCAGTGGCTGGCCAGATGTCCTAATGAGGATCTCTCAAGGAGGACTCAAGTGAAAGAGCATTGCTCTACAGCTGCTGGAATACAGAGGCATACTGCCTCCGATACTGGTCCAAGCTGGTGGTCATTACTACATCTTTTGGTAGCAAATCCCATAGTTGGAACATGTGCTCTGTGAAGAAGTATGTCTGACTTGAATCTCCCAACATTCAGGTGCCTCCAGGAACCCCACAAGTAGCAGATGAGTGCAAGAGCCCATGAATGACCCCCAGGGACTGGCATTCAGAGGCAGGCTGCCTTACATAGCCTTGACTACTTAGTTGCTGATGGGGTGCCCAAGAAACAGAAAACGTCATCTCTGCAAGTTTTTAATGTCTGACGCTGTATTGTTTTTAATATTCGGTTGGAAGCTGCCCAGAGTGGCTGGGGAAACCCAGCCAGATGGGCAGGGTATAAATAACAAATTATATTATATTATTATTATTATTATTATTATTATATAACACAAGGGGGGCAGACAGGGGTCTGGAAAGAAAAGAGAATATCTAGTGCCTTGCCTTTGCCAATGTTTTCTTTGAGTATATGTCTGTACGAAGCCCAAAGTTCTGCAGGTCAGTAGGTTTATCCTTGTTTTTCTCGGGGAAATTCAACATCTGCTGAGCAGCTGGGATCTGGGTAAAGAAATGTAAAAAGGATGAGAGCAGGAGGGAGGATACGAAAGCATCAGAACAGTCATATTAATCAGCCTATGTTACTGGGGAAGTGCAAGTGGAATGTTGAAAACGTGCTATTTATAGTAGATACTACTACTACTACTACCACTGCTACTTAAGAATGCTCGAGAGGAGAATTTCTCACAATCCGTCAGATTAAGAAAAACAGCTATAGTATCCCTTCTATGACCCATTTGAAGCTCCAGGACCACATGACGAAATCAGGGGTGAAACAGAATTATATAAAAGTTTTTAGCATTTCCCCCTCGGCGTCTGGATGGTATCAACTATTTTGGAAAGCTTTTTGCTTGCTACGCATTTGGGCCCCTCTTAATGATATTGTGACCAAATTTTGCATGATGGCCCCCCAAGTGCAACAGGTTTTCCTCTATGTTTGGATACCACTGGCCACCATTTTGAACAAGGTGGCGGACTGAACCTTCCAAAACTGCACTGGTTTTTTTGGTCGCTTAGAATTCCCGAGTAACACCAGGAAGGAGGCAGCTGGCCCTACTACAATTCGTAGGGGGCAAAGGCGTTCCAAGATGGCAATGGATCTTTACCTGAGGTGTCCGAAGGTGAAGAGGCATGAGTCCCGAGGGAGTGTCAGCAAGCACATTGAAGTGTGGGGTGGGAGGAGGCCCCATGGCCATGGGTCGGCTCTCTGGATCCACTTGGTAATTAATAAGCCCCCACTGTTCCAAAAAGGCATGTACCCTAGGAGGTAACGTTACAAGAGCGAAAGACTGAATGAAGGAAAAGTTATCAGAATGGGAAAGGCAGTGGGTCAGAAAGAGGGAACATTTCAGAACAGAAGGACTTAACTTCAAGACCAGTAACTGGGGAACTAGCCCTGAAGCATCTTACAATAGCTCCACAACCATCTTTTCCTTTTACTCTTGTTCAGCTCATTTCAGTTGGGCTTGGGAATAACTTACCAGAATGCTGCATGCATGCGTGTGTACACACACACACACCCTCTGCCCCCTCCATGGCACACAAAGCCCATTACTTGATGCAGCTCTCTCCTTTTGCCCCAGGGCAGGCTCCCCATCTGCTGAAGGGTGAGAAAAACCCTCTTCACTTGCCTTTAGGCAAATTAAGAAGCGGTTATTGTGCCAGGCAATTGGTTTGAATTGAATTTTAACTCTCGCTCTTTCGACTGGCTTATCCAACACTGTTTTTTTTGTGGCTTTGCGCTTTATTACGTTGGTCTGGTTATATGTTCTTTTGGCATTGTTTAGATTCTGATTTTGATTTTATAAACATTTAAAATCAAAATAACCGAGGAAAGCAAAATTATTTAAATGAGCATTTGATAGAGTAAATCTGGCATTTCATAAAATGAAACCCTTCTGCAGCCCAATAATAATAATAATGTGTAGTCACTGGATTCTGAGATGGCCAACAGGAGGTTGTGGAAAGAATACCAGAAAACACAGCACATATTGAGGAAGTTCTTTCCCAAATGCTTGATGACACCAATAAGTACTCAGAACTGACATCATGGCTGGGAATGAGTGGCTTGATCACATCATGTGATCTCTACGCCTTTCCAACCAGTCTCTATTGAATCTATATTAGGCTATCAGGGTTTTTTTAACCTAGACCACAGAGATGGGGATGGTGCCTGGAGCACCTTGTAAAAAAGAAAGAAAAAGGCAGCATAGGATATAAGCAAGAATAGCTTCTTCCTTCCATTTCCCACACTGCCTTAGAAACACTCTGCGCATGGATACTCTCCAGGTCAGCTGACAGAAAAAGCAACAGGTAAGAAAATGCATGGCTGTATTTGGGCATAGAGTACATGTTCTTCGTCTTTCAAGCATTAATGTGCTCATCCCTCAATATTTCCCCAACCCTGAAGTTTTGAACAATGGGATTTTTAGCTTGAAAGGGATGATTAAAAAAAAAAACACTTTGCTGAGTTTAAGATCCTGTTCCACCTGCAGCCAAGTAGAGCAAGACTTACCGCATTACTGCACAAACGTCTCCAGTCAAGTTCCTTCTGCAGGCAGTGCTAGTCAAGTACTCTTGAGGGTTTAAGCGATACGTATCAATCATGAAATTGCGGTAAGCCAAGTATCTGGAAAGAAATCCACAGACATAATATGGATACACTTTCCCACTGTGCGTCACTTGAGAACGTTAGGGTCTCTTTAACAGAGAAGGCTATTACGATGCTGAATTACTCGCCCTTCATCCTAAGGTCCCAGGGCAGGTTACGACGCAATACTAAAAACAATTTAAAGCAGCTTACAGTCACAAAGATAAGGTGGTCCCTAAAAATATGCACCTCAAGTGTCAAAAGCCAGGGCGAACAGGTGCCTCTGTGGGGGTGGAGTTCCATAACTTAGGGGCCACCATAGAGAAGGCCCTCCCAGGCTGCTGCCAACCCTCCTGCCCCCTGAACTTCTGAGGGTGAAGAAACTACTACAGGGAAGGAGGCGGTTTTTCAGGTAATATTGACAATTTAACTATGTGGTTGATCATTAACAACCTGTCTGAGGACAGGTATATAGAGAAGCAAAACAAACACCTTCAATCTCCTTTTCTGAATCGAACAGACACGCTGACCTATTTCAAACCAAACCAATTCCTGTTATGTTCAAAACCAAGGCCTGCTTTGACTAGGGACTGAAGCAAAAAAAAAGAAGGGGAAATGAGGGCTTCAATGTGCAGCTTTTACGCCATGTCTCATCTACTTGGGTGTCCTCGGTTTACTAATAGGACACATACCTTTAGTTACAACCCAGGCGTCAGAAGAAGTTTTGAGTTTCAGTTCAGTGGAGCCTTACAGAGAGGCACCAAGGAGGGCGCCTCTGGGGCAGGAAGGTGCCGGCTATTCCAAGGCCACTTCCCTTATGCAGTAAGCCTGAGAGGGTTTCACACATGGAAGAGCAGCTGAGGAAGACCAACTGGGATATCAGCCTGCTTCCTTCCGCACTCTTCCATGGTGAACTGGGTGGGGGGTGGAGGCGAGAACAAAAAGAAGAAAAGGAAAGGAAAATTGGAGAGGGAGAGAACAGCAAACATTAAGAAGAGGGATACAGGATAGAAACTACGGGGCTCAGGAGGCAGAAAGCAGGAAAATATTATCCGACAGCTATTTCCGTTATGTAAGGGAAATACATTTTCTCTTTATCTTGTTGGCCCACTTAATGATTCATCTTCTAAACACTTCATTTTTGCGCAGAAAAAATTAACCAATGCAAAGTAAAGCCCAGGTGAGCTGTGTCTCTTAGTACTTTCCTTGGTGCCTCCATCCCTAAAAAAGTGCAGGTTAAAACTGCTCTCTTGGATGTAAGCCAGATGCCTGGCAGCAAAACCTCTCAGCCTGGCTCCTAGGGAGGCAGGCCTCTTTCTCCTGCATTACCGGATTTAAACAGCATCTCAGAACCTACAGCCTCTGGCAAAATATATTTTATTTGGAGCTCTAACCCCCCCGCCCGGAGGGCCAGGCCAGGCACAAGAACCCAAAGCCATCCAACTATTTTTTTTGGGGGGGGAGGGAGGGAGGGAATCAGGCTTTGGAAATGAATGCTTTTTTTAAAAAATAAATCTTTATTGATTAAAAATTTACATATCTATACAAACATTATATGCTATCTCTTCACATATGAGTAAAAAGAAAATTATGTAGAGAATAGAAAATTTCTAAAGGAACAAAAAAGAGGAAAATAAAGAAATAACAAAGATATGAAGTATAAAAAAAATCAAAAGAGGAAAAGACAGGACAAGACAACATTATTTACACAATAAAAGTGTTCATCGACACAATCCTTCCCATCCTTCTCATTTGGAAGTGAACCCTTGGGAGCACAGAAGCATTGAGGAAGGCTGCTTGGTGCACAATAAGGAATGTCCATAGCTGTGTTACACAGGACAGAAGAGGAGACAGTTTGCAGGTATAGTTTAAAAAACCAAAAACCCGTAATGATCATCCAAAGTGGAGGATAGGGGCAGATGCCCCCCCAAACTCTTGTGTCAAGGAAAAGAAGCCTCATGACTCCTGCTTCTATCAAAATTCCAAACCTCAGGAGTAGATTTTGATGGTGGGAGAAGGGGCAGGAGAGGACAAAAGAGGAAGCTCTCTTCTGCTCATGGGGGTCTGTTGGACCAGCAGAGATACAGTATTGGATACGGCCCAAAACACGCAGAATTTCAGCATGGCATGAAATCCTTATGAAATTGACACAAACTCCACGTTTCTCCAAACCCGTCTTTCCAACACCAACTTTGTATTTACTTCCATGTCCTTACATTATGCAGACTGCACTCAGCCCTCAAAAACTTTACTTGCCTCTGAGTGAGTTGCTTCTAAAGACAGTGTCCGCAGCACACGGAAAGATCCAAGATGGATTCCTTCTGCTGTCTCAGACAGGCATGCATGCAGGAAAAGCCGCTTATGGTGTCAGGGAACTGCCAAGCTGAAGAGCAAGTCAAAAGCCCCATTGCAAGAGGTCAGAAATTGTTACATCTGCACCTGGCTGTAATTGCCCTGGGAATAACCATTGTGCCTGTTATAAGCAAAAAGGGAGACACAATACATGCTTACATTGTTCTGCTTTTACTTACATTTCTGGGGTCTTAGATTTGTTTTTCCCGTTGAAGAATTCTGGAAGAGCACGGCGCTCGATTACATGAATACTGTGTCAGGAGGAAAAGCGGAATGTGGTCACTGTAGAACATGCCAAGATTCACTCAACACTGATCACACACTATGAACTAAGCAGCCACGGCTAACAGCATGACATCTATCCAAGACAAGACCTTTTCTATAAATATAGGTTTAAGAAACAGTTATTTAACCTTAAGAGTCTCCAGATCACTAATACCAAAGGAGGAGGGAATAAAATTCTGAATCTACATTTGCAGGAAAATAAGTTTGGAACGAAGTGTAGTATTGGTCACAACTGCAGGAACCCATAGCTTTCGGATTTGCTATTATAGCATCACTATTGACTTCAATATGTTACAGTCTTAGAGTTGGAGGACAGTCACAATGTCCACAGTAAAGTGCTTGCTTTACACATTATGGGATGTAGCAAACAGCCATGTCAAAGCTAAGAAATAAAGAAAACAAAACAAAACAAAACAAAAAACCAAAACACACCAACTCAACATATATGGATCTTGAGGTTTCAGCTCTGCTCCCAATTCCTTTAACATACAGAGCATTCTTCTACTTTATCTGCAACACACCACAATGTGCAGTGTTCTGGATATAATCCCTTTACCATCAATTGAATTATGAAATGGATTTTCTATTTCAGAGAACGATCGAAAGGCTAGTTCATTTATTGAAAGATTAGGTCGAAAATAATTGGGTAATGTGAATTTTCTTCCACAAATTGCTTTAATAGCCTCCAAGAGAGACTGCCATTAACAGAAGTTCCTGACTTGAAGGTCTTCAAATGCATTTACTTTAATTGTCCTCAACTGCCCCCACTCCCATAACAGAGCTGCATATATAGAAGGCGTTTCTCGGGATTTAGGCCAGAGCTGAGTGTTAGGACCTTCTCCCCCAAGAGTGCTTGGGCCACTGACTTTTAACACACAGGAACAGAAAAGCAGGCCATGCTGGATCAGATCAGCATCAGTTTCCCACGGTGGCAAACCACATTCTCAGCGGAAGCCCAACAGCAGGACATGAAGGTAATAGACCTGAGCATCCTTTACTGATGCTGGTGCTGTGTTAATTTTATTTATGGTAAAGGTAAAGGTAAAGGGACCCCTGACCATTAGGTCCAGTCGTGGCCGACTCTGGGGTTGCGGCGCTCATCTCGCTTTATTGGCCGAGGGAGTCAGCGTACAGCTTCCGGGTCATGTGGCCAGCATGACTAAGCCGCTTCTGGCAAACAATGCAGTGCACGGAAACGCCGTTTACCTTCCCGCCGGAGTGGTACCTATTTATCTACTTGCACTTTGAGTGCTTTCAAACTGCTAGGTTGGCAGGAGCAGGGACCGAGCTCACCCCGTTGCGGGGATTCGAACCGCTGGCCTTCTGATTGGCAAGTCCTAGGCTCTGTGGTTTAACCCACAGCGCCACCCGCATCCCTTTTATTTATGGTACCCAGGTTTTTATTACAAATGTTATTGCCTCATGTTTAAATTGATATAGTGCACTGGAGGCTTTAGGAGGAAAAGTGACTCAAAATTTGCTTTGAATTAAAGAAACACCCTTCCTCTCTAGCACTAAAAGCTGTATATGGAAATGGTTAATTGAATTAGCAGGACAGGACAAATGGCAAAGAATACCTACACATCCTATGCTTCTGGAGGAATGTTATCTCTGGCATGTCGTGCCTGACTTGGTTGAAACACAAGATTTAACGTTTGAAAGATTCACCACAGAAATGAAGGGAAACAGGCGGACATGGATGTAAAAATACCTCCTCCTTTTTGGCAACCAAATGACGCAAGTCTCGGAACGGCAATTATACCAGGCCAATTTGCATTCCGTTTAGAGGGTAGTGTCTAGCCTAGTTACAAGTGCTTGGGCATGCTTTGGATACGAAAACACTTTCCCCAGACAGCCATTAGACAAGCTGCGTCCACATACGTCAGAGCAAGGCACTTCAGTGCCGGAAGCATCAGACATGATTTTATTCATATCTACAACTGCATGAGGAAGACGGGTCCCATAGCAGCAAGGAAGAGAAAAAATGCGGAACAAAAATTTAGGGGGGGTATTCAGTGTGCCACTCAGTTTTCTTTAAAGGAATTGGGAATAATTTGGTTCTTATTTTTATGTGTAAAAGCTGCCTTGAAGAGTACAAATAAATAAAAATATAATCATCATCATCATCACTTCAATGGGCAGTGAAGGTCTAACTCTGACATTCAGAAAGCCTACATGTGTACAAAATTAAGTGCAGTCTAAGATAAGCCATAATGCAGAAGATTTAGTGTTTTATCGAACGCTATCTCAGTGGTATTCAATTTACACAATGGGACTTTCACTTCCTTTCCTTTCCCCAAGTCCCTCCCTCCCCAGATCAGTTCTGAGGGTCAACAATCTTCTGGAGCAGATTTTGAGGGTGTGTAGGGGGGCTGCAGGGGAGTGGAGTGTGGAGAGGAAGGTCCATTGTATGAGCAGCACAGCAGCGATGGATAAAACTCTCAGGTTCCAGGGCCTGACACCTATTATATATTCAGCAGCGATATGGATTTATCTACTGTTTTGGCTGAGAAAGTGACCTCAACACACACATTTAGGGCATGCTGCCTTCATTTAGGGAGGAGGGAAGAAGCGGATGGGTGCACCCCATTCTTTATCCCTGCACTTCAGAATCCATTCAAAGCGAACAGAAACAGCTCATCTTGCAACCCAAGCACAACATCTATCCAACCTGGTTTGAACATCTGTAGTGCCGAGCTCTACAAAGAGATTTGTTTCATTTATTTAACAGCCCTTCCAGGCAGGAAGCTGCTAACAGCCAGTCTACAGGCTTAAACTGGTCATGGCCCACCATGCTGAGGCAGAAGGCAAGGTTAGTTTTAACTGGCCATATGATTCCTGGGTTACACCTGGGCCAAGTTATCTAGCATCCAGAACGGTTTGCAACAAATGGTGCATAGAGGCCAGTTTAGCTGAGATAGTTACAAAATGAAAATATGTGACGTAGAGTGGAAAGGAAGGTTAATGTCAAAGGCTGCAACTTTCAGATTAAGGTAGTTTTCACTCCTGTGAAATACATCACAGGAACATGAGGGCAAGCTAACATGCAAGTGGCTGTCACACACAGCAGACTCTGGACCTGTGACAATTCCCTGGCTCCCTACACCCTAGAACGTACCAGTTATAGTCAAACCAGGATGCATAGCTGGGGATAATGATGTGATTTGTCTGTTCTGTGACATTGTCTTCTCCGGTATCTATCGAGCGGCTCTGGTCACCTTTGTTGGGATCTTCGTCTTCCTGCAGGAGGAAAGATATAGAGTTGTTTGGGAGGGCAGTTATTGGCTGTGCAGAGCACAAAAAAAGTTCAAAAGGCCATAGTGATGTCAGGGGGCAGCGGTGGGAAACGTTTTCTGGCCACAAGGCCAAATCTTGAAACTTCTCAACTGCTGGAGGGCCCAATTTGGCAGGCGGGCAGGGTTACCCACCTGACATTACAGTGACATAAGGTAAAGCTGCACTTTAGTTCATTTTCACTCATTCTTCTCTAAATGAAAAGCTAGCAGTTTACCTTTCCTCCCGTGGCGACCGTCTCCTCATCCTGCTCATCTGCAAAATAAATGAGCAGAGAGAAATAAACACAACGGCACAACTAACGATCCTTTACACCTCGTGCCTTCCAGATGTTTTGGACTACAACTCCCATCAGCCCCAGCACCCCACAGCCACGTTGGCTAAGGCTGCTGGGAGTTGCAGCCCGAAACCCCTGGGGGGCGCCTGGTCAAGGAAGGCTGCTTTACCATCATTGCGCCTCAACGGGGCAATAACTGCAGCAAGAACAAGAGCAGAAAAATATGCACAAGCCATTGCTAGAGAAGTCATGTGACCTGGCAAACATTGAGCCTGTCACAGAAGAAAGAAAAGGAGAAAGGGTATATTCCATAAAGGCCAGTAAATGGGCACTTGCTTAAGCAGCAGCCTTGTATTATTATTCTCTTGCATTTATTTATATCCCATCTTTTTCCCGGACCGGGAAAGGGACCTGTGGCATGGGACGCAGGGAGCCAACTCACCACCATCATGCCTGTTCCTGCTTTAGCTGGGAGTGGCCCTTCTCCTGCCCATTGTAAGGCTCAGTGGCCCTGTGGGGAAGAGAGGAGGGGTGCCCAGGGGAGTGTCTGCTGGGACCATCACTGGGCACCACTTTTTCCTCCTGCCTTGCTCCATTCCCCTGACCTTAATAAGGTAAAGACGCTGCTTAAGTATCCTTGATTTCCCTTAACATTTTTGTTGTGAATGCCTTTTTGGAAGTAACACGGATGTGCATTGTTTTAAAACACTGTTGGAATATATTGAATTGGTATCATTTGTATTTGCATTTTTGTATTTCTATATATCTGTTTTTTCCTAAGAACCACCTTGGGAGCCCTCTTGGTTGGAAAGCATAATATAAATAATCAGTGACGTAAAAAAGCAAGTCAGAGGCTATTGAACTCCTGGCCTATAAAGCCTTTCTTGGCCTTGATCCACCATGTCTCACTCCATATGAGACCATCTGCCCATTAAGACCCCTTAATGAGAGGCCCCTACTTGGGGTTCCTTCCCATCTAAAGGTAAGACAAGCTGGGTAGCCATAAAAGCTTTTCGCCAGTTACAGCTACAAATCTATCACTACCCTGCTTGGAAAAGCATGCTTCAACCTGCAGATATTTAGGGAAAATAATCTAAGACCTTATTTTATTTTTAACCCACGAAATTACAAACATTTTTGGGACTCACACTGTTTCAAATGCATTTAACAAATAGCCAGTTTCATTTGTGAGGCTGTGATTTGTAACTGTCAGAAAAATTGTGAAGGTTCAGTTAACACTAGTGGCATTGTCTCGAAGAAATGTGAGCTTCCCTGAACATTGTTTCAGTAGGGCAGGATATAAAAAGACTTGCCATGGCAGTGTCAGCTATTTTAGTGAAGAATCACCCTTCCCCTACCTACAGAGATAATTTTAAATGCCCGGGGCAGTTTTAAAAATAATAATCGTCTGGCAGCCTTTTGGAGGCTTCTACCTTCTGCATCCTCCTTTAGAATGAGAGCCCTCCAGAGAGTAAGAATAAGCCTCTACAGAAAATTGCTTTTACACACACCCCTGGAACGGGCTGAGTTACAAAGCAAATATAGATGCCAGCCTCAAAGAAGAGGGGAAAATCTATCATTTAAAAAAACCAACCAAAGAACTTACCAAGGTCTGCTACTGTTCCTCCTTTCACCGGAGTGTTTTCACTATCTTTCTTTGGATTTACTGTAAAAATTAAACAAGATTGAGATCGTCAGGCTGTGCATTCTCTGCAGTAACACTGCATGGGTTGTTACATTATGCAAAGGTAGCCTAGCCACCTCTTCACTCTCCCCACCATCAATCATATGGTTATGAACCACATTTTCTCATTAACTGGCTTTGCACACAATGAGCCCCTATCCCAAGCTAACAATCTTCCTTTGCATTTGTTGGTGAATTACATTTGATAAATAAAGAACTCAGGGTTAGGCTGGGCAATGTTAGGATGAAAGGCAGTGAGCAGTTCATTAGGATCATCCAGTTATGTTTCTGGTTCTCATAAAAAAACCTCATGAGCAAAGACTAGGACTGGCTGCATATAAGTTGAGGCCAGATGACCAAGGCCTCCTGATCAAAGCCCAGCAGACTGACCTGCTACTCTACAAACAGCAATTTTGAAGGACACTGTCCTACTACTGCAATACTCGACAGAAGAACCATCAAGCCTTCTATTCAGACTTGCTATAAGTAGTTATTTCGAAAAGCAGGTTCTTGCCTGGAACATCAAGTCACTCTTACAGTTGAGTCTTACTTTCCCAGGCTTGTAAGACATGAGACCACTGAAAATCTTTGCCCAAAGAACAAAAAGAAGGGGCCAGTTGCTGGACCTGGCCAAAGAACCATCTAGTTCAGCACTGCGTTCTCACAATGGCCAAGCAGATCATTGCAAGCAGGACCTGAGAGCAACAGAACTCTCTCCACCTCTGATTCCCAAAGAATCAGAGTTACTTATTTCATAGAAGCTAGAAGTTACTTATTTTATAAAACTGATACACTGCTTGATTATTAGAAAAACTCATGAATCGGTTTATGAAAGAGATAAAGCAATACAACTATCTATAAGAATTATTATTAATAATAATTACTTTCAAAAAGTTAAAATAACAACTAAAATCAGATTAAAATCTGCATATACATAAGCTACCATGATGAGTAGTGTAGGACTTCCAAGACACAACTGGGAGAAAGACCTTTGCTTCAACAATAGACCTTCATTGTTTTGTGGCTTGAGACTGAAGTGCCCACGCAATGGGGAGTTAAGTAAGCTGCACTGCAGACATCAGCACTGCCTTTGTGCCTTGCCACTCCTTCGCCAGCCTAATGAAACACTTCTAAAATTTCATGCTCAAGGCCTGTCAAGTGGGAGACCTGCAAGTGCAAGAGATTGGGGGCGGGGGGGACAGAAGCCACTTCCTTGTTCCAGCTCTGCAGGAAACCAAGGAGAAGACTGGCCAATAAACATGGGTGTAGGATTCCTGCACCAGGAGTTGTGTATTCACAGCTTGCTACATTTAACTGTTTACTTTGCTGATCTGCCCACCGCAGTTCAGAAGAGGTTGATGGGCGCCACGCCTGCTGCAAGCCCAGGGGGCACTGCTGTCAGCTTGCAGGCAAAACTGATTTGCGTTCTCACAAGGGTCCTTTGTGAGTAACTGCGGCGAGCTATTATTCTTACACATTCTGGAAATTACTCTCTTGCCCAGTGCTGAAAATGTTACTTTTTGCCCATTGCTTCTGCCCATGTTTCTGACAGTCATCTGTCTAGAACAGTCTCTGGTGCCTTGTCTACATCTTGTGCTAAACAAGATGATGGTAGATAAGGAACAGAGCCTTCCAATAACCGATCAGGCAGCTCCAGCTCCAGATCAGCAGAGTATTATGGCAGTATATCTTTTAAGCACACATTTTGCTGAGGAAACACACTCCTCTTTCCAACAGCTAAAAATGTACACAAAGCCAGCTCTGAAGGGGTTTATTCAAGATCAAAATACAGACTAGATATTTTCGATGCTCCGAAGCAACGGAAACCAAATGCACTTCCACAATATATTCAGGGGAAAACAAACATTTATGTTGGCAGCTGGGGATTTATCCATTGGGAGGGAGGGAAAAGATATCTGGGTAGTGGAGCTGATCACATAACTGTGAGCCAATTACGGTCTGCAAACACAGACAAAGGAGGCAGTTTTAGAAGGAAGAAGGAGGAAGTTCTGGATAGGAGAAGAATGTCAGGCTTGCTTCGGGAGGAAGGAGAGACGAAAGAATGGAAGAATTGGCAGTTGAGCCACCTCTTTTGCAGGTCAACTCCAGCAGTGGCTTGAACATATCACCTTAAGACTTTTAACATGAACAATCGTTTTCACAAAGGGAAGCAAAGATTGGCCTTTAATTCTTGGGGCAGGGGGGACCCTAAGAAACAGGAAATTCCTAAATCTCCAAAATCATGCTCATATTACACTGAGTTCCAGGATTGGACACACACACACTCCCCCTTCTGCTTTGAATGCAGGAGAGGTGCAAAGAGCTGCTCTCTGTGAGTAAGCCTGATGGGTGCACCATTGGAGCAGTGTTCGAAACTCCCATTGTTCTAGGCGCATTTTGTGACAGGGAAATGTCATTAGCATGAGCAGTTTCTGAGCTCTGGGTGCAGTACCGCACCTAAGATTTCAGATTAAAACTGCAGAATGGAAGGAAAGGAGGAACTTTTTCTGCCTCCCCCTTTCCAGCTACCCTCTGAAGACTGGAGAAGAGACCCTCTTAAGAATATTAGGGGGGTGGGCAGTGGAAGGACTAGACTATGTGAAAAATGAATGTAATATTCATTCGTTTTCAGCTCTGTATTCTTGTTATAAAAAAAGTGTGGCTAGACATTCTGTTGTTGCACTCATAATCTCGATTTAAGGTGCCATTTAGCTCCTAGCTTTCATATCTGTTTCTAACACTGCGTTGGAGAGATATCTCTGGACGCATGGCAAGAATGTGTTGTGCTCTGCAAGAGCAGTCACTCAAACCCAGGTTTTATGCAAAAAGTCCAGTTCAGTTCCATCAAGATTACCCATCATCAGCATCAACAAACAAGACATGGCAAAAGCCATGGTACGGAGACAGCTCAGTCACGGGGCAAGTATTTGGAACACTGTACCATTTTTAGGAAGTACCACTTCTTCTATGTTAGGCACAGGGGTTGGATCCTCCATGTCCTTGGTAAGATCTTCTTGCTCATCTTCTTCCTTTTGCCCTCGCCTTTTCCCATACAGACTTGCTTGCCTGTGACAAATTAAGCACAAACAACAAGTCACCTAATGGTTTCCTAACAGATGGCTGCATCGGCTACATTCTGTACTACTGTGATACTGCACCTCAAAAGTATGGGCAGAGCCCATGGACCTATAAGAAAGTTCTGGGCAGTGATATTCACTAGGTGAATAGAAACCACAATATTTCTGGCTGGATGGCCATCTGTCATGGATGCTTTGGTTGAGAATCCTGCTTAGCAGCGGGTTGGACTAAGGTACTGGGTACCTTGGGACACGGGTGGTGCTGTGGTCTAAACCACAGAGCCTAGGGCTTGCCGATCAGAAGGTCGGCTGTTCGAATCCCTGAGACGGGGTGAGCTCCCATTGCTCGGTCCCTGCTCCTGCCAACCTAGCAGTTCGAAAGCACGTCCAAGTGCAAGTAGATAAATAGGTACCGCTCTGCCGGGAAGGTAAACGGCGTTTCCGTGCGCTGCTCTGGTTCGCCAGAAGCGGCTTAGTCATGCTGGCCAAATGACCCGGAAGCTGTACGCCGGCTCCCTCAGCCAGTAAAGCGAGATGAGCGCCGCAACCCCAGAGTCGTCCGTGACTGGACCTAACAGTCAGGGGTCCCTTTACCTTTACCTGGTACCTTAGGAGTACCTTCCAACTCCAACGAATTTCTAATTAATATTCTGAAGCTAATAGTATTCATTTTGTAGTGGTGTGACTTTCTGGGACTAGATAGATACGCCTGGCAGAAATTAGCGATTGCAGGCAAATGCATTCTTCTCCATTTGTGGCATGGGGTTTTAGGAGATATGGAATTGGGGGTAAGTCTAATTGTAATAAGGAAAGGAGGGGTAGACAATTATGGCCTCCTTTCTTCAAGCTTCTCTGCCCACCCACTGAGCCACATTTGAGCCTTTTTAATGTCGTCAGTCCAGAACAGACCATTAATCATTCATAATATAATCTTAAGTGGCAGATCTGGTGTGTATAACAGAGACGTGGTTTGAAGGGCCAAGAGAGTCTGTCTGAATCCAGCTATTCCTGATACAAGGTCACTGAAAAGGAAGTGTGGGGCCCTGCTAAGGAGATGGTCATGCTTAGCAGGGGCTCAGTCTAAGGCACAGCCCATTTTGCGTGTGTACACATAGTACAGGAAATCAGGACAGAATAAGGACTCTGCTTCAACCCACCATGAACAAGAGAAGATTAATTCACTAGACTGGATCTTTAGTGAAGAGCCCGGCTTTCAGAATTTCAGGAATTCATTTCTGGAGAAAGCTGTTATCCTAATCAATAATGCTTCCTTTTAAAAAATTACATACACTATGATGCTGTTCAACTGTCTTAATTTAAGCTACTTTGAGGGGCGTATGGCAGAAAAGTCACACATAAATTTCAAATATGAATAATGTGTGCAATAGCTTAGGCTCATACAAGGAAGAAAACAGTTGTCGTTTTTTACGTTCAACAACTGCACAGACAACTGTATTAAAGAACAGAGTTACATCAGGACAGACTTTGCCATATTGAGAAGTAAATTTGCTTATTAATGGTCTCCGCATGTCAACTGTGAGGCGCTCATTAGATTGGAAGTAATGACTGCGTCAAGTTTTCTTCTACTGGCAGGAGGTACATTCCCCTTGGATGATCAAGGAATGAAGCTCAATGTGCAGCATTAAACATTCATGGACTCAAGGAGACGGCATCTTAGCAGGCCGCTGTAAATGTGGAGTTGAGCCGAGCTGCTGGCTCATCTCTCTCTCCCTCAAATATTTCAGAAATAAATTATTGTAAACTGCAGGAGCTGCAGACTACTCACCCCTTCTTTCCAGCTTTCTTCCTCGATTCTGCTGGGGTGGGAGGAGGTGGTGGTGAAGGGGAGTGCCGCCGTTTTCTGGCACCTGTGGCTGCCTTCCTATCTCTCCGTTCAGGGCTATGGACTGGCTGTCACGAGGGGGGGGGAAGGTCATCAGCGATAGGCATAACCTGTCCAGAACTAAGATGCACTTTGCTATCTACCAGGGCCTAGCACTGTCAGATTTTGCTTAGTAAGGAAGAGGCTGCCAACTACTTAAGGGTACTACCCAGCCCTTTAAAGAGGCACTGCAAAAATCCACTTAAGGAAACAAGGTAGGATAAAACTTCAACATATGACCTGCTGCAGATAAAAACTGACACATCACCCACACCCACACCCATGGAAAGAACTAGTCAAAGGGATTCAAGCAAAGTTAGCTGGTCTAAAAACCCCTCTTGGCTCCAGCAGACCCGAAGATGAGAAATAGATGGGCCTGTGGAAGGTCAACAGAACTGGTCCCTGGCTCCTCCCAAGCCAGCTATACTTAGCTTGTTCACTTGCCATTTTAAGGAAAATTTGAGTCATAGAGCTAAGTCCCACACTAATTTCAAGAAGAATACTGGCATTTCTTCGAGAACCAGACAATCGGCTTAGGTATAGCAGCAGAGTAAAACGAAAGAACACCCAACTAATGCAGTTATTCTACATTGCATCCATCATATGAAATAAGTAAGTCTTACTTCTTCATTTTTCATATAGATACGCTGGCGAAAGCTGACCAACTTCTTGTTCTCATCTACTTCATAATCTTCTTCATTCATCCATTCATTGAATACATCTGTGTCCAAAATCCACTTAGCATGAACCTGCAAAACCAAGTGCGACAACACACAGGCACAGAGTGCATTTCAGACATTGAGGCTCCTCTCATTATGAAAACACATGTTTAAAAAATTATTGCAATCCACGTTATGAACAACTGCAGCAAGCAATAAAGTCAGAACTCCTTACTTCCACATTAATTTTTATTTTTCAGAATTTGTAAACTGCTCTGCATTCAGAGAACACCCAAGTAGTACACAGGAACAGAACACAAAACAGATCACAAAAAGCACTGCAACACAAAAACCACCAAGAATGAAGAAATGCAAAAGAGAGACTAAAATAATGACAATAATTTTATTGTTTATATGCTGCCCGTCTGACTGGGTTGCCCCAGCAGTTCTGGGTGGCTTCCAACAATGTACAGTTGCCTTCCAGGGGTTACAGAGACATGCTATTCATGTAGGTCTTAAATTCAGTTTGCAAAAGCAACCGTTGAAATAATCTTCAGTAGCAGAGCTGAGAAACATTCCCACGGTGGAAGTTGGAGCCCAGCAAAATCTGGAGTCCAACAAGTTAGCCATTCCCAGTATACAGGGCGTGTTCATGAGATTTAGCTTGGCCTTCGCCAGCCTGGTGCCCTCCAGATATTTTGGGTGGGTGTGCTGGCTGGGGCTCAAGAGGGATATAGACCAAAACAGCCCAGCATATTCCGTTCATAGCCAGAGAGGGGTCAACAAAAGGCAAGTGGAAACAGCACCCACCTCTGTACAATTTGCCAGCCCAAAACTTTAAAAAGCTGAAATTTAAAACGGGTTCTTTTGCTTTTGTTTCAACAAGATTAGAGTTCAGGAGCATCTTATGTGGCACTAGAGTCCTGAGCCCAGTCTTTCCAGCCCACCGACACAGCTCTCCTCTGTTCCTTCACCTTAATTCTCATCACGTAATACTATTATTCTGCTGACTGCAGGAAAATGAATTAATGAATCCGGGAATAATGTTTCATGTTGTCACACAAGTACAGCAATTATCTGAAAAGAAGCAGTTCTATTGAAACAATTTCCTTATTTTTCTCTCTCAACGAATGAAAACAGTCTCCACTCACAACTACTGCACACAGGCCTCTAATCATTCTGAAAGCAGAAATAAGGCTGCCAGTGTTGTACTGCCTCTAAGTTCAACAGACTCCAGAAATTACGAACCTTGTCATCATTAGCATGAACTCCAAGCCTTTAATCAAACAGACCTCCTTTGCCCTAACAAGTTCTCATTTCCAGCACTAGGGCTTCTTAATGATACATTGGCCCTTAAAAACAAAAGGACCTTGCAATACAATAACAAACATTTAATCTGGTTAATGAAATAGTTTACGAAGAACCATTCCTGTGCTGTGGTAATGGGATAACCTGTGCTAGGAGCTGAAGTCCAGGCAAACCCCTCCTGCCTTACTTTGGGAGCTTATCTCTGCCAGGAGAGATGAGAGCCACCCACTGCATTGCTTAAATATATAAATTCTCATTAAATTTTTAAACCATTTGCAGCATTGAAGAGCTCAATTCTAAACAGTTCTTTCTGCAGTTTCAATATACTTATTTCATGAAATTTACATACAGCTTAATTGTAAAAAAATAAAAACACCTCAAAGCAATGTACATGTGTTTTTATTATTTTATAATGTAGTCTTAAAATATTGGTTTCGGGTTTTTTTTTATACAGTGGTACCTCGGGTTAAGTACTTAATTCATTCCAGAGGTCCGTTCTTAACCTGAAGCACCGCTTTAGCTAATGGGGCCTCCTGCTGCTGCCGGGCCGCCGGAGCACGATTTCTGTTCTCATCCTGAAGCAAAGTTCTTAACCCGAGGTACTATTTCTGGGTTAGCGGAGTCTGTAACCTGAAGCGTATGTAACCTGAAGCGTATGTAACCTGAGGTACCACTGTACTATTTGTACACCACTTGAATTGTTTATGTTTTTAAGGAACACCTTAATAAGTAAATAAATAAAGGGAGCTTTTCCTGCTACCATGGGAAGAATTATTTTGGTTTAGTAATACAAGTGCTTTGTCTATTGCTATTCTAGACTTACTGCTTGCCCTCTTTCGTACTCTGCATGTGTGAAACAACACGCTGCATTCTTTCAAATACCATTTCCCTCTGGGAACGGAAGGCTGTGAAATTACGTCAGCGCAATTTCGGGAAGAGCACACACTCACCTTCCACGGCTTCTCTGGAATTGGAGGGTCTTCGATTTCGGCATCTATATCAGTAGCATGAACCCAAGTGTCATAGCTATAAAGGAAAATCAAAAGCAACAATGTGAACCCATCCCTCAGGTAGTTTCATTATGGTAGCACTGCCATAATAAAAGCATCCAGTGATTTTGCATCACACTCATTGTAAAAGGAAGGAAGGAAGGAAGGAAGGAAGGAAGCCTTTTAAAAGACATGGTATGCTGAAGCTGGGAAAATGTGTTGAAATAAGTGTAATGAAATAGCAGATCTGGTGGCAAAACATATCTTTGGGCAAGGCAGTAGACACAGCAGTTGAGCAAAAGGAGCCCTCAGCTACCATTTCAATGGAACAGCTGCTCAACACCTTAAAGAGCTTAGCAATTATTTATTTCTACAAGAATTATGCCACTTAATATAATCTAATCCGGTTAAAAGAAAAACGACACAACACAATTAAACATTTCCTGAAAACTATTAATAAAAATAAAGCAATTGCAAGGCAAAGGCTGCAACAGTTGACCCAAAATAACATAATGTGTGTTTATGAAAGGATGTGGACAGTGTAACAGATGGCAGTTTCCAGTCAGTTATGAGGAAGGAATATATTATGGATTTTTGGTGTGGGTTAGCGTTTCTCAAGATCACCATATCTTCTTCTTTCAGCAGAAGATTGTGCAGACATAATGTCAAAATATCACATGTGGTTTGTTGTACTGCCTGAACCAACAATTACGGGGGACAAAACTATGGCTTGCAAACAGCCGTCAAAACAGGATCTGAACCACAGTCTGAAGACAGCCTGCATAGGATGGTTTAGGAAAATGGCAGTTTGTTATGACTGCACTGAGGGGCTGCTGTTTGGGAGAGCATCTGTGAATTATCAAGGGAGGTAAGGGGAAAGGAAACCACACAAACTGGAGTTTGCTTGTCTATTTGGAAGGGAAAATATGGTTTGGGGTCTACTCTACGGTTAGGGAAAGCCATGGTTTGGTGTTACTTCTGAACCAATCCTGTATTATCAAGGTGAGGATATTTCATGTATTTAATGATGGATTGCCTTTTATAGGGGTCACAGCAGCAGTGCTCTTGGACAAACATCCGTGCAGGCAGCCACATTGAATTTTAAATGGTAGGGAGAGAATGTATCCTTCCCACCAGATAAGCAAGGGGCAATATTTTTGAAAAATGGGTGCTGGCACTTCAATCCTTGTCATTACCTGTCTGGGTAATAGCCCCAATGCACAAGAACTTGCTTGTCTTTCTTCATTACAGGTCTTAACCACTCTTCTGCAAAAGGGAAAAATAAAATGCCATCAGGGTCAGAAAGTGATCCAGCTTTAACACCGTTCCAGTTTCACAAGCTTGAAAACATTCACTTTTGTCATCCCAAAAGGAAGAGTTCTCAAGAGGCTGGGTTGGAGATTCATTTTCTTAATGGAATGTCCATCTACAAAGGGCTCACACAAAGCAGCAAAGGTAGAGTTGGAAGGTAACTGCTGCTCAGATTGGCTCAGTTCTCAGTATCTGGGTAAGAGCTTTGTCAGCATGGAGCAAGGAGACAAGCAGTAGTACAGAACAGAATAGGAGGGACATTTAGTGGTACCTCTGGTTATGAACTTACCGTATTTTTCGCCCCATAGGATGCACCTAGTTTTTTTTGGGGGGGGGGGAATAAAGAAAAAAAAATTATTTCCCCCTCCAGGCACGGGGCTGGCGCGGGGGAAGCCCGAGCTTCCCCCGACCCCAGAACAGCCTGCTATCTGCAAGCCTAGGGAGCCGTACCGGTCTACCCAGGCTTGCGGAGAGCTGCGCGAAGCCCGGGCGCGCTCTTCAGCGCGCCCCAGGCTTCGGAATGCAGGCAGCTCTGTACAACCTTTGGGAGCCTGGCACAGCTTCGCACCGGGCTCCCGAGGGTTGCGCAGAGCTTCCTGAAGCCTGGAGAGCGAGAGGGGTTGGTGCGCGCCGACCCCTCTCGCTCTCCAGGCTTCAGCGACATTCGCCCATAGGACACCACATTTCGCCTTCATTTGGAGGAAGCGTCCTATAGGGCGAAAAATACGGTAATTTGTTCCGGAGGTCTGTTCTTATCCTGAAACTGTTCTTAACATGAGGTACCATTAGCGAAAGTGCGTCTGGCGTGCGATTTCCACTCGCATCCCAGAGCAAAGTTCGCATCCCGGAGCAACTACTTCTGGGTTAGCGCAGCTCATAACCCGATGCAACCAGAAGCGTTCGTATCCAGAGGTACCACTGTATTTTTATTTCCAACATTTATACACTGCCAAACAGCAGTGTTTGCCTGTAAACAATAAAGTGTAAAACAGGAACAGATGATGACATCCATACAGCAAAGTTCACAGCAACATCAAAAATTTCCCACTTCTTAAAACTCCAAACATATATAAAAGACTTAGGAAATCACTAAAAGATGAAAATGCCCTAACACAGGTGCCCTAACACAGATGCCCTAACCAGGCAAGTCGCTCTGGGCAGGGCATTCCATAACCAGGGTGCCATCCCTGAAAAGGTCTTCTCTAGTTGCACCCACTGCATCACATTTGGCAGGGGCATCCAAAGGAGGGCCTTAGAGGCTTCCGGTTCCGGTCTGCCTTAATGGAGGCAGTCCCCACAACAGTGGGAGAACATAGGCCATGGAAAAACAAGAACAGGGGGGTAAATCATTCCTGGAAATTTCCCTCAGGGATGCGGGGGAACGGACTTCACTCGCAGTCCATCTCGGTACATGGAATGCAGGGGTCAGTGAGGCGCCGAGTGCAAAAGCACCTCACCTGGAGAAAACCCTCCAACGCCGCCATTAAGAAGCAGAGGTTCTCCTGTTAATTAGAGCTTCATTGGACTAAAGTACAGGTGCATGCTAGAAGAGATGAGATCACAAACTGCGGAACAAAACCAACTGCAAGGACTTTAAGGTTTGAACTTGAGATAAGACTTTATTTGGTGCAAAAGATGGTTGGGGGGGAGGGGAGACTATGATTTCTTTATTTAAAGTTTTCTTCTCTACATTTAAGATTCGGCAACCCTCCTCTGAATGTTAGTTCAGATTATATTTGTACAAGCAAGGATGGAAGAAATTGGATTATAAATATGGAATATAACATCAAATTGAACTGTGTGTGTAAAAAAGAAAGGGAAAAGGGAAGCAAACTATTTTGAAAAAGCTTTACAGTGGAAACTTAGAGCTGACTATTCCCCATCTATTATCTATTAAGTAAACTGAACAACTTTAAGAGGAATTTAATTTGGTAACACCTCAGTTCCCGCTGTATGGGATAGCTGGCTGGGACTGATGGGAGTTGTAGTCCAAAACACAAGGAGGGCACTGGGTTGGCAAAGTCCACTTTATTCTTATTGCAGCCCTGTGCACAATTGGAGCAAAGGCTTTGGTCCTCAAAAGGTCCCTGTAGATATCATTACTCCAGTGAAACTATTAAATCTGAGCCCTATCTATTTACCATTAAAATTTCTAGAAGTTGGAGACTGTATACATGTTGCTTTTGCAGTGATGAGGGTTGCCACTAATGGTGCACCTCAACACTTCATCCCCACTCCTTCGTCTAGAAAACCTGCTCAGCAAGTTACTAACTAGCTTTTAATTGCACTTGAGAAACGTTTTATTCTGGTGGTTCTATGGAGTTTTCACAATGATAGCCGGTTTGAGGTTCCTGAAGGGATATAAAACGTAAATAAATAAGTTGGCTCCATCATTTCAAGGTCACAGGAGTTTAACATTAGTAAACGAGGCCCTGTGGATATTGAGTACAGTGGTACCTCGGGTTAAGTACTTAATTCGTTCCAGAGGTCCATACTTAACCTGAAACTGTTCTTAACCTGAAGCACCACTTTAGCTAATGGGGCCTCCTGCTGCCACCGCGCCGCTGGAGCACGATTTCTGTTCTCATCCTGAAGCAAAGTTCTTAACCTGAAGCACTATTTCTGGGTTACCGGAGTCTGTAACCTGAAGCGTATGTAACCCGAGGTACCACTGTATTGTTCCTTTGTGCAGCTTTGTATTTGGCAGATTGTCTTGAGTATAGCATTTAAATGTCGCGACTCAGTGATAATCACACATTTTGCGGACAATTCTTAAACCTGCCTTTAACCAAAATATGTCAGCATCTTGTAGCTCAAACCTATTTCATGCAAATGGAGGAAACTGAACGTGCACAGTTTTACTTGGCCAATGCTATTTTGATGACAATCTTGCAACCAAGGAGTGGCAGAGGACGGGATGCTGTGGGGAAGCAGAGATACTGAGGCTCAGGCTGGCTGGGGGCTGACAGGTCATGGAGAGTTCAGAGAGAGGAGAGGAAAGACAGTCGCTGCATGCAGCCAGCTTCCAAAAGCGTAACACAATTCTTGGCATAATTCCTCCCTCTCTTGTTCCCTCCCACCCCCCACCCTGGACTTTCTCAGGCCGAGAACCAGGGCAAAAGCAGCATTCGCACACAGAGCAGCTTCTGCTCCCCACGTTTGCTCCCTTCATTATGACCTCTGAACATCCTGCCAAACACCATTCCTACCCTTCCCCTTTTTCTTTCTTTTTTGTAATCTGCACTCAGCCCAGCTCAAAAGGATCGTGCTTTCTTCCAGATAAAGGAAGCGGAGCACAGCTTTCAAGTGATACTTCATTCCCAGAAAGAGGAAACGCTATTTTTGAAGTGAGAAATCCTATCCTCCCCTGAGGGAGGAGCGGGCTGACACGGCAGAATTTCAAGGCCGAGCAGATCTCACAGGAGTCTAGACCGCTGCCTGAGTGTGCTTGTCATTGGAGAGACGGGAGGCTGCACCAGCAGAGAAGCTCCTCTGCTGAAAGACTTAGAAAAATGTAAGCTCTTTTACAAACACCGCACGTTAGCACAGATTTGGCATGCAAATCTATTCTGCTCCCTCCCACAAGCAGTAGTTGGATGCCACCAACTTGAATGGCTTCAACAGAGGGTTAGACCAATCCATGTGGAGCGACTCTGTCAATGGCTACTAGCCAGAATGAAGATGTTCCCCCAACACTGTCAGAGGCAGTGCTCCTCTGAATACCAGCTTTTGGGAAGCACAAGTGGGAAGAGGGCTGTTGAGCTCAGGCCCAGTAAGGTGTGTCAGACGCATGACTCTCCTTCGCCAGTGTTCAGTTGGATTGTTTTCATTTTAGAGCCAAAACTCTAGTTCATGGATAGGCAAACTAAAGCCCGGGGGCCGGATCCAGCCCAATCGCCTTCTAAATCCAGCCGGGAATCAGCATGTTTTTACATGAGTAGAATGTGTCCTTTTATTTAAAATGCATCTCTGGGTTATTTGTGGGGCATAGGAATTCATTCATTCCCCCCCCCCCCAAAAAAATATAGTCCGGCCCACCACATGGTCTGAGGGACATTGGATGGGCCCCCTGCTGAAAAAGTTTGCTCACCTCCACTCTAGTTTGTTAGCGATTCTTGCCTCCCTGTTTTTATTCTGGCTTGTTTTTATAATTATTGTATATTGTTATTATAAGTCTTGTATTTTTAGCCACTGCTGGTCTATGACTGTAATAAACAGATAGATAGATAGATTGATAGATTGAGGATTGGGGCAGCTCAATTGGTGGAGCATGAGACTCTTAAATCTCAGGGTCTTGGGTTCGAGCTCCACGTGGGGCAAAAGATTCCTGCGTTGCAGGGGTTTGGACTAGATTATCTTTGTGATCCCTTCTAGCTCTACAATTCTATTATTCTAGGAAGAGGGTCCCCCCCCCAAAAAAAACCATGACTAGGAAAAAAAATGTTGACAGCAATGGGAAAAAATACATCAATACAGAGAACGCTGCCCAGATCAACCCAGCATATCCAAAAGCTGGGTATAGGAGAAGAGCAAGTTTCCCCTTTCCACACTGAGTGGGATGAAGAGAGAAAAGAACTCTTCCCTCCCAATGCAAATATGTTCAGTCAAAAATACTCGGTGACCCACATAAGGACAACAGTGTAAACAAGCAGGCACGTGTTCATACATGCTTTTTTCACGATGCCATTACAGCAGCTCTGCTTTGCACTTATGCAGAAGGAAAAGATGGATGGACCAGGACAAAAGGCTACTAGCACAAGAGGCTACTTTAGGGTAACACCTGAATTTTACTCAATTTTTTCCAACAGCTAAATAAAAATGACTCGCCGCTCCCTTTAAACAATCTCAGATTCAATACAACGCAGCGGAAAATACATCACAATGAATTAAGCACATAGGAAAATTCAACAGACACCACTAGAATGCAAAACACACACAGCACGGATGATGAAGCCACCGTGCGCTCAAAGCTCCACACAGATGAATGCTGCCATCTAGTGTTGCTCCGAAACAGATTGGGATCAGTTCAGGGGATTGGAGTGGTGGTGGTTAGAATAACCCCATTGTCATAGAATTATAAGAGTTGGAAGGGGCGCTGAGGATCATCTAAGTCCAAACCCCTACTGTGCAGAAATATCCAGCTGTCCCATCCAGGGATCCAACCTGCAACCTTGGTGACATTAGCACCACACTCTAACCAACTGAGCTATCCATGGATGGACATGGTGCTCTTCATTGGGAGTTCTGATGTCTGGGAATTGCAGACATGGCTTGCTCTTAATGGACTTGCTTTAGATAGCTTACCATTCATGGTTTGCTCAAACCAACAAACAAACCACAATCTGAGTTTGTATAACACAGTGTTTGTGTCACATTTGCAAGGCAGAAATGGGATGTCCAGAAGTAAGCTGTGGTTCAAAACGAAACGGTGGCTTAGCACGACATGCAAACCAGCTCACAATATGCAAAGCTCAGAACATCTAATGGGATTTCTCATGCTAATTATTAGTTTGAAAGGTGCTGTTCTGTGAATAGATACTTAAATGACTCCACCCCCTTCTCCCTTATGGCCTTTTCTTCCTGACACCTCCTCTCAGATCGGTAAAGGTAAAGGGACCCCTGACCGTTAGGTCCAGTCGCGGACAACTCTGGGGTTGCGGAGCCCATCTTGCTTTATTGGCCGAGGGAGCCGGTGTACAGCTTCCGGGTCATGTGGCCAGCATGACTAAGCCGCTTCTGGTGAACCAGAGCAGCGCACGGAAACGCCGTTTACCTTCCTGCTGGAGCGGTACCTATTTATCTACTTGCACTTTGACGTGCTTTCAAACTGCTAGGTTGGCAGGAGCAGGGACCGAGCAACGGGCGTTCACCCCGTCGCAGGGATTCGAACTGCCGACCTTCTGATCGGCAACTCCTAGGCTCTGTGGTTTAACCCACAGCGCCACCCGCGTCCTCTCAGATCAGTAATGTGCACCAAACTGTTCCTGGAAAACCCATCTTTACTGTGAGACCCCACACCTTACTTCTCATCCTAAATTGAAATAAAGCCTAAGTACATCTAATCACATTTGCTTAGACTCATTCTGCTTACCTTTGACATTTCTCTACACCATTTCATCTCTACATTTCTCTCCTCTACTGTCAAAATTAAAATACCCTACCCTGTGTGGGGCAGGGTATTGTATTATCCACCTGTATTCATTTGTGTTGTGGGCACTGACAGTGTAAATGAAGTTATATACAAACCTCAGTACCCTGAAACCTATTAAGATATTTCTCTGTGGTATCCCAGGTAAGGCTCAAAAACAATTTCCCCCATTCCAAGGTCTGTAAACTGAATGAAAAAAGCTATGTTGATCAAACTATTCATTAGGTTCAGACATATCTCATTTCACTCTTTATAATGCATAAATTGATGCTTTCCACTCTCCAGTACACCTCCTCAGTATATTTTTTTTAATTTGTTTTTTTTTTAATCACAAAACTGATGGGATTGGTACAAAATATTTCATTTACTTAGAATACTTCTATATCAGCTTTTGGTCCAAAGACCCTTGAGGTGACTAGTAAGAAATGAATGAATGAATTTTACCTTCATCCAATGAGGTAGGAACAGGATAAATATGGTGGGTGGCTTTAGACTTCTCATCTGTGACTGTGCCCTAGGAAAGAACAAAAACAGGTATTGCATCAGAAATATGTAAAGGAATAAATGCATAAAGAATCACCTTCCTTTCCCAGCAACATGCCATATTTGGAGCCTGGATACAACATGACACTAGATGGCATTGGAGTAGTGATCTATAGGCCCCATTTCCTCAACTGGACTCTGGGCATAGTAAGAGCACACCCATTTTGGTTTCTTACCAAGGAAAACCCCTAAAAATTCCAGCCGTTAGTGCTAGTGAAGTAGTCTAAACTGCTTCCTCTTTCTTTCAAGATACAGGAGAGTCATCTATTAATTCAAATAAACTACGAGCATCACCCAGCACTGATCCCACCGTGAATCTGCACATTAGATTTCTTATACACCAGTTTATACATAAATTGTTTTGTAAGCATCATCATTTGCAATTCAGATTTCCTACCCCTTTTAAATGCAGATTTGTTTTAGAAGCTATAGGCAAATGTTTTCATTACTTGCCGGGGGGGGGGGTGTCTAAGTTGCTATCCCCTCCAGCTAACAATGGAAACAAAAGACTCCTGTCTGCTGGGTTCTTTTTCAGCGGACTCTTATAAATATTATATCATCTCATCAATATATAATAAATATAAACCAAGTGCATTCTATTAGTATCATTTAAATCAACTTGACCTAACGTTGTTTTCAGCGATGTGGAAACCTGATGTCTTGCATGATGTTCTTTCTATACTTAATCAATAAGCTGTTTCTTATATTTAATAAAATTTAAGAGCATATTTTCTACCTCTGCCAGGGCCCATTTTAGTGAATGCCATAATTTTAGATTAAGTGGACATGCTGCCACCTGCCCTTAGTGTTAAGACAACTTAACATTAATACGCTGTAATCCACTGCTGATTTCACAAGCTATATAAACACTAAGCTGCTTTTAGCGAGAAGCACAATACACTTAAGTCTATTCTTAGATACCATTTTGGTTGTGAGTCCTAGAAGACCTGCTCCCTGCCTTGCAGGCCTTTTCCCACCTGGCTTGGGAGGGCGGGACTCTGACTGACCTCAGCTACACAAGCTGAGGCTGCTGAACAGACTCTTGTTCTAGTGTACTGTGTAAGGATTTTGCGGGAAGAGGGAGATCTTATGGTTTTTGTGGGAATTGTTCCGCTTGGGTGTGTATTTTTTAACGTTCCATTTATTGTTTAGGATGCTTGATGATCGTCTTCCAAAGCAACTACTCTATTCCAAACTTTAAAATGGAAACCGTAATGATGGTCAACAAAAGAGGTTTAAAGACTCTCTCAAGGCAAATCTTTAAAAAATGTAGTATAAACACTGACAACTGGGAAACACTGGCCTGTGAGTGCTCCAGTGGGAGAACAGCCTTTACCAAAGATGTCATAGGCTTTGAAGACACTCGAACTCAGGATGAAAGGGAGAAACATGCCAAGAGGAAGGCGCGCTTGGCAAATCCACACCGTGATCAGCTCCCGCCCGGAACCAATGTCCCCACTGTGGAAGGGCGTGTGGATCTGGACGTGTGGATCCAGAATTTGCCTCCGCAGTCACTTACGGACTCGTTGTTAAAACCGTCTTTATGGAAGACAATCTTACTCGGCTACGAGTGATCACCAAAGGAAGATTGCTTAGGACTTCTTCTGTTACATTGCAATTACATGTTTTTTCATGTTGTAAGCAGCCTTGAGGATGGTCTGAACTGTGGAAGGGTGGCATACAAATGAAATTACATATGTATCTACATATGTATTCTCAGCTTTGCCTTCAACTATTTGGGAGAGAAGTTAATCTTCAATAGGAAAACTGAAGAATGCTGGCATGTTCCTCTCATTTCCTTTGGGAGTGGGGGAGAAGAGGGAGGAAAGAACCTCTTTCCAATTCACACAGCTAACAGAAGCACAGGTACATCCACTCCCTGGCGTCATTAAGTCAAGGATTGAATCTTGCCATTATGACAAAAAGCCAACCAGTGCTTGTTTCAGGTTTATGAGGCCAGTGGACAAATGTCCCCAGGAGCCCCTTTTCAGCTGTGGAGAAGAGAAGACAGCCACTGCAGTTGAAGTTCTTCCCTAGCTGTTCTCTCAGAGAGGAAGGGCTTAGGAGGAAAGCAGCTCCTACTCTACAGTCCAGAGCAATGTGGACCCCAGGTTGGAAGGTAGCAAATAATGAAGATATTACTAATAGGCACCTCACACCAAGATTGTAGCCTTACAATCTGACATCATGTTGCACCTGTGAACACGCCTATGGTGCCAAAAAGGTTTTCACAGGGACAAGATACATGTAAAATGGAAATATTACAGTTATACAGTCATACCTCGGGTTACAGAGGCTTCAGGTTGCGTTTTTCCGGGTTACAGACTGCCGAAACCCAGAAGTACCAGAACGGGTTACTTCCGGGTTTCGGCGGTCGCACATGTGCAGAAGCGCCAAATCGCAACCCGCACATGTGCAGACGCGCCGCTGTGGGTTGTGAACGCTGCGGGTTGCAAACATGCATCCCACACGGATCACATTCACAACCCAAGCATCTACTGTATGAAGGTGAGCAAGAAATACATTTTAGTCACCTGACTCAAGTCTACATCACAAGCTGAAGCAAATCACCATCTCCTTCAGAAAATTCTATTAGCTAGAGCAGAGATGGGGAATCTGTGGCCCTGCAAATGTTGCTGAACTACAACTCCCATAATCTTTGGCCATTGGTCATGCTGTCTGGGGTTGATGGGTGTTGGAAGGCCACCAACATCTGGAGGGCCAGTAGTTCTCCAGCCCTGAGATAAGAGTCTGAAATAATTATGTTCCTATGTGCTGAGTCCCTTTGCAATTATGCTAAACAGATCAACATTTGACATGCTAAATGTATGATGTGCCTAATACCTGGTGACGTTTGACAATGTCCTTTAGCTTATTGGCTAACTTCAGTTCAATTTCTGGTACGAGGTAGATGGTTGGTCTGCTCAGACAGTTATTCTGGAAGAGAAAATAAAGGAAAGATCATTTTATTAAAAACAAAAACCAGTAATAAAGAGATTACCAGCACAACTATGGTAATCCATTACACACAACCTGGAAATGGCGGGAGAGAGCTGGAGAGTCTTCATGGCTTGCAAGGGGACCATACCTGGAGCCCAAAGAGGACAACTGCGAGGGCAGAGGAAGCCCAAAAGAGGTGCAGCCGGGCTTTGTTTAGCCTGCTCAGCCTCTGTGCCTAACAGCTGGTGAGAGCGGTAGCAGCAGTAGCTGCTTTCCCACACATCCTCCAGCCGACCCCAGAGCTTCCATTCTAGTTGTGAATATTTTTATATACAGTATTCTTTGTCTAGGGATGCGGGTGGCGCTGTGGGTTAAACCACAGAGCCTCTTGGGCTTGCCGATCAGAAGGCTGGCAGTTCGAATCCCAGCAACGGGGTGAGCTCCCGTTGCTCGGTCCCTGCTCCTGCCCACCTAGCAGTTCGAAAGCACATCAAAGTGCAAGTAGATAAATAGGTACCACTCCAGCGGGAAGGTAAACGGCGTTTCCGTGCGCTGCTCTGGTTCGCCAGAAGTGGCTTAGTCATGCTGGCCACATGACTCGGAAGCTGTACGCCGGCTCCCTCGGCCAATAAAGCGAGATGAGCGCCACAACCCCAGAGTCGGCCACAACTGGACCTAATGGTCAGGGGTCCCTTTACCTTTACCTATTCTTTGTCTGGATTGGAGACAGTGTGGCAGAGAGGGCATTTAAAGGATGCTCCCCACTTATGCGCACGGGTTCTGGAATATAATTTCTGTCTAGGTTTTGGGGGGATGGGACACCTGCATGCACTATTTGAATAAATACTTCCTGTTTGTATGTTCTGAATCTCTGCCCAGCTTCACCAGAGAACCTCATTTGGTTCCAGCATCACGAGGAGGAGAAAAACTTCTCCATCTACTTTCCCCACACTGTGCTAGTATTCAGCTGTGGCTCAGTGCACAGAGACACTATAAGCAGCCAAGAGTTCAACTGAGAAACCAAAAGAATCAAGGTTCAAGAGCATTAAGATGCACCAGGGCTAGTTTATTCCACACTAGGGCTCAGTCCATCACAATTAATATCTCATTATTCCCACAACCAGGAAAGCAACAGTATCTGCTGTGTTTGTTTAGAATTAAACGTATATTTAATGTCAAAATTTATGATAATAGCAAGCTTCCAAAAACAATGCAACATGTTCAACATGTAAGGTGCTTGGGATTTCCTATGTCTGCAGCAGCAGCCGCCTCCTACATCATGTGTCAAACCATGTATGAAATTGAGGGACTTTTCAAAGGAGTCTCTCATAAGGGATGGGGATCTGCTGTGCCAAGTAAACTTCCCACTAGATGTGCTTTATCAAGAGGGAATCCAGAGTGGCTGGGGCAACTCAGTCAGATGGGTGGAATATAAATAATAAAATAATAATAATAATTGTTGTTGTTGTTGCTGATGATTATCTCTATGGATCCAAGCCAGTATCTTTTACAAGGCTAATTTCTGCTGGTAGAGATGGAAGTTTTCATATTGCAGAAGCTCTGTCAAGGTGAACTCGAAGACAGCTAAATCTCAGGTATACACGCAAAGTGGTGAGTTGAACAGAATACTGCTCTCAGATAAGTTTGTGCTGGTGACATCCCAGCACATGAATTATCATCAGAGCCCAGCAGGTTTGCTGGTGAAGTATCAACAGCCAAAAAGAAAGTGAGCTATAGGATCACCATTTGTGGTTTTCTTTGTCCATGCCTCCTTTGTAGTACAGTTTGAAATGTAACTTATTATTTTGAGGTTCATTCATGTAAGGTTCTATTATAACCAAGCAGCATATAAATTGTTTACTAAATTAAGAACTGAATTTTGCAAGCATAACCAAGTGCGCTAGCATGGGCACCCAGACCTGGCACCTCTGCCATACGGCTCCAGGAAAATCATGTTTGCTCTGCTGCAGTATCCCAAACATGACTGATCTGCCTCACAGGGTTATTGTGAAGGTAGGCAAGACTGAAGAACTTTGTGCCAATTAATTGTTCTACAAGTGATAATCCTGCTTTATAAATTAAAATAATTGCTTCCTTTTCTGAATTCTTAATTACATACACATTTATTCCCTTATCCTCCTGCTAAACTTTATTTTTAATGCGACGATATGCCAGCAAGCTACAAATGCAATTTTTACGTACGTTCACAGGTGGGCCCGTGACCACATTCACAGCAAGCCTTAAAGCTAGAAATAAATTTCCACACAGAAGACCATAAATTAATCATTATTATTAACAGAATTCTTGCCTGCACCAATGTTTTTTCAATATTCATAAACATTTCGACGTTTCGATCCATTCGGGAAGGGTTCTGCAAATCAAATCGGCGCCTGCAACAAAAAATATTTATATAGTACTTAGAATAGATAAAAACCTTTAGACATGTTTGGGATAATTCAAGACAGCATTGCATGGAATTAGGGCTATAACAGCACCTGATAATTATAGTGATGGTCCTGTGCATTTAATAAGGCAACACCTTTTTCCATCAATTCCATCAGAAGTTCTGTCCATGAATACAGAAACGTTTCCTAGGGAGCCTTTAGACTTAGGGCACTCCAAGGAACCCCAACTTAATGGGGTGGAGAGAGAGAAAGGAAGATGAGGCCAGACAAAAAACAAAGGCAGTGAGAACAACCACAATTATCTAGGATTTGGGGGAAGGGAGATACCCCAGAAAAATGCTATCCATCAAAAGGAAAATAAGCAGCCCTATAATGGAATTACAACAGTCCATTATCTTCACCACAGACCCTATGTGCAACAGGAGAAGCATGTATGCATACAAGTGTATGGACTAAACTGTTTCCTTTCCTCCTCTTCTCTTCTCCAAGCCTTGAAAATATAAAGAGTTGCATCGCTGGCTCAATCCAAAACCTAATCCAGTGTTTTGTTTAAGGATAGCAGTCAGCTAGATTATTTTCAAAGTTACAGGGAAGAATGAGATCTAATGCTCTTGCCCTGTTTGCTCCGGGCATCTGTTTGTTCCTTTATTCTCACTCATCATGAAGTGAATGCCAGAATCTGAAACACTAACAAGGTCTGAAAGGAAATGTGAGCGGTCAAAAGAAAAACAAGCGACTATTTAAAAAATGCTATGCCACTCTGCTTCAGAAGTTCTCTAATGGCACGTAAAATCACCAGATAGGATCCACAGATAAGCATGAAGCTAGACAGAGAAAGCAAACTTTCCTCTGCCTCCGGAAGTTGCTACAACATGATTCACACATACCCTGCCCCCTGGACATGCCAGACCACCTGATCCCACAGAATCTATAGAACCTCTGTGTGTGTGTGTGTGTGTGTGTGTGTGTGTGTGTGTGTTAGGCCTCGGTCCAGTATACCTGAAGGAGCATCTCCACCTCCCTCGTTCTGCCTGGACACTGAGGTCCAGCACCGAGGGCCTTCTGGCAGTTCCCTCGCTGCAAGAAGCCAAGTTACAGGGAACCAGGCAGAGGGCCTTCTCGGTAGTGGCACCCGCCCTATGGAACGCCCTCCCACCAGATGTCAAAGAGAAAAATAACCACCAAACGTTTAGAAGACATATGAAGGCAGCCCTGTTTAGGGAAGCTTTAAATGTTTAATAGGTTACTGTATTTTAGTGTTTTGTTAGAAGCCGCCCAGAGTGGCTGGGGAAACCCAGCCAGATGGGCGTGGTATAAATAATAAATTATTATTATTATTATTATTAGTAGTAGTAGTAGTAGTAGTAGTAGTACTACTACTACTACTACTACTATTGGAAAGTCAACTTTGCCATGCTTATCTATGGACCCAACCCACTATATTACAAAATAACAACATACAGGAAAGAATCAAGAGAGTAATTTTCCAATGAAAAACCTGATTTAACTACAAGTTCTTTGAAATAAAATCATTTTCATCTGTCCACCTAAAACTAATGCAGCGAGTGCCACATGCTCATGAGCACGACTTGGGAATTCTGTGGAAAAGATGAAAAGAAAAAGACTCACCATCCTTGCTCATTTTTGTACTTATATGCAGCACCAAGAATGTGACATAGGGTTCCTCCAGCTTTGAAGTCCATGAAGCACTTTGCCTAAAACAGAGAAAATATCAAGGTGACATTCATACTCACAGTAACAAAAGCAGAAGCAAGCAGTGAAGCAGCGGAATATTAAACAGTACCAGCCTCCCAAGGAACCAGTTGCCAAAAAAAAAAAAAATCACATTATTTGAGCAAAGTATTGGCAGGCTGAAACTCAAAGTACACACACCTCACTGGTCTCCTGTATTTCCCACCCACCCCCCACAATGTTAGAGATTTCAAGTTACATTTGGGTCCTGCATACTGTCCTTAAAAGTCCATGTGAATCTAAAATATTAAAGAGTACAGTGCTTGAAAATCTGCAGCATTGCAAATCCGTAGTGCAAAAATTGACAGGCCATGTGTTCCACAGAAACAACTCCCAGAGTGTATGTGAACAGTTATTTCACCCCTACCCTCCTAATTAATCGGCACAACCAAGTAGGAGCAAACGATACGAACCCAAACAAAGTCAGGGTCCTAGAGAATTACTCAGCACCAAATCAGGGCCCCTTGAGGTCTAGTCAGTCCTCTGTGTGTGACTATCCTAGCTATCCCTCTTGTCAGGGGTGTAGTGAAATGTTCTACAATAAAATACCGTATTTTTCGCCTATAGGACGCACCGTCCCATAAGGCGCACCTAGTTTTTTTTGGGGGGGAATAAAGGGAAAAATTTTTATTCCCCCCCCCCAGGCGTGGGGCTGGGGAAGCCCGAGCTTCCCCCGACCCCAGCCCCCAGAACAGGCAACTCTCCGCAAGCTGCGGGAGCCCGGCGCGGGCTCCCACAGCTTACAGAGATCTGCGTGAAGCCTGGAGAGCGAGAGGGATCGGTGCGCACCGACCCCTCTCGCTCTCCAGGCTTCAGCGAATGCCTGCATTCGCCCCATGGGACGCACACACATTTCCCCTTCATTTTTGGAGGGGAAAAAGTGTGTCCTATGGAGCGAAAAATATGGTACGTGATCTCTCAAGTTGCTCCAGTACTGTGGCCAACAAGAACTACGTAAGGAGGGGTAATCAAGACTGATCTATTTAATTTAAATCATAAAGACAAAAAGATCAATTGAAATGCAAGCCATCACTGAATTTGCCATCTTGAAGTTCACAAAAGGAATTGCAACTCAAGATGCTGGCAATTACCCATGAAATCCTAAATGGCTTGGACCAAGCACATATTTGGGTTCCATCTTCTTATGTATTAAAGTCTCAAAACAAAGCCCAGATTTAATCCTACAGTATTCTTAGTATATTGAACCCTGCAGGGTTGTTAGCAGATATAACAGCACAAGAATTACAAAGAGTGAAGGCTAAATTGGTCAACTTGTGTTTCTGACACCAAGTGAAACAGGAAGAATCCTTTTGCTTCTGGGTTCAAATACAGTGGTACCTCAGGTTAAGTACTTAATTCGTTCTGGAGGTCCGTTCTTAACCTGAAACTGTTCTTAACCTGAAGCACCACTTTAGCTAATGGGGCCTCCTGCTGCCACCGCACGATTTCTGTTCTCATCCTGAAGCAAAGTTCTTAACCCGAGGTAGTATTTCTGGGTTAGCAGAGTCTGTAACCTGAAGCGTATGTAACCCGAGGTACCACTGTACAGCCTCCCACTCTTAAGTGTTGGCAGCTTTTCAGGAGGCAGCTGTAGACCTATTTACTTTGAAGTATATGGAAACACAACAGCTGAAGAAACATTACAAGAGCATTTTAAATACTCACAGGGAACTTTGTAAAGGCAGGATTGGCAACATGCTTTCCGAAGGCATCTTCCTGAAACTGCAGCAGCTGCACCACAAGCCCAGCCAGTGTTTTATTGGTAGGAGCATCTGCTTGAACATACTGAAAAGCAAACATTTTCCAAATCAATCTTTGTCTTTTCACTCATCTGGAAATCACTCACAAGCTATAGCAATTTTAATGCCACAAATTCAAGGTTCATTTCTGCCATGTTGGTGACTTTTTAATCCTGACTTTTAAGAGTTATTCTGCAACACAAGTTAGTAGCTAGGCAGTCAAAGAGGAGCTGTCATTAGATTTAAATTTGCCAAGTTCACTTAAGCTGCTATTAGTTTTCAATACATTAAATGCAAACCATCACTGGCAAGGCCAGTACTACTCCTGTGTTCAACACTATACTACTACTACTGCTGCTGCTGCTACTACTAGGGTCACTACTACTACTACTACTACTAATAATAATAATAAATTATTTGTACCATGCTCATCTGAGTGGGTTTCCCCAGTCACTCTGGGCATCTCTCAAGCATTAAGGGCACCCTTTTTATATTGCATGGATTTCTTATAAACAGCATCTAACAGTGGACAAAGCTGATAACCATTTGCTACCCCAGATTACGTTCACATTTTTGTCCACTGTTCAAATGCCTGAGCTTGCACCAGTAAGAGAAATGCACATTGGTATGAACATTTCACAAATTAAAGTGATCCTCAAGATCCTCTTTCCGTGGAGCCATTGCTTGACACCCCATCTTCATACCCAATTGCAACAAAGTCTGTGTATTGACATTTGTTCACCAGTATCCTGAACTGCCATTGCCTCTCTCACATCCCTTTCCTCTGCCATCTCGACTGTCAAATTTAAAAGCAGTCACTTCCTTTGCACAGCAACCCAGTTTTTTCACTTATGCTGTAAACCACCCTGTGCACTGACGGATGTGTAAAAGAAATGGTATTTCACAGGAATTGGAAAGTTTGGTCTAGGTAGACATTGCTTATGGTCCCCACTAAGCCTTAACCTTCCCCACATATCTAGTCTTGCATTATCATAGGTGATGTGGAATAATCACACACAGGTGAGTGGGCACTGGGCTGCCATCTGCTGGAGACAAAGAAGTGTTTATTTCTATCATGGGCATGAAGGAAGCCAAGCGAAGTGCCACCTTCACTGAATCTCTCTGGCATCTCCCTGAATTTCTGAGCTAGGAACAAAGGGAAATTCCCTCTTACTAGTCTCCTTTTTCCTTCAGAGTTCAGCCTCTGCCAACCACTTTATGAGAAAAAATAAAACTACAGGTTAGTAATTTCTGTGGGCTTATTGGCAAGGCTGCCTGAGCCCTTTGGCAAGAGATGGGGAAGTGTATCGCACCTGACACTGTGCAGCACTTCAGAGGCAAAGCACTTGGGAGTTCTCAGTGATTCTGAGTGCCTCTTTGATCCCAGGTAAAAGCTGGGGTGTGATTTGTGCCTGGTATTTTTATACTGCAAGCATCTCCTAGTCTGGTATCCCCTGGCATTAATTATTTACTTTACAACACTGTTATTCGCTTGAATGTTATCTGCTGCCTGGTGTTTTGTTAGAGGTGGACCAGGGGAGTTAAGTGTCGAAGACAGGGAAGGTGAAAGAGACTGCCATCTTTCTGATGACAGGAGCTGGGTGGCTGTCTTGGGACTTCACAGCATCCATGTCAACCATGGGGCTGTCTTGGTACTCTAATGACATGTGTACACTGAAGCAGCAGAACTGACAGCAAGAGCACAGGTGGCATCAACCTTCAACTCTAAATGAACATGGGTGAGAATGAACTACTACACTAACCATGTGGCAGTGACAGCAACAAAGAAAGCTTGCTTCTCTGTCACTGCTGTGTTTGCAAACAGCCATTCAGCAGAGCTTTTCTGAGTGATGAATGCCCTTTTGACATTTGGCCCACAAAGCACTGTTTTGACATCTTTACCAGCCTCCTCTAACTAAGTTGCGCTGTCCTTTAGGGATAAAGGGGCTCAGATTTGGACAAAGTTGGACACCACAGTTACAGCACAGTTACTCCAGCAGAGTTCTCCAGAGCACTGCCTGTTCAATCTATACAGCATCAGTTCCAGTTGTAGCCGGGGGGGAGGACTACTGCAGCCAGGCTATACCGAACCAGGAATGGCCGTAGTTGGTGAACCAGCAGATATCAGAAATACCACTGATGCTACTTTGGCTTCCACACAAAGAGAGATCTGGGACTACTCCCAAGTATGCACCTGGCCACTTCAAGGGGACTGCAACTCTGTGCAAAACAGGCCTCTTACCCAATTCCTGGACATAAGAGCTACAAAGCCACCTGTTTTGTTGGGTTTGACTTCAGTTTTCTGGCCCCCAACCAAAGCATTTCTACGTCAAAGCAATGATCAAGCAGTTATACAGCCTTAACTGATTAAGGGAGAAACAGGAGCTGGGTGCCAACCACATTCTAAAGACTCTGTTCCAACCCTACCCCGATAACCACTCATACAGATGTTAAAAAGCATGGGGGGGGTCAGGAAGGAGCCCCAGAACCACATAGCCGGCTTGCTATGGGCTCACACAGCAGTCCCCCACTGCCACTCTCTGGAAACTGCCATACGGATAAGACAGAACAGAACCACCATATCACTCTGCCTTCAACACACAACCAGCAGTGCCACTCCAGATGAATACCATGGAGAACAGTATCAAAAGCCACTGAAAAACCAAGAGGGTCAATCCTCTCCCAGCACAGGTCATCAACCAAGGCTTCTTCATTGCAAAATTAGGCCTGAAACAAGACTGAAATGGGTCCAGGTAATCTGATTCTTCCAACCACGCATGGAGCTGGATGGCAACCATCCTCCCAAGCGCCATCCTCAAAAAGGGAATAATAAAGCCATCACATCTCTCTGGGTCTAGGGAAACATGTAAATGTAGTTTTAATTCTGTATATATGCCCTGGGTTCCTGCATTGATAGTAATTATTTCCTCATCTATTACATTCATGCTTTTAAAGAACACTTCCAACAGTTTCATTCGCTAACCTCTGAGACTTCAATAATGCTTTTTACTGCTATGTTAATAATGTTTTAACTGTCTCAGAGATTATATGCTGCTATGAACGTTATACCTTTTACTATGCCAAGACATCTCGTAAAAAGGGGAAACAAGCCCATATTTAAAGTTCCACATGGTACGTAATTTCTTGGCCACACACAGAGGACCTTGGGCACACTTCACGGTTTCACCACCACCTCAGAAATTAATGCAAAGACAGCTTCAGCTAGACTTAAATGAAACTGGTAGCCCTGTCAGCTCACACATCTAGGCCCAGAAGTCCTCTTAGGACAAAAGACCACACTGAGCATGTGCCCCAGGGACCTGCTTGGCAGGGGGTTGGACTCGATGGCCCTTGTGGTCTCTTCCAACTCTATGATTCTATGATTCTTTACAAATGGACAACCTCCTTCCTCCCGTTTTGTTCCATCACGCATTATCCCTCTGACCTCTTATAGCCCCCCCCCCCTGCAGAAAGGCTGAAAATAAAGAATAACAGCAACCTGATATTTGAAGGAGGGACAGCTTTAACATAACAAGCCCCACAACTGCAGGGTGAAGAGGCAGCTGGCCCTTTGTTAGCTCTTCCCAGGGAAAGCAAAAACCTTGCCTCTTCCGCACAGAGCCCGCCCCCTTCCCTTCACACAAGAGCTCCCATTCAACTGGAAAAGGCGATCCTCTTTCCCCTAAACCCAGGTAGGTAACAGGACACCCTGACCAAGTCTGAACCAATTTGCACAAGCCACTCCCCTTTTAAACTACCATTCTCAGGAGACAAGGAGCCTAGGTCCCTGCCCCCAACTATTCCCAGGATTACACTCCATTCAGTTCCTTTCTCTCTTAAGCCACACACACCCCTTCTGTTTATTCATTTATTGAATTTGCATGCCACCCTTCATGCACAGGTCTCAGGGCAGTTCACAGCATAAGAATACAAGATAAAAAAATACAGAATATATAATGAAAACAAGAACAAACCAATGAGCCTCCTCCCCTCCAATACTCATTCTGTATGTAAACATCTACATTCACAAGATAAACACAAACCACATGACCCGAAAGGGTCACCCTTCCGCCTGCCAACAATTCAGCACCTGTTTATTGCAAAATGCAACCTGCACAAGCGTGTTTACATGCTCCCCTATCAGTCCCAAAGGAAGTCGGCTGGCTGAAGTCCTGTGGATCCACCCCTCAAATACTCTTTATAATAGGAAACAACCCTCCAGAGAGGACGCCCATCCCTCACACCCCAGTGTTGCCCACCAAGTTGCTCTTAATTCCCTCACCTACACCTGGCCCCCTTGGAGTCCCCACCCGGCTTCCCTCCTCCTTATTCTGCACACCCTTACTCGGGAGTAAACCCCGCTGACTTCTGCAGCACTTCCAAGCCCCCCCCTCCATCACCTCCCATCTTGGGGTTTTGTTTTGTTTTTGGCGCTCAAGTCGCCTCCCTTTGTCATGCCCCCCTCTCCGCCAGCCCCGCGAGAGGGAGGCTCCCTCGGGCAGAGGGTCCGGGGCCGGGGAGGGGAGGGGGAGGGGCGGCTTCCCCCCTGAGGCCCCGCCCTCCCTCCCTCCCTCCGTCCCTCGCCGAGGGAAGGAAAGGGGCCCGTGAGGAGAAAGAGGGAGGGGAGGCGGCGGGGCGGGCGGGGCCCCCTGAGGGGAAGAAGGCGAGGCCTCTTTCTCCTCAGGCGACGCCGCCGCCGCCTCACAGCTCCGCCGGGGCCTGGTCCTGGGCCTCCTCACCTTCTTGCAGTGCTTGCCGAGCCAGGCCCGCGCGGCGTCCAGCTGAGAGACGGTGTCGGGGCTCTCCCAGAACTTCCCCGAGGGGCCGCCGTCCTTGCGCCGCGACGCCGACAACGGGGCGGCGGAGGAGACCCCCGAGCCGGGCGCGCCCCCTAGGACGCCGCCGCCGCCGCCGCCTGCAGGCACGGCCGCCGCCGCTGCTGCTGAGGCGGCCGCCGCCGCCGCCGCTGCCGCCGCCGCCATTGTCCTTCCCGGCCTTCCGCGCCTCCTCCGCCGCCACCGCCGCCGGGGCCCGACGCCTCCCACTCTCTTGGCCCCGCGCATGCGCAGAGCCCGCGGGACGCCGCGGCGGCGGCTGCCACACCGCCGCCACTCTCCCGCGCGCACGCGCAGCGGACCAGCCTCCCACGCGCTCTTGCCTCACGCGGCGCCTTCCCCGCCCGCCCGCGTGCGCGCGGGACGCCGGCTCCTCGCGCTGGCTCAGGAGGCGGGAGTGCTGGCCGGGCGCATGCGCACCAAGGGCCGTTTAGACGGCCGCCCCCCTTGCGACGCCCTCTCCGCGCAGGCGCCAGGTGCGGGCGGGCCACGCCTCCTGGAGGATGTGCGCATGGGCGAGGCTGGAGCGCTCTTTTCCCCCCCTCTCTGCGCAGGCGTGCCGGGAAAAGCTGCGCGCCTGCGCGCTGAGGGGCCCTTGTTCTGGTCGCTGCCGGGCCGAGCAGCGTGGCGGGGGCGGGAGCAGCAGGCGGGCAAAGCCGATCCGCCAGCCCTGGAAAAGAAGCAGCCCGAGCTTGGCAGGAAGGAAGCAGCAGCAGCAGCAGCAGGGATTGGCGCCAGGGATCCCCACCAATTACTCGGATCTGTTGCGCCCAGCTGAATATGCAGTTAATTGACCGTGCAATTCTGCATTGGGCAGAAGGAGCAAAAACAACAGCAGGAGAGAGAGGCTGCAGAAGGCTGGCTCCATCAGCTTTGCCAAAAGCCCAGCTCCATCAGGCGCCTCCTGCCCCTCAACTGCCAGCTGGTCAGTACAGGAACAACTCGCCAGAAATGGGTGTCTGGGAAAATCCGACAACAGGGCGATAAAACATTTCAAACAGAATGGAAGAATGTTGTACGCAGGAAAGATTTGTGTGAAATAGAGAAACCAGTAGAATCGAAATAAACCTCATAATGTGTAATAGAAATACTTTCATTGGAATAATAATTATAACGTAATTAAAGTAACCAATGGTAGCTGCAAATAATATATAGACAGACAACAAGAATTGCATATATAGAAGGGCTTCTTTATTTACAGACAATCTATGGACAAATGCGTAAGCAGAACAATATATAGAATGGATAAAGACAATGCGAAAAAATTAGAAGCGACATAAAGAAGTCAAGAAGGAAGGAGGGAAGTCAGCTCATAGGAGCAAACTATAAATGTATAATGTAATATAATATGTATTTGAAGTATGAAGTCTGGAAAACTAATAGATTATATTTTTAAAAAGAAAAGAAATGGGTGCCTGGAGGGTGGTCGTACCCTGCCTTCCTTGTTCCTTGTCCTTTATGTGATGTGTTTTCTTAGATCATAAGCCCGCGGGCAGAGACTGTCTGCATTTTCATTGACTGTAGCCCTTTTGGCTGACAGCAGGGTACAAATGCTCGAAAGATACAAAATAATAGGGGAGTGACTCAGTGGTAAAGGACCCAATTCAATCATTAATAGCATTTTCTGACAGGGCTGGGAATGTCCCCTGGAGAGCTGCTGGCAGGCACAGACAACACGGAACTGGGTGGTTCAAAGGTCGGACTCCTAAAAAGGAGTTTCCTATGGCACTGAGAAAGCTAGAGCTGAATGTTAGAAGCTCTTGAAGCTGAGCCATAGCTCAGTGGTACTGCTTTGTATGGATAAAGTCCCAGGTTCAATCCCAAGCACAGGGCTAGGAAATAGCACCCACCTCAGAAATGTCAGTTGCCGTCAGTCAGTGGAGACGAAGCTGGATACACAGCTTTTATGCTCCTAACTTTTAAGACATAAAATAAAAATAAAAAATTGTCCAGTAGCACCTTAGAGGCCAACTACGTTTGTTCTGGGTATAAGCTTTCGTGTGCATGCACACTTCTTCAGATACCACAAAAGCTTATACCCAGAACAAACTTAGTTGGTCTCTAAGGTGCTACTGGACAATTTTTTTATTTATTTCGACTGCATCAGACCAACACGGCTACCTACCTGAATTTTTGCTTAAGACAGAACAATTCTATTGAAGACCTCATGCTCCTTCACAGGCTGCAATCCTATACACATTTGTGAAGCCCTTTGAAGGTGGTAGACTGTCCTTCATTTGAGGTTTTGAAACACAGGCTGGATGACAATTTGTCAGGGATTCTTTAGCTGCAATTCTTGGATTGCAGGGGGTTGGACTAGATGGCCCTTTTTTGGGGGAGGGGATCCCTTCCAACTCTTACCATTCTGTGACTTCAGAGCCAACATGTATAGGATTGCCTTGTCAGTCAACCGGCATAATCCAGGTCAGTCAAGCCACATTGGCTGCCCTGCCAGGGACAATGCCAGAAAGTTTCTCTGGTAGTGAAGATAATGGAGTTGTGATGCAGGAAAAGCACTGTAAATTTCTACTGAACTACAGCCTCATCCGTTTAATAAGCCACACTGTACATATGTAAGCAGAGCAAAACCTTTGGGTAGTTCTTCTAAGTATTCATGCGATGGTAGTTGTCCTGATGAATATGTAGTCTCTTTTTACTTGGATGTTGACATTTTAAGGCAGCCTTTCTCAAGGGTCAGTCCTCAGGTGTTGTTCGACTACAATTCCCATCATCCCTAGCTTGCAGAACCCATTGGTCAGCGATTATGGGAGTTGTAGACCAACATCACCAGGACAGTTAGCAGTTAAGGATAACTTCCAAGTTCTTGCAGTTGCCTCCGCACCACGGACTAACCTGGGCATGCTAAGAAAGCAGGGCTGAAACAAGAAATGTGGGCTGATAAGCAGGAAAGGAAACAGCAGCCATTCCATCAGGGTGTAAGAGAGAAAAAGATGGCGCTGCAGGGCTTCTTCCAGTGAAAAACATGCAGCTTTGGGCTCAGTCTCTAGCATTTCCATTCCAGTTGGTCATTGCAAGAACTCTGGAAGGGTGTCTTGAGTTCACTTCTGCTTCCAGCCAGAGGCACTAATGTTTTCAAATCCCGGTTGCTGGAAACCAGAGTGTGGGGAGTGTGTTCTCACGCTCAAGTCCTTCTTACGAGTTTCCCACAAGCTTCTGTTTAGCCACTGTGAGAACAGGATGCTGCACAAGAGAGCCGCTGACCAGATCCAGCAGGTTCTTACGTCCCACTCCCTGGGTGATGGAAATCTCTGGTATTTGCAAACTGATTTGGGGGCTGTCACAGTCCGGTACATGGGCGATCGAAGTCCCAGCTAGGGACGGGGAGCAAGATGGCGGGGTGGGAGCAGGAACGGGAGTCCAGAAGCCAGGAGTCAGAAAGCCAAGAGTCCGAGGGTCAGAGAGCCGGGAGTCAAGAAGCCAAGGGTCCGAGGGTCAGGAAGCAAGGAGTCTCGAAGTCAAGGGTCTGAGAATCAAGGAGCAGAAAGTCACAAAGTCAGGGGTCTGAGGATCAGGAAGCAAGAAGCCAAACGCAGCAAGGCAGGAAGCGTGTTGCTGTGGCAAAGAGCCGAAGGGAAATGCTGACTTTATATCCCTTCCCGGCTCTTGCCACCAGGTGCTGTGAGTTACCAAGCGGCCTCACCTGTGTGGCCAAACTTAGGAAGGCCCCAGTGATGCAAAGTCCCATTGGTCACAGGGCCTGGCTCCTGCACGCACACCTGACAGGGGCTTTCTTTTGGCTGCAGAGCAGGGTGAAATGCTTTTAAATATGCAAGAGTGGCTAGGAAGATTAAAAATGCAGCAGAGCTGGGTAAGACAGGCTCTGTTCAAGGCTGCCTTTGGAAAGTGCTCAGAAACTTCCAACTGGCTCAAAGAGCTGCAGCCAGACTCTGGAATGGGGCTGGTTTTAGGGAGCAGACTGGCTAGCAGTCTGTTTCAGAGCACAACTCACAGTGCTGGTTATAACCGATAAAACCCTACATGGCTTAGGCCCAGGCTATGTCAAAGACCGTATTCTCCCACACAAACCTGCCCGGGGCCCTGAGATCTTTGTGAGTGAGGCTTCTCTCAGTCCAACCACCATCACAAGCAAGTGTCATGGGAAGAGGGCCTGGAAGTTCCTTCCTAGAGAAGTTAGACTGGCTCCCTCTGGCACACAAAGACCTTTTCATTCCAACAGGCCTTTAGGAACTGGCTGTTTTACAGGAAAAAGACTAGTGCTGTGAGCTTTTTATTGTTAGTATCTGTATTTTTAATATAATTTATATACATGTCACTTTAATTGTATTCGTCTTTAATTACTGTTTATTTCATAAAATTATGTCTTGCCTGTAGAAAGAAATCCTCAAAGCGGTTTTAAAAAAAGATAAAATAATAAAAATCAGTTAAAAATTGTAATACTTTAAAACATACAAAAGTTAAAAGATTAAAATTCACCTTAACCTTCTATTGATAATTTTCTGTTTTTAGCTTTTCTAGTTTATCTGTGTTTTTATATTTTTCTCTGCAAGCTGCCTTGAGTCCTTAGGTCTGGGGGAGCAGAACAGAAATAAATGTAATAATAATGCCTGTATCATCTGTGTCCTTTCCACACCAATGTGTGTCTCACACCTGGTATGAGGAGTTTTAAAATATTTACTTCTGTGAAATGGTGTTTACATGGGGGCGTTCCACACCTGCTTTTTCCAGTAAATTATGCAACTCCATGGCTAGGACAAGAGGAAGTTCTACCTGCTAGGCTACCTTTTCTTTGTTATTTTCATTGTTTGCTTTTCACAAGACCTGGAGAGGTTCTCACCAGAACTCTTGAAAACCTTTGCATGAAACATTTATGCACGTTGACTTTTCTCAGCTGTGCTCAACCCAAGGCAAGATGTCCCGAAAAACAAATGCGAGTTTATGCAAAGGAAAAAGACTTTGCTGCTGTGTTTGTAAGAGCCACTAGCTTTATTTTCTCTCCTGTTTTCACAGGATTTTTGCACAACATGCTGTGAAGTCATTCCTGGCACATAAGCCTTTCATGACTCAAGTTATAAACAGAGTTCAAATATGAAAATGCCAAAATGACAGAAGGGAGTCTACATACAGAACGACACAAAGTGTGTGCCTACTAGACAGTGCTGGCGGTAGCTTCGCTAGATCCAAACTTTGGAGGGGGTGCAAGTATGATTGGGTGGATTTGGATGTTGTAAAAAAAAAAAAAAACCTTAGAGAAGTGAGACATTACCAAACTCCTTGAAGTTTAAGTTGCTCTAACTTTGACAACCACCCTGCACTGTCTCCTTGAATGCTGCTTCCTCTAGGCAAACCTTTCAGTAGCAAGTTCACTGAGCTAATCCTGATGAAGCGTCACAAGTGAGACGCCATGGAATTAAAGAAAACGGATTGTAGGTTATTGAGTAGAATGGAAATCCCTTTCTACTGGAGGCAAAACTGAATCCTCGCCAGCTTTGTTTAAAAACACACACCTATTCCATCAGAGAAAGGATTTCAAAAGGTAAATCAAACTACCTGGGTGATTAAAATATTATGAAGTTCAACCCCATTTTTTTATATGACCAGATCCTTAATCAGGAGGACAACAACAACAAAACGGCCACCCAAGACATCCAACCTGTCACGTTTTATTTCATGTGCTGGGAGATAAATTAGAACATCCCATACAATGAACAAGATTTACAGGTTCTCTGAAGGAAATGTAAAAAAACAAACAAGCTTTATCATGATTTATTGTTTATTATTAGCAACAATAGCATTTCTGCAAGGCCAAGAAAACATGATTTGCATGTTAGAGAATCAGTGATTTCAGAACTACATTTAAAAATTAAAAACCATTATGAAAAATTTGTAGGGGAAGCATCTGTCCTCCCCTACAGGCATTTATTCAGCACTCACACACACACACACACCAACTACCCCTTGGTTATATCCCTTGCTGCCATCTACGGCACCGGGACAAAGCCTGTGATCTGTGCGAGTGAGTTTCCACAATCGATACTTTACTCCTGCCCCCAAAAGTGGCATAAAAACCTCATGAGGACTACATGTTCAACTGACTGGCACCCTTTCAAAGAAGTGTTGCCTGAGTAACAGACATCCAAATTGAAACAGCTCAGCCTCCCCCTTCTTTTGCTGTGTCTTCCATCCTCTTTGCTGCTCCCTTTTTGGGTTACACCTTGGGCTGCTGCACTTGTGGCACCAGCACCTAACCTTGCCAGCGAGGCGCAAGAGTTCTTCTGCCCAGAAACAACCTGCAACTGGGCTTTCCTGGATGCCTCCTCCCCCCTTACCACACTAGGGAGGCCCAGCACCTTGCCTCTGCTGCTGCTGCTGCCTGTCCAGCCCTTACTGATCTAGGGGAGCAGGAGCTCCAAGTTCACAGCTGGACCTCTGCTCCAGGCACAGCAGTGCTCTCTGCCGCCACTGCCTTGCTAGGCCAACTCGTCAGCCAAGCTCTGTGATACCAATCTATAGAGTATGGGTGCAACTCTTCCACGGGTTATCATGGGGCCCAAACGCTCATCTGTTGTTGATGAGCACTGGCGGGACGCAGGGCTGGCCTGCAAACTCATCTTGCTGCTTGCTGACGCCTGGTTGCACCTGCCAACCGGATACAAATGGCTCCCTAGGATTAGAAGTGCTGGAATTTATATTGTTAGTCCTCAAGCCCTGATTGCTCCTAGAGTTCCACTGCTGAATGGTACTTGTCTGCTTGCCAGGAGCTTCGCACGGTGGGTCCTGAAGCGCCTTATACTCTGTGTCGGAAAGGGGGAATGTGCGGGGCTCCCACGGCTGGACGTTCTACGACAGAGAGAAAGAGCAGCAGCGTTAACGGAACGGAATATATTATTGTCATTTGAGGAGGAGGCGCGAGAAAGAGAGAGATTACGCATGCTTCCATCTTGCTTGGATGAGATTAAAAAACAGAGGAGCAGCTTTTCTCTTGAAGGAACAACAAAATCAACAGTAATCATCCTCTCAACCCTTATTCATAGGTCTAGTTTACATATGCCACTTTCTTTATCTTGATAAATATGATGCCTTCCGTAGAATGAGAAGCTGTTTTAAGTCACTGGCAACAAGATGCCAAGGTGCTCAGCTCAGATATCATGCTAAGCACAAGTAAAAGGCCACGCTATAGAATAAGCATTTAAGCAAACCGTGCTTTAGAGATGCATGTCAGTTTTCATTCTTCATCTGCTAAACATTCAGCTTCATTGGCTTGCTCCTATTTCAGTGGGGCACAGATAGACACAGTAGGTGCCTTAACTGTCTTAGCTGTGCCTCCTTAACTGTGGTAAGATCAAAGACAACGTAGTTTGCAAACTAGTTTCAATACCCTTGTTTGGCTGCCTTTACAACCATGGTTTATGAACCAATATAGGTTCAGAGGTAAAAACTATGGCTTGGCATAACAACCCAATTATTGTGACACCTTTTTGTAAGTAAGGTTACAAGGTTTAACTTCTGTTTCCCACCCGCAGCACACAAATGCGAACAATCCACTGCAATGATACATTCAAAGTCCAAATATAGAAGGTTTATTTGCATCCCCTTCAGCCCCAGAAATGCTTGTGAGCAATTCTTCAATTGTATTCTCTTGTCTTTCATGGCAAATCCAAGATGGTGACATCATTTTATACTCTGAATGAGCGACCATGGTGGGCAATGAAGATGACGGAAAAGCTTCGAATATGTATGGTTTGCCAAGTAAACAGGCTGTATGTAAGATCTTCAAGCAGAAACACAGGTCCTCACCTGAGTATCTTCGTCCATTTCTGAGAAGGAGAAACTTGTGTCTTCACTAAAGGACAGACTGTTTCTGCCCCTGCCCTTTATGAGAAGGGGCTGCAGAACATTGGAAAGTTCTGGGCTGAGAGACCCCATGGGAGAATTTGCATACTGGAGATGGTTAAGATTATGTGACGTGGCATCTGGAGAGCCCGGCTGAGGAATCCATCGGCCATCTGCTCTGTTAGAACTCCTAAAAGAAAAACACGCCACAAAAAAACAATCACGCTGCCAATGTGAAGCCACACTGTGAGGACAACTGTTACATGTGAGAACTGTAAGACTCAAAGAAGTGCAAGCTCAGAAGCAGAGAGGCCTATAGCCAAGGTATCATGCAGAATTTCAAAATGAACTCTTCACCCATACTGTGCACTCTTTAAAAACAACAGGAGCAGGCGGGGTGGGGGAAGAGAGTCTACTTGACTTTTCACTGCCATATTTACAGCCAGCACTCTCACTCTGCCAATAATTCTACTCATGGATTTGACAATGAGGCTAAACTACTGGAGAGATTCTGCCTGGTTTAAGCAAGGGAATGTGGCTTAATACAGAGATCTTAGCTGCCACATACTGCAATAATTCTAGTCCTCAGTGTTTGCAGCAGCACAGGATACTAAGGCTCTGAAATTAAAACAAGATCCAATGGTAAGTCTTCCTACAGACAGAGGGTGAAGGAGAGGAGAGAGAGAGAGAGAGAGAGAGAGAGAGAGAGAGAGAGAGAGAGTGTGTGATTTCACTCATTCTGTTATGCTGTTACAATGTTTCCAAATTTTCATGGAAGCCAATTCTCTTCCTACCTGCTCTTACTCCATTAATTTCTGAAAACACAGAGGCTCAAAATATGATAAATCTCTATTATAAGGGAAATTCCACAGCTGCTTCCAAGCCCGCTTGCAAACTTTTGGAGCACCCTTAACAAAAGCTTATTCATTCGTTATTTCAAACCTGTCAACAGTTAGGCGGGATATGTGTGGGGGTGTGTGAACTGACCCAAAGCTATCAAATTATTTCCTAGCTAAGGAGAAACTTAAATCTTGTCTACTAAGGCTCAATGCAAAACTCCTAATCCACCCAACCACAGTTCACTGTACTGACTTCTTCATTAATGCTTTGCTCACAAGTTATGCAGGAAACGAAGTTTTGAATATAATCTGACTTGGGAAGAGAACTATTTCACAACACACAGCTAACAGCAAATGTTACCTGTTCCCTCGCCTGTGGGAAATGCTTCCTGCCCAGGAATCCCAGCGGGCCCTTTCCAGCTCTTCATATTTTTGGTGATGGTTCAGATATGTCTCATCAGAAATATCTTCCAGCTAGGACAAAAGAAAGTTAGTTTTGACACATTCAAGAGAATCAAAGCTGTTTCTAAATCGATACTGTCCACCCACCCAAGATACACAGGAAAAATAACCACATAATCTGTACAGGCCCAGCAGTGCAAGAGTTTAATAACAGTACAGTTTCCCCCTTTCCACAGTTGCTAGAACATCACAGGTGTACACAAGTAGATATGACTGTTTTGGTAAACGTGGCTACCAAATAAACTACATTAATTTTGTCCAAAAACGGAACCAATTCTGCACCTTAATAACTAAATTTATGGAATATGTGTGTCAGGGAACTGACATCGGAGCTAGAGGCGGAGGGAAGGCTCTCAAATGATGCTGGAGAAGGGCCCAGCAGGGAGACAGGCAGCTCAGCAGATGGGGAAGCAAATCAGCGCAACACCAGGGATAAAGGAGGGCAGATGGGGGAATCGGCGAGAGGGCTCCAGGACTCTTCACCGGACACCAGCGGGGAGAGCACGGGTCCTCCGCTACCCACGCCCTCCCTGCGCAGAAGGCTTCCGCGCAGAGAGAGTAGGAGGAGACTGGGTGTCAAACAACTTTTATGTTGGAAAAGATTTAAGAAACACCCACTGACGGATTCTGCTAGCGACTGAGGCAGCCACGAAGTGAAGGGCTGCCCAGACTGAAAGGTTTACCAAGGCAACAAAGCCTGGAGAGGCGGCAACTTACGCACGAGCAACCCATACTCATTACAATGTGTATACAACCTTTTGGATACACAAGAATGGAGATTTTCTCACACAAAACAGGTTTTACGCTCCTCCATGGCAGTGTTATTCAGTCTTGCAGTCTTGAATGAGAACAAACCAAAAGGAGTATGTGTTTGCTTTGATGACTGATTGGTTCAAGACACAAAATGAATGTACTGACTGCTGGCAGGATAAGCAAGGTAAGAATGGTGGTCTGTCACTCAAGGGAGTCAATTCTATGTAAAGTGAAGCTCTACACAGTAAATACAAGGCAAGAGAAGCCCTGGTCCGTGCAAGCCTAGTTAGACAGATGCACTGCTTGAGGCATGAGATAATGACCAGATCTGTTCCTCCTCACCTCTGAATCTACTTCTCCAGAGGTCTTGAGCTCTTTGAGATCCACCATTCTCCAGCTGCAGGAAGAAAATGACTCAGGGTTAGGGTAATTTCTGCACATATTGCAAACAACTGCATCAACCAAAAGTGTACTCCAGGGCTTGGCTTGCTATGGTGCTGCTGCTTCCTCACCAGTAGACACTGAGGCAATGCCACATTCTGAAGTCAAATACCTTCTCCAAAAAATCGCCAAAGGAGGTGTCAAAACAGGCTATGCCTAGTTAGCTCTAGTGCTCACTTGTGCGAGTCCTAAAAACCATGCAGGTTTCACCTTTCTCATAAGCAAGTGGACCTGCTAAATATCTACTGCTGAAATAGGGCAGGGGATGACGACAAGGTGGGATGCACAGAAGCAGAGAAAATGCACACACCATCCTCTGGCACCAGGAAATAAACCCATCCCTTATTCATGGCTACAGGGATTCTTCCAATTCCGCTCTTAAAACATACATTGATGTACAGTGGAAACCTTGGTTCTCAAACTTCATCCGTTCTGGGAGTCTGTTCAACTCCTGAAACCATTTGAAAACCAAGGTGCGGCTTACAATTGGATGCAGGAGCTTCCTGCACTCAAGCGGACTTCTGGGTTTTTGGAGTTCAGGAGCCAAAACGTAAGAGTACCAAGGCATTCGAGAATCAAGGTACGACTGTACAGTACAGAACTCAATCACCCTCAACCTTACCACTGCTATTGACTGTGTAGCACAAATGGATTTCCTGCACAAATGTTTCCTGCTTGGCAGGGGGTTGGACTCGATGGCCCTTGTGGTCTCTTCCAACTCTATGATTCTATGATTTATTGGGGGGGGGTCATATAATTATTGGGGAAACTGCCTTGTGTGCTATATGGCAGAAAAAGGTCGTGTGTGTGCGTGCACGTGTGTGTGTTTAAAAGCAAATTTCTAACCCTCCATCCTGTGGAAGCAAACATACATTGCTTGCACCCAATATTCCTCAAGAGCCATGAGGGCTAGAAAACTGCTCCACAGCTGCAAAATAACTTTGAAAGGAAACAAGTGTGTTGGCAGTGGATGAAGATGTGCTTTAGGGTAAGGTACAAGTAACCTGTGAAGCTCTAGATGGATATTTCTGGACTACAATTCCCATCATCCCTGCCAACTGGCTACACTGGCTGCAGATAATGGGAGTTAGGATTCCAGGGCACCCCGGTCCTGCTGTAATACACAATTCAGCCACTGAGTGTTTGGCCAGTTCATGGTATTTTAAGTTCCTCCACACCTGGAAATACAGCTAACGCTTCACCAGCAGGTACAGTTAGGAAACTGCCACCATGCCTCAGGGCACTTTAGAAAGGAGCGTGTTGATGTGACAACTTCAGGAGGAGTTGTTGTTAACTCAGCCCTCTCCTTGACTAGCAAAACGCCATTTGGCATGGCGTGCTGTACGTTTACTCTTACAAAAGGACAACTGGATTTCTTGCAAAAATTATGAAAAACAATGCTCTTATGTCTAAATCAACAAGCTCCAGCTGTTGTTTAAATCTGAAGAGTCTCCAGGTGAACCCACCTTGGTGTCAAAATCTCTTTATACTGTAGCTTCTCCACCCGTGTAGCTGCAGCCATTGACATGGGGATCACTATATTGTTGATGTCATAGGAACATTCCACCTTCTTCTTCTTGGCAGGCTGCTGAAACCAAACAAGGATCATCAGAAAAGAATACAAAAACATAGTACTGTCATTCGCATTTCCTCCCAACACATCAAGTACAAGCACCCCACAGCTGGTTAACCAATAGCGTCTAAATGTCCACACAGGCAAATATAGAGTCTAGCAGCTGTTTCAACATCTCTCTGCCCCAGTACGTTACCTGTGTGCTGTGAGACTGTGCTGGTGTGACCTAAGCAGCTGCAACAAATCTGAGCTCTAGGTCAGCACTGATATGCCTACAACAGCACCTCCTATTATTGGCCCAATGCTCCATGCATAATCAATCTTGCCTGAATAAAAGGACTCTTAGGTGTGCCACATTTTTGCATTGATTTGCTGCAACTGCTCTGTGCAGCGGTTGCTCTTAGCTGCCTTGAGCATGCCAATGGAAAGATCTTAAAAAATGGACACATCTTAAAACATGAATAATGAGCAGCCACCTAACACTGAATGTGCTACAGAGCACAGAATGGGATGGGGAAAGTATCTTGACAGGGTGGGGCTAGGGCAGGCTTCCTCAACCTCGGCCCTCCAGATGTTTTTGGCCTACAACTCCCATGATCCCTAGCTAGCAGGACCAGTGGTCAGGGATGATGGGAACTGTAGTCTCAAAACATCTGGAGGGCCGAGGTTGAGGAAGCCTGGGTTAGGGGGATGAAGTTTTCCAGGCAAAACTCCAAAGGCATTTTGGCCACCATGGAATACAACACTATTAGCCTGAGATATGGTTACTGAGGTCCTTCCAACAGGGCAAGAGGTAACCATATAATCACAGTCGGGCTGTTTATTGATAAACACAGAAGCCATCTGAAATACAGCTTAAGGCTTTTTAAAATACAAAGAGAGCAAACAACCTCAGGATGAAAAAGGGTGAAGTAGTATATAGAAAAACACCCAAGACAAGAAGCTGAAGGACACAGGAATGTTCTGCCCAAAACAAAAATGAAAAGGGGTTAAGTGGATAGTCTTTTGCCTCTATTTCCATGGTACATTTTATTCAACCTTCAAGGCTTCCTTTTTCTTTTGAAAAAAACCCAGCACTGGTTTTTGGTTTTTTTAGTGCAGTAGTCTGCATATCTAACCAATGATATTCCTAAAAGAAAATAAAAAAAAGCCACCAGGAGAAATGCTTGAAACAGCATAGCAAATAAGTTGGGAGACAATTCAAGGTTAAGAGAACAGTGCATCATTTAAAAAACGTTTTGCACTCCCAAACACGCCTCGCTCAGGGGAAAGATGAAAGAGGCTTAAGTTTAAAGCGAAGTCACCCAGCAACACTAATTCTTTATTTCCTCTTTGCATTTCTGTTTGCCAAAGGGACTATGTTCCAACTCACCAACGTCGAGCTGCTAGCAGTCATGGAATTGCCAGGGACTTGGTTGGAGTGAGGGGCAGGTGTATTTTCAAAGCACAGAGATGGCACATGATGTAAAGAACTGGGTTTGTAGGTCTGAGGGCTAGGAACAAAGAAGCTGCGACTGGCCGATCCTTTCAGCAGAGGACCTGGTAATGAAAACAGGAAATTAAGAGGATATACTAACTCTGCAACTTCTGCTTAACCACAAGGTAGAAGGGATCTCATTTTTTCTACTGCACTTTCTGGAAATAGTTTATCTGTTATTTTTTTAATGTAGCTTGACTGGAGGAGCAACATCAAGTGGGAGTGAGCCGCAAGTGTATCAATATATATGTTACCCTAAAATATTGCTCCCGGTGCCCCTGTTTTGTAGATGTCCTACCTAAACCACCAACAACCCTACTGTTAAAATTGATGCACAATGATGGAGAGACTGGACGGAGAATTTTCTTTTGCCTCTCTTGCAAAAAACAAGCTTGTGTTCATCCAATAAAATCAACACAATCGTTTTAGGAGAGGGAAAAGGAAAAACTCCATTTAGATAATGAATAATGAACTTAGGAAATTCTCTGATACATGATAAGCTGACCACTCAGATGCTTTTAAAAACCATTGGGCAAGTTCATGGAGGACTGTTATCATCACCAATAGCTACTGATAGATATAAGCAGAACTCCCCTGGACAGAGTCAAAAGACCCCTGGTTTCAGATACTGGGGACAAATAACATGCTATATCCACCTCTTTCAGGCTCCTGTCAGTGGCCACTCTGGGAAACAAATGGACCTGATGATCCTTTGGTTTGATTCTGCCCATACAGTAGATGAATTTTTTCCCCTCAGACAATGTGGCACCTTTAATGGGAACTCAGACCAAGAGCTAAAATAATGCTTCGCTTATATTGCATATAATTTACCAGATGCAGAGAGAGATGATGAACAAATGTTGTTGGTAAGGTCTTTCAAACCCCACTGGGGTATCTTGAGAGTCTTGAGTTTATGACTCAACCTGTGGTCCTCTCTCAGCAAGGCTTCAAAGTGTAAATGAAGAGGGTTGCCTATTAGCAGAAGAAAACAAGTTAACCCACACTTGTTATTATTCGGTATTCAAATTTATATCCTGTGATTGTTACAAATAATTCACAATCATGATAATTGCACTGAATACTTCCGATAATTATAGTACATGCATATTAATGGTACAATATTTTGCTTCAGGTTTTTTTAAAAAAGATGGGATCGGTTAGATTTCACATACTGTTCTTGTAGGTTTATGTACTTTACATTGTGGGGTATTTTGTACCCTGATGCTTTGTGTGCAACTATATTATCTTACTTAAAAAGGGAAAGATCTTAGTGAAGGCATGATTTATTTTCTTTGTACCTGCAACTGGTGCCAAGCTCAATACCGTCCATTTGGTATTTAACTTCTATGGCTTTCCTGAATTACATTGGACTCCCAAACCATACTGACATGGCTGGGCAATATATTGATGTATTGTCCAAAACCAGATTCAAGTCTATATTGTGGTATTTGTTTCATAATTTTTGACCTGGAAATGTTGTGAATTTTCTCTCTCTCTGTGCATGTGCTTTGCAAAAATCACAACAGTGGAAAAACTGTGAAGCCAGCCAATCCTTCTACATAGCTCCACCCTTATTTCAGACATTGTGATATATCGTTTTATCACGATGTTTAGCTGGTGATATATCACAATGTTGAAAACCAGGTATCGCCCAGCCCTACACAAACACAATCCGTTTCAATATTAACAAAAAGGAGATGACTAAGGCTTGTCACATGTCACAGCATGCTCAGTAAACTATGGTCAGCAAGGTTAAGTATGGACCTTCGCAGATTTGGCTTTCATCAGCAAGATCTGGCTCACTTTAAACCAGAGGTGGCTAACCTGTGGCCTCTAGATGCTGTTGGGATTCCAAATCCCATCAGCCCCAGCCCCCATGTCCAACGGTCCAATAGCATCTGGACATTATATAAATGAATGAATAACAAACAGCAACAAAATTTGAAAGGCCACAAGTTAGCCACCCATGTTTGAAATGAATGATAGGGAGGGAAATGTTTGAGTGATACTTTTACCAATGAGAGAATCACAATATAACACACCAGAATTTATACAAAGAAATGTGACTAAAGCATCGCTGAAATAAACTCAGTGCCACTGGTCATCTTGCAAAAACACCTCCTTTGGCACTTACAAAATAATGGCAGCACACTGCTTTTATTACTTTTGCAGATTTCCCAACTTTTGCTTTCTAGTAATCTTTGTACATGATTCTCTTAAATCCCTTTAAAAGGCGGTACGTCAGTTCTTTAGAGAAGCTGTCCTCCATGGAAATATCAAGCAAAATAAAAGGAAATTCTGTTCTACATTATAGAAATTCAGCCTCTACAAATGTGGCAGAAGACAGGAGTGCCAAAACCTCCACTGAGATATGATGGCAAAGACTCAGCTCATGCTAGTGGAATGAAGAAAAGCCCCCTAAACAGGCAGGTTCTTCGTTCCACATGAAGAGGCTGTTTATCAATTTACTCACCGTGGGAAAATGACAGAATGGGATGGAAGCCTGAGTCCAGCAAAGCTACCCGCTCCTCTAAAGACATTGTCTCTGGGTCTATGGTCTGGACAGAGGCCTTACAGTCACACAAGATGCAGGAATTGGGTCGTTCACAGTTACACTTCATACTGAGAGGTTTCTGTGGCTGGAACACAAAGGATATCAACAAAATAGTTATTTATCTGGAATGGCTAAATCGACCACTCTCTGTTTCAGACACAGGTTAAAGATGACTGCAAACTAAGTAACCCAAAGGCCTAATACATCAAAAAGCAGAAACACAACAGAGAACAAAGGCAAGCAAGAAGTGCCAAAACTCAGCAGTATGGGTGGGGCCTAAGAGTACAACTGTCACTTCCTTTCCAATCTCTTCCTGTTCAGAATCCTGGCTCTTCCCTTTGCAAACATTCCATTTCTACTTGCTGTCATGATTGAATACAAACAGTGAGCTAAAAATAAATAAATGTGTGATATATTACCTGTTCCCATGGCTCTCTTCATACTGCTGAACCCGTTTTTTAGCAGAGCATTTAGCAATACTAGAATGACTACAACTGGGGGGCTCCAGGTTCAAATCCCTGCTCAGTGACAAAGCTTAGGATGATAGCCAGACCTACTGAAATCAACTGCCTTAAGTAACTAGGTGAGCTATCCCAGTGGAGATGCTACCCTCTTTTTTTTAAAAAAAAAAGAGAGCCAATTTTCTCTTGTTAGCATACTTTACATGATTCATGGTGGAATAATAGTGCCAGAATCTTTCAGGCGCTCATCTAACTAACATTGCCTCTACTACTACTATTAAAGTAGTAGCAGCAGTAGTACTAGCCCATCAGAATTATTATTATGTATTTATTCCCAGCCTTTTCCCCTGACGGACTCAAGGCAGCTTACAGATAAATGCAAGAATCATTTAAAATGTAGCATAAAAACAATTAAACATCAATAGAACTAAAACTACATACATATAGTAAACATACAATAAAAACAGCACAGAACCGGCCCTTTCATTAAAGCAGTCAATCCCCCAAAGCCTGTTGGAACAAGTAGGCTTTCACTTGCTGGTAGAGGGACAACAAGGAGGCAGCCAATCTAGCTTCTCCAGGCAGGGAGTTCCAGAGTTGGGGAGCAGCCACCGAAAAGACCCTTTCCTGCATCCCCACAAGGACCAAGAGAAGAGCCTCCCCAATAAGATCTCAAAAGCCAGGTAGGCTCTTAGGAGGGAATGCCGTATTTTAGATAGCTTGTACTTAAGCCACCTATGGGCTTTATAGGTCATAAGCAGCACTATGAATTGTGTCTGGAAACAGAATGCTATCCAGTGGGGCTGCTCTAGCAAGGGAGTCGTCTGCTCCCTATAACCAGCCCCAGTCCAGAGTCTGGCTGCAGCTGAAGTTCCTGAGCACATTCCAAAGGCTGCCCTACGCAGAGTGTGTTACAGTAATCCAAATAGGCTGTAATCAAGGCACACGTCGCTGTGGCCAAATCAGACATCTCAAGCAATTCTGTCTGGAATTCCTACAGTCCAGAACTCCAAGGTAACAAGGCTACCACAATTTGATTGCTGCCACCAGACAAAATTGTGTCCTGCCTGTCTCTCCTTAAAGGATGGAATCAAGACAAACATTATCAGAACGTTCTTCAACAACAGCTGCAGAGGTGAAACATCGCACCTACCTTTCTGCTAAGGTGTGAGACTGCACTGACTCTCACCAGCCTGCGCTTCCTGTATCTGCAAATTGGACGGATTCTAGCAGCGACACAGCTGTTGTCAAGGGAAGACAGTGTAGCAGGCAGGCTGTTGTTGAGTTGCTTCGGTTTCGTGAGAATCCTATTGGCATCCACATCATCTTGGGAATTGCTGGTGGAGCATGTGTTGAAACTGCAGTCAAAAGGAAGAGATACACACACTGAAAATTCTTCTGAAAGAGGGAGCCAGAAGATTCAATACTGTACTTGGGCAGATTATCCTATTATGTGTATTTTTGTAGTTTCAGTCCTCAACGGTCACATTTGACCTACCGAAAGCAACACAGAGCCTTGTAGCACCTTAAAGAGTAACGTTTATTTTTTAAAAAATGAATTTTATTAGAGTTTATAACAAAAACTACTAAAATTATTGCCAAATATATTTTTTGTCCAAACTAAAAGAGGTAAAGAAGAGAAAGAAAAATAAAAAGGAATAGAAAAGGAATTTAAAGAGAGAAAGTGAGAGAAAGAAAAGAGAGAGAAAAGATAAGAAGCTATATATAAACATTATTCCCTAAACCATTAACTTCAATTCTCAAATCCAAATGTCATTATTTCTCTCCCCCCCCATGCAAATAGTATGAGGTTTCCAAACTCTTTACGAGTAATATTTTTACAGCATCAGCTTTCACAGTCTTTAGTCCACTTCATCAGATGTGTAAAGTATTATCATGAGTTATACATAAGTATACAAGTATACATAAACATACAATTGTGTTGTTTTTGGGGGGCAAGGTTGTAAACAGACTGTTGGCATGTAAAGAAAAGCAGAACGTATATATTTTCACTTCTGGCAAGGCTTAAAAAAACCAAACCTAACATTGATTATACTGTCCCCACTCAGAGTCAGCATGAGCTAGGAAATAGGCTTAACCATGTTGGCTATTTGCACCAGCTTTGCTTTACAATTACCAAAAAACAAAAGTGACAGCATAGAACTTCAGAGGGCTAGCAGGACAATTGTAAACAACCTTGCCCTTCAAAGAGTGATGTAGGCTTTCCAGAAAACTTCTCAAAACCCTTTATCAAATGGAATCTGATTTAGCATGACTTGTTTGACATGCATGCAGTAAACGAAACTATAGAAGTACTACGCATTAATTTAACAAGCTATAGAAATCTCTCAAAAATCAGCCAGAAAACTGATGGGGGGGACACACACAGCAAAATAGGTTCCTGGTTGCATGGTTTGGATTTGAGGCCACCTTGCTGAAGCTAAACAGGCGTGGATCTGGTCAGTGTTTGAATGGGAGACTTCCTGGGAACACGTAGGGTTCCATGATGGAAGCAAGGCAGGATATAAACATTATCTAAAAAAGAATGAATGTGCTTTCAAGGTTATATTTTTAAAAATTAAAAGCTCTAGAAATGATTTTTACTGGAATAACAAAACATTTTAAGGCATGATAGTAGTAGACACTTCCCTAATTCTTGAAGTTTTAAAGGGGGGATTGAAGACTCTTAAAACTGTTAACATTAATTTTAGCACACTCCCAAAATCAAGCATATAAATTTAGCTATGTGTGCATGCTTCCTAGGAAGAGTCATCTGAAACAGCTCAATCTGACCAGTGTCACACCAATTTACATTACTTAGTAATGTTATGAAACTATAGGTTGGATGCAGAAAGAGGCTTGTAAAACTTGAGTCCCATCACTCTTCTCTTGAACTGCCTCTCCAGTGTCAAGAGACCTGCCTGAAGATGGTAAGTGTATAATTGTGAAGTAGGAGAAGGAAACAGCCCACACTGTTCAGGAATGATGTTTCAAAAGGATATAAAGGGGGGGTGAAACAAATTTGCTGAGTGAGCAGCCTTTTGCTCAGGCAATCTTTGGCTGCAATCCAATAGTGTGGATCCACAGAACCATGAGTGGAAGGGAAAATGGATTAGCTCTGCTCCGTGAACTCACGTGCCAGCAACAGAGGCCATTTTTCACAGTGCAGAACCATAGTCTATCAGGAAGTTGAATTACAGAGCAACAGCAAATAACAAAAACAGGGCGAATACACTCTAGTGGGCCTTAAGAAAAAGTCTCAAAAAAGGGTTTCTGCAAAGTCTTAAGTAAGAGGTTGTGCAAATGGAGCAACCTCTCTGGGTTTAGGGTCATTTCTCTCATGCTCTTCTGCCAGTCTGGAAGCAGCTCTTCTGCGAGCTAAAGAAGCACTTGGCTAGCAGAAAGACACGTTTGGATCCAATCCAATGCATTTTAAGAAAAGCAAACAGGTTGAAAAATATGAGCTTTATGTTTCTTAAGAGTTTTCTGGGAAATATTCCACCCATCCATACTATTGCCTTAAGAGATATTAAGAGGAATATGCAAAACCCATCATGCTTCAGTACATTCAAACACATTCCTGTTCTACAAACAACCTGAATCCACTGTCACTTAGGACAAAAGGCCCAAGAGGTTTTTCATACCACTGTGAAGTTTGCAAGTCCTGGGGAAGAGGTTTGGGTGACTGAGCTCATATACAGAGCCCAGAGGCCCACGCCAGCAAATATCCAGTTTGCGGGGGGGGGGGGGGGGCTCCTCAAACTTCACCATGTTGGCTTCTGCAACTGTGAGGGAGGGGGCAGGGAGAAAAGGAAAAGGGGAAAACCCAAACTCCTTTCATGTTTTAAAAACAACTGTTTCCCTTCCACATAGCAGTCACAGATAACTATGCATTCCAACCCTGGGGCGTGGGAGACCCAACCACCACAAACCCGGTTCCAGGGTAGTGACATACACCCAGCCCATTTCCAACTCCTCTTGGCCCGCCCATTTAACACAATGCAGCAGTGGGAGAAGAGCAGGGAAAGCGAGAGCTCCAGGCAGACAGGGTGAGAGGGAAAGAAAAACACTCTCCTTCCTCTTGTAATTAAAGGATTAATCTTTACCAAATATTTGTGAGCAATTATGTTTTTATAATCTAAACCAGGGGTGGCCAACTCCAAAGAGACTGCGATCTACTCACAGAGTTAAAAACTGGCAGTGATTAGGTCAAAGTTGTTGAGCTTTTTTTGGGGGGAGGAAGGCCCCATTTCTTTGGGGTACAGGGAAAAATGCAATGTTGTTCAGCTGCTTTGGGGGGAGCCAGTGATCTACCCAGAGATGTCCAATGATCTACCATTAGATCATGATCTACCTGTTGGACATGCCTGATCTAAACAAAAACAGAGGCACCATTAAGGGCTATGGACATTGTTTTGCTGACACGCACCCACGCCCTTGAATGCCACAAATAAATAGTCTGGCAAAGAGAGCAACCCAAGCAGGGATTAAATCATTTTAATCAACATTAAACATCTTCAAAATCAAAACCTTAAGAAGACAGGCAAAACACAGTTGTGTTTATTTTGTTTTATAGCCTGCCATACAGGGTCCAACGTTAGGCAGCAATGTGCTTAAGGATTTAAGGCAAAGTGGTCCCATCAAAACAGAAGCAATCCTTCTCCTGGGAGGGAATCATTGTCCCACCTTGGACAGGGAGCCACAGAACTGGTGGGTGCAGCAGAGGCAGGGAGAACTGTTACAACACATACAGCCAACATTCAGGAGGAAGCAATGTTGATGCATTTTATATGCCCAGGTGTTCTTATCTTTTCTGCCAGCAAACAGACGGTACTCAAAACAAAGCAAGACAAAGTAGGCTTTTGGTTACGGAAACACTGTGGTACAAAAATGAAGATTCGGAGGTTTCACACCTTGCCATTTTAGTCAAACATGGTAAAGGCACATGCTGAGCTAGTGATGGCTGTTTCAAGATGCTGTATTGTGTTGTTGTTTTTTGAAACGCCTTATTCCACCAACTTTCCCCAACCTGGCATTCTCCCTATCTTCGTTTGACAATTGTTGCCATCATTCCTGACTACTGGCCCATACTAGCTTGGACTCAGGTTTGTCTACAGTGCAATAACAACTGGGGGTTGGGGAAGGCTTTTCTAGACATTTGTTGGGATAACTAGGCTTCCCAAGTTGTGTCCAGAACATTACCAAAGAGCACCCAACCAACTAAGAAGGCTTGTGTCAGGTGCTGCAGTGAAGCATCCTCTAAGCATTTGCTACACCATGTTCATAGCATCAACCAGAGACCTAAGGAACCAAGCACCTAAGGAACCAAGAAGAGCCCTGCTGGATCAGTGTCCATGGGATAGCAAGTAGGAACAGAGGCATGGATCCAACTGAATGGGATGGAGCATGCCAAGAATCTGGAGTCCGGCCACTTAGCATTCCATTCATTTCATGAGTTATCTGCTGCCAACAGACATTAAAAGATACTGATCACAATGCCCAAGCAACAGCCAACATGTAAAGATTTGCAATCTCTTAAATCTTTGACAACTATGGCTCGTTGTAAAGCGCAGTGACATGCCTCAGGCTCACACATTTCCCTCACCCCTCCTTTGCACGCAAGAAGAGGATATTTAAAGGTTTCTGAATATAGTTCAGAAAGTAGTTTGTACAAACCACAGGCAGAAAACTTACACCGTCTTGTGCAATTAGGCTTCTGCCTCCTCTCCCCTGCTACTCCCTGTGCATTCTCCACATCTACTGCAGAGGATCCCCCAAATTTCTGGAGCAGCTTTTGGAGCTGGGGGGGGGCAACTGCAGGGGGGAGGAGAGTCAAGATGCAGTCCTGCTGCATGAGTGAAAGTCCACTTTGCTTGTGCAAACTGCTTGTACAGGAACAAGGTTGGATAAAACCCTCTATAAACGAACAAGGATCTCACATCAGGCTCACATCCTGGTTGGACATAATGGCTTATTCATTTCAGTTTTTACAAGCCATGGTTTCCTGCACATGGAAGATATATTTATCAGTCACCTCATGCCAAAGCCTCTAGGCAACATATAATAAAACAGATTAAAAGCAGTGAAACACATCCAGATACCAGTTATTAATAAATGAACAAACCAAAGAGCAACAAAAGCAACTTCAACCCTGGCTCAATTATACCAAATTTAAAAACACCACCTGTATAAGCAAAACACAATCACCATAAGAATTTGAAAATGAGCTAGAAGAGATGACATCATTTTAAATTCAATTTGAAACTTTAAAAGTAATTAAAAAGCTGAAAGAAGAAGAATGCTTTTGTCTGGCGCCAAAATGGCATTAAAATGGATGCTAGGCAAACGCTTTAATATGACAGGAAATTGCAGCTTGTTCAGAATAGGAGCTTTAAATCTCTTCCCTTCATGCATAGAGTGGGGCATGAGTCAGGCTCACTAGGGTGCATTCCAAGTAGCTGAATGCAGCAAATGGCTTCATTTTCAGGGGTTAGCAGTAGGATGAGCTGCAGCAAACCTTGGACGTGCACTACCCCAAACACAACCATAAGGAGCTTGGAAACGTTTGTTTACATCTTGTTTTGACATCTGAACCTGGACAAACTTGAGTTAGTTTTACTTATGATTAGTGAAAGCAAAATAACCCCCCAAAATTAGTTTATTCAGCCTTGTCCTATTACCCACAAAGACCAGCCAGATGTCCCAAGGGGAGCCGTGCAAGTAGGATACCATTATGGAGCACAGGAACTTCTTTTATCACGTTACATTAACAGTCCCCATCACTTCAGAGCATTCTAAATGTGATGTGATCAAAGTAGGAGGGGTGCGATTTTTGTATTCAATAAAGTTTCCAGTATACATTGCCACAACATGACCCTAAGACCATTGCTCTGTACAGTGGTACCTTGGTTTACAACCATAATACGTTCTGGAGGTCCGTTTGTAAACCAAAACAGGTTGTAACCCAAGGCGCGCTTTTGCCAATGGGGCCTTCCAAAAAAATTAGTTCATAATCAAAAAAATAAAAATGGGTTGTATTCCAAAAAAAGGTTGCAAACCGGGATATGCACTTCTGGGTTTGACGTGATTGTAATCCAAAACGTATGCAAACCAAGACATATGCAAACCAAGGTACCACTGTAATTCCTTGACTTCAGGTCAGCCTCAAATATTCAGCAATAGTAGAGTGGGGTGGGGCGGGTTGGAGAGAACTAAGAAAGAATCCTTTCTACGAAATTTTGAAAGTTCCAAAATCAACAAGAAAGAATAAAATGATGCCCAAGGTAAGATGAACCGTAACAAAAATACGGAAAGAGAGTTGAAGTGATTCTTCAGATTCCAAGCATGCAACAAGTTTTAATTGCAAGTCTGAACCAGGTCCAGTGCAAACACAAAGCCACCACTCTGGCACTGGGGAACAATGGGTTGGATCCAACTAAGCCATTGCACAAGCGTCTGCCAGAAGCACAATGGAATTTTTCTACATTATCACCAGCTAAACATCGTGATATTTCAATATATCACGATGTTTGAAATAAGGCTGGAACAATGTAGAGGTGAATGTGGTGATGCCCTGGCAACTGCTACTGCTTAGGGGTCTAACTCTAAAACTGATAAATTTTTACTTACCTTTATTTAACATAGAACTGTACCTTGGTTTTCAAACAGAATGCAATTCAGAAGTCCGTTCGACTTCCGAAACATTTGGAAACCAAGGCGTTGCTTCTGATTGGCTGCAGGAGCGTCCTGCAGCCAATTGGAATCCGTGGAAGTCGCACCGGCCGTTCAGCTTCTGAAGCAAAGTTCACAAACCAGAACACCTACTTCTGGGTTTGTGACGTTCAAGTTCCAAGTTGTTTGTGAACTAAGCTGTTCGAAACCCAAGGTACGACTGTATTGTTAAAACTGTTATGTTACAGTACAATTGTACTGATAATGTTTAAATTCAATTTTCTCTAAAATTGAAGCTGTAGAAGTAATTCAGTAGCATAGATATCAAAGGTAAGGTGAGAGAATGTTTCCTTAAAAAATTGTTTTTGAAAGTTAGAAGAATAATTTTATGTACACTAATCATGGTGAGACATAAATAAAAGAGAAACAGCACCCACGTAGAAGGCAAAGTAAAGGGGGAAGGGGAAGAAAACAAAAACTCTATAATTTACAAAGTTGTTATTGTAATTGACCAGGTCTTACAGTGGTATCTAGGTTCAGGAACTCAATCCGTTCTGGAAGTCCATTCAACTTACAAAACATTCTCAAACCAAGGCGTGGCTTCTGATTGGCCCCGGAAACAATGCCAACAGCCGAGACAAATGTTCAGCTTCCAAAAAACGTTCGCAAACCGGAACACTTTGTTCCGGGTTTGTGACGTTCGGAAGCCGATTTGTTTGGGAGCCAAGCCATTTGGGAACCAAGGTACCACTGTACAGTATTTGTAAGAACGTTTCATAAAAAAATTGATTACATTACTACACAAGAAAAAAGCCAATTCACAATCACTGTCACATTTTTAGATATTCAAATATCTTTCACTACTGAGTCTTAGTTGAAGGTTCGCATCCCACAACACCAGTTTAATAACTGTTTAATTTTCATTTATAAACCAGGTGAAAATAGAAAGAATGGAATGGATAAATTTTTACAGAACAAAAAATTCCTAAATGAAATTTATATTTTTAGTGCCAGGGGAATTTGCATTTCTTTTATAAACCAGGCCAAACCAGAAAGAATGGATTAAAATTTACAGAATTTAAAATTATTAAACAAACATAAATATTTTCGCAAGGAAAATTTGATGCATTTAATTATATGAAAATTTACTCAATAGCATGCTTGAACTATAACATTACAGATTTCTGGAGAATATATTAATGTTAATATATTAATTTGTCATTAATAATAACAAATGTGTGAGAAAGCAAAGGGGCAAGGGGAGAATTGATAAGAGTTTTAGGGTAGTGAGAGTGTCTGGAGGAGAATAATGAGGGAGACACACAGACATTTGCACACGCACACCCACACCCAATAAGAAGCACATGCAGATGGGAAAAAGAGGGAGGTGGCCAGAGCTTCAATGAAGTTTGTTTCTTTGCAGTTTCCTTGGGACAGGGGAGATGGTGGAGGAGGAGGAAACTACAGTGGTACTTAATTCGTTCTGGAGGTCCGTTCTTAACCTGAAGCACCACTTTAGCTAATGGGGCCTCCTGCTGCCACCGCGCCATAGCTGCACAATTTCTGTTCTCATCTTGAAGCAAAGTTCTTAACCCGAGGTACTATTTCTGGGTTAGTGGAGTCTGTAACCTGAAGCGTATGTAACCCGAGGTTACCACTGTACTTTAAAGTTAAGAAAAGGAGCTGCTGCCTGCCAGCAAAGAGAGGCTGGGTTAATTTAAAAACAAAACAAAATGCACTGCACACAAACACGGGAATGGGAAGGGAGACGCGCGCGCTCACACACACAGCGAGACAGACAGACAGACAGACAGACAATCGCACACCCACAATCAACAAGCACAGCAGGGGAAAGAGGGAAGCTTGCTTGGGACAGGGGAAGCAGAGTGAGGGTGGTGGTGGGGAGCTACTTTAGAGCATTTCCTGTCGCCTGCCAGCATAAAGTGGCTGTGTTAATTTTTTTTAAAAAGTGTTCTGCTTTTTCACAAAAACAAAACCCACATGCACACAAACACAGCAGTGGGGAGAGAGTGAGGTACAGACAATCACACCTAACTGCAATGAACAAGCACAGCAGGGGGAAGAGGGAAGTGGCTCTTATGCTTTCTTTTTCCCATTACCCCAGTTTATATTTTTACGGAGAACAGGAGGAGAAAAGAGGCTCCAGATTCCAGAAGCCATGCATCTACCTAAGCCACCTATCAGCCTGGTGGCTGCCTTTCAGCAAGAGCCTGGGTCTCTGAGGGAGGGAAGTTCCCGCTTGCCGGCTGCTCACCTCCGCCTGCTCAGGAGACAGAGCCCTTGGGCAGAGTTAGGCTGCACACACAGATATCTCCAAGGACGGTTTTTGCCTGCCGCCAAGAAGGCAGGCAAGGCATACGGAGAGCTGCGGCAGAGAGTTACCCTGCAGTGCACACACGATTTCTCAAAGAGCGATTTTTGCATCAGCCTGCCACTGCCGCTGCAGGAGGGGCAGCTATGGCACTTAGCAATTGCAACAGCTGCACAGGACAGGAAGAAGCATCGTGTGATAAGCATTTTAAGGTCTTAGATGTATAATAAATGTTCATAAATGTACCAACCAAGCACGGACATAGATCAGCACAGGAAGACCGACCTGAAACCATTTTTGATTCCCAAACTGACCAAACGTTTTCTCTGCAAGGTCAAAGGAAAATGGAAAAGCCTCCCCATTGTCTTTTCCTTCACAAATCCTGTCTTAACGGTATGTCTGTGTATGAATAGGGTGAGCCTGTGACCTGGCTCAGGAACTAAGTACCGCATTTTTCGCTCTATAAGACGCACCAGACCACAAGACGCACCTAGTTTTTGGAGGAGGAAAAAGAAAAAAAATATTCTGACTATCAGAAGCCAGAACAGCAAGAGGGATCGCTGCGCAGTGAAAGCAGCAATCCCTCTTGCTGTTCTGGCTTCTGGGATGGCTGCGCAGCCTGCATTCGCTCCGTAAGACGCACACACATTTCCCCTCACTTTTTAGGAGGGAAAAAGTGAGTCTTATAGAGCAAAAAATACAGTATTTATCATTACAAAAGACTGGCCAGGATCCCCAGGGTATCCAATCAAGTAAGCATTAACAGGTAACCTGCCAGACAGGAAATAAACAACGCACTCAGATTTCTGCTGTAGACCGCCCCTCCGTGATGTAGGTATGATGTGTCTGGGGGTGGTCTTGAGCTACACCCCTTCTGTGATGTATGTATGATGCTTCTGGGGGTGGTGGACTCCGGGGCGGGCAATTTAAAATGTCTATATAAGGGCGGGCACACCTAGGTTCTGGGTCCTCCTCCTTTCCTGCGTGTGAGGGGAGACCCTGTTGCAACAGATCAATAAAGATCAGGTTTACTAGCTGCTTTGCTTCTCAATATTCTCTGGTTGGCCTCTGTTATTTTCTCCCACCAATAGGGAACCTACATAAGAACTCTATATGGGCTCGAACTTCCGGGTTGGTGCCATTGGTAATGGCGGATTCCTCTGACTTTCTGAGGGACCAGCTCCGCGGGATCGGGTCTGCACCGCTGCGGCGAAGCGGGGACCCTTCAAAAATCACAGGCGGGTGAAGCCTGTGAACGTGGGACTTGGCGGGCACCTTTTGCACCCCCCCCAATTTGCGAAGGAACCTATTTACAGGCTCCGGAGCGAAACGGGGTGAGCGGCGCAGTGCTGAGAGTCGACTGCTTCTTCCATGGAGTGAAGCCGCACAGCCATTATCGGAGAGCGCTGACTTTTTCCTGGGACAATTTGACTTCAAAAGCAACTACCCGTGAGTAGGATAAAATTGGACTTAAAGGGGTTAGGCACCTCCGAAAAATGGCGGAATTCCCTTCAAACTGAAGGGAACCCGCTGCACGGAGGCCTGGGTCCTGCCGCTACGGCGCAGCGGGGACCCTTAAAAACCACAGGCGGAAGAAGCCTGTGGGCGTGGGACTCGGCGGGCACCGAGAGCGCTCTCTCCCTGGCCCAGGAGCCCGGTAACGGGCTCCGGAGTGGGAGGTGCGTGGTGCTGTGAGTCGTCTGCTTCCTCCGTGCAGCAAAGCCGCACTGCCGTTTTCGGAGAGCGCTGCCTTTTTCCTGGACAATTTGGCATCTAAAACATCTATCCGTGAGTACCCGATCCTGGAAGAGCTGAACTACTTTTAAGATTGGTGAATAAATAAATAACATTGGATTTGAACTTGAAATTGAATTTAATTGGGACTCGGAACGGAAAGGTCTAAACAGGAAGTCGCCTTCCGTTCTTTTGTTACGTGAAGAAAGCAAAGACAAATTATACTAAAGCCTGGAAACTAAATTCTGAGAGAACTAAAATTCAACATCTAAGATTTCTGAACCCCCCCTTCGATTGCAGGAGAAGAAGGGGGTTGTTTTGATCTTTTCAACCCTGCGGGAGAGAGTTTAAAATAAAGTAATTTTCCACCGCCCTGAACCAGGAGCGGGCTGTCAGAACTGACGTTTTGAAGCTTATCCAGCTCGACAGATAGTTAAAAGAAGGGTAACATTTTGATTCTACTGTTGCCTCTTGAATTTGAAAGGGGGAATTTTGGATAAAGTGTTTCTGGAAAAAGAAAAATTGTTACTGTTGTTTTTCCCCCTCTTAAAAAAAAAGGGGGGGGGTTTCCATCTAGTGGAACTGAGTGAAATTGCAATGCAGAGAGTTTAAAAGAGAAGGATCATTCTCGTGGGAAAGAATTTTTTCTGACCTTGAAGGACAATGCTTGTACAAAGGCTTGAACAAGTGTTCCTGGAAGGTTTTGCAAAATTAAGTGCCCAGCTGGACCAGATGCGTCAGGAGTCGACCTTGATGAGGATGGAAGTTACCAGAGCACAGCAGCAAACAAATGAAATTCAGTTAAAGTCTATACAAGTATATGAACCTGCTGTAGCGACGGAGGCTTCAGAGACGGAGGGACCTATGGATGGGCAAGATCAGCCGTTGAACTTGATAAATGAACTTGGGATATATCTGATTCGGAAAGATGAAATGTGGTCAGATTTGGAAATGGGGGGATGGATTGACACCCCTCTATATGGTTATTTGGACTTTCCGAGTCTAGTGATGGGCCATCAGAGGAATGGAGTAGTCGAAGTCTCCAAGTTTCGTGGAAATTGGAAGTGGTATTATCTGCTGTCTGGCTTGGGCAATGGGTTTGGGATGGACTTGTTGCAAAGAGTCAAAAGCATCTTCTTGCTGGAGTATCCACGACTGAAAGGGAAATATCAACAAGAGTGGCGAAAGGGGCAAGAAAGAGACTTGAGGGCCTCGGATATGAGACAACCAGGTTAAGGAGCCGGATTATTGAGGTTAAAAGGACTGACAATCCCGGGTCCAGGGGAGGGAGGCTGGAAGTTGACTGGATTGAATCTGACTTATTGTTTTGCTTTCTTATTTTCTAATATTGGGAATGTTTGTAAATGTTTGAAGGATGTTGAATGAAATTATATGACTTAAGTAAGGATTGGTAAATGATTTGAAAAAGGTAATGATGTAAGAATTTGCTAAATATTGAATATAAGCTTTGAGGTTTAAAGTTTTTATATGACAAGAGGGAAGATAGAATAAGGAAACGCAATGATAGATTGTTATGAAAAAACAGAAAGGATTTGCTGTAAAAATTAAATACTAAGAAACAAGAGACGGAAGGAGGAGGAAGTCTAGAAAGGAAGTTAATGGAGATCGTAAAGGATTTTATATTTCTGTTTTTCTGTTTTTCTTTTTTTTTTTTTTGCGGCTGGTTTTTTCTTCTTTACTATTTCTGTATTATTTTTGTTTTATTTGTATTTTCAAATTTTTTTGGAAATTTTTGTTGTTACTTGTTACTTTTTGAAAATTTAATAAATATCAATTTAAAAAAAAAAAAAATTGGACTTAAAGGGAGAAAAACAATTAATTCGGCACCGAAGCGGGGAGGCATAAACAGGAAGTCCGCCTTCCGTTTCTTGTAAACAGATCAAAGCAAAGAGACTGTAAGCGGAAACTTTGAAAGACATTTGAAAAAGGACTCAAATCCTAACATCTGAAAAGCGATCTCCCCTCCGGATTGCAGGAGAGGAGGGGGGAAAGGTTTGAACTGTATTTATCTGCAAAGATGTTGGATAGAAATTAAGTGGTTTTTAGCTGTAATACTATAAGGGAATATGAAAAATGGATTACTAACAGGTAAAAATTTAATGTTACAATATTTTAAGATTAAAGACTAGGATAAACAAAGAGGGGAAGGATTTGCTGAACTAACAAACCGAACTGGAATACAAAAAAGGGAGGCGTGAGGAGGTCCGGGAAACAAGCTAATGAAAGATAAGTAACGGAAAGATTGAGTTGTTTTTAACTATTTTTCTTTTGTATTTTTCTTTTTTCTATTTTTATTTTGTAATATCTTGAAAATTTTAATAAATATCTTATAATAAAAAAAAAAGAACTCTATATGGGCTCTTGGATACCCCATAAGGGAAAAGAGCAGATTTTTGTTTACAACAATTGGCTTCCCAGTTTTTGCAGTATCGTGCTATTTGACTATCCCACACAAGCACACACCCGATTCATGGTATATTGCCAGGTATTTTTTTTAAAAAATGGTTATCCTGATTTGCTCTCAATAGCGGTATAAAACAATCTATTGATATATTGCCCGGTCCTATTCTAGAGCATATTTGGGGGCAGTGTGGAGGGGAAGATCGGTTGCACAAATTGAAGTATATCTGCTTGTGTAATGACTTGGTTAGATTCAACCCAATTAAGGACAGCAAGACGTTCTCTTGCAAGGAGTCACTACTACTCTTTGCATGTGAACCATAGGCATTGCACCCAGGGGACTCTCAGAGGAACAACGCACCCCTGCCTTGCAGGTATTTGATAAAGAAAAAATGTAGATACAGGATAGGGAGCTGGTCATGTGGGGTAATACAGGAGACTCAGGCTAAGGCCTCAAAATAAACACCTATTCTTCCTACAATCAATTTAATGCCTTTCTCTGACATGACAGAACAGCAAGAAATAAAATTCCTAAAGACTGACCTCCATATGCTGGCATCTGTAGATGCCAATAGCTTGTATTTACTATATTGTGGTATAAAAGTGTAATCTGAATCTTGTTCTATTGTGATGAATAAAAATGGCAACGCAGGGGTAAACTTGATCAATAATGAAATGGAATCTGTTCTGAAGAAAGAGTCACTTTTCTTAAGAAGCTGGTAGGGTGCCCAAAGGCGACATTTGACGGCTCTACAGTGGTACCTTCTTTTGAGTCTGGGATCTGTTCCGGAACCCTGGATGCTCCATGAAAGGGATGCTCGACAAAGCGCCACTCTGCGCACACACGCGGAGCGGTTTGCGCTTCTGCACATACGCGAGTGGCAAACCCAGAAGCAACCCGTTCCGGTACTTCCAGGTTTGTTGCAGATGTTTGCCAAAATGGATTATAACACAGTCGACAGGGCAGATGTTCGCGGAGGTATTACTGTACATGGAACCTGAAAACATCTTTCCCCAACCAAAAGTTCTCCTGTGACTATATTCAAAACTGAAATTGTACAGAAGGAAGAGACACAGAAAGCCTTTGCTTCCCACACCAGCACATATGGAGCCACAGACAAGCGACCTGAATGCATTTTACAACAAGCTTCACTAAACAATGTATTCTATTTTGGTCCAAGAACATTTAAAATTATGGCAATCCATACAGAATTCTTTTTTTCAAAACACCTCAAAAACACCAAATTAATTTTCTCTCTTTTAATCAGAGCCAGTGTAGAACACAATGTTTACTCAGCAAGACAAATTCCAGAACATCACACTGATCAACCTGAAAGAAAAGTAGGACTAACCAGTTACTTATTCCGTTGACTTGATGGGGTGATGTGCAGGCTTTGGGGGGCTCTGGAGACCCATTGATGGGTGTACAGGAGGGACTTTGACACACAAGGTTTCTTAAAGACTGCGCAAGGCGAGAATTCTGCAAGAGAAAAATGAAATCTCAAACTCAAGTAAGTCTTGTGACAGAATGAATCAGAAGACTCATTTGTTTTGTGCTCTGGAAGCAGGAAGAGGAAAAAAACAAAACAAAAGCAGGAATTTAACAAAGTGCAAAGTAGTTTGCCATCTCAGTAGGGTTAATCCAGAACCATTCGTGCCTCTTTCCATATATCTGCATTCGAAAGATCCATGAATACACCCTCAGGCTCCAATTTAAACAATAAAAGCTGCCTTTAAATTTCACCCACAAACTAAAAATAAGACCTGAGCATTTCCTTCCTCTCATTAATGATTAGATTTCAACAAAAAATGCCAGTAAAGAGGGAAGTAATCCAATTATCCTCTACAGCTACAATCCTATGATGCAGGAATGGCACATAACATTTTAAGAAACTTCTCAAGATTTCAGCTCTCATCGTTATGGTGCTTAACGTATTTGGTAATTTCCAACATACTACTTCGTTAGCTCTTTGAGAATGAGACTCTGAAACACACAACAAACCCAACACACCTGCCATAAATGTCATGCCAAAAGCTGTCAGAAAATTTATCTCAAAGAATATTTAAAATCAGGTCACTTTCAACATCAGGTAGTCCCAACTTCAGATTTGCTACCTTCACTTAAGAAGACAGCTAAGCTACTCATTAACAGGAAACTTAGTTATTCATTTTAGCATTGAAGAAAAGAGGTTTTGCTGTAGGGAAGATGCACTAACAGTCACTTAACAGGAAACACAAAAACCTCAGTGAATATTTTCAGGAAAGCTGTAATCAGGGCCATGTGTTTCTATGCCTCCAGGCATTTGCTGCACCCCTGAATTTGGCATCCTGAGTGTTGTTTATCTGTTTTTACATTTTAGGCAACCATATTTGCAAGTAAGCTAAGCTGAAATAACAGAACTTGCTTCTAAGTAGGCATGCACAGGTTTGGTCTAAAATTTTGCAGAGAAAAACATGAATTCAGGAGCAAATGGAAGGGATAGAGGGAGGAAGAGAAAAGGGGAAAGAGTGTGTCTGGTGACAGTTCAAATACCAGCAAATCAGCCAGGACAGGATTTCCAGCATCTGTTTCCCAAGGTTGACACACATCCTTCAGTCTCCCCTCCCACCCCATCAGGAGAGGAGACTCCTCCTTAAAACCAAAGCCCAAACACACAACACTGAGTAGCAAAAGCATACTGTATACAAAGCCTGAACAATAAAAACCCTCACTCTGCCCTGTGGAAACAGCATGTTAAGTTCAAAGAGGCCCCAAAGAATGGCTCTTTAGAATACACTTATCAACATATCAGTGAAATTAAGATTAGAAGATCTGCTCTGGGAAATCCACGGAGATTCCTCATCACTGGGAGAATTTGTTAACAGCCAGCCAGGAATTTGGATCACCTCAAGGAATCATCTGCATGAGCCTCAATTCAACATAAGGTCTCAGCATCAGTGTGACAGTCCCCCACTACTCCTGAACCACTTTTTCCATGAGAAATGGAGCAGAAGCCCTCTTTATTTCTTCTTGGAGTATTCCCACCCGTTTCTTGACAAGACTTGTTCTTCCAGAAGCAAACCACCATGACAGCCACTGCCAATGCATGAAGACATGTTTCAGTCATGCGAACAGCTTCCACAAAACTATGGAAGAACTTTCACTATTTCACCTAGCAGTATGTGCTCAGAAAAAGATCTCACTACAGACAACTAGGTTTACAGAGGGCTGTGCAAACCAAGCATTTTACTCCCAATTGCTCAGATACCAGGATCAATTCATTCTATCTTAACTTGTGAACAGGAATTCATTATGTATCATATTAGACCTACCACCTGAAATGACAAATAAAGCTACCTTTCTCAACTCCTGGCGGATAATCAGTAACAAGATAACTTGAAAGGAGAAATACATTTTTTGTTTTGAGAAAAGCCATCAAGCATAAAGAATTCTAGGTCTCTGTGCAAGATATGGCAGGATGAATGAGAAAAAACTGGAAGTTTGCAGGGCAAGAGCAATAAAGGCAATTAGAGAAACAGAATTACCAGGATCCCTAAAGCCATCAGGCACTGCAGCTGAGAAATCCAAATGAAAAATGAGCACATGGTGAAAATCAGAGTACACGGTGAAAATCAGTGACTATCAAAAGATGTCCCAGAACAAATGAGGTAAACTCTGGATATCATGTGCTCAGGAGCTGTAAGAGAATACCTACCATTCCCCAGAAAGCTAATACAGTATGGAAAGAACCGTGTAAGTTATTGGGAAAACTGTTACTTCTTAGTTCAAACCCCAGTTCAGTCTCCTATTTATGAGTTGTCCTGGGACATGTTTCTCAGCCTTCGTTTCACTGCTTTTAAAAAGTAGTCACCATATTATTACAAAAGCAGCAGGCTTTACACACTTTGTAAAGGTATAAAATCTGTTTAAAAGATGCCATTGGGGAAAAGCCTCTTAAGATGAAATCTATCACTGTTTGTCCAGAACTCTTTTATAATTATATCCTTTTTATTGTATTTAGCAAGAGAAGCAGACCCCCACTCTATGCAGCCCCTCCACCAAGAACACAAATTTAAATCTGCCTCCTCCAAGGTCAAGAGCAAAATTTCCCAGGAGCCTCACCCATGTAAGCCCTTTCAAGAACACTCCCAGGGGACTATATCACAAATAAAACTTAAGATTCCATTTCTGTTTTATCTGGGACATAATATCTGGTAAAAGGAAGGCCAGATGAATGAAGAGAAGTTGTTTGTGAATACAGTATCCACCAAGACTTTTTAGCAATTTTTCTAATGCAGGTGTGGGGTGGAAATCCAAATCCTGCTTTCATTAGAAACCAGCACCAATTTAGTCACTTATACTCACCCTGTACATCTACAGGATTTTTTTTTAAAAAAACGCATTACATTTCTAGACACCCATCAATCAAGCACATGAGTTATTTCAAGCCTCAATCCAAGGCAATGCAGATTTTAAAGACTGGAACACACATTGTTAAGCAATATCTTTGCACAAAAGGAGTCTACTGCCACAGTTTATACACTGACCTGTTTCTCTGCATTCTGCAGGAGGTAGGAAGGGATACAGGGAGACAAGTCGCACTGCCTGTCCCCAGTAGGCACCTTCAGGTGGGAGGAGGGTGGCGGCAGTATTTTATTTTTCCTGGAGTTCACCACAGCTGCAGAACCTAGACGACTCTGTTGTCTCATCACATCCTCGTGCTGGAGATCACCCAAGACAACAGGGCCCTAAAGAATAAAAAAGGACATTATTCACGTGTGATTTTTAAGACATCTGAAAGGCAGCCCTGTTCAGGGAAGTTTTTAGTGTGTGATGTTGTATTGTTCTTTTACTATTTTTTGAGGAAACCCAGTGGCATATAAATTATTATTGTTACTACTACTACTGAATTACTTTATATTTGTTTATTATTTATCAAAGATAACAAAAATGGGGCTGGGACTTACAAAGCTGTTTGGCTGCAGTGCCCCTAATATTTTGCTAATCCATGCACATGAAGGATTGCACAGTTGACAGATTTTTATTCACTCAAGATCTTTCCCTTCCTGCCTCCCTAAATCTTCCATAAGCAAAAATGTTTGGTAGCAGTAGGGGGCATGCAGGATATCTGCTTTTAGATAAACTTCCTGTAGCTTTGCCTGTTAGCGCAAAAGAGCTGCAGCCAGTAAATGCCCTTAATCAGGTCCCAGACAGAAGCAGACTGACCCAGATAACCACCACTGTTTGTTTCACCAGGGCTCAGACAGCTTTCTAAATGTCCCGTGTTGTCCACTTCTTCAACACCAGTGTAGAAATATTCCATGTGCCCAGTTGCAGCTGACATGTTATTAACATAATTCTGATTGCTTTAAAAATCATACAGTTGCAGGAAGACCTGAGGCGGAATTGGACCTCACAACAGGCTAAAAAATAATAACGGCTAGCCACAAAGCCCAGCTGCAACTTGCAGCTCTAATTATACCACAGTGAGGGCCTTACCTTATAGCGTGCATTAACTACATCATAGTCAACCTGCTCCTGAACTCCCAAAATAAACTGTGATCCAAACCTTGGTATAGTTCCTGAATAAGAGGTTAGAGAATGAAAGAGATACTTCTCAAAAGAAGAAAGCTGGCCTACCTTATTGGCACGGAGCTGCTTGTAAACATCAGTCTGCTGCCTTATACGATATTCCAAGTCAGAAACCTGAGCCTGCAGCCATGTCCATCGACATATAATGGCCGCTCTTTCCATTGCCCACTGGCGCTCTGCTAGGCGTCGTCTGAAAAACAAGCATTTGCATGTTGTTAGTACAACAACCTATGAAATCACTGGTGCCAAATTCTAGCTATTAAGACTGTTATAGGAAAAAAAATTCCGGGGTGAGATACTACTCAACAGCCCAGCTTGTCGGGGTGCAAGTCCCCCATGGGTCTACGTGGTCAGTAAAAGACGAAAGTTCCAGCCAAGTAATTTGGAGCAAAACAGCGGTCAGTAGACCATGGTCTTTATTGTTGCGCAACAGGCGCCCAAAGGAGTAAGAACCCCCAGCATGGGGTGACATCCTCTTTTAAAACTTCCCTCTTTCCCCCAGAATACACTTTGAGAGGCATTATTGATACTTCATCACTAAATCACTAGCATGTCACAAATGGGAGGGATATACAAGGGTTACAGAAGTTCAACATTAGGTTACTTTATCAGACACCTTTCCCAACACCTCTTAAGTACCCATCACCGAAAGAACAATAAAACTCTTTACATATCCTTGCCCTCAGGAGACTTGTCTGGAGATGGGCCTTCAGAACACCTGACTTGCTAAACTGCTTCTGTGGACATCTATTGTGTCCCCTTTGGTCACTCCCTGGGTTGGGGGCCCCGTCTCACACTTGGGGAATTATGGCAGGATGCCCTGTTCCTGCTGCTTAAGTGACTTCCTGCTTCTTGGTTCATTGGGGGAGGTGGAGCCCAAATTCACCTTTCTTTAATGGTTAAAATGGCGTTGGAATGAGGAGAGTTGGTTAAAGTATGGATTTTCTATAAATTTATAAAGCTAAGTATCTTCCCTGAGCTGTCAAGTCGAAAGGATACATTCAGGCATAATATTTGTAACACTGAAATAACTTTAAAGATGTGCTCCCCACATGTCATTTCCGTAACAAAACTATGGTGTTCATTACTATAGAATGTGGTCACAGTCACCATTTTAGATCTGCCTTCTGTTAATTTCCCAAAGCGCTAGTTAGCCACTGTGGGAAATAAACGGACCCTCTATCTGATCCAGCAGGACTCTTTTTCTTAAGGGTCTATTTAGTGCTGCTATTAAAGCTAAACAGAACCTCCATTTTCAGATGCTGTTATGTTAATGAATGGCAAATGCTGGTGACATAACAGAGAGTTACTGCCTTTGTGCCACTGCCTGCAAGCATCTAGTTTGCCACTGTTGGAAGCAGAATGTTGAACCAGATGGAAGCTCTTTCTGATCTAGCATGCAGAAGCGACCCAAATATTTCTGTCACCTTGCTCCTATAAAAAGTAAATTATAGAAGGCACCTAGATGTCTTTTTCTTTGAACAGTAAAGGCAGAATATGGGGTATCTAGCTACAAAGCACTTAGACCCACCGCCAACTTAACGTAGCAACAAGGAATAAAAAGCGAGACCCAGGCTTTTCAAGCCTTCTTTGGAATTGCAAACAAGTAAAAAAGCAACATTACTTAGCCAAAATTGTTCACTAGACTACAGACTTTTAAATCAAAATAACACACACCAAACCTGGGGGGGGGGGAGGAGAGAGAGAGAGAGAGAGAGAGAGAGAGAGAGAGAGAGAGATGGTTGAGAATCAGTCCATAGTTTTGTTCAGTCAAGAAGTGACCTCAAAAAATTAAACATCCAAGAAATTTTAAATGTGGTTGTTTCCAAGCTTCCTTCATTGGGGGATCAAGTTATATCATAGCTCCTCTCCTGCATGTTACTATATTCAATGGCCCTGAACCAATGACTATACCACACGAAAGTAACTATAACCATGCCAACCATCTATGAAAGGGTGTGAGCATTATTTTCTTGGGGCCACAGAACACATGATTTTCTAGCTATCTATCAAGCAAGCTGCAAAACTACTCAGATAATTATTATTTTGCTCCTCTGAAATGCTGTGTACACTAATGGTGTCAAAACATAAGAATATCACACCTTCTGCATCATCACTATTCTTCTTTGAGTAACTGTTTTATCCTACGTAAGTGTTAATTATAAAACTGTTAGTGCTTTTCAGATATGCAATTGCTATTAGAACACTTTGCTGTGTTAAAATGCCACATTGATAGCTGTCTCGCTATGCCTTTATCATGGGTCAAATATCGTAAAGAATTGCAAATAGTCAAGAATGCATATATTAAATGGTAGTCCAGATTTAACTGCATAACTGGGTTGTCAGATAGAAAAAGCAGGGGGGCAAGATGTGACACTCTATCCTGACAGCTGGCAGAACCCACATGAGAATAATTTTCACTTAGGGCTGGGCACCCTCTGCCTGAGGATTCCAGACTTCTGGAACAATAGCAAGCTTCTTTTCGAATCCCCACAACGGGGTGAGCTCCCGTTGCTCAGTCCCAGCTCCTGCCAACCTAGCAGTTCGAAAGCACGTCAAAGTGCAAGTAGATAAATAGCTACCGCTCTAGCGGGAAGATAAACAGTGTTTCCGTGCGCTGCTCTGGTTTGCCAGAAGAGGCTTAGTCATGCTGGCCACATGACCCGGATAAACTGTCTGCGGACAAACGCCGGGTCCCTCAGCCAGTAAAGCGAGATGAGCACGGCAACCCCAGAGTTGTCCGCGACTCGACTTAACGGTCAGGGGTCCCTTTACCTTTTAATGAGAGGGACTGCATTTCAAGTCTTCTTGAAGATGACATGTGAATTTAACATAATGATGTATTACTGCTGTTAAGAAATTCATGGTTGGTAACTATTTGACTGTCCATTGAAAAAGGTATGGAGGGAGCACATCTCTCATGTCAACCTGGCTGGAGAAAGTATTTTGAGGAGAAGGCAATGCAATTGTTTTGAACATACTGCATTTCCTCCCCTCATGATGCTGTAAATGACCTAGCATCTTGGAATACAATTTATCAAAAACTTCACCATAATCCAAGAGGGCTCTTCAGCACAGCTCATAAAACAGAACCATCAACAGAAGGGAGAATTAGAATAAGCACAACATGCACATTTTGTGGGTGTCCTAAAGCCATCTAATCTATGCATCTGCTCCTTTTATGAGTTAGTATTATACTTATATGGCAGACAGCTTTTTCAGCCTATTAACATTTGATTTCCATAGCCCTGGAATGACCTCCAGGTTACTGGAACTGAGCACTGCTAAGCCAGGTCTTCATTTTATTTGCGAGTGCTAAATCAACTAGGTCTGCAAAAGACACAGAACGATACTACAATACTGGTGATCAAGCAGAAGCGCAGTCAACACAGCCTGAGTAACTACAGCTTCGTGAGCAAGAATGTGCCTCAACCCGTACTTAAAACAGTAAGACCTAGCTAACTCAAAGAAGCAGACTCGCTTCCACGTTGGTGACTATCATAGTATTCATATATATGATTTCAAAGTCTTAGATAACCGTGTAGGAACAAACGGTACAAGAAGTTGCTGCATTATGCAATATTACTGATTCAAACCATGCTCACATAAGCAAATGTGAACACAATTTGAGAAGGAATAATCAGAAGAACACATGCTAAAAAATGGCACCAGTAAATCAGAAAATGTGTATCCACAGAATTCCATCCATCCGTAAATGGCACAAGGAGACATTTCTGAGTTAACCACTTCACACTCATCAAATGAGCTTGTGCTGAAATTTGGAACAATAATCACTTTTCCGAACTACATTTGATACAGAGATGCAATAGGACTGAGATCTCTGAAGAGAGAAACTCCGGCGCTCAGACAAGACACATTTAATACTACTGCTGTGCCTGTCCCCCATGGCTGCAATCTGGTGGTCTTTCATCTTTTTCCTCCCTGTCACTGACATTTAGGCTGGAATCCTACACATACAACAGAAAGTAAGTCCCACTGATTTCAGCTGTGCTTACTTATGAGTAGAAACGACAAGGACTGTGCTATTTAAATTATATACTGTATTTCTTTGTGCCAACTTTGATTTCCCAGGTATGAAAATGTTTTTCTAAATCCATCAAGCCTCAAGTCGGGGCGAGCCAACTTCAGACTTGATGGATGTACTTTGTTTTTGTTTGTTTTTTGTCTAGAACTTTTGTGGTTCATCAACTGAAACCAGAACATCAAGTCCTGGGAGGGAGGCTTCTGTAAACTCAGAAATAAGGAACAGACTAAGCTCAACAATTTGTTTTAAATGTCAGAACTGGGCTCAGAACCCTTGGACAAAGATTCACACAAATATTAATGCTTGCTTTTCCTCCATGCTTGCTTTATTCAAAGAAGGCTAATTTGTATTTTTCTAAGACTCTCAGCAGCTGCTGTTGCTAAAACGTTGCAAATTGCCCCAAGATCTACTAGATCTCAATCTATTTTCTGCCCAGTCCTACTCCAAAATATGATAATATAATAATAATAATATTGAATATTGAATAATAGTGATCTATTATTCAATCTCGAAATAGAACACATCTGGATGGTAAATAGCCTAGTAACACCTTAGAGACTAACTGGTTTATTGTGCCAGAAGCGCATTGGATAGCACCTTCTGAATTGTAAGTTTACTGTAATGGAAACTAATACAATTTGGCAAATTACCGGCACACCCCAAACCTTTGTACTAGAAAGCATGCTCCATGAAAACCTTCAAGGACAAACAAGAGCTTTATCCATACAATGTTAAAATTCTTAACAATATAATACCTGAATCAAGCAAATATATTAGGGAAGGACCATAGTTCAGTAATGTTTTGCATTCTGACAGTCTTTAGTTCATTCATTCTGCAGCATCTCTCCAGTAGGAATGTGAAAAACAAGTCTGAAAACTTGGGCAGCCTCTGCCAGTCAAAGTAGGAGTGGGAAACTTCAGGCTCAAATACCCTCTCAGGTTACAACCCCTGACTGGCTCTGCTCTGTACCCTTCCTGATTGTTATGAAAATACCTCTTGCCTTCCCAAGAAAGCAATTTTCTGTGCACACAGAAGCCTCTTGACTTTTGCATGGCTCCAATGTTGCCTACCTCAGCCAAGGAAAAAGCTACACCCATTGTTCCACTCACTTTAACCTCTCGCCCTGCTCTCCACAAGTGCACAGCCTCTGGAAGGTTGCCCATGAGAGAATGGAGCCCTCAGACTGAAATGGTGCCCCTACCCCCAATGCAGACAATTTTGAGCTAGTTGGGCCAATGACCTAACTACTGCAGTAAAGTGATCTCCTACGTGCCTGTCTTCATTATTCTGGTAAACCGAAGAGAGTTTTCCAGTCAGATGGATAAACATTTCAAACACACTCAACAAAATAAAAGGTCATCTCCTTTCACCTGTAACTCTCTTCCACATTTCATTATATAAAGAACTCAAACTAGGACATCGTTCCCACACCATTAATCCACAACTGAAACCTTCTAATCAGCCAGATAAGATGTAGATAAGGAGAATTCTGAACCTTCAGAGGAGCAAATGAAAGCCAATGCACTGTGCCTGAAAATTAAACTAAGGTTAACGAACCGCATAAACGAAAACAGAAATCCCCATGGGGGGGGGGGCGGAATGGTTCATCTGTTCCTAGTAAACCCTGGGATCCTGTCTCTTTAACACAGGAAGATATATTTTCCTAACATCATCATTGCACAGGCTGAATTTAGGCAGTTTTACACACAATCCTCCCACCCAACCCCAAGCAACAAATGCCTAAGGTCACTAACTCTGGTATCTGTGGGGGAGGCCACTTCTCAGCTATATTAAAAAAGAAAGCAGCAGCAAACTTTCGTTTTTAAGTAATCTGCTTTTTGCTCATAAAAAGAAGTCGCTCTTCTCCCCGTTTCTCTTCAGAGTGAAGACCAGGCTAATAAGCAATAGAAAGCAAAGAGTAAGGCTACCATAACTTCCGTCATAGAGCTGCAAAATGCTGATGACAATGTACAGTGGTACCCCGCAAGACGAACGCCTCGCAAGACGGAAAACCCGCTAGACGAAAGGGTTTTCCGTTTTGGAGGCGCTCATAAGCGAATTTCCCTATGGGCTTGCTTCGCAAGACGACAGCCCATAGGGAAATCTCAGGGACAGCGGGGAAGTGCAGCGCGTCTTCCCACTGTCCTCGGACCTCCTCCGAAGCCTGGCGGCGGGGCGGGGACACCTCCTCCCGCCGCCGCCGGGCTCGGAAGGCTCCTCCGAGCCGGGCGGGGGGAGGGAACACCTGCCGCCGCCGCCCGGCTCGGGACGGTGCTCCGAGCCGGGCGGGGAGGGAACACCTGCCGCCGCCGCCCGGCTTCGGAACGGTGCTCCGAAGCCGGGCGGGGGGGGAGGGAAGACCTCCCGCCTCTGCCCGGCTCCGGAACGGTGCTCCGAGCCGGGCGGGGGAGGGAACACCTGCCGCCGCCGCCCGGCTCGGAACGGTGCTCCGAGCCGGGCGGTGGGGAGGAAGACCTCCCCGCCGCCCGGCTCGGAACGGTGCTCCGAGCCGGGCGGGGAGGGAACACCTCCGCCGCCGCCCGGCTCGGAACGGTGCTCCGGCCGGGCGGGGGAGGAAGACCTCCGCCGCCGCCCGGCTCGGAACGGTGCTCCGGCCGGGCGGGGGGAGGGAAGACCTTCTGAAGGCGGGCGGGGGCGAAAGTCTTTGCTCCCCCTGCCTGCCTGTCCCGGAGGGCTTTTGAAGGCGGGGAGCAAGACTTCGCCCCGCCCGCCTTCAGAAGAGGTCCAGGACCTCTTCTGAAGGCTGGCGGGGGCAAAAGTCTTTGTCCCCCTGCCTGCCTTCCCAGGGGCTTTAAATTGCCCCGGACAGCGGAGAAGTCCTCCGCTGTCCCGGGGTGATTTTAAAATGCCGCCCGCCAGCATTTTAAGATCGCCCGGACAGCGGAGAAGTCCTCCGCTGTCCCGGGGTTTTAAAATGCTGGGGGTGGGAAGAAAAGCCCTTGCCCCCAGCCTTCAGAAGAGGTCCGGGGACAGACTGTCCCCGGACCTGGTCTGAAGGCGGTTTCCCTAGGAACGCATTAATTGATTTTCAATGCATTCCTATGGGAAACCGTGCATCGCAAGACGAAAAACTCGCAAGACGAAGAGACTTGCGGAACGAATTAATTTCGTCTTGCGAGGCACCACTGTAGTGTGTGCACACTCACAGGATGACCTCCAAACCATCCTAAATACCTTCACAGAAGCTTATAGAAAAGCTTGGTCTATTCCTCAATATAACAAAAAAAAAACCCCAAAGTGCTGCACCAACAAGCACAAAACAACCCCCTCTGCAGCACCACAAATCCAACTTAACGATGTGATGTTGGACAGTGTTGATCACTTTTCCTACCTGGGCAGTTATCCCTCCACAAGGGCTGTAGATGTGGAAATCCTGCATCGTTTGAGCTCTGCAAGTGCAGTTTTCTCCCAACTGAAGCACAGGAGTGTTTGAGGATCAAGACATCCACAAAATGGACATCATCCAAAATGCTGGTTTACAAAGCTACTGCACCACCAACTTTACTGTACGCTTGTGAAACATGGACCACTTATAAACTTCAACTCCTCAGAAGATTCCATCAATGGTGTCTCAGAAAAAATGTGCGTATCACTTGGGAAGACAGGCGAACTAATGTCAGCGTACTGGAAGAAGCGAAGATCACCAGTCTCAAAGCAATGATTCTTCAACATCAACTTCGCTGGACTGGTCATGTTGTGCGGATGCCTGATTATCGCCTTCCAAAGCAACTACTCTATTCCGAACTTAAAAATGGAAAGTGAAATACTGGTGGACAACAAAAGAGGTTTAAAGACGCTCTCAAGGCAAATCTTTTAAAAATGCAGTATAAGCATGGATAATTGGGAAACACCGGCCTGCGAGTGCTCCGATTGGAGAAAAGTCTCTACCAAAGGCGTCATGGACTTTGAAGAAGCATGAACTCAGGACAAGAGGCAGAAACGAGCTAAGGGGAAGCCATGTTTGGCAAATCCTCATCTTGATCAACTCGCACCCAGAAACCTATGTCCTCACTGTGGATGGACGTGTGGATCCAGAACTGGCCTCCACAGCCACTTACAGACACAACATTAAGACTGTGTTCATGAAAGACAATCTTACTCGGATACGAATGATCGCCAAAGAAGAAGTAGTAGTAACTGCTGGATAGTATGGGGGGTGCTTATTGACAAGGATAGCAAAATGCTATTTCATTATCACTTCTCAGATGAGACAATTTATTTCTGGTGTTTCAAGAGGAAGCCTAACCCTCAAGAGGTGACTTGCATGGAAGCTGTGGGGAAAGAGGAATGGCTGAAAGCAGCCTCTCTCCCCATTCCACTGAAGGATGCATTCAATCAACTGAAGGTCACTTACTGGATATTACCACCCAAAACAAGCAGAGGAAGGCACCCACCCCAGCTTCTTACTCACCACATTTCTATTTCAAAACATAATTTATCTGCCCACCCCAAATACTGAAGCAGCTCTCTGGAGTTGCTTGTTCTCTGACCAATGAATGGGACCAGGCTGACTTGTGGAGATCTTCTCAATGGTCATTTCGTCTTCTGGCGAAGGACATAGTGTACTTCCCTTCTGCTCAACAACCTCAACTCTCTAGTTACTAAATATGAAAGCATTCAATGTAGTTTCATCAGCTATTCCATTAGCTCTGCTGGGTGTCTAGATGCCTTTTGGCTCTGCTTCTCCCACATCCGTCACCTTGTTCAGATTCCCTTGAATGGTTTCCATCCTAGGTGGTTGAACTGTAATTTTAAGAACTGGTGCCAGCATTTCCTTTTTTCCTCCTTTCTTCCCATCCATTTGTCTGTAGACTGGGGTCATTTATCAGAGCCTATCTATCATGCAGCATTTCACTCACCTGACCAGCAGCAATTATGGCTGGAAGTGAACAGCATCCTCCAGTATTGTCAGCCTCTTGCTAACTTGTCCTGAACATAATTTTACTTCCTATCTTAGCTTAAAATTAGTCAAGGAAAATTATGAAACAAAGCAAGTATATCCAGAATGAGATCTAAAAGAAAAAATTAAACTCAAATTAAAAATGGGACTGGCAATACACAAATCATTCTTCTGTTTTGTAACCCAATGTAGTTTTTTCCTGTGCAGGCATCCAGTTGCCAGAAATGTTCCTAGAAAACAGTCTTCTGTGAACTGTGACACTAAATACAGGTTAAGACAAACAAACCTTTTCACTTTCTGTAATGACTCACTCCGAGTGATACAACAGACTTCCACGAGGACATGAAAAACTCAATTCAGATTACAGCATCTTCTCAATTGGTAAACAGCAAATAAATACACCCTTAAATGGAGCAAGCCAGAAATGTGATTTGGAATTCTAGCTGCTTTGCAACTTCCTAGACTGACGGCTTAAGATTTGGACTGTATCTTAACTGTAATACATGGGTTGCCTTTTCTACATTTTTGGCTCCTTAAGCTTATGACACATTTGTCCTTTGTCATCTAACTCTCTTGTTGACTTATCTGCATTTCTTTTTACATCTGCACACAGTGGCTTACAAATAAAGAAAAAGCAAAAAGAGTTTTGAAGCAGTGATACATCCTTAAAAGCTATATCCTGAAAGAGTCTGCTGAAATGCAAGTTTCACTTCTCACCTAAAACTGAGCAACAGTACAGCCTAACTTACTTCTGGGTGCAAAAATAAAACAGCCCACTCTCTGGTGCCCACTTAGTTCAGATACCTGGGGATAGGGGGAGGCAGCAGAGCAACTCTTGAAAGTAAGTTTCTGGGGAGGCTCATTAGTCATTCCTAAGTGATTCCTCTGGTCTCAGATCTCTAGAACTTTAAAAGCTCAAAAACAGCATCTTGAATTGACACCGGAAGCTAACTGCTAACCACTGCAGCTGGTAAAGGGTCTGTTCCTCAGGATACATGGCTATGGTTTGCTTATGTTAGTCACCTTATGTTTGCAAATATTACGCACTTTATCCAACTCGGACCCTGCAATCATCCTGAGGCCCTTCTTTGTGTGCCCACTTTGTACCTCCTCCACTCCTGGATACACCAAGAGCAACCAACTTAGAGATGTGAAGGCCTGGGAGGATGGGGTAGAAAGGTTTATCCTGCATCTTCATATCTCTAAACCACAAGTGTTTGCTTATTCTGTTATCCAAACAGAGGCTCATGGTTTGTTTCTCTCCAAACCATGATCGGCAGCCATGCTTCATTCTTTGCTTCCCACAAACCACAAGCCCAATTCAGATGATAGCAGTGGGGGAGGAACGAAGCAGGTAACAAGCACACTACTCATTCATGCTCAACCACAGCTAAACATGAATGCAATGTGCAGACATAACCACTACGAACATATCCTGCTACATACAAAGGAATATGATTTTAAGTTAGAAGCAGTGAATGACTGCAGAATATATAACCTGAAACAATAATATTCTCTAGCTGCTCTGAAAAGATATCGAGAAATGTAACTTGCTGTAGAAGAGTTAATGCCATTACTCCAAAGAAACACACTTTTACTGTACAGAAGCAAGCTCTGAGAACCACAACAAACTGGAACATAATAGTAAGGTGGATGGTAACTTAGCTGCAAGTAACTTCTGTATGCTATACAGATTATTTCAAGACCTTTATTTATAAAGCACCAACTATTATACTGGATGCTATATAAATTAAGAACTAGATAGATCCAGACAACATCATTTGCTTCAAGGCTAACTTCCAGCCTACTAAAATGAAACTAATAGTCAAGCTCAGCTTAATATCATTCAAGAGATAATGTGCAGCGGAACAAAGGAAACCCCCATGTCACACCATATTGGTCTATGTAGCTCAGGACTGTCTACACTGATTGACAGTAGCTCTTCAGGCTTTCAGAAATGAACCTTTCCCAGCCCTCCCTGGAGATGCTGGGGACTGAATCTGGGACCTATTGTAGGCAAAGAAAATGTGTCGTACCACTGAGATATGAAGCTTGCCATTTCAGACTGAAATTAATCAGGTCAGGCTTGTATTCAGAATACTGAGCTACTGTGCCCCTGAGTGGCAAATGGTTCTATACATGAGTCCAAGCCACTTATCCCAAATAAGAAGTTTAACAGGAAGGTGTTTTGTGCAATTAAAGCGGCAAAAGCAGAAACTACTTCCTCAAATTTGTCTATCTTCTTCAGCCAAAACATCAACCGATTAATAATTGCTAATAGTTACATGACACACAAACACAGAGGCTGTTTCAGTTTCTTGGGGTTTTTAAATCAACACAGGAGCCTTATGAGACATTAAATTCCGAGTTAACAATGTACTCAATGCCACCAAGGTATTCCAGGTTCAAACTCAGTATGTGTACACTACACATTACTTGCCATCAGGATACATCAAACTCAAATCACTTGGCCAAACACAAGGTTTTTCCACCACTTTTGGATCATCAACCTTTTCCAAGAAGACTTATTTTTGCTTAGTTGTATGATTTTGAGTTTCTCACATGTGCATGCTGCTCAGGTATAGATGATTAAGGTTCTCACAAAAGAGAGAAGATGCCATAAAAGCCCTTTCTTTCCTCTAGAGCAGACACCTGCCAGATTAATGTGTCACACTACCGCTACACACACGAAACCCTAAAGTATGCCAAAAAGTAGGGTTACTTTCTGAAGCTGTGGCATTTGATAACCCATCTCTGTCCTGTGCAAAGACTTCAGGACAATCAGATCATCATCAGCACAGAGCAAACTTAATAAACAAATGGAAAGAAAGTAGAATTCATACCTGGGAGAACCTGATTCTAATCAACTACTTACTATCAGTGCTACCAAGTGAGTGTTATTCATTATACTGATTGACTTTGTCTTGAGGGGTTATCGACCATGCAAACTATCATTAACTTGTTTAGTGCCTGATCAGTTTAGTGCCTGCTGCAATGACAAGAGGAAAGAACTCTTAGTAAACTGTGTGCTATTGGATTTCCTCTCTTTCAATTCAAGGAACATGCAAGGAAAGGATTGGAATCTTCCAGTGGGCTCACTAACTACACCTTTTCTATGTACTCTAGTTACCTAATTATTATAATGCACTCTTCATGATGCTAGCCTTAAAGGTGTTCTGAAGCTTCAACTGATACAGAACACTACAAGCAAGTTGCTCATTGGACTTGGTCAGTCAGTAACTCAAATTCTGCTTGATTTACAATAAGCTAAAAAAGAAGAAGTAGATAATCTATTTAAATTGCTTGTATTCTTTATTTCTGAATCACCCATAACCAAGATTCTCTGCACAATGCACTATAATAAAACCAAGAATTAACTAGAAAACTCTTAACACAGCACACAGGTAAGTATGGAATTCGCTACCACACGATGTTGCAATTGCCACCAATTTGGATGGGTTTAAGAGAGGTTTGCACAAATTCACAGGCTATCATTGGCTGCCAGCCATTATGGCTGTATATTACCTCTGGTATTGGAAACTATATGCCTCTGAATACCAGTTGCTGGAAATCACAAGTGGGGAGAGTGCTATGTGTTCATGCACTGCTTGCTGGCTTCCCAGCAAGCCTCTGAGAACAGGATGTTGGGCTAGATGGGGCTTTGGTCGGATCCAGCAGGGTTCTTATGCAATACAGAAGCTTGGCTTATACAGAGCCAGACCACTGGCCGATCTAGTTCAACATTGCCTATACTGAGCAAAGAAGATGGTCTACCACTGAGCTACTGCCAGTCCGTACTTCTGCTGCCATGGGAAGACTTTTTAAATCCTCAACACACTGGGGACTAAGAAACAAAAAGACCACCTTCTCTCACACATGTTATCCTGTAAACTCTGGTCATCAGCATCCCAGACACTCATATGCGAAAGAGCCTTTCCAGTTGTGATGCTAAGTCAACACTGTGGAATGTCCTCTCAAGGCAGGCCCACCTGGTAGTGTCTATAGCTTCAAATGGTAAGTGAAAATCTGGCTTTTTCCTGCCCGTAATTCGTACTGGATTGATAACTGCAGCTGTGCTTATTTTATTTTATGGTGCTTGTTGTTTATTTATTAGCCACAAGTGTTAGTGGCCCCAGGCACTTGAACAAGAAGGACCAACTTTCTTGAAAAACTTCAAAAAACTGAGGCAGGCAAGGTTCCATGCAAAGAGTTTTCCAATTCCTTCAAGAATGTGAACAAAGGAATTTTATCTAAAATACCCAGAAAATATTGTTCCTGCTTCCATTGGGGCAGGGAAGGGGAAACAGGAGATTAAGAACCATAATGCCAATATTTCACTTTTTAAAAAACCTGAGATATGGTGCAAAATGTGCAGGGATTGGTGTTATTTTTTGTGAGAAACTAACCTGCTCACTAAGAGACGCTGGTGGTGCTGTGGTCTAAACCACAGAGCCTAGGGCTTGCCAATCAAAAGGTCGGCTGTTCGAATCCCCGCCCGCTGCTGGTCCCAGCTCCTGCCAACCTAGCAGTTCGAAAGCATGTCAAAGTGCAAGTAGATAAATAGGTACCGCTCCAGCGGGAAGGTAAACAGTGTGCTGCTCTGGTTTGCCAGAAGCTTAGTCATGCTGGCCACATGACCCGGAAGCTGTACGCCAGCTCCCTCGGTCAATAAAGCGAGATGAGCGCCGCAACACCAGAGTCATCCGCGACTGGACCCAACGGTCAGGGATCCCTTTACCTTTACCTAACTGCTCATTGCTACACTCTGGAAAAATTACTGCAGACACCCTGACTGTGAAGGCAGAGGTTTCCTATGTAACCTATGCTATCCCCCAAATCTTGTTCTCTGAAGGCTGGAGCTACGAATTCTGGATAATAATCTCAGATAATGTATATTACCACCGGTTGTATAAACTAGTCTATAGTGACATGCAGCATATTGTCTTTCACCTTCAGTTTCATTGTTTCCAAAGAACGAACAGAACCAATACTCTTTCACAAAGCTTGCTGCAAGGATGACTTAGACCTTTTCACCATGTGGGAACTGCTTCCCAACCCTAAGAAACAACAGCAAGTGCCATGTGACTATTGCACTATTTCTCATGCCAATGTTGCCTTGTCTCTCAAAACAAACGATTCAGTTGGCATTGGAAATAACTGCATCATTTGCTTGGCCCACATAATTGTCTATTTCAATCTTATCATCTTGCTCAGTTGTTGTTTTTCCCCACCAGCTTTTGTTTCTAGCATTTTAACTGTTTTTCTTGTTAGTCACTCAAGCAGCATTCGGGAAGGAAAGCACAGTACAGACAATAACAAAAAAAATTTTTTTTTTTACAAATTAGTCTCCTACAGACATTACCAAAGCAACCTGACACTCAGCCACAAAAGGAGTGATCGTAATTAAGGACCAGCTCTAAGTTCCTTACCTGCATACAGGTCAAAGCTGCCACTGAGCCAACAGATTCTTTCTTTCTTTCTTTTTTCTTACCCCGCCCCTTACACCAAGTAGCTCAAGGCATGGCATTTCGTTGCTCCATTTTATCCACACAACAACCCTGCTTCTTTAGTTCAGGCATGACTCACCCATGGTTACCCAGTTAACTTCACATCTGAGGGGGAATTTGAACCAGGGCCTTCCCCATCCTCGTCTGATATGTTAAGTGGTATACAGCCCTGTGCCGCCTTTAAACATTCCGGGGGTGGCCTGAGTTCGACTCCTACCCCTTCTGTCCACGTGGAAACCACTACTTACTGCGGTAGCATCCCAAGCACATGGCGCCTTCAACCCGCGATCCACACACCATATGGCCACGACATCTCCCACAACTGGCCAGAAATGCAGGGGAAGAGGGAGGCGTTGCGCAAGAGTTGCCTCAGCCCTTGGCCAGAGACTTCTGGCGCGAGGAACAAACTAGGCGCAGCCCCAAAGGGAGCTGCTCGGGCTCCCCATCTGGGCAACGGGAAGAAGGGCGGCCTACCTCACGGGGTTGCTGTGAGGAGGAAGCCCCCTTGGGAAACGAGGAAGTTGAAGCGGGCGCCTTCTGCTTCCTCCAAGGCGGAGGCCGCCTCCCCTCCCGCCTCCCCGGGCAACTCACCCCACGTTGGCGGGGCGCTCCGTCGGCGGCGGCGGCTCGGCGCTCTCGCTGTCCGAGGCCGAGGAGCAGGAGGAGGCCGAGGACGACGACGACGACCCCGAGGAAGCGGACGAGGCCGAGCAGGCGCTGGCGCTGTCGGTGGCGTCCGAGTCGCAGGCGCGCTGGGCGGCGCGGAGGCGGGCGGGGGGAGGCGGCCAGCTGCCGCAGCTCCGGGCCCAGCGCGGGCGGAGGAGGAGGCGCCTCGGAGCCCGTCCGCCCGGCCACGCTCCGCGCCAGCCCGGCCAGCTGCTGCCGGACGTGCCGCTCCACCTGCCGGGCCTGCAGCGCCCGCAGGCGGCGGCACAGGCTCCGCGCCCGGCCCCACAGAGAGGCCTGCCGGGCCCGCGCTTCCGCCTGGCGCTGCCGGCGACTCTGCGGCCGCCACGGCGGGCCGCTCGCCTCAGGCGCAGCCGCCGCCGCCGCCGCCGCCATGGCGGGCCCGGTCGCAGCCGCCGTCGCCATGAAGGGAGCCGTCGCCTCGGGGCAGGCCGCTCCGCCTCAGCAGCAGCAGCAGCAGCCGCCGCCTCCTCAGCGCCTCAGGGCGGTCCGGGACTCTCCATGGACTCCCGGCCGGGACAATACGAGCTCGCCCGAGACGGCGCGCGCGCGCCCGGCCCAGATATTTCCCTCCCAGCCCGCGCCTCAGCCGCGGCGCACGCATGCGCGTAGCAGCGGGCCGTCGCAGCAAGCCTCTCTCCTCTCTCTCGAGCGCGCGCGCGCGCCAAACACTCGGCGAAAACCTCGAGTTGCTGACAGAGCGCCGCCGCCGCAGCCGATAGAGGGCGGTCGCCGCCGTCTGCGCCTGCGCCCCGCAGCCTCTTTCCCCCCCCCACTACTCGCCATCTTGTTACCACGTGAGCACTGGGCGTCGCTGCTGCTCATGCGCCAACGCGCAACGCTCTTCCGAGGCAGCAGGAGGTGGGAGGGAAGCTCGGGGGAGACGCATGCGCACAACCGTGGCCATGCGCGCCCAGCCTTAACCCAAGCGTTTCCCGCGGGCGCCTGCGCAGTAGCCGCCACAATTACAAATCAACGCAGGAGCCGTCAATGCTGTTACTACGCGTCCTGGGCTGCATTCTCACGAGCATGTTTTCCAGTTCCAGGCGCGCCTGATTTCAAACCGCAGCTTAACAAAACACGCAGCTCCAGCGTCTCCCAGATCTGCACAACAGGCAGGGATTCAGCAGGTGGAGCCTTAACCCCGAAGCATTTCCTCCTGAATTTCTGACTATTACGCATCTGCCAGTAAAATGAAAAATGGCTCTGCAGCTCAAAGGGGGACCTTATCAATATTTTAACCAATCAAACAAGACATACTAGAATCATAGAATTCATACATTAGCCACTATGGTAATGTAACCCAACCGCCTGCAATGCAGAAATCTTTTGCCCAAGGCGGGGCTCCAACCCAAAACCCAGAAAATGAGTCTCAGGGGCTACAGACTGAGCTATCCCAGCATAAAGAGGACAGGCATATCAAAGCCTGGAAACCAACCCAAACATTCAAGCTTTAAGCAAGCTATCGTTTTTACAGAATACACAGTAGAATGGGGAGAGTTATTCCTGAAAATACATTAATTTTACCCCTGAATACTTGCTTTACTTGTGGGCATCTTGCCCCTTTTTCAAAAAGCCCCAGTGCCTGGACAACCTTCTACTGCTTTTTAAATGGCAAGGTGTTACACAGACCCAAGAAGCTGCCAACTGCTGACCACAGCATTCAAAGGCTTTTCTTTCTCAATCTTTACACTAATGTTAACAGCAAATGCAGTTAATGGCAGGTACCCTATCCTCATCTCTCAGATTACAGGGACAAGCTGAAACAACTCTAATATTTCCAGGAGGGGAAAAGAAGCAAGGTTAGAAGTTAAAGAATATAGTATACAATTTTTCATATACATACTCAAGCCAAGTGCTTGTCTATGTTCATGACAAACCACAATTGTCAGAGGCTCCTTTTATACACACATACTAACCAAATTGAACTCAGAGAGTTTTGGAATCACTGCCATAGTATATATCTGTATGAAGGGCAATATGCAAACCTCGTGCTCATAAAAAAATAAAAACATTACAATGTGATCTTAAGCACTGTTACCTGGAGGAAAGTTCAGTTGAATTCCGTGAATCTTATTCCCTGCAAAAAGTGGTTAGAACTGCAGCCTTAGCCTTTAATATACTACAAAATTCAAAGGTTTTCCAAGTACTAAGAGCTCCTGTGGCACAGTGGGCGGTGTGGTAGTCTAGGCCCTTGAAGACCAGGGTTCAAATCCATCCGCAGCTTTGAAGCTCATTGAATGAGCTTGGACCCTTCACCGTGTCTCAGCCTAACCTTTCTCGGGAGCGTTGCTGTGAGGACGGAATGGAGAGGAACAGCAAGGGAAAGGTACAAGATTAAGATACAAGGTAAGTCCCATTTCTACAAATTCCGAAAACAATTTAAATGCTACCGATTAGCATGTATTAACTATGCACAGCAAAGCAGCAACTAATACTCAGCACGAAGTATGTAATAAGCATGGTACATTGCCTGCACTCATTTAGATTGTAATAGTATGCATCACTTTTCAAAAATGCTGAAATGTGGCAGAAAAATAAGAATGTGGCTCCCAAGAGTGCTTCATCTGGCCCTTCTTTCCTCACTTTTAAGTATATTATTGCAAGTTATATTCTGGCAGGCATTTCTGGTGGAGGCACCAAAACAATATGTTACTATGTTGCTGCAGTTTGCTGGCGTATATAATTTTGTTCCCATTATTGTTTTGTTCCCATTATTGTTAATTTTAGATTGTATTTTAGTTTGTTTGGTTGCTGTATCTTTTTAAAATAAGAGAACCTGTTTCAAATTAAGATTCCTGCAAACTTCACTCAATGCAGATGAAATTAAAAATGAAGAATGTTCATTAGCACTGAGTGGAGTTTGCATGTTTCTTATTTAACCAAGTCTTGCTGTTTTGCCACACTCCTCTTCACACATCCCTCATTGTAACAGATATACAGTAAGCAGGAACTGAAATCCACAACAAAACACTCACAGAAAAGGTGTTCAAATTGCAGCAGAGTCTTGGCCATTACTATGTCTACAACCTAAAGCTCCAATTTGCTCATCCTAGGCTATCTGAAGAACTGCATCCTCCCATATGAATCTGCCCAAACTCTGAAACCTGCTTACTTGGCACTAACTTCCCTTGAACTTGGATTTCTGAGTAAACATGCATAGTGGTGGGCTGTACGAATACATGCCAAGACCGTTAGGGAGACCTCTGGGCAGGGTCTGGTAGCGGGCAAAATTACTCAGCTGCCTATGGGCATTGCAGCAAGTTCCTGAGAGGTGGGGAGGAGAGCTCAGCACAGTGCAGGCGCAATGGCAGGCGCATCAGATTGGCCTGCGCCGCCACCACCACACTCACCCCACACTGAGCTTCCTGGGCTTCTCAATCACTGAAAGTGATGCTCAGCATTGGGAAGGCAGCTGAGTAATTTTGCCCTGCCTGTACAGTTCACTCCCAGCAGGAACTATGCCTCTTCCTGCTCCAGTACAGCACTAACACTCAGAAACTGCTGTATGATTGAAAACAGAAGCAGCAGTAATAAAAAGATAAAGTGAAGAACCACCATGGGGCAGTAGATTTAGCTCTCTACTACTCCTTTGCAGTGTCTGTCTGTTCATTCTGGACATACGTTGCAGCTCGAATACATTATTTTGGTATGATTTATAATGGATGGGCGGGACACGGGTGGCGCTGTGAGTTAAACCACAGAGCCTAGGACTTGCCGATCAGAAGGTCAGCGGTTTGAATCCCCGCGACGGGGTGAGCTCCCGTTGCTCAGTCCCTGCTCCTGCCAACCTAGCAGTTCGAAAGCACATCAAAGTGCAAGTAGATAAATAGGTACCAATCTGGCGGGAAGGTAAACGGCGTTTCCGTGCACTGCTCTAGTTTGCCAGAAGCGGCTTAGTCATGCTGGCCAGATGACCCAGAAGCTGTACGCCAGCTCCCTCGGCCAGTAACGTGAGATGAGTGCCGCAACCCCAGAGTCGGCCACGACTGGACCTAATGGTCAGGGGTCCCTTTACCTTTACCTATAATGGATGGGTAGCTCCAAAGGGAGTGAAGGAAAAGGGTATCCTGCCTTTGGGTCTCTCCTTTGGGATGTGACAAGAGGGAGGGCACTTCCCGTGGGCAACTGATTGAGGATAGGCTTTGGTAAAAGTTGACATATTAGAACTTGGCCAGGGTGAGGGTGGAAATGCGAATTAAAGTGGCTTCTAAGTGAGAAGGGGAATGCTGGGAAGCTGTGTCCACAGAAAAGGCATGAATGCAGCTCAATACAGCTCATGATGTGGCTGATGGGTATTTAGTGATTGTGTCACTTTATAGTATTGATTTACCATGTTTCTTGTATTTTTATTTTAACTTTGCTTTGTATTACAGTGGTACCTTGGTTTAAGAACAGTTTAGTTTTTGAACAACTTGGATTAAAACTGGAAACTGCAAAACTGGAAGTAGGTGTTTGTGAACTTTGCCTTGGAAGCAGAACATGTTCCGCTTCCTGTCGAGTGTGTTCCATTTGTAAATTGAGTCCGCCGCTGGTATAGGAAAGCACACCTTGGTTTAAGAACGCTTTGGTTTAAGAATGGACTGCTGAAACGGATTAAGTTCGTAAACCAAGGTACCACTGTACAATGTTGTTCACCTCATTGGGGGGCTTTGGGCCAAAAGTTCTATAGAAATAAACCGTAGTGTGTGACGTAGAAGGCATTCCTGTGAGAGGCTTAATATTCTTAAGGATTCTTACCGTCATGTTACTCCCCTTTCTGACCCGTCCATTTCTGAAGGTCTGGAAGAATTGCGGCACTGCACTGCAATCCAGGATGAGGCCATCAAAACAAGCTCCTCCAACTTCAGGTGCATCCCTGTATAATCTGGGGGGAAAGTGATTCCAGGGTTTGAAAGAAATGCACAGAACCATAATTTTTATCAGGACCAATAAATATAAAAAGAAACTTGTAAGGACCATAATTTAATTAAAGCCATGGAAAATCCTGAGCTCAAAGAAAGAAGGATGCACAGCAAACATTTCAACACGAGTGAGTTCCAGAGTTTAACTCAGCACTGTGTACAGTACTTCCTTTTATGTTTCCTGAACCTTCCAACATACACCTGAACTGGCTGTAACAATGTTGGAGCGTTAAATGTTACTGCTTATCTTCATGCCAATAAGGGGAATTTGTTTGTTTGTTTGATACAATTCATATGCCACTTGATTGTATAAAAAAATTACTACAGCTCAAACAATAAAAACGGGGGGGGGGGGTTGCAGCTTTATTTTGAAACGTAAAAAAAGTTAAAATACGAAAACAGATTAGAGCCGATCGACCTGCTAAATTTCTGCCTGCCACTGCTGAGGGACCTTCAACACCCCACTCAGCCCTTACGTGCGACCTTCTCTCCGCCTCAGCCTACCTCACAGGGTGGTTGTTGCTGTTGTTGTGGGGGCTATTACTACCAGACTTTTATTTTATTTTATTACTACCAGACTTTTAGAAGGCAGCCCTGTTTAGGGAAGCTTTTAATGTTTGCTGTATTACAGTATTTTAATGTTTTTTGGAAGCCGCCCAGAGTGGCTGGGGAAGCCCAGCCAGTTGGGGGCTATAAATAATAAATTATTATTATTATTATTATTATTATTATTATTTATTGTTATTATTACTTTTTTTAAAAAAAAAGAGGTGGGAGAGGGGGGCAAACCCACGCACGCCGCCTCGCGCTCCTTGGGGAAGGGGGGTAGAATATAAAGCGAAATAATTAAATAAATAAAGGAGCAGGGAAAAGAAAGGGGAAAAGAGAAGCAGGCGGCAGCCCGTCAGGTGAAGCCCAGACAGTTGTAGGCGGGGGGGGGGAGAGGTGATAGGGCGGAGGGACTGAGGGGAGGCGAGTCCCGGGGGAAGGAGAAGGGGCGCCTCACTCACTCACTCACCGGCAGAGGCCCGGAGGCGGCACCGGCCTCCTCCTCCTCTCCTCTCTCCGGGCCTGCCCGTCACCTTCCGCCTTTCCCCTCCAAGCCCCGCCCCCCGCCGCCTCCCATTGGCGTGCTCCGTTGCCTTGGAGAGCCGCGAGCGCCCTCCTCTCGCCCCTCCCCTCCCCGCCGAAAGCCCCGGCTGCGCTTCCTTCCTTCCTTCCTCCTCCGCTTCCGCTCAGGGACCGGAAGCCGTATCGGCGGCGGCGCGCGGGGGCTGCCGGGAGCCGTAGTCCCGGCGCCCTGAGAGGGAAAAGAGCGAGCCGGCCGGCCAGTGAGGGAAACCAGCGACCCACCCACCCGCCGCCTCTCGCCGCCTTCGCCCGCTCCCGCTCGCCCGCCCGCCCGTTCCGCGCAGCCGCCGCGGCCTCGCGCTCCTCCTCCTCCTCGCCCGCCCCTCGGCCAGAGCGGCGAAGAGCAGCGGCGCGAAGGAGGTCGGTGGCCCGTGAGGGAGGAGGGAGAAAGAAGGAGAATAGGCGGCGGCGGCGGCGGCGAAGAGGGAAGGAAAGGAGCGGCCGCCGCCGCCGCCCGTCAGGGAGGGAGGGAGAGGCGGACGCAGCTGCCGTGAGGCGCTTCGAGGCGGGGGGGGAGATAAATGGGAGGAGGGGGATGCGCAGAGGGGAGGGGGGCTGTGAGGGGGCAAGGGGCGAATTAGGGGGGAGGGGTTGGATGGGGCGGGGGGGGGGGAGCAGGCCGTGGGGGCGGCGAGGGGGACCGAGGTCTTGGCGGTGAATGGCGGGGTGGGCGTGGAGTAGAGGTGCTTCTTTGGGGGGGGATGAGAGAAAGAGAATCCGCACGAAGGATGGGTTTTTTGGGGGGGGTGGGGGGCAGTGACAGGTGTTTGGTCCTGCAATGGGACGACTTGACGTTTGCTTGCAAGGTGGTGCTTTCTCCGTTTTTCCTCCTCGCAACGACAACCCCGTGAGGTAGGCCAGGCGGAGAGGCAGCCGCTTCGCCCTCAGGGAGCTTCGTGGCCGGACCCTGCTCCTCAGGGTCCTCCTGGTCTGGGATGCCACGCTTGGGAGAGGTGGCCAAGCTCTGGATGGATCAGAGGAGGTCTGGGGGGCTTGGTCTGGGGAGAGGGGCCCTCAGGATGGGAGCGCTGTAGGTGTGTCTGGCGAAGGGATGTTGGCGGGTCTGGCATGGCGATGGAGGTAATCCTAAGAATTGGACCCAGGGTCTGGAGACAGCGGCTTGGCTAGTGATGGAGGCGAGGTGATGTTGGAAAGCTGTGCAGAACCGAAAGAGTGAGAGTAGGGTTGGTGGTCCTGATGCTGAGGGTGACAAAGGGATGTCTTCAGATCTGATTTAACAGCATCAGAGGTGGGGAAAGCCATGGTTCTGGTGGCAAGGGAGGGTGGTAGTTTGGCAAAAGGTAGTTTGGCAGCTGCGTGGATTTCAGTGGGTTGTTGGGAGCGTAAGATTTTCTGGATACTGGGTACTGCCTTCTGGAGCAGAATTCTGCTTAAGGCAGTACCCAGTCAGGTGCGTCCGGATGCTCATGAGTCTCAGTGTTGTTTGTAGACACAATTCCTCTGGGTGTAAGAGGAACAGGTAGATGGGTAACAGGAGGTAGGGCATCAGATCACAAGTAGGCGTCATTATAGGGGAAGAGGATGGGAGTGAGGTTGCATGGAATTGGGATGAAATTAGATTCCTGGGGTTCCAGCCTTATTTTAACGCTGGAATAAAAGCTTGCAAGGGTCAAGTTGGTTTTGATGGCTGGCTGGTGCTGACGGGAGTTGTAGTCCAGAACATCTGGAGGGCACCAGGTTGGCAAAGGGAGCTGAGAAGCAGTTCTTGTTCTTGGAACATCAGTTGCAGGCAAGTTCAGGTTGGCAGCATTAGCTAGCCTACACTTCTTCTGTTGTAACAAACGGACTAAGAATGAATGGGACATGGACTGGGAGAGGCAGACTGGGATTATTAGCTGTAAAGAATATTCATTGGCAGAGCTCGCTTCTTGATTGATTGAATCAATGGAGAAAACCTAACTCTGGCATTGTGTGCCAAACATCCCAGCCTAAACAAGTGTCTTCAGAATAACTTTGAAGTAGGCTAGGCTGAGATGTGTAGTGACTTGCCCAAAGCTGCTCCATGCTCTAGGTTTAGCAAGGATTTGAACTTGGACACCACCATCAGTCCCAGTCTCAATCCACAGTTATTAGCCCTAGTCTCTGTTTTATGCCTTTTTGGGGGCGTTCGCTCTCTATGTATAAAAAAAAAATGTAGTAATCACATACTAAACTTGGAGTAGCTATGATGGGGAAACTGTGAGACAGCTGGCACAATGTTCTTCACTGCATGGCTCTTGAACAACAGTTGTTTTTAAGTGCCCAGCATGTCCTGGGAATGTGTGGGTTTGATTCTGCATTGGCTCTTGGATGGGTTTGCAATGACAAAAGGGTGACATATAAGAGGGCATTTCAGTGGGTAGAGGTTTTTTATGCCTGCATGGCAACTCTCACCTGCCAAAACTCTTAAATGTCACTGGGACTGGTACATCCTTTGCCTCCACTGATACTGTGATGATCCTGGAAAACATATCTTTTATTTGACTGTTGTATGTGGGAACTCTCAGTGGACCTCCATGCAGTCAGCCTTCCTTGGGCAGGCTATGAGAAAAAACTGAATGGACTAAATGTTGCCCAAACTTGCCCACGTCCTTCTGATCCTCCCAACCAAAGTCCCAAATTGCCATGCCTGTCTTTGGTTACGGAGAACAGCCAGTAGGGATGCTGGCTTCTTTATCAGCCTCTGCTCTGGGCCTTTAATAGTGAGTTGATGACGAAGATATTAACACAGGGACTCCAACTCTCATCAGCCCCAGACAGCATGGCTAGTGGTGAGGGATGATGGGAGTTGTAGTCCAGCAAACGTCTGGTGGGCACCATGCTGGCAACCCCCCCTGTTTTCAGGTGGTATGTCTTGGTATGTCTTAAAAGGCTTCATCTGCTGGTTTCCTAAAAGTAAAGCTGCAGTTAAAAGTAGAGGAGCAGTCAGGGCAGCCTGGCTTTTTTCAGGTCAGTTGCGATCCTTGCAGCTCATAAACTCTTTGAATAATTAAGAATGTCTCTTGGGAATATCATAAGGATTTTTCAATCCCTTCGGTTATACTGAATCTTCTTTCATCCTGATAATCAGCACTACCGGTTAGGACCAAACTGTGCTGCTTGGCTTTTCAAACTGTAAATAGCAGCTGGGATGGAGTCAGAACCACAGCAAAGTGGGGAGGTGGGTTTAACACTTTCCTTACACTGAAATACTGCTCTTTCCCCCAATGTTTTCTTTAGCACCAACTAGGAACTTGGGAGGGATTTTCATGGGTACAAATGGGGGATGGGGTTACCAAACACAAATACGCACTGCTGCTTTAGTTAAAGTTCTAAAAGGGAAATGTGTCACCAAGTTAAACATTTGTGTTTTTTTTTTAATGTGGAGCTTTGCACTTGGGATGGGGCATGGCTGAGTAGTTGGACAAAAAAGATCCCAGCATCAATCCCCATCACCTCCCTCTTTAAAGGATCTCTGTAATGAGGAGAGGGAAGTCCACTAGGAATTGAGATGTATGTCCTGAGATGATGGCGTCCTTGGGCTCCTGCGATTTTGAAAAGACTGGTTTCATAGAAAAACCTCCTCCCAGAAGTTGGTTGAAAGGAAGCTGACAAACCCTAGCCAATAAGCCAGACTACATGTGATGATGAGGCATTTGACTTCCTATCTCCCTCAGAAACACAATATTTACATACAAGTTCTGGTTGGACGGTTGCTTAAAATTTTAGTTACAGGTAGTTAGCCGTGTTGGTCTGCCGCAGTCGAAACAAAATACCAACTAAGTTTGTTATTAGTATGAGCTTTTGTGTGCATGCACACTTCTTCAGATACAGTGGTACCTCAGGTTAAGTACTTAATTCGTTCCTGAGGTCCTGAAACTGTTCTTAACCTGAAGCACCACTTTAGCTAATGGGGCCTCCCACTGCTGCTGTGCCGCCGGAGTACAATTTCTGTTCTCATCCTGAAGCAAAGTTCTTAACCCGAGGTATTATTTCTGGGTTAGCAGAGTCTGTAACCTGAAGTGTATGTAACCTGAAGCATATGTAACCCGAGGTACCACTGTACTTAGTTGATCTCTAAGGTGCTACTGGAAGGAATTTTTTTATTTTGCTTAAAATTGGTTAGGCTCTCCTTGATACATTTCATCTCCTATCTCTTCTCCCTCTTGTTTTTCCAGGAACTGGACCATTTTGCTCTGCCAGCGATGTTCTCCCTGAATTCATGTAGAAGAGGTAAGAAGGTAGCTGGCCGGAATGGGGTGGGTCATGGAGGAATCACTATTTTTGATGACTAGGGGGAAAAGCTCTAGAACTGGTTCTCTTCTCAGTCACACCAGACCTTTGTGAGACTTGAGCTTTCCCCCTGTGGCAGTGAATGAAATTTCCAGTCACTTTCTATTCACACTGGCTTCAGGTCCTCATGCTGAGCTTCTGACAGGGATGGGGAGTCTGGTGCTCTCCAGCTATTGTTGAACTACAACTTCCAGAAGCCAGCATGGCCAATGGTCAGCGATGGTGGGAGTCTGAATCCAGCAACATCTGAAGAGCTTTAGGTTCCTCATCTTTGGCTTACAGCATTGGCTAGGACGTATTCAGATGTACTACCTAGAAAATGAGAAAGAAGTTGTGGGTCATTGTTGAGCTGAAAATCATCTCATGCCTTTGGCTATGAATTGGTCCATGATCCCAGGTGCGTTTTGCAGATGTTACATCAAGGCTCATTTCAACCAGGCACAACCAAAACATTTGTTACTGAAGCTGCCCACGAGCATGTAATTGGCCTCTAGCTAATAATGACAAACATTCAACGATTCACATCTTTGCAGATCTCCAGTAGCTATTTCGATAGTGACCCTTTCCCTCTCTGCAATGATGCGGGTGGCATTCAACTGGCATGGCTTACCGTATATAGATCTCACATACCCTGCAAACCCAGTTTTCTGTCCATTCTAGCCTTTCCGTTGGTTATCCACATTAGATTAGGCTTTGGTGTTCCCCACCCCCAATCCAATTTGAAATAGGAACGTTCCCCCTTTTTAAACCTCATATATCCCTTTTTCTTAGTTGTGCTGCTTTGCACCACCTTAGTGAGACTGCTGTCCTTGGTGTTGACAACATCTGTACAACATGTTCTCATCTTCTATCATGTTGTCTCTTTCCTCTTTTCCCTAACCAAACTCTCCATTTAGCTCATGACTAGTTTTCCACGTTAGTTGCTCCAGCCATCCGCCATCCTTGTTGTTCTTTCTGAGCTCCTGGCCATTGATTTTAAAACGAGGTGCTCATGCAGGAATAAAGAATTCCTGGGATTGGCTGAAAGAGAGATGATTACTGTGTCCGCCCGGTGAAGTACTATTATCACCTTTGCAGCCCTTTGGCATAAAGACCCTGCAAATTTTCATCACCAAGAGCAATGCATTCAAGGATTCTTTTCCTAAACGCACACTTGGCTCACTTGTCAGGTGAGTTGGCACGATGATGACATTGGCAGTGGCCGAATCAACTGCAGAACTTGAAAAAGAGACCCCAAGCAGGGCAGGAGTCCTCAGAACAAGGCTAGTGGTTTGTCATGGACTCCATGGTGGTCCTGTGATGGGAGAGGAACACAGCAAAATTACCTTCCTGTCTGCATCAGAAAGACTCAACCATGGCTGGTTCCTTTGAGACAAGAGTGGCAAGTTATGCCTTTAGCCTGACCTGGCGAGCTGCAGGATAAAATGTAGAAATTAAATGCTGTTAAATGCTTTTATGTTGCTTAATAAAAAGTTTTGTGACTTCAAATAAGGAGACGGTTGACTTTTGGCATCTTTCCTACACGTTGCGTGCTCAGAGCTGCAAGCTTTTGTATAGCTGTCCGTGACAAACCACTAGCCAGACTCGTGTAGATGGTTGTCCATCATCTCACCTTTCTCCTTCAGCTCTCTGTTACTGTGCTCTAGCTCTCTCCTCTTCCTGTCAAAGATGGGGTTGCAGCTGCTATTCTTTTCACTGCTGTGTTTTACATACCTGGTTCCTTTCTCTAGAAATACTGTGGAGAGGGGGGAATCCTATTGGTCCACCCTTCCAACCCTGACAGCTGATCCATTCCATGTCCACGGCCTGCTCCCTCCCACTTCTCTCCCGCATATGCCATATTTCTTTAGCCTCACTCTTTGCTCTGTCTCCTTCCACAGACGCAGTTGCCCTCCTTACGTAATCCCTCAGGGATAGACCCACCATCTCTTCTCCTGCCCCTAGCAACCACCTGCTTTGGGAAGCTCTCTCACTCCTGCCCATTAGCCTTTCCTTCAGTTGTTAGGCTGGGAGAAAGGGATTTGTTTGCTAGTGTGTGTGGTTGCCGCTGCCACCAAAGTACCTTTTTATGGTGTCTGGGGTAAGCAGAAAAGTTCCTCTTTCATTTGTTACTAGGAGCACTAAGGTATAAACTGTCCATGTCACCTGAAAACAGTAATGAGAGCAGAAACACAAAAACCACCAAACATCCCCTACGGGTGCTGTTTCATCTGCACAGCTAGTCCACCCAGCAGTGGCGGAACTGGACGACGCCCCTTGCAGCTGCACAAGGGAAGCATTGGTTTTCATGCAGCAGCAGCACTTCTGCCAGCATTTGCCAACCTGGTGCCTACCAGACGTTTCGCATCAGCCCCGTCATTGTATGGCCTTGCTGACTGGGGCCAATGGCAGTTGTCTACCAGATGTTTTGTACAAACCTGGTTGGCCAAGGCCAGCGTTCACACTCCTGGCAGCCAGGGCTATCTTAACTATATCCGGCGCTGTGGTGCAAAGCTCCTTCTGCCCCCCCCCCGTTTCCCAGAGTTGTCAACCTTTTATTAGGGAGGACGGGGCTGGGGGAGGCGGGCAGTGGCTGGAGGGCGGGGAAGAGGCGGAGGCTGGACACGGCGCCTCCCAGCTCCACTGGACACTTGTGATGTGGTGGCCATGGTAGACAGAGGCTCCAGGCACGGTGCTGCTTGGGCGTGGCATGGCGGGCGAGCTGATGCCTGGAGGCCTCCACCTCTTCCCTGGCACCCTCCAGAACTTGGTGCCATGGCGCCCCGCGCCACTAGCCTCTGTGGGTAAGACGCCCCTACTGGCAGCGTTAACCTGCTCCCCCAACCACATTTATTTGAAATCCAATTAAAGCTATTTAATTAATTTAACAAAATTGATGCGCTTGATCCAGTGATACCAGCTTTTCAATGTCTGATTGTCACTGACACCCCTCGCCTCTTAGTGCCCCCTCCCTAGGTAATCCCTAGGTATGTCCCCTCCTTTCCATTCCTGTGCAGTAAGGAGAAAGGTGTCTGGCTGCATAACAAGCCACCTTGTGACTACCCTAAAGCACTGGAATTCCTTGTGACTGCTCCCCCATGCTACTTTTCCAGACTCCCACTTGTGTATTTCAACAAAACTCTGTGTTGGTTCTCCCTTCATGTGTGTTACACATAGCCTTGTGGTCTTGTGCTGTGCACTTTGATGTGATAACCTTACTTCAGCTTGTGTGGCTACAGTGGCACGGACTTCAGCATAGCCTTGCACCCACCAGGGCAAGAGAGTGGTCATGACCCTGCCCTCCAATCCTTGCCCAGTGTCAGTGGGCACAATTATCTGCTTCACTCTGTCTGCAGGCTTCTTGCACTGGGGTGGGACTTGATTTCCATATGTTGGCCTTATTATACGAACTTAGTCATTATCTTGACAAAGAGCAGAACAGAGCATTGAGGCCATGTTAAGGTTGGGAAGCCTCCATTCTTACATGTTTTAAAATTACCTTTGGATATGATAGGAGTTACTGTGTGTCATAAGACACATTGTTCAAGCTAACTTCCTTATGGGGGGGGGTTGTCTTCATTACGGGTTTAATAGGCACACAGCAGGTAAGTTCAACTGGGCCACGGTCTCTTCATGTCTCCCTGCTTGGAAAAGCTGCTTGTGTGCCCATGTTTATAATTTTTTTTGCAAAGCACTGGCTCTTTATTTTAAACAAGTTTTTTATCTTATGAGCCAATCCTATGAACTTTTGCTCTAGCAACGAAGCATTCTGGACCAAGGACAATTCCCACTGGATCAGTACCACCTTGCTTCTTGAAGCAAAGCTGTAGCATTCTGAGTTTTCCTGGGCTGTTTTGCAAGCCCCAGCATCATTTGCTCCGTGCTGCCTTGCTTACAAGGCAGCAGCACTGCGGACAGACAATACATCAAGAAAACAGGCAGACTTTGGCAGAGGCCATTTGTTCACAGAACTGTTGACCCACATTCAGGCTGTTAGTGCGGACCCAACCATGCCAGCAGAGCAGCAGCCATCTGAATTCTTGTACCTCTGCTGGCCTCTCTTGACAACCTTTGTTTCTTTTGTCTTTTTGAAAGCCCTGGCTATCTAAAGTGGTTGTGATCTGTGCAGTTTTCAAAAGAAAGCCATGAGGCTTCCAGTTCCCTTCGGAGCAACACTTACGTTGTCATTTCAATAGCATAACGGGTGTTTTAAGATCCTACAGGACTGGAAAATTAAGGGGCTTCACCTTTTAGGCTGCAGGTATTGCAGCCCATTATGATGAGGACAGGGACGCGGCTGGCACTGTGGGTTAAACCACAGAGCCTAGGGCTTGCCGATCAGAAGGTCGGCGGTTTGAATCCCCGCAACAGGGCGAGCTCCCGTTGCTCGGTCCCTGCTCCTGCCCACCTAGCAGTTTGAAAGCACAAAGTGCAAGTAGATAAATAGGTACTGCTCCGGCGGGAAGGTAAACGGCATTTCCGTGCGCTGCTCTGGTTCGCCAGAAGCGGCTTTGTCATGCTGGCCACATGACCCGGAAGCTGCACGCCGGCTCCCTCGGCCAATAAAGCGAGATGAGCGCCGCAACCCCAGAGTCGGCCACGACTGGACCTAATGGTCAGGGGTCCCTTTACCCTTTACTATGATGAGCACACCCACAAATAAGCCGGGAGAGAGGGGTGGGCCCACCCAAGCCGCTCCTCGGCTCTTTGCCTAAATCCGAGGGGGCAGCAAGCACTTTTCCCCTGGCTCCGGAGAGGAGGGTCGGGGCTGGGGTCCTGCTGCTGGGTTGAGTCCGCCTGCCCGCCTGCCTTTGTGGCCTCCCTGCGCTTCACCCCGGCGCCCTGCAGGGGGCGCGCCGCGGAAGGCGGAGGCGCCCCTCTGGGCTTTGTGCGCGTGCGCCCCGCTCCTGCGTCGCGGCCGGCGTGCGAGCGTGCCTCCTTCCAAGATGGCGGCGTCCAGCCGGCTCCTGCAGATGCTGCTCGACGGCGCCGCCGGGCCGCTGTGGCGAGCGCAGCCCACGCTGCGTCGCTCGTTGCGGAGGGGCCTGTGCGAGCGCGCGGCCGGCGCGGGGCAGGCGCAGCAGGCGGAGGACGACGACGACGACGGAGTCGCCGACGGCGACGACATGGGCCGCCAAGGTGAGCCGGCGACGCCGGTTGCTGGCTCGCCTTAGGCCGGGTGGCGGCGGTGGGACAGGGCAGCGGGCGGAGGAGGACTCTCCCCTCAATTCCCGGCCTCATGGAAGCGGGGTGAGGGGTATGGGCGAGGGGCGTGAGACCCCCGCGCCGGTGCTCCTGCTGGCCTTCCCCCCCGGCCTTTTGAGGGCGCCTCTCCCGCCCGCGCGCCCGCACTTGGAGGCGATGCGGCGCGCTTCTAACGGAGCTGGACGCGGTCAAGGTCACGCGCCGCACGTGCTCGCATCCCCCCCTTCCCCCGGCGAGCGAGAAATGAACTTTAAGGTGCCGGGGGGGGAGGGGCCTTCGCTTCGGCTTCCTAAAGCATGCGTAGGCAAACTAAGGCCCGGGGGCCGGATCCGGCCCGCGGACGGTCAGGGAATCAGCGTGTTTTTACATGAGTAGAATGTGTCCTTTGATTTAAAATGCATCTCTGGGTTATTTGTAGGGCCTGCCTGGTGTTTTTACATGCGTAGAATGTGCGCTCCTATTTAAAATGCATCTCTGGGTTATTTGTAGGGCCTGCCTGGTGTTTTTACATGCGTAGAATGTGCGCTCCTATTTAAAATGCATCTCTGGGTTATTTGTAGGGCCTGCCTGGTGTTTTTACATGCGTAGAATGTGTGCTCCTATTTAAAATGCATCTCTGGGGTATTTGTGGGGCATAGGAATTCGTTCATATATTTTTTTCCAAAATATGGTCCAGCCCCCCACAAGGTTTGAGGGACAAGGTTTGAGGCCCACGGCTGAAAAAGGTTGCTGACCCCTGGCCTAAAGGAAGCGAGGAGTTTCCCTAGGCGTTAGGCCCACCCTAGAGGGTGATTTCACTTGCAGTCTGTTCTGGGGGGGGGGTCTGGCTCAAAAGAGCATCCCATGAGCAGGAAGCACTCTTGGACTTTAGGGAGGCGAGGAGGATCAGGAAGGTGAGCAGACTTTCAGCTGGTATTGTCTTTTACTGGGGCCGCTTGAGCTCCAGAATTGGTTTTCAATGCCAAGTAACCTCCTAGAAGGCCAGGGTTGAAGCAATGGGATCTGTGCTACTGTTTAATTCACTCTGCTGCTTTGAGTAAATTTGATGCTGTAGTTTAGTGTGAAATCTTTGCAAATATTGGTTTAGCAGGTCTTTACCAGCCCACCTTTTCTTTTAATAAAAAGGATGAGTCGGTGGCATGAGTAAGATGAGATTCTCTGCCACTACAGCACACCAGTTAAAAGCACAAAGTGCATTTTCAAATACAAAAAATGTTGGGTGTGTGGTAGTGATCTCTGTGGTTGTGTTGGTCCATAAGGGGAAACTCCAAAGTCCACAGTGGTGCAGAATATTAATTATGATCAATCAAAATGCCACAGAATTGTGGCGAGCTCTGGAGTTCCCCAAAACTTTTTTTCGAGCAAGCAGGAATTAGGGGGAGGAGGAAACATTTTTTTAAAAAAACTACTGTACTAACATTAGATGGAGGCCAGTCTGTAAACTCTTTTCCAAGCTGGTGATTGTAGGCTGATTACAAGCCAGACTTTTGAGTTCTCAGAGATGGGGAGCAACTAATAATTGTGGCTTCAAAGCCCAATACATGACACTTTTTCTGACATGTTCTACTGCCAGGTGATGGTCTGCTGGGTGCCTTGCAGGGTGGATGCAATTCCCCATCCTGATCTACAAGCTGACCTCTTGGCTACGTCGTCAATCTATGTATTTTTTGTACTTTTTATCCTTGTTCCCCTCACCACCTGCTTTGTACAACATTGTGCCTGATGAAGGCTTCTGGAGAGCTCAGAAGCTTCCCACACCTTTGTTGGTCCCAGCTGTGGATTTTGAAGGTTGTTCTTGTATTTAAACCTAAATTGTGTCTGATGATTGGTGTTCTATTGAGAACTTCTAAGTTGGGAAATGACCTGAAATGAATGGCTCCATTGCGGAATTCTTAGTAGGAAGTCTCTGCTCTTTGTCATGGTACCATATTTCATTTTATTTTTAAAAAGAAAACCCATAAGCTTCTGTTTTCTGGGAGTTTATGGGGTTGGCACTGAAGGTACCATAGGGGTATATCCATCTGTTTAAGCTCCACCTTCTCAAACCTTTTTTTATTCTGGATCTTTTCCTTCTTGCTTTCCTCTTAGATAGGACAATGCAAGGAGGTGAGTCAATTTCACTTTCACTTCTCCTTTGTTGGCAAGTCTAGCTGCTGCCATAGCGTGTGTGTGTGTGTGTGTGTGTGTGTGTGTGTGTAGGTGTAGGATTGATCTCTGTTATCTAGATATGGTTTCTATTGAACTCTTATTGTATGAACACTTTAAAGATGTTTTTGCTGTCTTCAGCTCAAACATCTGAGCTAGCTAAACGCTTGTGCAAGGTGGTTTGAGCATGTGGAGTTCTCGAAGCAGAGGGCCAGTTGATGCAATGCACCTTCACCACACATCAAAAGCTCACTGTGCACCAGTGGTTTGTGTAAATCAGCCCCCAAGAGCAGCTAGCCATGGGAGTTAGGATAAGACACCTTTTCCTGGTGTCTTGAATCCTGGTAAATGGACCTCAAGGCTGAGTCTGCCTAATCTGCCGTCTGCAACATTGGACATTGCTGACCTCACATGGATGACAGTTGCATTGCATGATTCATTTGTCTTGTGAAGTCTTCTCAGTTTGACAGGAGGTTAATTCTCCCATCCCACAATTTTCTTTCAGATTCAAGAGATTTACTGAAGGAATTTCCCCAGCCTAAAAATTTGCTCAACAGCGTCATCGGAAGAGCTCTTGGCATTTCCCATGCAAGAGACAAGCTGGTGTATATCCACACCAATGGGCCACGGAAAAAGGTAAACTGCCTGCAGCACCTAAAGCAATGGATGGAAGTGGCAGGGAAGCAAGTTCTTGCTCGGTGTTCGAAACTCCCATTGTTCTAGGCGCATTTTGCAACAGGGAATTTCATTAGCGCGAGCAGTTTCTGAGTTCTGGGCGCAGTACTGTGCCTAAGATTTCAGATTAAAACTGCATAGTGGAAGGAAAGGAGGACCTTTTTCTGCCTCCCCACTTCAAGCCACTCTCTGAAGACTTAATAATAATAATAATAATTTTTTATTTATACCCCGCCCTCCCCAGCCAAGGCCGGGCTCAGAGCGGCTTACAAGCAATAATAAAAACAAGATGAATGATTACAGCTTAAAAACAAAAATAAAATACAACATTAAAATAATGGAACATTAAAATATTAAAATGTAGCCTCATTGCAGGAGGAGAAGGAAAAGAAAAAAGAAAGAGAGGGAGGGAGGGAATCAAATTGGCTCCAAGCCAAAGGCCAGGCGGAACAACTCTGTCTTACAGGCCCTGCGGAAAGAAATCAGATCCTGCAGGGCCCTGGTCTCATGAGGCAGAGCATTCCACCAGGCCGGAGCCAGAGTTGAAAAGGCCCTGGCTCTGGTTGAAGCCAATCTAACTTCCTTAGGGCCTGGGACCACTAGGGTGTTGTTATTTATGGACCTTGAGGCTCTCCGTGGGGCATACCAGGAGAGGCGGTCCTGTAGGTACGAGGGTCCTAGGCTGTGAAGGGCTTTAAAGGTCAAAAGCAGCACCTTAAATCTGACCCTGTACTCCACCGGGAGCCAGTGCAGCTTGAAAAGCACTGGGTGAATATGCTCCCATGGCAGAGACCCCGTGAGGAGCCTCGCTGCAGCATTCTGTACCCGCTGGGGTTTCTGGGACAGCTTCAAGGGCAGCCCCGCATAGAGCGAATTACAGTAGTCAAGCCTGGAGATGACCGTCACATGGATCACTGTGGCCAGGTCGGGGCGGGAAAGGTAAGGGACCAACTGCTTGATGCGGCGAAGGTGGAAAAATGTCGCCTTGGCTGTTGCTGTAATTTGTGCCTCCATGGAAAGGGAGGTGTCAAGGATTACACCCAAACTCTTAACGGAAGGCAATGGCACTAATTGGCCCCCTGCAAGAGAAGGGAGTTGGTCCCTCATCCCCATGCCATCCCGACCTAGCCATAGGACCTCTGTCTTCGAAGGATTTAGTTTCAATCGGCTCCCACGAAACCATCCAGCCACAGCTTCCAAGCATCTGGTCAGTGGGTTCGGGGCCGAGTCGGTGTGGCCATCCATCAGCAGATAGAGCTGAGTGTCATCAGCATATTGGTGACAGCCCAGCCCAAAGCTCCGGATAATCTGGGCAAGGGGGCGCATAAAGACTTGAGAAGAGACCCTCTTAAGAATATTAGGGAGGTGGGCAGCGGAAGGACTAGGCCATGTGAACATAATATTTTAGCTCATTCATTTTCAGCTTGGTATTCTTGTTATTTAAAAAGCGCGCCTAGACATTCCATTATTGCACCCATAATTTCGGTTTAAGGTGCCATTTAGCTCCTAGCTTTCCTTTGTGTGAGAGCTTCTTGTGGACATAATATTATGGGTGAAAATGTCTCTTAAGGTGAAGCTGCATGTGATGAGAGCTGGTGCTTGCTGTGTTGACTGCTGTGCTCTGTTAAGAAGGCACAGGATGCTCAGAAGCGGCATATATGAGCAGTATGCCTGACCTCTTGCCTTCTTTGCCCTTCTGCAGAAAGTCACGCTGCTCATCAAGTGGCCAAAGAACGTGGAAGTGGAAGGCTACGGGACCAAAAAGATTGACGCTGAGCGGCAGGCTGCAGCCGCTGCTTGCCAGCTCTTCAAGGTGATCCGGGGGTTGGGGTTTGTTGTCAGGGGGGCATCCTTCATTTCCTGTCCCTGTCAAAGAGCATCCTCTCATGCGCTCAGGCCTCACCCTGTGGCCAATTCTTGCTTTCATTTTACCAGCAACATCCTTATATATACACAGACACCTAGTATGATTCGAAAGACCACTAGGAAGACTTGCCCTCTGGCTGCAGGGGGTTCCCTGAACTTTTTCTGCCGTTTTGGGCCTTCCATATCCAGAGCCAGGCAGTGGGCGGTGCTGTAGGATTAAATGGGTTTTTGAGAGGTGAGTTGCAGTAGGCAGTTTTGGATTTGCGTTCCTGTAATGGTAGCCGTCCCAAACTTTGGGGGTTCAGCAAGCCAGAAGTGGAAGAGGTGCTGGTCTGTTTGACACCCCACTCCCAAGTTACATTAGAGGAAGGCGGAAGGGAAGTCTTGTTTCCCCACCAGTGCTTCAAATCACATTCAGTGAGTGACAGTTGCTGTCAAAAACTAAGTCAAGCTTCCATGCTGGTCATGCGTGTCAAAGGCACAAATCTCTATTATTATTATTATTATTATTATTATTATTATTATTATTATTACACCCTTCATCTGCTGATCTCAGGGAGGTTCATGACATAAAAATTCAATATACGTTATAAAAGTGACACCGAAAACAAACAAAACAATACCCCCGTCCCCACGAATACATTTAAAAGGGATATAGGATATTAATTCTCATCCCAGGTGTCTCCAGCTTTCTCCTTTGCCTCTCCCCACCCCGTCCTATGGACTGCCATCGCGCCTACAAATTTCTGTGCTGTTTGCAAATCCTGCACAGTATCCTACTTCTGGTGGTCTGCGTGTAAAAATGTGCATTAAATGAATGAATGAATGTGTATTATTACAACCAAACAGCCAGCTCACAGATGTGCATTGTTGCACTATGGCAGCCTTCACTAACCTGGTGCCTTCCGGGTTTTTCGATGGGGGGTTGTGGTCCAAAACATATCGCTGGCACCAGGTTGGCGAAGGCTGCAGCATCAGAAGGAAATGTCAGCAATGGGATGCTAAAACCACGGTGAGCAAGAAACATGTAAAGGGGAGTGGTTTTCAAATGAAGTTATTGATACTGGCATAAAAAGTTTATTTCCTCAAATGCTCCTGAACTTTTGCTGTTTTTGCCTATGTGATCTTGAATCCATGTATCTGTATAAAACAATGTGCCTTTGAAACTTGGCTTTCCATTGCTCCTCTCTTGCCCACGCACCCTTCCTGCTCCAGAGCCTGAAATGCCCCTCTGCCATGCTCTGGGTCCAGACCAGCCACCTTAACCTGGTCCCTTCCAGGTGTTTTGGACCGCAGCTCCCATTAGCCCAATCATCCCATGGCTGTCCTGACCCCAGCTGATGCTGATTGCATCCTGAAACAACTGCAGCATGCCAGTTTACGGAAGGCTCCGCTAGTCAGCCATCTTACTCCCCTTCTCCTTGTCCTTGCTGAAATCTGAGACACTGCATCCAGGCCACGCAACCCTAAACCCCCAGTTCGGTCCTTCGTTGCTGTCCCTGACATTGGCAGATGTAAGAACCAGCTCAAAAGTGACGAGAAAGACCTGCAGTTGCCGGTCATTGGGGCAGTACTGGGCTAGCTGAACAAAGAAGTCCGGCTTCTTTCTGACGCAGCTCTGAGTGGTTTAAAACACCCTTTTTCTTTCACCCTTCCAGCCATCTTGACCGCCTTTCCTTTCCTCCCTGCGCAGGGCTGGGGTCTGCTGGGTCCCCGAAACGAGCTCTTTGATGCCGCAAAGTACCGCATCCTTGCTGAGCAGCTGGGCTGCCCCGATGAGCGGTGGTACTCAGAGGGCAGCCGGTGGCGCTCCAAGTCCGGGCCGTCTCTGGCTGACCTCTCGACCTGCTGGAGGAGGATGGAGCCTAGCGAGCCCATCCAGTCCCTGGAGCACAACAGGCTCCCCAAACCCATCCGGAAGGAGGAGCTGGAAGAAGGGGAGCTGGAGGAAGGGGAGCTGGAGGAAGGGGAGCTGGAGGAAGACACCATCGACGTCTCCGATTACTTGTCCATGGCGCATCCAGGGGCCCGCACCCCACCCAGAGACATGAGGTAGGTGAACCCCGGAGCCCTGAAGGGCATGGGCCTTTCATGCATTCTGGACTCACAGCTGCCCATGGAGGCGCAGGTCAATTCTGTGTCCAGGGCAGCTGTCTACCAGCTCCATCTGGTACGCTGGCTGGGACCCTACCTGCCCACAGACTGTCTCACCAAAGTGGTGCATGCTCTGGTTATCTCTTGCTTGGATTACTGCAATGCACTCTATGTGGGGCTACCTTTGAAGGTGACTCGGAAACGACAACTACCGTATTTTTCGCCCTATAAGACGCACTTTTCCCCCTCCAAAAATAGAGGGGAAATGTGTGTGCGTCCTATGGGGTGAATGCAGGCTTTTGCTGAAGCTTGGAGAGCGAGAGGGGTTGGTGCGCACCGACCCCTCTCGCTCTCCAGGCTTCAGGAAGCTATCCATAAGCCTGGGGAGCCCGCGGGAGTTCCCCCAGGGCTCCCTAGGCTGCAGATAGCAGCCTGCTGCATGGAGCGCGGGGCGCGCTGAAGCAGAGCGCCCCGCGCTTTGGGCAGATCTCCGTAGCCTAGGAAGCCCTGCGGGAGTTCCCGTGGCTGGGGGGGGGGAATAAAAATTCCCCCCCCCCAAAAAAAAACTAGGTGCGGCCTATGGGCCAGTGCGTCCTATAGGGCGAAAAATACGGTAATCCAGAATGCGGCAGCTAGACTGGTGACTGGGAGTGGCTGCCAGTACGTTTCCGAGCACAATTCACAGTTTTGGTGCTGACCTTTAAAGCCCTAAACGGCCTCAGTCCAGTATACCTGAAGGAGCGTTTCCACCACCATCGTTCTGCCCAGACACTGAGGTCCAGCTCTGAGGGCCTTCTGGCGGTTCCCTCGCTGTGAGAAGCCAAGTTACAGGGAACCCGGCAGAGGTCTTCTCGGTAGTGGCGCCTGCCCTGTCGAATGCCCTCCCACCAGATGTCAAAGAGAAAAACAACTACCAGACATCTGAAGGCAGCCCTGTTTAGGGAAGCTTTTAATGTTTAATAGGTTATTGTATTTTGGTGTTCTGCTGGAAGCCGCCCAGAGTGGCTGGGGAAACCCAGCCAGATGGGCGGGGTATAAATAAATTATTATTATTATTATTATTATTATGCACACGTGGCATCAGCTTGGGGTCAGGCCTTTGTGTGCTGGCATGGCCCTCGGGGCAGCATTGATAATGCCCTTGGCAGGATCTTTTGAGAATTCTCCAGGCTCTTTCTTAGCTGTATTTATACACTGCCAGGTTTTTTTGGGGTGGGGCTTAAAGTAGTTTACAAAAAGAAAGATAGAATAAAATTACCAAGAAGTAAAATTTACAGCAATAATTTAGGACTTCGGAAAAGTTAAAATAGCAGAAGATTAAAAAGAGGTTAATGCTCGCATCACTTTTCCGAATATCTGGGTAGGCCTGCCTAAACAGGAGTTTTACCAGGTGCCGAAAAAAGTACAGTGAAGGCGCCTGCCTGGTATCAATAGGTAGGGAGTTCCAAAGTGCGGGTGCCGCTATACTAAAAGATCGAGTTCTTACAGATGCTGAATGGGCATTTTACGGCATCTGTAGTAGTGCCAGTTCTGCCAATCACAGCAGGAAGACGATCTCAAGAGATGAACTGGTCCCACAGTTGTTAAGGGCTTTACATGCTAAGTGTAGCACTTTGAACCTGAGCTGGTAGCAAATCAACAACCATTGCAGCTCTGTAATTCCACCAGTCCATAGTGTATTCGTTTTACATGTGTGTGCCTAATCCTCAGGTGACATGAGGAGCAGTGAGTTTACCACCCCCTTCCTGCGTGCCTCACCTGCTGGTCTGAGCTGTGCTTCTCCTGCCTGCAAATGCAGCCTCCTCCATCCCCTTCCTGCTCGGGTGTGGTGTGTGGAGGGAGGGAGGGAGGTAGGAGCTGGGTGATCCTGGCCACGTTCTGGAATGCCACGGGGGTTCTGGAGTCAGTGTGATGCAAACAATTTCCAGAGCACAGAACAGCATTGCCTTTGGGAGCAAGAAGCACCTTCTAGTTCACCAATCCGGCTCAAATGTGTCTCCATCTGTTAGGAACGTCAGCTCTCCTGTTTTACGTTTTTTAGAGGCTAGTGGGGAAGAAATGGAGGTCTTTTCCTGGTAGCCGCGTAAAGAAAACAGAAAGCCAGGAAGACACGTTTCTGCCTTGGAAGTGGCGTGTCCAAGTGTGGCTGTCCATGGTCAGGGAGAGGGCACCCTGTTTTTTTGTGGCTTCTAGCCCCCCTCAAATTCTACTTCCCCCCGTATCAGTGTCCTGAACGAATACTCCAAGCCATACTTGGCAGTTCATAATAAAACGGGGGAATAATCTATTTGATGCACCGTTGCATAAATCCTGTATCTCCCAGCCGCTCTTTAGTGGGTGGGCAGGTGTAGCTCTGAAGGCAAGACGGATGCCAGCTGATGGAGGCCACATGGCAACCTTTAGAACGAGAGGACCTAGCAGCCGCCTTCTCTTCCCTCTCCTGCTGCAGGGACGGGTTCTCTCTCGAGATGACGGATGACAACACAGCCCTCCGGGCTCTGACCCAGTTTCCTCTGCCCAAGAACCTCCTGGCCCAGGTGATCCAGATTGCCACTTCTTCGTCCACAGTCAAGGTGAGTTGGGGAGGGTCACGTCGGCCAACGACACATAGGAAGGAGGGTGGCAGGTTTCTTTGGAGAGGCTCTTCTTAAAGCAGCCCCAGCAGTATGAGAATAGGGCCTGGGGCAAGTACCACCACCCAAATGGGAGCTGCCAGACGTGAAGGGCAGAGAAACAGTATCCAAAGGAGCTTGCAGAGCAAAGGGCCCCCAGGTGACTTTAGCCAGCGAGCCAAGCCACGTAAACTGCAGGAAAAAAGCAGAATCTGTAGAGTTCCCAGCTAATTTCTGCCCCTAAGGAAAGTCCTCCAAGCGAGCGTGCCCCTATCTCTGTCTTGGCTCGCTACTGAATGGTCCAGCCTTCACCAACCTGGTGCCCTCCAGCAGTTTTGGACAGCAGCTTCCATCAGCTGCAGTCACCACAGCCGTGCTCCTGCCAGGCTGGCTGATGGGAGCTGGAGTCCAAAAGGGAATCAGATCAGCAAAACCTGGAAAAGTCGTTTTCAGAATGTTCCATAGTTGTCACCTCTCCCCTTCAGAACCAGGATGCTTACATGATGCTGCCATTACCTGGATGTTTCGCTCTTTATTGCCTCCAATTGTGCTTTGCTTTTAAATTGTTCTGTGCAGTAAGTGTGATTGCATGTTACATTGGGGTTCGCTTCCAAGGGTTCCACATGTACACAAAGCCTGGAAGCCTGGGGGTGTTTGCACGAGATCTCGTGGGAACTTAGATGCCGCCATGAAATCTCAACATGAGCATCCCAGAGCTGGCACCCTTCCTGATCTGGGCTCTCTCTGCCCCCCCCCAAAAGGAGAGAGATTAAAAGAACTTTGCACACCAGGTACCCCTAAGCGGATCCAGTGTGCAGTTAACTTTTAAGCTCTCCATTTTGCTTGGATTTAACTTGTGCAATTTCAAACCAGCCTTCCTTTTAATTGCACATGGTTGAAACTGTACAAGTTAAATGTATGTAAGATGCGATCGTGCTGTATTTTGTAAGTCTCCTTTGAGACGTTTGTGTGAAGAAGCTAATGATCTTAATTGATAATGACACAACACGGAAAGAATATGTAGCAGCAGAGCTCAGTCTGGCACTTCCTAGTCCTTTAGGCAGCTAGTGGGGGGGGTGTTGCTGCAGTGCCACCTTAACAGCCACGACTGACCCACTATCCAGTGTCCTTTGGGAGCAGTTGAGTGATCCCGGCTTCTACGGGAGTTGGAGGAAAGGAGGCAGCACACACTGGGAGGTAGTGGGGGCTCCTCCCGCTGAGCCCTTCTCTTTTGCCTCGCACAGGAGTACATGCAGTTCCGGACGGTGGGCACCAAGACCAAGATCTGCAAGCTGACCCTGCGCTGGCCCTGCCCCATGACCTTTGCCGCCAAGGGGCGTCGCAAGGTGGAGGCAGAGAACAAAGCGGCTGCTCTGGCCTGCCAGAAGCTGAAGGTGAGACTTGGGGCTCCACTCATTCCTTTGTTATTTTATTTGCACGCCGTTCTTCCACAAAAAGAACCTGCCCAAAGTGGCTGACAACCAAGAAAACTGGAATCAAAGCGTTTCAAAATCAAACGGTGCAAAAACAATTTCGTGGTAAGACAGTGCCAAATAGCAAATAACAAAAAAACCACCCTAACATTTCAGTACTATAAATATGACAAGATTGCATTACGTTTCCTGACAGTAGCCAAAATAACAAGGGAGCTTAGCTGTTCCACCTTGGTCGTAGAAACACCCCTCCCATGAGGATTCTCACAATCCCTGTCCTGCAGAAGCTTCTTAAAAGCCTTTTAAGTGCAGAGTGGGGGGAGGACTAGCTGGAAACACCTTCCATGATGATGTTCCTTCCCTAGCACTTCCAACTGCAGGCGCCCGTGGCTGGGCCACAAATGACCTCTGCCAGCCAGTCTCCTTTCCTGATCAAGGATTCCTGTCCCCCAGGTGGCCTTTTCCCCTGTCTCCCTGCCCAGGCAAGCCTCTTACTCCCACTTGGAGACCCTCCCAGGCTGACACACCCTCCTTCCTCCCTTCCAGAGCCTCGGCCTGGTGGACAAGAACAACAACCCCCTGAGCCACGCCATGTACAACATGACATCCCTCCGGGAGCTGGGCGAGAACCAGCGGAAGCCCTGCCACATCAAGGTCCCCGAGGCCACGCTGCGCAAGATCGAGAACTACCTGAACCATGTAAGCCTTCCCTTATTTCAAAGAAAGTGGGCTGGAGCTTGGGTTCCAAACTAGAACCAGTTGTGGGGAACTGGGAGCCGCAGAACATGGAACTCCTGTCACCAACTGGCCGAAAGTTGAAGAACCCTTGCCCTGGCTACTTGTTACCTGTATGTTCTCCTCCTTCCCTCTCCCCACATCATTGGCCGAGTGGCTGTGATGTCATGGAATGTTTGAAAGCGATCTAGCTGCTTGGGGTGAACGTATTGGAGATGTTTACTAAGAGCGCAATTTTGAGGAGTGAGATAAAAGGTCAGTTTGGGACTTGGGATAGGAGAACAGCTTCCCCCAGGACCCGGGGGCTGAGGAAGGGCTGTGGGGCTCATGGACCAGGGGCCTGTTTAAAAACAGGCAAGACAGGTGGGGAGCATTGTGGAGGCTGGAGGTGCAAGGAAAGCTAGTTTCACATTTCTATGGATTTACAGTCATGGGGAAAAGAAAGTGCACTCTCTTTGAATTCTGTGGTTTTACATATCAGGACATAATAGCAATAACTGGTTCCTTAGTAGGTCTTAAAATGAAGTGACTACAACCTCAGATGAGCAATGACATATGACATATTACACCGTGTCATGATAAAGATGTTAAAGATGGCGCCGAGGTAAGGCGCGCTTGTCAGAGCTCTTTTCAATTATATGTTGGGGCTCCTACTCCTTTTTAAACTTTTAAAAGCTGGAATCGTAAGGTGTGCTTAGTTTTTCACACACGGCTTTTCCATTTTTGCTTTATTTCTGTTAAATAAATAATGACATGGTTCAATATACCGTTCGTTGTTGTTCATCTGAGGTTGTATTTACCTATTTTAAACCTGCTAAGGAACAGATAATTGTTATTACGTCTTCATATGTAAAACCACAGAATTAAAAGAGGTGCACTTTCTTTTTCCCGTGACTGTAGCTGAACTCCAGATTTCTGCTGTTCCAGCTTTCTCCGCCTGGAGGATATCTTTTCCCACTTAGAGCTGCCTCTTAAGCGTCCTCATTGGTTTCTGCATCTGCTTTGCTGTACAGATCTTACCCTCCTTGAGATAACCTTGCCAACTAATATTCCAAAGAAGCAAGTTTTAAGAGCAGGCAGCCTGAGGCCCTTGAGTAATTTCATAGCCAACCCAGCACTGAAATTCAGTTCTTTGGTTGGGAAAGTAGTTTTGCTTTGGTGAACGATGGCGTAGACTGAACTTGGAAGCAAGACAAAAGCACACCAAGAACTCAGGCCAATGTAAGTTTCAACAGTGGGAGTGGTCCCTACTTGCAAATCAATAGTCAGTAGTAACAAAAACTAATCCATTCAAAAGTATGTATTCTGACAAGGATTACAAACTCAAATAAAGATTACAAACTCCATGACGAATCTAACTATGCACTAATATGAACTTATCTCTACTCATAAACTCTTACCTTTAATTCTGTAACGAATTATCGTGTTATACATATTTTTATGAGTTTGAGTTTGTAATCTCTGTTAGAGTTTGTAATCTCTATTTGTCAGAATACATACTTTTGAATGGATTAGTTTTTTGTTACTACTGACTGCTGATTTGTGAGTAGGAACCACTCCCACTGTTGAAACTTACATTGGCCTGAGTTCTTGGTGTGCTTTTGTCTTGGTATATTTAATAACGTGAACTTGGAAGCAGACTTCACCCTCGCACGGGTTCTGCAGCAGTCAGAGGGCAAAGCAAACTGCTCCCTTCCCAGGGGGCTTTCCCCCTCTCCTCCCCCCACCCCAATACTCCTGCCTGTTATTAATCCGCCGCAGTTTCTCCCTAGGAAGCCTAGGGCTTCCTCCATAGCCGAGAGCCATGATGCTTAAGCAGTTGCTGTCATCGCAGCTGTCGTTTGGCTCGCCGAAGTAGGCAACAAAGGCCTAATGCTGAAGAAAAGGCTGCTTTTTCTCTCCTCCTTCTCAGTATCCAGTGGACACCCAGGAATCCAGGCCGCGCCTGGCTGACGACATGATGAACCTGAGCAAGGAGACGGGCACCCTCAGCGACGCCATCACAGGCAAGAGTTACATCCCCATGTCGGAGTCGGAGGAAGTTCGCCACAGCCAGAACCTCCTGGCTCTCTGGAAGCGGAGGGGCAGCTCCTGGCAGGAGACCCAGCCTCTGCCCGTGGACTCGCACCGGGAAGCCATCCTCTCGGCCATAGAGCAGAACCCGGTGGTGGTGATTGCCGGGGACACGGGGTGCGGGAAGACCACCCGCATCCCCCAGCTGATGCTGGAGCACTACATCCTGGACGGGCGCGGCGCCCAGTGCAACATGGTCATCACGCAGCCGCGGCGAATCAGCGCCATTTCGGTGGCGCAGCGCGTGGCGCAGGAGCTGGGCTCCAGCATGCGGAAGAATGTGGGCTACCAGGTGCGGCTGGAGAGCAAGCCGCCGGCCCGGGGTGGAGCGCTTCTCTTCTGCACCGTGGGCATTCTGCTGCGGAAGCTGCAGGGCAACCCCCGCCTGGAGGGCGTCAGCCACATCGTGGTGGACGAGGTGCACGAGCGCGACGTCAACACCGACTTCCTGCTCATCCTGCTCAAGGGCGTCCAGAAGCAAAACCCCGGCCTCCGGCTGGTGCTGATGAGCGCCACGGGGGACAACCAGCGCTTCTCGCAGTACTTTGGGGACTGCCCCGTGGTCAAGGTGCCGGGCTTCATGTATCCTGTCAAGGAGTACTACCTGGAGGAGATCATGGCCATGCTGGGGCGACACAGACACCGGCACTACGAGATCAAGGTGAGCCCAGCGCACGCACCCTCCCCCTCCTAACGTGGCAGGCGGTTCTCTGTTGCTCATGTGCACGTGCTCAATCTGTGCATCGTTACGAGGTCCTCTGTGGCGCTGGCCTTGGCACCGGGCTGATGGACTAGCTGAAGGGTACCAGGTTGGCAAAAGGGTGCAGCTCCACCCTTTTGAGCGCCCTTGCTTCTGCCTTTGTCGCCGCTGCGATGTTTTGTTAATTGTGGGTCAGTACCTGAGGAGCATTCCTTCACCCCCTTGTTCCCCAGCAGGGAGAGGTGGTGGTCCATGTGGGAAAGCTCAGTGACAGGGCGTTTGCTTTGCATGCAAAAGGTCCAGCTTCAGTCCCCAATGGCATGTCCAGTCCTGCCTGAAACCCGGAGAGCTGCTGCCAATCAGTGTAGGCAGTTCCACGCTGGGTGAACCTGTTGTTTGACTTGTCATCAGGCAGAGCTCTCTGTTTCCAGTATGCAAAAAGGCTTTAGCCCCACGCTAGAGCATCTGTTTTGCAGGCAGAAGGTCTCGGGTTTAATTCCCGGCAGGATTTGGAGACAGGCTTGCCTGAAACTCTGAAGAGCTGCTTCCAGTCAGTGTAGGCAATACTGAGCTAAGTGGACTAATGGTCCAACTTGGTATGACACAGTTTCCTAAGTGAGTGGGCAGCAGAGAAAGGAGGGAGACACATAAAGCCTTGCAGAAGCCCGCCTGCCCAGCCCTGCTAGGTGGTGTTTCAACAAGGTGTGGTTGAAAATGCACATTGGGTTGTATGCAGAGGCCTTCTTCAAATGCAGGACTGCATTCCCCAGTTTCCCCCTGCAAGGGGAGTCATGTTCATTGATACCATATGAGGCTATCCCACAGTCCCACTCACTGTGCTTTTATTTCTGGAACAGCCTTCACTGATGACCTGGCACCCACCAGGTATCTAGGGCTACAATTCCCAATGGCCCCAATATCATAGGTCTGCACTGGCTGGTGGTGTTGGGATTTCCATGGCCCCCGGTGGTCTGCACCAACATAAGGCATCACCAGGTGTTCCCCTGACAGTTGTTTTCATGCAGCTGCTTGCTTTGAGGAGTGCCTGGAGTTCTCCTGCACCTGGGCACACTTGGCTTTGTGCTCTCACTGTCTCTCTGCAGCACCTCCTGGCAGATATTCACTGTGCCTCTTTTTATCCCTCAGCAATCAGACGAGGAGTGCGTCCTTGACCTTGAGCTGATCACTGACCTCATTCTGCAGATCGATGCCCACGGAGAGCCAGGTAAGTGGTTGTCATTCTACCTTGCGCCCTCCCTCTCTGCCCTGGTGGATCAGAGGGTCTGGCATGCTTTTGCTGCAAGTGAGACAGTTCGACAGTTCCCTCCCTCCATGCCACCCTGAGCTACCAGGTGGAAAGGTAGGGTGCAGATAACTTCACGGTCATGTGTGACTCTCAGTCTTTGTTGGTTGCAGGTGGGATCCTCTGTTTCCTCCCCGGCTGGCAGGAGATCAAAGGAGTTCAGCAGCGGCTCTTGGAGAGCCTTGGACCTCATAATAGCCGTTACCTTGTCTTACCAGGTGAGAGGGTGGCATTGCTCTGTTTCTCGCCTCACTGTGGGGTTTGTGGGAGGTGGTGGCTGTCCGCTGCAGAAAGCCTAGAGCAGGAGTACCTGCCATGGTGCCCTCTGGATGTGGTCGAACTACAGCTCCCATCATCCTTTACCACCCAACCATGATGGCTTCTGGGAGTTGTAGTCCAACATCTACAGGACATCAAGCAAATGACTCCTGGCCTAGATTGCCATGATGCTCCTGTTGGAGGGGACAGGTGCTCACAGGTGTTGTTTCTCCAACCCTCGCCAGTTCATTCCAACATCCCAATGATGGACCAGCAGAGCATCTTCCCACGCCCCCCTCCCGGCGTGCGCAAGATCGTCCTGGCCACCAACATTGCCGAGACCTCCATCACCATCAACGACATCGTGCACGTTGTGGACAGCGGGACTCACAAGGAGGAGCGCTACGATCTCAAGACCAAGGTTTGTCTGGGCCGCGGTTGTCTTGGGTGAGGCTGTGGCAAGCTCAGAAGCGAGTTTGATCTGGTGTGGGGAGCGCGGGCCTCATTGTATGGGATGGTGACACACCTCTTCCCCCAGGTCTCGTGCCTGGAGACCGTCTGGGTGTCCAAGTCCAACGTCATCCAGAGGCGAGGGCGTGCTGGGCGCTGCCAGTCGGGCTTTGCCTACCATCTCTTCCCGCGCAGCCGCCTGGACAGGATGCCCACCTTCCAAGTGCCTGAGATCCTCCGCACGCCCCTCGAGAACCTGGTGGTCCAGGCCAAGATCCACATGCCCGAGAAAACGGTAAGGAGAGGCCCTCCCGGCTACAGAGCCTCCAAGGATCCTCTTCAGTGCAGGCCCCCCTTTCTTGGGCTTGTTCTAATGAGCAGACAGAACTAAGCTTAGCTGGTGCCTGAAAAACATGTCCCAAAAAGCCCGTAGCTTTTGTCTGAGCAGGGTTCTCCAGTGTTGGAGTTGCTTAAAGCCCAGACTGTGGAACTCGCTGCCACAAGAAGCAGAGATTGCCATCACCTTGGGTGGCTTTAAAACAGGATTAGGCAAATTCCTGGAGGAGGAGAGATGGCTGTGGATGGTTCCTAGCCAGGATGTGTCTGCTCTGCCTCCACAGTTGGAGGCAGGAATGCTTCTGAATTCCAGTTGCTGGAAACCACAAGCAGGGAAAGGGCTCTTGCACCCATGTCCTGTTTCTAGACTTACAACAGGCATCTGTTTTGCCAGGGAGACCAGGATGCTGGACTAGATGGGTCCAGGTTGACAAAGAGCTCATTGCACTTGGTTAAAAAAACAAAACCAGGGTCAAGAAGAAGAGTTAGCATATTTATGTTTAGAACTGGAACAGACCTGTAGGGTGTCAAGAGCCCCCTTCCCTTCCCCAGTCCAGTCCAGTGCCCCTTTCCACTCAGCTGGTCTTCATATTGTATACTCTGTTGCTTTTGGCTGCAGGCTGTTGAGTTCCTCTCCAAAGCCCTGGACAGCCCTGACATCAAAGCTGTGGATGAAGCAGTCATCCTTTTGCAAGAGATTGGTGAGTATCCGGGGAGGCTGGCCGGGAAGTGGGTTGCTGGTAGGAACACAGGAAGCGGCTTTTATAGACCAAGCTGTTTGGCTCTCCAGAGTTTCAGACAGGAGATGTTCCCAGCTCTATCATGCCAGGGATTGAACCTGTAGTTCATGCTTGACGACAGTCTTTCCACGTACGGCTGGGTCTGCTGCTGCTGTCGTCACCTTGGGACCATTGAGGTTGCCAAGGCAACACAGAAAGCAGTGCCCTTCCCTCTCCTACCCAGCCCTTCCAAGCACTCCTCTGCTACCCCCCTTTCAGGTGTGCTGGACCACAGGGAGGCCTTGACCACTCTGGGCAAGCGCCTGGCTCAGATCTCCACCGATCCCCGGCTGGCTAAGGCCATCGTGCTGGCTTCCATCTTCCGCTGCATCCAGCCACTCCTGGTCATTGTCTCCTGCCTCACGAGGGACCCCTTCAGCAGCAGCTTGCAGAACCGCACCGAGGTGGACAAGGTGAGGGGCCAGTGTTGTCAGTGCTTGTGTGTGGAGGCGGAAGAATCAAAGGTGCACATGAACACCCCGTTGTTCCATGTTTCCTAGGCCAAGGCCATCCTGAGCCGAGAGAGCGGCAGCGACCACCTGGCTTTTGTGCGGGCAGTGGCTGGCTGGGAGGACATCCTCCGGCGCAGGGATAGCCGAGCTCGCGACAACTACCTGCAGGATTACCTGCTGTATGCGCCCAGCCTGCGATTCATCAATGGTAAGCAGAACAGGCGGTGCCCAGGGATACAGGAAGCTGCCTTGTACCAGTCAGAATCATTGCTCCGTCTAGCTCAGTATTAGTCAATTCAACAGCCTGGCACACACTCTTTTCAGAGTGGAGATGTTGGGGCTGCTGGAAGTTTCTTGAATACAGCTCCCATCATTCCTAGCCATTGGCTAACACTCGCTGGGGCTGGTGGGGGTTGGAGACCAGCAGCGTCTGGAGAGACCCACAGGCTCCCCATTCAAGCTTTACTCAGGTTAAGCATCAGCCCTGGCTTCCCACGGACTCTGTTCTCCTGGCATGGATCCCCGTTGTGATCAAGGAGCCTGAACCTAGAGAAATTCTGCCTGCTTCTGAAGGTGGAGACCAGGGCCGTTGTTCTGGAGCCAGAATGGAATATTTAACAGGGCTCTGTATGTGGAAGGGAAGAAAGCCACAGACCCCGGGTTGCAAATGTGATCCGTGCGGGAGGCATGTTCACAACCCACAGCGTTGTGCGCATGCACAAAGTGCTGAAACCTGGAAGTAACCCATTCTGGTACTTCCGGGTTTCGGTGCGCCTGTAACCCGAAAATGCGCGACCTGAAGCGTCTGTAACCCGAGGTTTGACTATACTGCCCTGTTAAGAATCTTGTTGCAGCTCCCTTCCAAATCCCCTTCTGCCAACGTGGACAGAGAAGACCAAGAGGGAAGCCCAGGCTGAATTTGTACCCGGCACTCTAAGAACATAAGGAGAGCCTGCTAGTCTAGCATCCTCTTCTCACGGTGGCCAAGCAGACGCCTCTGCGAAACCTTTGCAAGCAGGTTTCAGTCACAAGAGCCCTCTTTCCTCCTGTGGTTTCGAGCAACTGGTATTCAGAGGCATAGCTGCCTCTCCCTGGAGGCAGAGCTAGGAGCCATTGACAGCTCTCTCCTGCACAGTTATGTGGAGCCTGACGCTGAGCTTTGCCTCTGCCCCCCACAGGCCTGGTGAAGCAGTTCTCGGAGAATCTCTACGAGGCCTACCTGGTGCCAACCCCCTCAGACTGCCTCTTGCCCTCGTCTGTGTGCAACCAATACAGTGAGGAGGAGGAGCTGGTGAAGGGCGTCCTGATGGCTGGGCTTTACCCCAATCTCATCCAGGTAAGAGGCCCACCTCCCCTTCCATACTGTCTTTGAGTGACGCAACAGTGGGGAAGGGTTCCCTTTCCTTGGGTGAGAATTTTGATGGATTCTCTCAAGTTTCTCTGGGCTTTGGAGCAGCAGACAGGGCAGAACGGGGAGGGGTGGTTATGCGCACTCTGCTGACGCATGCAGAGGCCGGGAACAAAACCCCTGCGCAAAATGATCACCATCTTTATTATGCACAATTTAAAACAACTTGCGACCATAAAAAATAACATGGATCCTAAAAACGCACACCTCAAGCTTCGAAAGCATTCACTGGAAGCTGTGTAACGAAGGTACCAGACACATCTCTGTGAGCGAGGGGGCTATGGGGCCGCCACCTCTTTGAGCCACTGAGAAAGAGGAACTGGAACTACCAACAGGGCCTCCTCTGTTGATCTCAGCACCCAAGAGCATCCATAGGGAAGCAGGTGGTCTTTCAGGTATTTGGGGCCTGAGTCGTTCAGGGCTTTGAACACTGTTATGTACATAAAACATAATGAGCAATACGTAATAAGCAGCAGTGTCAAATCATCCTTTTGCCAACCCAGCAATTGACTCTTAGCCAAGCTTGTCTTGCTAATCCATCCCTCTTTTTTTGCCCACTCCTCTTCCCAGGTCAGGCAAGGCAAAGTGACCAGGCAGGGCAAGTTCAAGCCCAACAGCTACACGTACCGGACCAAGGCTGGGACCGTCCTCCTGCACAAGTCGACGATCAACAGGCAAGTGGGCCGGGTGCCGCCCAGGCCGGCGGGTGCATATGACCTGGTGGGGAGGGATGGAGGGAGGGCAGTGGCAGCAGGCCAGGTGTGAGACGGCCCCTTCCTCTTTACCACAGGGAGACCTCCAAGCTCTACAGCCGCTGGCTGACGTACTTCATGGCGGTCAAGTCCAACGGCGGGGTGTTTGTGCGCGACTCCTCACAGGTGCACCCCCTGGCCGTGCTGCTCATGACGGATACGGACATCCATGTGCGGGGTGAGTTCCGCGTTCTCACAACCTCCAGTTTCCGCTTTTGCTGCTGCTTCAGGGATCAACAGCAGTTGGTTTAAGCAAAGGGCTGTAGCTCAGCGGGAGAGTGTCTGCCTTGCATGCAGAAGGACCCAGGTTCATTCCCTGGCAACATCTGCAGGTAACGATGGAAATGTCTCCTGCCTGAAACCCTGGCGAGCTGTTGTTGCCAGCCAGCATAGACAATATTGAGCTGGCTGGGTCATTGGTCTGACTCAGTATATGGCAGATTGCTGTTTCTACGTTATGAAGGTCTAACTTGCTCTTCTGCAGTGTCCTGGTAGGATCTTCAGAGACTATGTGGTTTTGGTGGGAGGGAATCGCTGGGAATTGTACAACAAAACACACAGGGCGCCCCATTTTGGGAGGCAGTTTAGGGATCACGAATCATTTGGTAGGTAAAGGTGATATTTAATTCCTTCCAGCATTACCATATGTAGAACAAGGCAGGCATCCCATCGAAGGCAACCTTCTCTCTCCTAATACCGGCTAATCTGATGCTATTTAAAAGTTCACAGGCAAACTAAAACAACAGCCTTTATTCCTATTACTCCACAGTCTTGCAGAGGTGCAGTCTCTGGACTTGGAGGTTACGCACCTGGCTGTTTATTTTATCTGAAGGCAGCCCTGTACAGGAAACTTTTAATGTCTGGTCTGTCGTGTGTGTTCTTTTATAATCTGTTGGAAGCTACCCAGAGTGGCTGGGGCAACCCAGTCGGATGGGTGGAGTACAAGTAATGATGAAGATAATTGTGATGAAAGTGCAAGGATAAGTACTTAAACAGCAGCTCCTCCTTGCCTGGGACTCCCAGGCATGAGGGTGGTGCAAGGCAGATGGGAGAGCTGGTGCACTGATGGTTCAAGCAGACTCCCTTCCCTGCAGCCACCACCTACTGCTGGCCCAGGAGTCTCCCTTGGACTCCCCCCATCTAAGCTCCTCTCCCTTCTTCCCTGCCCCCAGATGACGGCTGGCGAGCGACCGTCTCCCTCGTTGACAGCGACCTCCTGGTGCTGGAGGGCGACTCCTACACTATCCGGCTCCTGCGTGACTTCCGCGTGGCCCTCTCCAGGATGGTGGAGGTGTGCCTTTGCTACGAGATGGCCGCCATCCCCGGGGACCTGCACCACCAGCACAGCCAGCTCCTGGACATCCTAGTGGACCTTCTCAAAGGGCCTCCCGGCAGCTTTGGAGCTTAGATCTCCCAGCAGCGGCCCAAGGATCTGGACACGGGGACTTGTAATTTGTAAAAAGATGTTGACAAATGTTTATTTAAATAAAGTTCTATTTATCCCTTGTGACATCTCTCTCCGTCCTGGAGGATTCCTAGCGCCTGCTCATCCGCTGCAGCCTCTGGCAGCCCGCGGCGGTTGGGGAGAAAGCGCACCAGCTGCTTGCCTGCCAGCGAGGATGCCAGTCTGCAAGTCCCGAGGCCCTGAAGGACAGTGCGGCGGATGGCGGCCCCTCACTCTTCCTGGTCTTGTGTGTTTTGCCCCCGTAGTGGGGGCAGTCCCACATAGAAGGATGGATTTCTCGCATGGAGGAATGGAGCATCTTCGTGTGTCTCCTGGTTTTGAAGGTGTGAGAAAGCGAGCTCACGTAGACACTCCTCAAGTGTGCAGGAGTTGATGTTGCACTTGGAACAGGGTGACACAAACACCCCGTCCTGTTCCCCTTGCCGGCCAGAGGATGAGCGGTCGCTCCAGGATGGGGCGATGGCGTGTCGCACTTGGAAAACTTTTGTCATGCACTTTTTGAAATGAAATGGAAAATCCCTTTTGCTCTAGGTGAACCGGTTTCGGTGCAGAGGTAACCCCACTTTCTGCTGGCTGACTGGGGGGTGGGGCTTGTTGCCTCTTGTCCTCTCCTTCCTGGAGCTGCTGGTGGAATGTGGCTTTGCTTAGGTGTCAGGGGCTGCTTCGTTCCTGGGAGGAGATCCTGGGCTACCCTATAGCGGGGTCTTGAAGCCACTGCCCGCCCACCCATGGTACACCAAGGGAAGCCTCAAGCTCTGGCAACATTGGCTTACTGAAAATGGGGAGCTGTTGTCTCTCCAGCTGTGGGGTGGCTGGGATCAGTCTGTCAATTGGAGCTCTTCTCCTTTCCTGACCTCTTCAGCGGTCAGCAACAACCACAGTCACATGGCATGAGCTCCCAATTCTTCCCTGATCTGCTGTTCTGAGTCTCCCCCTGCGTGCAGCTCTTGGGCTCACCCGGTGTCTCAGTCCACACCCCTTATGTTTTAAATGTATGCCAAGCAGAGGGCAAATGTGGCCTAGGAAGGCTAGCCCAGGGGCACTCTCAAGATCAATCGGGTTGATAGTCCTGCCCAATATCTCCTGCAGGGATGACCTGAAGGAGCAAGGCAAACTGCTGGGCAGGGGGGGGTGGGGGGGTGGAGAAGAGAGAGCTTCTCCCTGATTCTGTACTGCTCCTTGCCAGCTTGATGGATCAGTTGCTCAACTTCAGACAGGTGAACATTTCTCTCTCTGAAGGGAGCATGCTAAACCTGGTACCCCACCACACCAAGTGTACTATAGTCTTCGAAGACCCAGGCTGCGAGAGGGATGCCCAGCTTTGAGCACAGCAGAAGCAGCCACACCCAGTTTGGAAAAGGGAGCTTCCAGCAAGTTTGGGCTAGATTGTGTCCTGGGCTCTGTACCTATCTCCCACCCCACCTTGGACCACCTTGACATCTCCCCTCCATGACGCTCACTCTTGCCTCTTGACCAGTGGGAATGTGTTGCTTTTTCTTAGAGGAGAGGAAAGGTGGATGTGTTGGGTCCCCTTTCTATGGGAGTGGAGACCCCAAAAGCGGGGAAGAAATGGCTCTGAGCTGGTCTGTGACTGATGTTGGGGAAGTTCAGTGGCTATTAAACATGGTATTGGACCTTTTTACAACCTCGTCTCAAGAAAATAAAAACAGGGATAAAAACAGCCACTGCCTTGACTCTTTTTGTTGACTGGCAGGGTGAATGAATGTGTGCGTCCCCCACTTTTCCCTTTAGGTAGAAACCCCATCCTCTTCCCCTTGTCAATTGAGCAACAGTTTTTTGGGGCTTGGGTTTCTGTGAGGTGTGCTTGAGTGCTTTCACTTTCCCAATCTTTCAGCTTCCATTTTTTCTTCCAAGGTGGCAGTGTGGGGCATGATTTTATGTGGTGTCGCCGTCCCCAGGCTGGGAATCCCTTTAGCTGTGGTTCCTGCATTGCAGAGGGTTGGACTAGATGGCCCCTGGAGACGCTTCCAAATTACAGTTCTGTGGTTCCATGTCCATGATGCCAACTTTGCCTCTGGCTGCCCTTGGACAAGGAAAACACTTGGGCGCTGCAATGCCCACTTACGAACACAGCGGGCCAGGAAAACTGCTCTTGGCCCAGTTCAGAAACAGATCTCCCCCTGGGCCTAGGGTCTTCTCCCAGACTGTCTCTGCCCCACCCTCACCTTGATTGCTCAATGCAAAGTAAAAATCACAGAATCTTACAAGTTGGAAGGGACCCTGAGGATCATCTAGTCCAACCCTCTGCAATGCAGGAATATGCAGCCATCCCAGACGGGGATTGAACCTGCAACCTTGGTGTTCTCAGCACCATGCTCTAACCAACTGAGCTATGTGGAATGGTGGCTAGTGGTTGCCTTTTTACTGCTCAGCTGGAGAGCCTCTTGCCCTCCAGATGTTGTCAGACTCCAACTCCCATCAGCTCCAGCCAGCCTGGCCAGTAGCCAGAGATTCTGGGAGTTCAGAATCCAGCAAAGATCTATAAGGCCACGCATGGGGTCTCCATGCCTGTCTTGGACCCTTACAAGAAGGACCCATCGTTGCCAGCAAGTTTGCTGCAGCAAAAGGATTGTTTTGCTTGTGACGATTCTGCCTTGTGCACTGCTTTGTGATAAATTGGCACCGAAAAGACTTCAAAGTGGGTGCCAGACACACCTTTTTATAAAAGCCATTCCAAATCGGAATGGCAGAGGGGGAGGCAGCCAGATCTGATTCATGGGGCACAATGGCTATCTTTCTGCAAATCTGTCATCTTGTTGATTATTTTGCTACATCCCTGATGCAGGAAATTGCACTAGTTACCATGTTAGCATGTCTTCCGTGCCCACTCTTCAAGGTGGAATTATTTTTTCTTTCCAAAGTTGGGCAATACATAGTACCAGTTGCTAGAAACTGCAGGAGGAGGGCAAAGTTGTTCTTGTGCTCAAATCCTGATTGCTGGTTTTCCAAAATGGGCATCTGGTTGGCCACTGTAAGAATAGGATACTGCACTAGACAGACGACTGGCCTGATCCAGCTGGCACTTCTTGAGTTCTGTGGTGCAACTTGTGCTGCAATGACAATGTTGGACCCAAGAATACCCCCAGCCTGCTCACTTGCTCCTCCTTCCAGCGGAGAGTAATCCCATCATCCAGAACAAGATGTATTCCGCTCATCTGGGCTAAGTACCTTCTCAGGAAGAGCGTCTCAGCCTTATCCGGCTTGAGGTTCAGTTTACTGGCCCTCATCCAGTCAATTACAGAGGCCAGGCACCGATCCAGCGCCACACCTGCTGGAGCTGTGCTGGAGAAGCAGAGTTGCGCATCATCTGCATGCTGATGACAACATGCTCCCAAACTCAGAGCTTTTGTGCAGAAGTTAACTCAGTATGGGGGAGCAAATTGAATCCTGTGGAACCCCAAATCCATGCTAGCTGGGGCTGATGGGTCAGAGTCTCAGATATCTGGAAGGCTGTTGTAAAAGGTATGACACACACACACACAAACCAACTCAGAGGAAACCTTGAGATAAACACGCTGCCCATTCACAGCAGCCGTAAACTGGGAGTAGTGCCTTCAAGAAAACATGCAACCTAAGGAGCATGCATAAGGTTCCTGGTTCAAGACCTGATGGCATCACCTAGGCCTAGGAGATCCCTCTGCCTGAAATCCTGGACAGCCGCTGCCAGCCAGTGTAGTCAATACTGAGCTTGATGGGCCAGTGGTCTGACTTGGTATAAGAGGCAATGTTGTGTATAAGAGGCTAGAGTGTCGGACTAGGACCTGGGATCAAATGTGCACTCGGGCCTGAAGCTCACTGCCAGTCGTTTCTTCTCAGACTAACCTACCTGATTAAATGAGGAGGGGAAACCATATCCATGCTGCTTGAGCTCCCTGGAGGAAAGGGTGGCATATAAATGCAATAAATGTATAAAATTTTAAATAAGGCCGCTTCCTAGATTCCTGGCACAGGGCCGCAGCTTGGTGGCAGAGCATCTGCTTGACCCCCAGAAAGTCCCAGGTTTTAATCCCAGGTAGATCTGGGAGAGGCTTCCTGCCTGAAACCCTGGAAAGCCACTGCTGCCGCCTGCCTGTGCAGGCCATAGCTGTCAACCTTCCCTTTTTTGCAGGAAATTCTCTTATTCCAGCGCCGTTTCCCGCTGCTATCCCTTATTGTTAGATATCCCGTAGACTGTCCCCAGGACAGGTGAAGGCTGCTGATCCCTTATTTTCAAATCTGAAAGTTGACAGCTATGGTGCAAGCAGTAGTGAGCTTGGTGGAGCCAGACTTAGTGTTGAGCATCTTCCTAGACTCCTGTGTCCCGAGTCCTTTCACAGCTGCTGCAATGGGAGAGGAAAGGGACTGAGAGCCTCTGACAAACCCCTCCAAAAAAAACAGAGACCACGCTTTCTCAGCGTTGCCTTTTCCCAGGGCCCGCTCCCCAGGCCGGACTCCATTTCCCAGGATGCTCCGGGAGGCGAGGCTGGAAGGCCGAGAGCTGCTCTTCCTCCTCCTCCTCCTCCTCCTCCTGGAGATTGCAGCATCCCGCATCGCCTGCTCTGGTCTGGACAGGCGTCCGGGGCGCCTTTAATCCGCCTAGCAAGAAGCAGCAGCGGCGGAGGCGTCCGGGGAGCCTCCTCCTGCTGCAATCTGCATTCTGCCTTTGTCCTGCGCCCCGCCATGGCCTCGGGGGCTCATGCACAGGTAAGGGGGCAGATGCCAGGCCTTGCAGCAGCAGCAGCCACAGCTGGAGATGTCTTTCCCGGGGAGGGGGCGGCGCCCGCCTTTACTCTCCCCTTTCTGCGGGGAGAGAGAAGAGTCTCAAACTCCACCCGCTTGGAACGGATCAGAGCCCTGGCGCTGCAGCAAGGGCGCCTCTGAGCACGTGCAGAGTGGCCCCACCCTCTTTCCCCGTGGGCTTGGGAGGCAGGAAAGGGTCCCTCTGCGCCCCCAACCCTAAAGCTTCACGAGGTAACAACCCGCTGAATCTAAATAGCAATAAAGAGAGGCTTTAAATGGGGAGTCGTCTTTTTGATGCACTGGGAATGGTTATTTTCCCCCCGTCCACACACCTGCTCCGCGAAGGTGGGTCCAGAGGGAGGCGAGGGATCTTTGGGATCCCGCATTTTCAGTGAGACTATTCAGGAGGGCAGCGAGGAGGGTATTTTTGGGGACCAGCTGCGGTTTAAATCAGGGCTGGAATATGATGGAGGCAGGCCAGCCCGCCCCCAAAGACATGTCTGGCTCCTGGAATGGGTTGGTCTAGCTTTCTATTAGCCTGGTGCTTTCCTTCGCCAGACGTTTTGGACTACAAATCCCATCAGCCCCTGCCCACATGATGGTGTAGCTCATGGGTAGGCAAACTAAGGCCCGGGGGCCGGATCCGGCCCAATCGCCTTCTAAATCCAGACCGCAGACGGTCCGGGAATCAGCGTGTTTTTACATGAATAGAATGTGCCCTTTTATTTAAAATGCACCTCTGGGTTATTTGTGGGGCATAGGAATTTGTTCATTGCCCCCCCACAAGGTCTGAGGGATAGTGCACAGGCCCCCTGCTGAAAAAGTTTGCTGATCCCTGGTAGCTGATGCGGGCGCGCCTGTGCTGGCTGGGGGCTGATGGGAGTTGTAGTCCAAAGCATCTGGAGGGCAGTAGGTTTGTTTATTTATTAAAATATTTGTATGCTGCTATTTCATTAAAATAAAATCAAAGTGGTTCACAGTAGTACGTGCAAAGAAATGGTATAATAGTGAAAATCAGGCATCAGTTAACTATTACGATGATACGTATTCTTAATTGCCTGCATGGGCCTGGAAGAATAAAAAAGTTTTCATCAGGTGTGTTTAAAGGTAGAAAGTTGGCCAAAATATTATTTATTTGTGTGCTGGGATGGGGAGAAAGATGTAACAGAGAGGATGGTGAAAAATGGGGAGTGGCAAGCTGATGTCGAGCATCTTGCACATTTGCCCCTTGGAACTCGCTGCTACAGGATGGTTGGGGACAGTGATGATATACATACATAATAATTATCCATATATCAAGAGCAGATCTGATGTTGAGTTAGTCTGGCTGAGGACGACTGGCTTGCCATGGCAGCCTGACACCAGGTGGTAGAGCACAATGTTCCTTCCCTTTGGCTCCCAAGAGAGTTTTCTTTGACGGAGGGTTTACCTATGCTTGAGCAATGTAGCCATTTTAAATGCCAGTAAGGAAACGGGTAATGAAGAAGTGAGAGCAGAGTTAAAGGTAAAGGGTAAAGGGACCCCTGACCATTAGGTCCAGTGGTGACCAACTCTGGGGTTGTGGCGCTCATCTCGCTTTATTGGCCAAGGGAGCTGGCGTTTGTCCACAGACAGCTTCTGGGTCTTGTGGGCAGCATGACTAAGCCACTTCTGGTGAACCAGAGCAGCGCACAGAAACGCCGTTTACCTTCCTGCCACAGTGGTACCTATTTATCTACTTGCACTGGTGTGCCTTCGAACTGCTAGGTTGGCAGAAACAGGGACCGAGCAACGGGAGCTCACCCCGTCACGGGGATTCAAACCGCCGACCTTCTGATCAGCAAGTCCTAGGCTCTGTGGTTTAACCCACAGCGTCACCCGCATCCCTGAGAACAGAGTTAGGCCTGAACAAAAATGTTAATGTGGGTCACATTAGAGGTACTGGAGAACAGAAGGTAAGATAAGAAATAAGAACATTATTATCATATCACTATGTTATTAAGATGATAAAGCATCTCAAAGATGATTGAAACCAAGCCTTATGAGACATGATGGTAGGCATCTTTAAATATCTGAAGGGCTGTCCCATGGCAGAGGGAACAAGCTTGTTTTCTCCTGCTCAGGAGGGTAGGACTCCAATCAATGCCTTTCAGTTACAAGAAAAGAGAGTCCAACTAATATATCAGGAATAACTTTCTGACAACAAGAGCTGTTCAACAGTGGAACGGACTTCATTGAAGGTTTTGAAACATAGGTTAGGTTACCATCTGTTGTGGATTCCTTAGCTGTGATTTCTGATTTGCAGAGGGTTGGACTAGATGACCCCTGGGGTACCTTCGAACTCTACAATTCAATGATTCTATGACATCTTTGGAGAGACTTACGAGAGTGAAAATGTTACAGTCTACTATGCTATGTACCTAAATGCTCCCCTGGAACTCACTGGGACCGTTCTTGACCTTCATGTTATGTTTTGCTGAGATTGTTAATTGTTCTTTCAAAAAATGTAATAAAAACATTTATAAAAGCAAACACACCATACGAATCAATATGGCGAACCTGATCCAAGACATCCACCCACCCCACTCACACATGAAAACAAAGACCACCACAGCCAACCACAAATGAATAACCACAGCCTAGTATACGTATAATAGAAACATCACTACCTGACCCCACCCCCACTCATCTCCCCACCCTTTACCCCTTTTCTTCCTAATGTCTCAACAAATGAAACCGATTTGTAAAAAAAAAAGTTACATGGGGAAAAAAATACGAGAGAGAGACATTGCACATACCTTTGTGAATCAATAAAATCTTTAATAAAAATACATTAAAAATAAAATAAAAACAAACACACAAACTTCAGTGGGTGATCCTGAAGCAGGAAGCCCTTCTTATTCTTATTCTTCGAGGCACCTTCCTATCCTACCCAGCTGCTGCTCAGACCAATGTAAGAAAGCGCATCTAAGACTTTGCCCAAGCAAACCCACAATCTGCAGTTCAGATCACACGCTGCCCTGAGACGGGTTGCGTTTCGGTGTGGGGTCCCTGATGAGAGAGATGCCATTCAGCACCTGCCCCCCCGATGACTGTGCCACTTTATTCTAGATGAGCGCTGGCCCCTCAATCTGTGGGAAAGAGGCACACTTCCCTGAACACCAGTGCTATTGTTGTTTTGAGTGGATCCTCTGCCCCTGAAATGGAAGCAGCTGATTGGAGGAAGGCAGCAAGCTGTTAAGTAACGCAGGAAGCTGTATCTCACCAGACTATAGAACCATCTAGCACGGTGTTCCCTGACTGGCAGCAGCTGTCCGGGGTCTCAGGCAGGGAGGGTCTCCTTTACATGAGAACATGTTGTTGTTTAGTCGTGTCCGACTCTTCGTGATGCCCTGGACCAGAGCACGCCAGGCACTCCTGTCTTCCACTGCCTCCCGCAGTTTGGTCATGCTGGTAGCTTCGAGAACACTGTCCAACCATCTCGTCCTCTGTCGTCCCCTTCTCCTTGTGCCCTCCATCTTTCCCAACATCAGGGTCTTTTCCAGGGAGTCTTCTCTTCTCCTGAGGTGGCCAAAGTCCTGGAGCCTCAGCTTCCGGATCTGTCCTTCCAGTGAGCACTCAGGGCTGATTTCCTTCAGAATGGAGAGGTTTGATCTTCTTGCAGTCCATGGGACTCTCAAGAGTCTCCTCCAGCACCAGAATTCAACGTAAGGAGAGCCAGTGTGGTGTAGTGGTTAAGAGCGGTGGACTCGTAATCTGGTGAACCGGGTTAGATTCCCTGCTCCTCCACATGCGGCTGCTGGGTGACCTTGGGCTAGTCACACTTCTCTGAAGTCTCTCAGCCCCACTCACCTCACAGAGTGTTTCTTGTAGCCGAGGAAGGATAAGGAGATTGTTAGCCGCTTTGAGACTCATTAGGGTAGTGATAAAGCGGGATATCAAATCCAAACTCTTCTTCTTCTTCTTCTTCTTCTTCTTCTGCTGTATGAGGCCAGTCGCACATCTCTAGTCCAGCATCCTGTTCTTGCAGCGGCCAAACAGAAGCCCCAGTAGGACCTGAGCACAAGAGCAGTCTGTCCCCCTGTGGTTTCCCACAACTAGCATTGCTACCTGACCCCAGGTGCATGGAGAAGCCCTCCTTCCTTTTCTGTCCTGAAGCTTTCTTGGATGGCCTTGTTGAGTTCTAGTATTCCAAGAACATAAGAAGAGATGCCTGTGGAAGTGAGCAAGCAGAGTTCAAGCGCAAGAGCAGCGTGGCTTCCATAGTTCTACCTATTCTGAGAGGGGATTTTTTATGTTCTCTTCCACATTAAAAAAATATATTTATTTTGCCCATAAAATTTTCTTTTCCACTTTGTTTGATTAGAATATATGTATGAGATTGTATAGGAAAAATAGGGAATAACAGATACAGATTTGCTTAAAATGTATATAGGAAGTGCAGTGTAAGCGATGGAAGTCAATCAATGAAATTTTATTATTGAGATATTTGTAGAATAAATTTGGAAGAAATTCTCCCAGTTTTTCTTCTTCTTCCAATTTTTCTTCTTATTTTTTCTTTTTTTCCTTTTTGTTCTTTTTTATATATGTGTGCTTATCTGAAAAATATATGTATGTATGTATTTGCAGTATTTTGCTTGTATTTTGTAATAATTATGTTAAATAAAATTTAATACATTTATTTTTAAAAAAATATATATATATTTTAAAAAATTAACCACTTTGCAGATAGGAAAGTAGGACACCAGGGCAAGAATGTTGTCTCTGGTGTGATGGTTGCTGCAGGGATGTGCAGGTTTTGTTTCCCGCTCCTCTATGGGTATCCTTAAAAAAAAAAAAAACCCCTTCCTCCACTTGCTTGAGGCACCATTCCACCTCCTCATGGTATGAAATGTGTTACGCCAGCCTTTGCATTTATATCTCACCTTTTCCTCCAAGGAGCTCAAGGTGGTTTACATGGTTCTTCCCGCTCCCTATAGAATCCTAGAAGAGCAGACTTGGAAGGGAACACGGTGGTCATCTAGTCCTACCCCCTGCAACGCAAGAATCTTTTGCTCAACCTGGGGCTCGAACCCACAACCCTGAGTCCCATGCTTTACAACATATCCCCACAACAACGCTGAGAGGTAGGTTAGGTTGTGTGTGAGTGACTGGCCCAAGGTCACCCAGTGAGCTTCGTGGCTAAATGGAGATTTGAACCCAGGTCCCAGTCCTACACACTCTTAACTACTACACCAGACTGCATCAATGTTCAGTAGGTGAGGACTGTATGGGAGCAGACAGCAACTGGTGCTTCTAGAACAATACTGGTGGGTTGGGAGATCTGAGCACCCTAGTGCATTGCCGTTATTGATCATGCAAATAGAATGAGTTTGCATATGGAAACGGTTATATACTGCCTTTTGACACCTGGATAGCACGCAGGTGTATTATTATTATTATTATTATTATTATTATTATTATTATTGACTGCAGCTTGAACAGAGAAATTTTGCATTGCCATTATGTCTTTTCTAATAATGCCTTGGACTAATAATAAGGGCAGTCTGGGATAATGACACCCCATCCTCCATCCAGCTATAAAAATCTGGGACAAATATAGATTAAAACAAAGTCCTGCAACCTCCTGACAATCATCTAAGCCACCCTGAGCAATTAAATTGGAATGGGGAACTAGGTAATTATGCCATCTGCCGAAAAGCACAGCTTATTGAGAATATGTGATCATATATGCGGTGGAGGGGGCAGTAGGAGAGCTCCCCCCTCTTATAAATGGTTGCAGTCACAGTGTTTGCTGGATATTCAACAATTGCAGCAGCGTAATACCCCCGGGGAGAGCCTGTAAATCTGGAAGCCCTTCCTGAATGGTTAAAGTAGCACCAAACTCCGCATTTAAAAGTCGACCGTAATATGTCCGCTGGAGAAAATGGAGGGCTTTAATTACAGAAGGTTTTGTGCGCGCATGAGATTGGAGGAGAGATTATGGAGAGAGCTCCATCCTTTCCTTGGTAAATAATATTCCGCCTCTGCTGACTTGAAGTAAAGCAGTTTCTCTGTTGATGGCACCTTTAAATTTGGAAGGTATACTGTTGATCAGATCAGTGTTGGAAACATGGAAGAGGGTTTCGTGGCCCCTTTGCTGGAGCTATGGGAGGATGGAAATACTTCACTGGGATTCTGCTTCCAATATCATCCATAGCACCTCATGAAGCATTGCCAATGTCTCCATCCTCTAGTTCTGCTATAAGAAAGGAAGGGTTTTTAAAAAATGGAAAGGCAATTGGATATTTAATTTCACAACAAATTAGGAGGGGGAGTCCTTCTTTGTTTTTGTTTTTGCTTTTATTATGCATTTTGTGTTCTTACTTTGTATTTTAGTGTTGTGAACTGCCCTGTCATCTTCAGATGAAGGGCAGTATACAAATAAATAAGCAAATGAAGCACAATGGAAACCATCAGGACTTCTTGACAACCAAGAAACAGGTTTTTAAGGATTTGGTGTCCTGTGGAGTTGGATGCTTAGACTAACTGCAAGCCATGTTTTGTTCTAGGGTGGAGTTCATGGTTCTGATCTCTTAACCAGTTACAGGTTTGAATTGCAAGTGCTGGCAGTTCAGATACAGGTTTGAATTGCAAGTGCTTTCTGGGGAAAGAAGGTGTAAGGCTTCAAAGGATGGTCTGCTGTCTAATAGGAGCAGCTCACAGATGTGTAGAGTTGGAAGGGATCCCAAGGCTCATCTGGTCCAACCCCTGCAGTCAAAATGTGCACCTCCGGCCATACTCTGTGGCTCTGTTTTATCTATGGATGCCTTTCCTTCTTTCCAGCCCATCCATCTTCCATCCTCCTCTCTTGGCTGGCCCTTCCCAGGAAACACAGAGAGAGCCCTCAATTCATAAGAGCTAGAATCACAGAATTGCAGACTTGGAAGGGACCCCAAGAGTCATCCAGCTCAACCCCCTGCAGTGCAGGATGAGGCCTGTGAGGGCTGTCGTCATCACACCCACTAGCAGAGGGAACCGTCCAGATCTCCATCCCAGGTTCCCTTTCTCATTGCCGCAGGTGATGTTTGAAGACGTGGCCGTCTATTTCTCCTCGGCGGAGTGGGCGGAGCTAGCAGAATGGCAGAAGGACCTCTACCGGGCCGTGATGGTGGACAACTATGAAGCGGTTACCTCTCTGGGTAAGGATCTCATTCCCTGCTTGGGTGTCCTTTGATGTTCCTGAGAGCCTGGAGACAGCAGATAAATGATCCTGGCATAGAGATGTTGGGGTTTGCAGTGGGGACAGGATCTCTTTGTTGAACTGATGTGGGGGCTGATGTAAGATTTTGCAATCTGCAAACTGTAGACCAAGCACCAGTCCGAAACTTTTTGTTTGACTTTAGACCAGCGTTTCACCAACTTGGTTCCTGCATAAGAGCATCAGATGGCTGCCAGATGAGGCCAAAGAGAGCACATCTTGTCTGCTATCAGATTCTCATGGTGGCTGAGCCAGATGCCTGAGTGGGAAGCCTGCATGCAGGACCAGATTGCAACAGCAGCAACCCTCCCCATTTGCCATTTTATTTTATTGTATTTCTATTCTGCTTTTTTCCTCCCAAGTTGCTCAAGGTGGCCTACGTGGTTCTCCCCCTCCTCCTTGAATTCCCACAACAATGCTGAGAGGTAGGTTAAGCTGAGAGGCCGTGACTGGTCCGAGGTCACCCTGTGAACTTCTTGGCTGAGTGGGGATTTGAACCCTTGTCTCCCAGGTCCTAGTCCAGGGGACAGTAAGGTTTCCCCTGAACATGTCCCCAGATGCTGTGGATACAGCTGGTTCCCTCACTTGACAGTCCATCCAGGAGGAGGCTGCTGGATAGCCTTCTGTAGGTATCCTGGCATGGTATACAAGAACTGATAAGCAACCTGGTACCTAGAAAGGAATGCTAGAGGGATGCTCTTATTTATAATCTTAGGTTGCTAGTATGATTTGTGGGAATGTTCAGGATGGCAGGAGAGGGTATATTGTTTATTAATATCCTTCCTAACTTGCGTTAGCAAGTTTCTTTACTTAGCAGAGTGCATTCGCCTTTACACAGCAGAAAACTAGTTGCAAACTCGTGTGAGTTTCTTAAGACAATGCACAATTCAATCTGGCCTGTCCTCATTGTGTTCTAATATTTTCCTGGTAAGACCCCTTGAATCCCTTCCAAAAGAATAAAGACACCACAGTCTTATTCATGTGTAAGACATAGCTTAGCAGGTCTCGTGTAAATCCAGCAGAGTTGAAATAGAGTATTTAATAGATGACAAATTGGATGATGAAAAGGATGTGGATTATGCAGAGTAGTAGAAAAGCAAAAGGAACCAGGAAAAGTGTGGAAGGGAAGTCATATGGTATATGCAGATATTCTGTACAGTGGTGCCTCGCAAGACGAAAAGAATCCGTTCCGCGAGTCTCTTTGTCTTGCGGGTTTTTTCGTCTTGCGAAGCAAGCCCATTAGCGGATTAGCGCTACAGTATTATCGGCTTAGCGAGCTTAGCGGATCAGCTGATAAGCGGCTTAGCGATCAGCTGTTAAGCGGCTTAACGGATCAGCTGATAAGCGGCTTAGCGATCAGCTGTTAAGCGGCTTAGCGGATCAGCTGATAAGCGGCTTAGTGGCTTAACGGATCAGCTGTTAAGCGGCTTAGCCGATCAGCTGATAAGTGGCTTAGCGATCAGCTGATAAGCGGCTTAGCGGCTTGGGAAAAAGGTGGGGAAAAGGAAAAAAACCCCGCAGGAACTCGCAAGACATTTTCGTCTTGCGAAGCAAGCCCATAGGAAATTCGTTTTGCGAAGCACCTCCGAAACGGAAAACCCTTTCGTCTAGCGGGTTTTCCTTCTTGCGAGGCATTCGTCTTGCGGGCACCACTGTATTTGGTATGAAGTTGTAAGTGGGATGGGGGCTAAATATGCTCTCTGTTTCTGTTTTTGGAAATGCAAATAAAATTATTATTTTTTTAAAAAATAGAGTGTTGGTCTGCAACCTGGGGGACCTGGGTTCGAAGCACGACTCAGCCGCAGCGCTCGCCAGGCGGCCTTGGGCCATTCGCCGCCTCTCGGCCCGGCGTACCTTGCAGGCTTCTTGTTGTGGGGAGCAAGGGGGCTAGGTGCACCACCTGGAGAAAAGGATGCTATATCCTTGCAAGAAATGAAGGGGAAATAAAGGTGCTGTCCTCTGCTCCCACGACAGGGCACCCGTCCGCCAAACCCGAGATCATCTGCAAAATCGAGCGCGAAGAGGAGCCTTGCATGGAGGAGCCCCTGGAGACCCCCAAATGGAAGAGACCCCAGAGCCCATGGCTGGGTGAGTTGGGGGTTTTGGGGGGGCGTGGGGGTCCTTGCAAAGAGGCCTTTCCTTGCCCCCCCCCCCGTAACTGGTCCTTACTGGTGTTGCGGTCGGGCCTACGTGGCGCTGGCCTCACAGATAATGCAAACTCTGACCGGCAGCATCTCGGGATGTGAACCAGGATGGGGACCCGGGTTCAAATCCCCTCCTCCAGCTCCCTAGCGCTGGAATTGAGCCGGTCCCCGTCTCTCCTCCTGGCCTACCTCGCAGGGCTGCCCTCGCCATGAGGCGGCCATGTTTGTCACCCTGAGGGACAACTTGGGATACGGACATAACCATAAGTACAAAGATCAGTGTTTTTACCTCAAAGTTATCCTGTAGTTTCACGTAGTAGACTCATCCCGATCCATCCTGGAGGCAGACCCCCCAAACTCCTCCCAAACTCTTGAGGCGATTCCGTCTTTTTCAGATTATTTCGAACCGAAACTCGTGTCCAAATGCCTCCAACTCCCACCCTTCCTTTTGTGTAAAAAGCTTTGGGGCTTTTTTTCCATCTTACGATCCAGCGTATATAAATTTTTATGAAATGAAGTAACTTCAAATTCTCATGGGGGAAAAAAATCTCCTGAGGGAATTAGGCATTCTACATTTATTTGGCCTTCTGGAGGCTGTTGCCGTGGAAACGCTCCCCGGAAGGAAAAAAGGCGGGAAAACGCCTCAGCTAGAGGACCGCTCCTATGTCTCCCATTTTGTCCACATCCCTGCCTATTCTGAGGAGAAACTTCTCCACAGGAAGGATCCCAGATCCCCTTAGATTCCTCACCCCTTAAGTCCCTGAGGGAGATACAGATAACCTGAAGGCCAGAGAGAAACCACAGAGGCTGTGGGACTGAGGGAGGATTTTAATTTTTCTTTTCCTCACAGAGGAAAGATGGGGTCTGCCAAGCTGACCAGAGGCAAGGAGGCCAAAATGGCTCCTGCCCCAGGGAGAGGAGACACTAGTCTAGTCATCCTAGCGATAATGATAGTAATATACTTATTTGTACCCTGCCCATCTGGGAGGCTTCCAGCGTAAATAAAAACATACACAGGGCTGCCTTCAGATGTCTTCTAAAGGTTGAATAGTCACTTATCTCTGCAGGGTGGGTGCCACCACAACATGCCGAAAATTTCAAATCAGTTTTCCATAACCTTTCCCAGTCTGAAAGCTGAATATTATGCCCCAAACCCCTTGCCCAGTGTATCATTACAGATTTAACCTGTTCATCCTTTGTATGCCATTCCAAAAGTAATTATTTTCTAACAAGCCTTTTTCAAATCTTGAGGTCTCATAGCTGAAACCTTTCTTTTTATCTATCTTAAAGATATCATTTAGATGGTGAAACTGTAGCCAGTCAGTTAATCCCTTATTTCTTCAAAATCTTTTAATTTCACCTGATGTTCTACTTCAGTTAACAGCTCTCTATGTGTTGCCCAATTACTTCTCATATTTAGTTTTTTTTCAGAGCTATCGCTTCCAGTGGGGAAAGCCACCAGGGCGTTTTCTGTTCCAGTAGCCGATTCTTTTTTTAAAACACGATTTTATTAAAGCTTTTTTCATAATGTGGTAGTAATAATAATAATAATAATAATAATAATAATTTATTTATATCCCGCCCTCCCCAGCCGAAGCCAGGCTCAGAGAGGCTAACAACAATAAAAGTAACACAGCACTCTAAAATCCATTCATTCTAAAATCAATTCAAAATCAAATTAATGTCAATCATTGGGCTAGAGTTCTGTGAGGATTACCAAAGGAGGGGGTCAGACTGTGCCCTGGCCAAAGGCCAGGCAGAAGAGCTCTGTCTTGCGGAAAGATGTCAAGTCCCGCAGGGCCCTAATCTCTTGGGACAGAGCGTTCCACCAGTTCGGGGCCACGGCCGAAAAAGCCCTGGCTCTAGTTGAGGCCAGCCTAACCTTCCTGTGGCCCGGGACCTCCAAGACGTTTTTATTTGAAGACCGTAAAGCCCTCCGTGGGACATACCAGGAGAGGCGGTCTCATAGATACGAGGGTCCTAGGCCATATAGGGCTTTAAAGGTTAAGACCAGCACCTTGAACCTGATCCTGTACTCCACAGGGACCCAGTGCAGCTGGTATAGCACTGGGTGAATGTGATCCCATGGCAAGGACCCGTAAGATCAAATGAAGTTCTTCTCAGGGACTGAACGTGGGGTTTCTCCCTGAGTCAGTGATGGCGAGACTCTCCCTTTCCCTTTCTTCCCCGCAGGAGATGGGATCAGGATGGAAGACGAGGACGAAGGCAGAGGGGCAGTCCCTGTCCGGCGGTGCAAAAGGAAGAAGATGGTCCACCCTTCCAGAACGGAGAAACCGGTGACCCGGGCGGCAAGCACACAGGACGAGGACGAGGGTCCCCCGAAGTCAACGCTGAAGACGAAGCCCCCTGAGTGCCCCGAGTGCGGCAAGAGCTTCCTGAGCAACGTGGCGATGGTCATCCACATCCGGACGCACACCGGGGAGCGGCCCTTCAAGTGCCACCTGTGCCCCAAGGGCTTCCCTTCACGGGGGGACCTGAAACGGCACATCAAGACCCACCTGCGCAAGAAGGAGGACCCCGCGGCCGGCGACGCCAGCCCCAAGGCGCGGAAGTGCCTGACGGCCAAGCTCCAGCTCCTGCGCCAGCTTGGGGCCACCCTGGGCCCCAGGAAGCCCCACACCTGCGCCCAGTGCGGAAAGAGCTTCAACAAGAAGCAGGACTTGCGCAAGCACCACGGGACCCACTCGAGCGAGCGGCCCTTCTCCTGCCCCGAGTGCGGGCGCAGCTTTCGTCTCAAGCAGATCCTGGTGGCCCACATGAAAGTGCACGTGGGGGAGCGGCCCTTCTCCTGCCAGCAGTGCGGGAAGCGCTTCAGCCAGAAGCACCACGTGGAGAGCCACCAGCGCGTCCACACGGGCGAGAAGCCCTTCTCGTGCACCACGTGCGGGAAGCGCTACTCGCAGAAGCAGCCGCTCATCAGCCACCTCCGGGTGCACACCGGGGAGCGGCCCTACGCCTGCGCGGAGTGCGGGAAGACCTTCCGCAACCAGGCCACCCTGACCATCCACAACCGGATGCACACCGGCGAGCGCCCCTACCGCTGCCTGCTGTGCGGCAAGACCTGCAGCCAGCTGCAGCACCTTAAGAGCCACCAGAGGGTCCACCGCGGGGAGCAGCACCTCCTGCAGGCGGGCGACGCCAAGGCGCTGGCCCTCAAGAGGGCCCGCGAGGTGAAGGAGAAGCCCTACCCGTGCCCCAGGTGCGAGAAGCGCTTCCGGGACGAGGAGATCATGCAGACCCACCTGAGGACGCACGAGGAGAAGCTGGCAAAATTTGGACTCCTTCCGAGCGGAGCCAGCCCTGGGGAAGGCCCTCCTCTTCCCGTTCAGCCCCCAAAGACCCTGCCAGAGTTTAAGTCCGTCGGCAGAGGGACGGGCATGAGCAAGAAGCCTCCCTCTGCGCCACAGCCTGGCCCGGCAACTGGGAAGAGGGCCTTTGCATGCTCCGATTGCGGCAGGAAGTTCACCCAGGCAAAATACCTCACCATGCACCGGAGGAGCCACACATGAGGGAAACCTGTTTGCGTTGGAAGGAAACCTGGTGGTGCATTTTAAGGGTGCCTTTGTGAGCAAAGGCTTTCTTTGGAGCAACTAGCGTGTGGAAGCTGCACAGAAATCTTCCTCTGGCCCATACGATGAGGTTGGGGGAGGTGGAGAACAAGGGGGCAAAGTATGTTGCTAGCTTGAGCTGAAATAGGTCCTGCAACAAAAGCAGTTATATTTCTTATCTTCCACCCTCACCCCCTTATTTTGAGTATCTAGTCCATGGAAGATTTCTGTGTAACTTGCAAGCCTGTATCAGTTGTCCTCAGCGAAGGGATTGCTTCGATTCCTTATCCTGTGGATTCAAAGGAACTGCAATAACTTTGAACTCTTTGGAGCTCTGGATCTAGTGAGACAGCATGCAGCATTCCTTTAGTCCTTGTTGCAAAGGCTTCTGGGTAGCTGTCCTACATGGGAAAGAGAGAGAGAGAGAGAGAGAGAGAGAGACGTAAAACTCTCCTGCTGAACCTGTCAGAGTTGGATTTGTCCATGGAGCTGGCAGTAGGAACAGGAATTCACTCCCTTAGGATGTGGCTACAGTCACTAGGCAAAATGGTGCTTTAAGATGGATCTCCCAAAAGCTTATTGGGTAGATTTTATAGCTAAGGTTGGGAGCTCAGTAGGAGTAAAGGAAGCTGTCGTATACAGAGTCAGACCGTCTGACTCAATAATGTCTGCCAGCCGTGCACCAGGGTTTCAAGCAGGGTGCATTCTCAGTCAGAAAATGACCCTGAGACATGCTGTCCCTGAGCTATGACCCTTCCCCATCATTCAGAAACAGTATGCCACTCACTGCCAGCTGCAAGGGACAGGCAGAGGAGCAGAGGAGCCAACTCCTAGGGACCAAGGTCCCTTTGCCTCCCCCAATACAATATTTGCAGGGCCCCGGCCCCCACAAAGTTGATGAATATTAGCATTCAAATGGTGTGTGTGTGCTGCATCATGTGATTGGTTATGTGGGGCGGGGGTTACCTGCCCCCCATATGTTATTCAAGTTGGCACCCCAGTGATAAAGGTTGCTTCCACAACAGAGCCCTTTAGCACTGCTGAATCAGCAGGATGTGGAATTAAGGCGGGTGAACCCGCCCAACACTTTAGCATAGCAGTGTATTCTCCTTGAGAAATTTGGCAATGCCAGCTCCCATGGGCAACTGCCTAAATAATGTTTCCTCGGAAGCAAGTCCTCAATTCAGTGTTATATTTAAGTCCTCGCCTGTGAGAGTTGCCTCTAGGTGAGTACATGGGATTACGACTTAATGTGCAGCCAGGCTGGTGAATGAGGGACAGCACAGAAATGTGGCAGGTTGTTGAAGGACTTTACATCCAACTGAGCTGCTCACCCAAGTGGTAATCAGGCTACTAGCTTGTGTAGGCTTATTTACAAGGCTGCCTGAATTACAGAATTTTAGAGTTGAAGGGACCCTGAGGATCATGTAGTCCAACTCCCTGCAATGCAGGCATAAGCAGCTGTCCCATTTGGGGATCGAACCTTTGACCTTGGTGTTCTCAGCACCATTCTCTAACCCTGCTTTGTGAGGTAGGATGAGTATGGGCTTAAATTACTGCTTTCCTCTTTTCAGGCACAGCAGTTGCTAATTAATGTATGTTTTACTTCGCTATTTTAAACAAATAACATTGAAAGCATTAACGAATAATTGCTCTGGCTGCAAAATAGAAAACCAGTAACTAAACCGCTGCTCCCTTGCAGGGGGACAGGAACTGATTAAGAGCCACCACAGGAATGCTATACAAGTGTATAGGTAGCAAACAGAATGAAGTGGCAAAGAGGCTCCTTGAAAGAAAAGGGCAAGAAGGAGACAACCAATGAAAGGGAGACATGTCTCTGGTGCATTGCCAGTCGACACTGGACAGCCTTGCTCTCCTTTTTCATTTTAAGACCAAAACATTGCCACAGATCAGGACTGAAAATTGATGGGAGGAGAACACAGGTCCTTTGAAATGCAGTGGTTCGGCAGTGATTAGGGTTGGGAAATATCTGGTTTTCAACATTGTACACTCTCCTAACGTTCTTAAAATTCCAGTACAGTAGTTAAATAGGTTGTTTGATAGCTAAAAAAAAACCCTCTCCTTTTAAAAAAGACACTGTAGTTGATTAGCTTTTAAAGTTCCATTTGGGAGTTGATCATTTGCATGCTTGTCGAAGAGGGACGTTCCTGGATTTTTAATCTGCGATTCTATAAAACCCATCCGGCAGCTGCTTTGCTGTGGAGTTGTGATCAAATATCTGAGCTGGCTGTGGTCTGTGTTATCCAAAGAATTATTGGGTTGGAATTGGCAAGATTGCTGGACACAAATTAAACCCAAGTTTGCACAAAGCTGTCTACAGTATTTGCTGTGGGGTGACCTTACTGCAAATCAAAAGGGTTTGCAGTGAAATCCTGTGCATGTTTATACGGGGGCAAATCCCACTGAGTTCTATGGGGACTTTGTGCTTCTATGGGATTATAGCCTATTTTGAGGTTGTTGGGGTTTTTTTTTATTAAAATGTGATCATCTGTATCCCCCAAGTGAACTTGCATAGATATGTATAAAACAGGATGGTAATTTTTGTGAATTACTAATTTCTGTGTGCTTTTGCCTTCTTAATTTAACAGGGTGAATTAATCCCCACTTTAATGGGGAACCACCATTTCAATTTGTTGTACACGGAACACACATGGTAGCAAGGGGAGGATGATAATTCCTTTTCTCAAGTGCACTTAAAAGGCTGATTTGGTTCTGGTTGACAATACTGCTTATTTTGGACCAATCTGGAGCCTTCCAGCTGTTTTTAGTACAAATCCCATCAGTGGGAGGATATCTGCAGGACCACACCTTGCAATCTGTGCCTCCTGTGACCACCCCTTCCCACTTATGTGAATGAAATAGCAATTGTCAGAGCAGGAGCAGCCTAGCTGAAGTCATCTGGAGAGGAACAGTTTGGGATTCTTCCTTATTATCCACATCAGTGGTCAAGAGAACTGAAGTATAAACTATTAGTTATTACAAGTCTCTTAATCTATTCTAATAAAGCAGTAAATGAAACGATGAACTTCCTCCCTAACAAAGTTGGGGTTACAGAAGATCTCCCTTAGTCATACAGTACTTTCTTCTTGCAAAAGTATTCAAATTAATTCTGCCCAAGTTCTGCTAGGCAAATTTCTCCATCATCCACATTACCTATTTATTATAAAGTTTACTCTATACTGTGAATGCTTGCCTGTATCACACTTAAAACCATTTTTATTATGGATGGTCATAGATCCATAGAATTGTAAAGTTGGAAAGGACCCATGGGGTCATCTAGTCCAACTGCCTGCAGTGCCGGTATCACAACTAGAGAATCCCTGACAGGTGGCCCTCCAAACTCTGTTTAAAAACCTCCAATGGAGGAGAGTCCCGCCACCTTCTGAGATAGTCCACTTCACCGCTGAGTGGCTCTCACTGTCAGAAAGTTATTCCAAATGTACAGATAGAATCTCCTTTCTTGTCATTTTAATCCATCAGTTTGGGTCCTACCTTCTGGAACAGCAGAAAACAAGCTTGCTCCATCTTCCATGTAGGAAACTACAACTAATCCAGAATGCGGCAGCTAGACTGGTGACTGGGAGCGGCCGCGAAGACCACATAAAACCGGTCTTCAGAAAGATCTACATTGGCTCTCAGTACGTTTCCAAGCACAATTCAAAGTGTTGGTGCTGACCTTTCAAGCCCTAAATGGCCTCAGTCCAGTATACCTTAAGGAGCATCTCCACCCCTATCGTTCTGCCCGGACACTGAGGTCCAGCACCGAGGGCCTTCTGGTGGTTCCCTCACTGCGAGAAGCCAAGTTACTGGGAACCAGGCAGAGGGCCTTCTTGGTAGTGGCATCCACCCTGTGGAACGTCCTCCCACCAGATGTCAAAGAGAACAACAGCTACCAGACTTTTAGAAGACATCTGAAGGCAGCCCTGTTTAGGGAAGCTTTTAATGTTTAACAGACCACTGTATTTTAATACTTTGTTGGAAGCCACCCAGGGTGGCTGGGGAGACCCAGCCAGATGGGCCGGGTTTAAATAATTTTATTATTATTATTATTCCATAATAATGGACAGCCCTTCCATGTGACAGCCCTTCAGATTTTTAAGGTGGCTTACATTACACCTCTCAGTCTGCTCTTCTCCAGGCTAAACATCCCCAACTCCTTCAACTGTTCCTCATAAGGCTTGGTTGCAAGACCCTTCATCATCTTAGTTGCCCTCCTCTGCACACCTTCCAGCTTGTCAATATGCTCCTTAAACTGTAGTGCCCAGAACTGGACACAGGTCTCCAGGTGGGGTGTGACCAAGGCAGAGCAGAGTGGTCTTTTTTTCCACACACAAGACAGAAAGCTCAAAGACCACATGAGGAATTATGTGACAAAGGTAGCACTTGAACTCAGATCTTGAGCCTTGAGGACCGGCCTGCCTGGCAACTGCACTCCTCCACAGGTTAAACTGCGTGCACTCTTACTTGTTTACTACATTTATATGCCAAAAGGGTTCAACTGGATTTCTGTTTAAAATAATAGTTTATTATAACCTACTGATCAGGAAAAGGAGATACAGTGGTACCTCGGGTTAAGTACTTAATTCGTTCCGGAGGTCCGTACTTAACCTGAAACTGTTCTTAACCTGAAGCACCACTTTAGCTAATGGGGCCTCCTGCTGCTGCTGTGCTGCCGCCGCACAATTTCTGTTCTCATCCTGAAGCAAAGTTCTTAACCTGAAGCACTATTTCTGAGCAGAGTCTGTAACCTGAAGCGTATGTAACCTGAAGCGTATGTAACCTGAGGTACTACTGTACACATGCAATTCTGAAACCACCAATGATGAAGAGAAGGTTCTGAGAAGAAATGGTAGTTGCTGGATGAATTGATGGCAGGAGCCTGGCTTTCTCAGCTGAGTTTAATTGAGGAAGTCTCTTAAAGGTGCCACCATTACTCAGATACAATAACTTGGGCTGAACCATTCAGAATAACGTGATGAATATACAAGACAGGAGCTGTCCGTGGTGACATAAAACTGCTGGATTCTTTCTAATGACATAATGCACAGACTCTAAGCCCAGTCACAGTATCTGTTTTATTATATATTTCCAAACTGTTGACAAAAGGGTCAGTGAGCATCTCTTCCAGCCCTTTTAAAAGACAGGTTGTATTCCTACATCACAAGGTTTAGCACAGGGAGGCGGAGCTTGCTGCCCTTCAGCTGTGGGGCTCCAGGGTCCCGTTGGCCCCAACCGGCATGATGAGGAAGATCAGGAATCATGAAGCCCAACAACACCAGGAGGACCAAAGAATCTTACCACGATGGTGTGGAAGACATCTTGGATGTTGCCATGCTTTCATTTCCTTTTACTCTTAATTTTAATGTTTTTAATTGGTAATAAAAGAATAGTTCTTGGAAAGTGTCTATAGATTTTACCGCAATCTAGCAGTGTAAAAATTTTGGTAATGAACTAAATGAATAAATCTTCCAAAACCAGGTCAATGAACTGGCTCAGTTAGAAGAGTGACCACTTTTCAGGAACAATTAAAGAGCCTTTAAAGGTTAATTAAATTGGATTGGGGGACAGAGAAAAACCTGTTCCAGAGCCCCAGACATTTCCCATCCTAGATACCTTGAAGAAATTCACAGCCATGCAAGCAATGCACTGATTCTCACTTTTATGCTATTTTAGGGGAAGGGATTTCCAAAGACCATTCCCAGCATTACTTCCCAAGCCCACGCCCACCTGATCACGCTGCAGCAACCTCCCCCCATCCCTGCCATGCTGGCAGGGGCTGATGGGAGTTGTAGTCCAAAACATAATGGAGGGCACAAACTTGGCAAAGGCTGTTGTACAGATGATGATGTTTTCTTGATTAGTCAATGCCCCAAATGACTGTGTGGATTCAGAGGGCCACACATGAGACTCAAAGAGAGCTAAGTTTGAGGTTGCGGCTCAGAGTCCTTCTTTGTTCAAGGCTTTTGCCCTTAATACTTGCATATTAGCCAGAGATATTCCATGAACCACATCCTCCAGCTTGTAGAAGGTCTGGAAGACGGTTGAGGATACCGAGTGGCACTCAAAATAGCGCCTCAGTGTGGCCAGGCTCTCCATGACTTCTGCCTTGGAAGGGCAGGGCAAGTTCTCCGCCTTCTCTTCCTCTGCAGCTGCACAGGCTGGTTCTTGAACCCCTTGGAGTATTTCAGCACCCTCCTGGTCTCCAAAACACTCCAGCTCCTCATCGACCAGCACAAACTGTTCAAATTGTTGCCGGTCCTTGAACCCCAGGGCTTGGACCACGTCCATGGGAGGAGCTGGGATGCGGAGAGCCAAGCCAAAGCCCGCAGCTTGGAAACAGCTTGTGATGGTCTGTGGACAGACATCTAACCAGGCTTGGACTATCATATGAACAGCGTCCAAAAGAGTCAGGTGCTTTGAGAGTTCGCTTGCAGGAACGGGGGATCTGCTGTCGAGCACGGCAAGGAGGCGAAGAAGCATCCTCCTCCGGTAGTGGCATTTGAAGTTCTGGACCAGCCCATGCTCAAGAGGATGGATGCGAGAAGAGCCAGGAGGCATGAAAACCATCTTGGTATGAGAGAGCTCAGTGTCGGGATGCGCTGCACATGGGACCAAAAACAGCACCACGCTCCTGTCTGTTTGTTTCATGTCCTCGTTGAATTTCTGGAGCCACTCAGTGAAGATGGCCGCTGTCATCCATGCCTTGCTATCAGCTCTGTAGGTGACAGGCAACAGGTCCTCCCTGTCAACGCCTTGGAAGCCAAATGGCCTTCGTGCCTTGCCGACAATCAGGGCGTCCCTCTTGTCTGAAGCATCCAGATTGGTGCAGAGCAAGACAGTGAGCTGGTCCTTGGCTCCCTCTCCGCTGTCCCAAGCTAGGCCTTCTGGGGTAGCTCGAAACAGGATGCCAGCCTCCCCGCAGGCGTAGATGTCACGGGGGTCATATTTGTTTAGAATGTAGGGCAGGACGTTGTTTTCCCAGCCCTCATCCTCCAGATCCTCACTGTTCTCCTCCAGAGGTCTTCCACACGCCGCTTTCTGCCTAGCTTTGAAACCACGCAACCAACCCAGGCCTGCCTCCAGCTCTGGCTTCCTCCTGAACATCTTTGAGAGATCTCCAGCCTTCTCTTGCAAATGCATCCCATTGGCAGGGGTGCTGGACACACACCTGTGCTCAAACCACTGCAAAAGGGCCACCTCACCAGACATGGTCTTCTCCTCTAGCTTGCGCTTGCGCCCTGGGTTGCCGTTCTTGCACCACTCGGCCAGGATGCGCTCTTTGTTCTTGATGATGCGGCAGATCTGGGGCTGGGAGACCCCAAACCTCTTGGCCAGTTCGCTCTGGGAGACCTTGGGTCCTTCCAGCATCTCCAGCACCCGGACCTTCTCTTGCAGGGAGAGCTCCTTCCGCTCTTTCCTCTGCACGACAGTCTCGCTCGACAGAGGTGAAACCCTCTTCCTGCAGCTGATGTGGTTGCTGGCATTCCCTGCCAGGCAGGCTCCCTGACCAGTGGCGAGAGCAACATGCTCCATCAAGCTCCTTCCACAGTCCCCGCAAATGTATGTGCATTGCCCAGTGTGGTTCAGACCGTGCTTTTCTAACTCTGCCTTTTGGGCAAAGTTCTTCCCACATTCCAAGCACCAGTGGGGCATCTCTCCCATCGGAGCTCTGCAGATCCCAAAGGCAGGCGCACTGGGGCCACATCCCACTCTGTGGTCCATCACCAGACCTTCCTCACTGCCTGCTCTGGAGTCAGGCTGCCCTGGTTCCAAGTGGTTTTGCCCGAGGGCAGGAGAGCTGAGTCCATTCTCTCCACCTTTTCCAGGTGAGGCGTTGGCAGGAGGCAAGACCTCCTGCCTCTTTCGATACATCTCCGGTTCCTCCTCCTCCTTCACTCTTTTTGGATGCTGGTCCAATCCTGGAAAAGAAAAAGTGTATTGAAGGTTAACTGAGTGACCAAAGGAAGTGCAATGGACTTCTATATGTTCTTCTATCTAACAGACCACCCTTCACCAGGGGACCTCCAGATGTTTGGGACTACAACTCCCATCAGGCCTAACTAGCATGGGGGTCCTTTGATCAGACTGGGCACTGCCAAGAAGAGCCCAGTGGCAGGATCAGGCCAACATCCTGCAGTCTTTCAGATAGAGGACTTGTATTATTTCTGCTTTTCAGATTATCTGCAGATAGGCAAAATCCTACTTAAGTGGGGGAAAGTGTGGGGTGGGACTTGGGTAAGAAAGGGCATCATTGGGACGCTGCAAAACAAGGTGAGCACTGAACAACTTCATGATCACACTAAACTCCCCTGTGGAGGAGAATTCCCTCTTGAGAAGAAGGACAAGAATACAAGGAGAGTCTGCAGGATCAGGCCAATGGCCCACCTAGTCCAGAATCCTGTTCTCACAGTGGCCAACCAGATGCCCAGTATGAGAAACCCCCAAGCAGGATTCGAGCACAAGAACAACTCTCCCCTCCTGTAGTTTCCAGCAACTGGCATTCAGAAGCATTGCTGTCTCCAACTGTGGAGGCAGAACAGAGACATCCTGGCTTGTAGGCATGGGGTGGAGATAATTTAGAAGGTGCAGAGCAGTTGCCGGTGGAGGCTCTGTTTGCATAATGGGAGCCTGGCAGGTATGAGAGAGTATGCCTTGCTGGACCCACATTTGAACCATTAAGCCAGCCCTACTCTGGTGGAAGGGACGTGGGTGGCGCTGTGGGTTAAACCACAGAGCCTAGGACTTGCCGATCAGAAGGTCGGCGGTTCGAATCCCCGTGATGGGGTGAGCTCCCGTTGCTCGGTCCTTCTCCTGCCAATCCAGCAGTTCGAAAGCACATCAAAGTGCAAGTAGATAAATAGGTACAGCTCCGGCGGGAAGGTAAACGGCGTTCCCGTGCGCTGCTCTGGGTCACCAGAGGCGGCTCAGTCATGCTGGCCACATGACCCGGAAGCTGTACACCGGCTCCCTCAGCCAATAAAGCGAGATGAGTGCCGCAACCCCAGAGTCGGCCACAACTGGACCTAGTGGTCAGGGGTCCCTTTACCTTTACTCTGGTGGAATTTGGTGCTCTCCCTCTGTTCCCTTCTTCCACCAGGACCCTAAGTCAAGGTTGCATGCTGCATAGCTGAGTGACAGGGCTAGCAAGCATCTCCGCCCATTTGTGAGGCAGCATAAATGCTTCTTGTGCAAGAGTTGCAGGTTCCCCCACGACAATTCGTGGCTAATGGGACAGGGCAAAAGCAATTTTCATTTACATTGAACTTTTTTGGGGGTGAGGTGCATTGAAAGACTCCTCCTCCTCCTCTCCTCCTGAGGAACCACCCAGGAACTCTCTCCTCAACCCCATGCATGTGTTGGCCGAGTTGTTGCTTCCAAGGAGGTGAGTGGAAATCACTCTGCACATGCCCAATGGCACGCTCTACTCTCTCCCTTTTCTCTTTTTGCTGCAGCTGTGAAAACAGCTTCCAGGACTAAAAGTCCCCAATCCCCGCATCTAAAATGAATCCCTCAAGCTCTCTGCATGCAACTCTGAGACTTCCTCAGAGCCAACCTTACCTGGATCTGTATCCAGTGGAACCTGGTTTTTTTGAGCCATCCTTCGCCAAGGCAGGATGGAGCCCTCACCGCTGCTGCTTTGAGTATCCTCGCAGCACCCAGAGGCTTTAGAACTAGTGCTGGTACCAAGAGACGATGCAGGGAGGAGAGAAAGGCTGAGGATGGAGGATGCTGGAAGGACCAGAGTCTGAGCATCTCCCGGAGAGGAAGGCGAGTGCAAGGCTGCTCCCACTCCACGAAAGAGTCACAGGGCAGGAGAGGGTAGATGCCTGTTTGCTGCTGCTCATGGGGTGCTGCTCAGCTTCTCCCATCCAGAAATCTCTCCACCGCCAGCCCCATCCTCTCTGCCTGCTCTATGTTCATCTCGCCAATTGGTGCTGTGCTTTTCTGTTTAGGATTTCTTCTTGGCCTGGATTGGACAAGGGATCCCTCCAATGGGCAGCAATGGAGCTGGAGGAGAGAGAGAGAGAGAGAACAATGGTTCATTGGAAAAAACCAACAGCGATATCCCCAGCAAGAGCGAGACAGCCTTTCCTGACGCAGCATCCCGACAGACTGGGGCAGGAGGGTGCTGGAAGAGGACTAGGATGGGAATCTCTCCTCCCCACATGCAAATTGCTAGGGCTGCAAAAGCAAGCCTATTGCATTTCTCAAAACCAGGGCTTTAAATGTAGGGGAGGCCACCCCACGCTCCACCTGCCTCTTTCATGGGCTGCTGCGGCAGAGAATGGGCACAAAGGAAATCTGTTAGGAACTTTAGAACCAAGGTTATCACCACTAGCTCAGTATATTGTCAACACTGAATGGGAGCAGCTCTATGAGATTTCAGGATGTGGGAACATTCCTTGCTCTATCTGAAGCTGCTACTGGGGCATTTTGCATATAAAACAGGTTTTCATCACTGGTTTGTGGCATTTACCCGCCCCCTCTTTAAGATTGTAGTCCTCATGATAGAGAATAATGAGCCAATTTAAATAGGGACATAGGAAGCTCCTTTATATCAAGTCAGGTCCTTATTTACACCAGTGGTTCCCAAACTTTTTCCAGCTACTGCCCCCTTGGTTCCATAAACTCACGCCCAGTTTTGCCCTATGCTATATATAAAAAAAGCATCATTCGTAATAGCGGTTTGCACAGCCCGCTAAGGAAGAACGCTAAGGAAGATAACGCTAATCTAGAACGCTAAGGAAGATAACAGCATGTTGAAATTCAAAACGGTGACAATTAATTGCACATTTATTCAAAACCCAGTTAAAACCATTTAGCTTGATCCAGTGATACCAGCGTTTCAAAGTCTCCATGAGACTCTTAGTCTCAAGGTTGTGGGTTCAAATTAAAGAAATTTAATTCATTTAATTAATAATAAAAACAAAAACCAGGGGAAGGAAATATAGTAAAACATCCCTCCCACCTACTCTAAAAAGCTATAGGTAGCCCTTAATTTATTAATTGTTTTTTATTGTTTAAACCACCAAGATCGTATCAATCACAGTGTGTGTGTGTGTGTGTGTGTGTGTGTGAGAGAGAGAGAGAGAGAGAGAGAGAGAGAGAATGAATGCTAGAGTTTGTGGGTGCAAGACACACATAATTCCTGGATTTAGTAAGTGTTTGGAGTATTAATCTGGGCTGCCAGATGCTGAATTTAACAGTGTCAAAATAGAAACCAAACAACTTTTCCTGCTCAGAAAATCTCTTGGAATAAGAGCCATCATGGAGGACAAAAGGAAGGCGATTAGCAAAGCAAATACAGTTGTACCTTGGTTCTCAAACTTAATCCGTACCAGAAGTCCATTTCAAAACCAAGTGTTCCAAAACCAAGGTGCACTTTCCCATAGAAAGTAATGCAAAATGGATTAATCCATTCCAGACTTTTCAAAACAATCCCTAAAACAGCAATTTAACATGAAATTTACTATCCAATGAGACCATTGATCCATAAAATGAAAGCAATAATCAATGTACTGTGCTATAAGTTTGAGCCATTTGCACATGTTGCCATGCAACCAGTCCATGCAGAATGTAGGCACCCTATATATAGAAATGAGCAAACCAGGGATATTTTAGGGAGCAGGCAAGCAGGCGGGGCCCATGACTTACATCACAGGAGCCTACACAACACAAAACACTGTTGCTTTTATTTTATTTGCTTTTTATCTTATATTTTGGAAATGCACATCCAGGTTTTTTCCCCTTTAAATTTTTTGGGCTGGCCTCCAAGAGAGTGGGGCCCTAAGCTATAGCTTGTTTAGCTTATACGTAAATCCGGCCCTGTATCCTATATTATTCTAATGGTGGTAACAATAACTTCACGGCCTAGGACCTTCATACTTACGGGACCGCCTCTCCCGGTATGCCCCATGGAGGACCTTAAGGTCCATAAATAGCAACACCCTAGAGGTCCCGGGCCCTAAGGAAGTCAGATTAGCCTCAGCCAGAGCCAGGGCCTTTTCAACACTGGCCCCGGCCTGGTGGAACGCTCTGTCTCATGAGACCAGGGCCCTGCAGGATCTGATTTCTTTCCGCAGGGCCTGCAAGACAGAGTTGTTCCGCCTGGCCTTTGGCTCAGAATCAACTTGATCCCCTCTTTCCTTTTTCCTTTCTCCTCCTGAGAAGAGGCTGCATCCTAATGTTTTAATGTTGCATTTTAATCTTGTTTTTTAAATTGTATTTTAATCAACATGTTTTTATTATTGGTTGTTAGCCACCCTGAGCCCGGTCTTGGCTGGGGAGGGCGGGGTATAAATAAAAGTTATTATTATTATTATTACCTTGATCAGAGTCTTTTAAAAATATTTTAATTAAGATAGATAAGGATATGATGAAAATACATAATTGAACATAAACATAGATTGGAAATGGCTGTGTATAGTGAATACTTATCTACTTTTAAAATTCTCATTCTCGATCTTATTTCTTCCTTTTCTTCTTCTTCTTCTTCTTTTCTTTTATATTTTACCTTTCTTTTCTTTATCATGAATACTGTTTTGTAGAGGGCTAAGTAATTGTAAATATGAGAAGAGGTCAAATGTTTTCTAATTTTCTCTTGGTTACATGCATTTTCCTTTTTTTGTATATTTGTATTTTTTGCTAACTTGTACTCAATAAAATTAATTTAAATTATTATTTATTCTTTATTATTATTACCCAGGTCTCCCCCGCCCGGCTCTTCCCCCGCCTGCCTCCCCGCAGCGTCGCCCACGGCCTCCGGCCGCCAGGTGTCGCTGCGGCATCTGCCTTCTCCTCCTCCGCCCCTGGGCGGCGCTCTCTCCCGGCGCTCGCTCCGCTTCCTGGAGCTTCCCCGGCGCCGCTGTCCGTCTTGCCCGCCCCGCTCCTCCCTCTCGCTCCCCCGGCCCCCCTCGCCCCTCAGAAGCGGCGACGACAGCGCCGGGCCATGGCCGAGTGGAGCCCCGCCCAGGTGAGCGAGGGACCTGGAATTGGGGGGGGGGGAGGTGACGGTTGGGCGGAGGGGGGGAGATGAAGTTGGGGGGGCTCCCAAAATGGAGTCTGCTGCTGAGGGAGGTTGTCATGGGTGGTGAAGGGGGGGGAATGGATGCCGTGGGGAGGGCCTGCGGAGGGACCCCTTCCTTTGGAGGACCCCCCCTTGGCTGGAGGGGGGGCTCTTGTGGCTGCTGCAGTTGTGGGTCCGGGGGGCGGCGGTGTTTTTGTGGTGTGGGGAGGGGGAGGCAAAGTGCTGTCAGGGGCTGAGGATGCTGAAGATGGAGAGGGGGGAGAGGAAGACACGTACATGTCAAAAACCGCCTCCTGGAGATGCAGCTTAGGCCCCCAAAACGGGTGTGAGATGTAGGGGGGCGAAGGGGGGGGCGAAGGGGCAGAGGCTGCCAGGAGATAATGCTCAGGGAGAGAGATGAGAACATGTGAGAAGCGCCTTCTGGACCTGCAGCTTAGACCCACATAATGGCTGTGAGATGAAGGAGTTGGGGTTTTTTTGGGGGGGTGCTTTTTTGGGGAGGGGGGAAGGGGCAAAGGCTGCCAGGAGATGATGCTGATGCTCAGAGAGAGAGAGAGAGAGAGATGAGAAGATACCCATGTCAGAATCAACTCCTGGACCTGCAGCTTAGGCCCCCAAAACGGGTGTGAGATGGAGGGTTTTTTGGGGGGGGTTCTTTTGGGGGGAAGGGAAGGGGCAAAGGCTGCCAGGAGATGAGGGTGATGCTCAGTGAGAGAGATGAAAACATACACATGTCAGAATCAACTCCTGGACCTGCAGCTTAGGCCCTCAAAACGGGTGAGAGATGGAGGGGTGGTTTTTTTTTGGGGGGTGCTTTTTTGGGGAGGGGGGAAGGGGCAGAGGCTGCCAGGAGATGATGCTGATGCTCAGAGAGAGAGAGATGAGAAGATACCCGTGTCAGAATCAACTCCTGGACCTGCATCTTAGGCCCCCAAAACGGGTGTGAGATGGAGGGGTGGTTGTTTTTTTTGGGGGGGGGGGGATTGGGAGGGAAGGGGCAAAGGCTGCCCAGAAATGAGGGTGATGCTCAGGGAGAGAGATGCACACACACATATGTCAAAACCGCCCCCTGGAGCTGCAGATCAGGCCCCAAAACAGTTTTGGGGTGCAGTTTTTTTTAAAGGGAGGTTCATTTGGGGAGGATCTGAGAGGGGAGAAGTAAAGGCTGTCAGGAGATGGTGGTGATGCTGGAGAGAGAGGGAAACAAATACATGTCAAAGCTACCTTCTGAAGCTATGGATCAGCTCCCAAAATGGATGTGGGGGAGTTTTTCTATGGGGGTTAATTTTGGGGGGCTGGATCTGAGAGGGGAGAAGCAAATGCTGCCAGGATATGATGATGCTGGAGAGGGAGGAAAACAAATATATGTTACAACTACCTCCTGAAGCTAAGGATTAGGCCCCAAAACGGATGTGTAGTTTATTTTGGGCAGGGGGTTGTTGACAGGGACAGCAGCAACGGAGGCTAACTTTTCCTCTCCCGCTTAGGAAAACAGGTGCCCCAGATCTGATAGGGACTCCTCCGTGGAGGAAGTGTCTTGCATCCCTAGGGCTGAGGCAGTTAATTCCTCCCATCAATGAAAGCAAATCAGGTAGCTGTCATCTCTTCCCCTGCGTTAACCCATCCCCAAATTGTTTCTGGCCTCTGCAAATAGGGCTCTTGCTGCCTTTTGGAGAGAGGCTTTCAGGGCAGAGAGAGGCAGGAGCACGGAGCCCAATTTAGCATGGAAGGGGTGCTGTGTTTATTATGCAGCCTGCCTGCCCCCGACCCCCCCCCCCATGGAAAGAGGGAGAGGGGCGGTTTTTAAGGACAGATAGTTGTGATGCTAGTTAATTTTCAGCTAGGACCTTGTTATGGAGCTTTGGAGGGTAGAATGGACCCAGGAGTTGCAGCAAGGATCAGGGTGAATTATGTTTGCTCCGTCTTCTTTTTTAATAATATATTTTTAATTAAGAACAACAAGAAACAATACAAAAAAAAGAGGTATTTGTACAAAGCAAAATACAGTATACGTATATGGCAGTGTGTTAAGAAATAACGAAGGAAGAAGATGAATGAGTTACAAGGGGTATATTTTGATTCTTAACATTTCTTCCACAAGTTCATTGTTTCATAACTGAGAGCTCCGAGATAATCTCCCATTCAGGCAGTGCTTAGAGGTGGCTCTGTTTCGCATCTGCAAGGTTGCTGCATCATGTGCCTTCAATCCATGCCCTAGAGCCTAAAGATGTGGTGATGCTGTCATCGAGGAATAACTGATGCGTTCCTTTGCTCCTAGCATAAAGGCGTGATTCATAGTGCTGCAAGTCTGCACAGGTGGTTCAGTCCCAAGTCTTGCGCACATTCAAAGGTCTCTGGAAATGGTTTCATGTTCCTTAATTACAAGGTTTTTTGGCAGCAGAGATTTGGACTGCATTGTTTAAAGTGTTGTTGCTGTTATATTTATTTATATCCCTCCTTTTCCCCAGACCAGAACAACACAGAAATTAAAAAAGTGAAAAACATATAACAGATAAAACCGTCGTCTCTTGGTTTTCGAACAGCTTAGTTCTCGAACGTTTTGGCTCCTGAATGCTGCAAACCTGGAAGTGACTGTTCCGGTTTGTGAACTATTTTTGGAAGCTGAACATCCGACGGAGCTTCCGCGGCTTCCGATTTTCTGCAGGAGCTTCCTGCAGCCAATCGGAAGCTGCGCTTTGGTTTTGGAAGTTGAACAGACTTCCGGAACGGATTCTGTTCGACTTCCAAGGTATGACTGTAATTTAAAAGTAATAGAAAAGCAATATAAAAAAGTCCAGATAATAAAGAGGAACATCACTATTAAAAGCCATTTCCTTGTTTAAAAAAACAACAACAGTTCCCAGAAGCCGGTCGGAATAAAACAGTCTTCACCTTCTGGTGAAGGGAGGGAACCGGTCTTCCTTCTTTAGGAAGGGAGTTCCAAAGCCTGGGAGCAGCCACTGAGAAGGCCCTTTTCCAGTACTGAGAAAAGGGCCTCCCCACAAAGATCTCAAAGCCTGGGCACGTTCATACAGGAGAATACTATCTTTCAGATGGACTAAACTGTAAAATATCACAGAAGAAAGCTTGTCAAGTCTTCCCCTGTAATCTTGGGGGGGGTGGAGGTGGTGGTGTGTGTTCTGATCCTAGAAATTCATACGCCATCGTCACCCACATGAACCAGCCCATATCTCAAGATCAGCTTTGGAGACCCTGCTTGTCTGCCCCTAACTAGGGCCTTCTCGGTAGTGGTCCCTGGGTCTCCTTCCACAGCAGATGGATGGATGCATGATCAGAGATAACCTTTCAAAAAAAGCTTGGAGGACCCAGTTGGCTTCTATCTAGGATGATCTTTATGTCTTTGTTGTTTTAGAATCTGTTGGTTTTAAATGGTTTGACTATTTTATGCTGGGTTGAATACATACTTTTTATATTTGCGGTGATTGCTGCTTTGCTGTGAAATCTGTATTTGTTTTTTTAATTTTGTAATCCACCCAGAGAGGACTCTGTCCTGTAGAATTCTTATAAACCTTTTTTAAAAAAGAACAAAATGCTGCTTATTTTCCAAAGACATTTTGGGAATTGCTTGTGCAATGGACCCTCTTGCCCTAGTGACTTGCTCGCTTCCTGATATTGGTGGGGCCTACTTTTTTCCTTTGCCATTTCTCGCTTGCTGAGACAAGGTGGTCCCACAAGGTCCTTCCTTTGCTCTTAAGCAAGAGAGCATCCCTCAGTAATTTGATACAGATCACTTATTTTGCTCGTTTTACTAAAACATTTTTTGCCTGCCTTTGATTTAAGGTCTCTAAGGCAGCTTGCACAGTAAGCAACGGCAACAGAACCCACCACAAATCATGGATAAACCATCCAAACTTAAGAGAGCCAGTGTTGTGTCGTGGTTTAAGTGTCGAACTAGGATCTGGGAAGAGACCAGGGTTCGAATCCCCACTTGACCATGAAGCCCACTGGGGACCTTGGGGACCAGTCACTGCCCCTCAGCCTAACCTACCGCACAGGGCTGTTGTGGGGATTAAATGGAGGGGGTAGGTAAAACTATGTATGCCACCTTGAGCTTCTTGGGGGAAAAGATGGGGTATAAATCAATCAATCAATCAGTAAAAGAAGTACAGCGAACAATAGATTTAATGGAAACAGCATCCAGTTATCATGCAACACTGGCAAAGCATCCCAAATCCCTTTGAGGACCACCTTGGCCTCGCCTCTAGCGGTCAAGAAGGAAGGAGTGAGGCAAACATCTTTAGGGATAGAGTGCCACATTTTTAGTGCCACCGCAGAGATCTTGTGTTACCCACCCACTGTACTTCAGACTTTCAGAAGAGGAGCTGACACTGTGGCAGGCCTCTGTGGGAGCAGGCAGTGCTTGAGATGTCCTGGGCATGTTAAGAACTTTCAAGGTCCAAACCAGCGCTTTAAATTGGGCCTGGGAACCAGCTGGGAACCAGTGAAGTGGTTGGCTTCTTCCATTCAATCCCTGAGCTGCTGCACCCTGGACTGCATTGCAGTACCCAAGCCAAGCTTTCCTCAAGCTTTGAATTGTCCATTCTCACCAGCTCCAGTCAGCATGGCCAGTGGACCAGTGATAGCGAAAAGGCTAGCCCCCCCCCCCCAAACAAAAACCCTGTAGGGCACTAAGTCTAGTCTGTACACAAGTAAGGCATGACTCATTCTGGCTGGGTCATAAATCTTCCATATCTGTGAATTGATCCTCCCTAAGTGCTCTTTCTTTGTAAATTTAATATACCTCATTGGACCATGGGGATTCGTGGGGGTGGGGGCAGGGGCTAGAAGAGGAGACATCAAAGGCTTGGCCCAAAATTGAAGTCAGCTTGTGGCTTGGTGAGTCACCTTCATTAGATGGGATTCCCCCTAAAGCAATGCCATTGAAGGCCTGTCCCAGCTTTCCATGAGAGCTTTTACAAAGGAGCTGCTGGGGTTCTGCTCTTGGAAAAAGAGGTGCCTGCACTTACAGTTGCATTTATACTCTTGGCAAACCTCTCATCCTGCAGTACAGAGTTCCACAGATCGCCCGAGTGCTGTGTTACACTCCCTTTTGGAAGAGGGTTTATGAACTGATCATGTGCAAATTCAGCTATCACACGGCAAGCTGAACTGCTGTGTCCTAAATGATTGGTGCTGCAATAAAGGTCTTGTAGGTTTCCATAAATTGCCGTTGTCTTTCTAAAGGGAGGCACCTTGTCTTGCAAAATTTGCACATGGAAGCCATCCCTTCATCTCTGTTGCTTTTGCCTTCCTTTGAACTTTGTTCTGCCTTGTACTCTTGGAAGCAAGATGTCCGCAAATGTTCTCTGTACTCCTTGAGGAGGTGAACTGCATCTGGATGCAGAATGTTCTGTCTCTTATTCTCCTCCACGATGAACCTCAGCGCTGTTTGTCCTTTTCATGCTGCCTTTTCCAGTGCACAGAGCTGTTCCAGGCCCACTGCAGCTTCAAAGGTTTCCTCCTGGAGCTGCAATAGGTAGTAGCTTAATGAAGCATTCCGGTTGGTGGCTGATAGAAAGGACTTGTGAATGAATGATCAACTAGATACAGTAGTGGCAGGATCATTGGCTTAAGCTGGGGATGGGAAAGCTTTGGTCTACAAAGCCATTTCCCCTAAACCGTGGTCTGTCCTGCTCACCTGTCCAAGTTGTCCCATCTGAGGAGGGAGGATCTGGCCAGATCCAGTGCCCCACCCCTGGTGTAAACCCAGAGCTGTCCCAGTCCCACAAAAAGCAAGTGCTGATTGTAGAAAAGACACATGTAAACCTGAACCAAGCGTCATACGAATGCTAAGGATACGGAGAAGTAAATATTATTAATAATTGTACGGTTAGGAATATCGCATGGTTAGAGAAGGGCTGGTGTTTAAGCAGAGAAATGCAGCATAACTGATGAGTGAAGAATTTATTAGAGATGGAGCAGTGGTCAGCAGCTCTGAAACTTGTAAGCCACCTGGAAAAGGACCCAGGTCATTTCTTGTTTCCGTATAACACAGAGTGTACTACTCAGACCAGGTAATAGCAGCCATGGTTTCTCTCCCATAAGGATCCCTCTCCATTGGTCTCCGCCTGCAGTACACAGTTCATTGGTTGTTTCGTTGCTCGGTGACTGCTGGCATTTTGACTATTTGGCATCTGGTGCAGAATTCATTCTCCCAGGTTCCCAATCCTCATGCTTTTGGGATAAAATGAAGATGATGAACTGAAGGCAATTAGATGCCAAAGGTGGGCAAGGAAAGCCTTCCTGAACTCGTGTGTGGTCAGTGGCCAGCAGGTCCCTCCTGATTGTCCACCAGGAGTGGAAGTATGCAGAATATGCAAATGCGTCCACTTTCTGACCTGTTTTTGGCACAGAACTTCCCTCATCCTTCTTCATTTTAAGTTTCGGCTAACTGTTCCTAGACGTCCTTCCTCAAGAGGAACAGCCAGAGACAGTGGCTGCAGAACGTTGCTCTGTTCCAGACCACCCAGGAATGTAATGTTGTTTGCATGTCTTCCCCCCTCCAATAGGCTCTTCAGTGGGAGGTGGAGCCCCAGCCCATGGCTGCTGCCCAGCCCCTCAGCACCCCCGAGCAGACGCCCATGGGGGACGTGCTCCCCGAAGCGGCTGAGCTCTCCCTGACGGTCGTGGCTGAAATCCAAGCGGTGGAGAGCAAAGTGGACTCTTACGCAGCGCAGCTCATGAGCCTGGAGGGGAGGATGGGGATGGCTGAGACGAAGCTGGACGGCTGCGAAAAGACCGCCGTCGAATTCGGGAACCAGCTGGAGAGCAAGTGGGCTGCCCTGGGGACCCTCATTCAAGAGTACGGGCAGCTCCAGAGGAGGCTGGAGAACATGGAGAACCTGCTCAAGAACCGCAACTTCTGGATCCTCCGCCTGCCCCCAGGATCCAGGGGGGAAACCCCCAAGGTAAGCAGGGTGGGCAGGGTTAGGGGCTGTGCCTGGCCATATAAGAGAGGTGGGATTTCTCATATCCACAAATTACTGCTTTGCAGGCAGTTTTCTAGCAATCCTTGCTATCTGTAGGATGGGGTGGTTTTCTCCCTCCCTCCTAACACCGGAACTCTCTTGGGCATTCAATGAAGCTGTAGCATTCGTGCGCAGTCCCCCACCTCCCCAACCTGCCCTCCAAGTCCGGCAAGACCCGGCTGAGAGAGAGAGGAGTGCGCAGAAGCTTTTTCAGAACACACATAAAAAACAGAAACAGTAGTATGCTGCCACCACTTCCTTATCTCAGAACAGCCCCGAAAAGTAACCTAAGGAAGGAGATTCCTCTTCAGCGTTACCGGGCTGCCCCACCCTGTGTCACTTTACCGTGGCACAGACAGAAATCCAACAGGTCTGGTAGGCGACTAAGTGGTCAGGTACTGGTTTAGCTTCCCCGGCAGAAAGGCACAAAAGACAAAAACAGGAAAAGGTCCTTTTTCCAGGATTTATTAAAAAACAAGATTATTCAAACATAAAAGTTGGCACATCTCTTACAAAAAATAAAAACATTGCTTAATATCACTTGCTACAAAACATACTCACAACGAAAACGAAAGTGTGAAACAGAACAGTTCAAAACACCCTCCCGGCATCAGGGCAAGCCCTCTCTGCATGACGATGGTCTCAAAGTAGGTTAGGTGAGGCGGGCTGCCACTTGGCAAGATGGGCTGCGAATTGCAGGTGGGTTTCCTAAGGTTTTACCCCTTTGAACCCTGTGGATTCAAAACTCAAAAGTCAATCAGTTCTTTAGATTAATTAGCAATTCACCAGTGGTTAGATAGAAGAACAATAACTCAGCGCAACAGCTGAATCCTGTTTATCAAAAGGCCTTGAAAATTAGAAGCATTCCTAGAGCCAGAACAAATTCTTTGAGTTGTGAGTTGGCTTGATGACCCGGTTCACACAGAAACAGCATCTAAGATAGCCAGGTGTCAAGACTACAAATCAGCTAGGAACCTCCTTCCTGCAGATGGAAAAGATAACTTATTCACATTCTTTGAGACAGAAAGTCTGCAACTAAAGAAGCAGATACACATTCCCAGAATTCTCCAGTGTTTGGCTCTCCCACAATGCTCTTCCTTGGCATGAGCCAAAGTTTTAACTTGCTAAGATTTCCCAACATCACTACAGAAGCTGAATGTGGGAAGATTCAGATAAAAGAAAGTCATTCACACAGCACGTATTTAAACTATGGGACTCCTTCCCGTAGGAGGCAGTGATGGCCCCAACTTGGATGGCTTTAGAAGACAGATTTATAGAGGAGGAGGCGCCACAATTTGAGGCAGCAGTGTTTCTGAAGACCAGTTCCTAGAAACCACAGGAAGAGAGAGTTTCCCACAGGCAGCTAGTTGGCCAACGTGAGAACAGAGTGCTGGGCCAGGTGTTTGAATGTTTTGTTTTAAAATGGGGGTTCTCCTTACAGTATCACTTCCTGGGTTAACGTAGTTCCTTGCAGGTGCAAAATGGCAGTAAAAGCAGCAACACGAGAAGTTTGAACTCAAAATAATCAGTTAACAGCTTCTGAGAAGAAGAAAAAACTGTTTTCAACTGGCATCAAAAAGTCAGTAGAATTGACGCCAGCTGACTTGGAAGAAGACAAAGGAAGGAAGTGTTGAAGGAGTCAGGGGTGGTTGGGGAAAAGCTACCTCCAGGCTTGATTATTGTAACTCGCTCTACGCAGGGCTGCCCCTGAAGCTGACCCAGAAACTCCAGTGGATGCAGAATGCTCCTTACGGGGTCCTTGCCATGGGATCACATTCATCCAGTGCTTTACCAACTGCACTGGCTCCCAGTGGAGTACAGGGTCAGGTTTAAGGTGCTTGTTTTGACCTTTAAAGCCCTATGTGGCCTAGGACCCACATACCTACGGGACTGCCTCTCCTGGTATGCCCCGCAGAGGACTTACTTTAAGGTCCACAAATAACAACATTGTGGTGGTCCCGAGCCTCAAGGAGGTTAGATTGGTCTCAACTAGGGCCAGGGCCTTTTCAGCACTGGCCCCGACGTGGTGGAACGCTCTGTCACAAGAGACTAGGGCCCTGCAGGACTTGACATCTTTCCGCAGGGCCTGCAAGACAGCTGTTCTGCCTGGCTTTTGGTCTGGACTCGGTCTGACCCTTATGTTTCCCTCCCCTTAGGGTCTTGATTTATCAGCTATTTTAAAATGAGGCTGCATTTTAAATTGCATTTTAACCTGTATTTTAAATTGGGTCCCCTCCCTCTCTTTCCCCCCTATTATGTTTTTACTGTGATTTTATTTTATTGGTGTTAGCCGCCCTGAGCCCGTCTCTGGCAGTGGAGGGCGGGGTATAAATAACAATTTATTATTATTATTATTATTATTATTATTATTATTATTATCATCTGTAATTTCAGTTGCCCATAAAATGTGTAAAAATGGTTGGAAGCTAAATATATGACCAGGTTCTGAGATTTACATCAGGGGACCTGGCAGAGGATTAGAAACACAGGAAACTGCCTTATACCAAGTTAGTCCGTTGGTCTATCTAGCTCAGTACTGTCTGCACTGACAGGCAGCGGCTCTCTATGGTTTCAGGGAAGGACTGAACCCGGGATGTTTTTGCATTCACGGCAGCTGCTCCACCTAAGAGGAAGTGACTTCTCCCTCTCTTTGACGCGGTTGCAGGTCCCTTTGCTGTTTGACGAAGCCTCCTGCAGTTTCTCCGAGCAAGAGTGGCGCAGCTTGGATGAAGGGCAGAAGGACCTCTACCGGCACATCATGAAATGCAACTACAAGGCCGTGGTCTCTATGGGTAAGGAAGGGTCCACATGGCGTGGCCAGGCAGAGCTCTCTGTGCGCCTGAGCCTTCATCCACCATGGCCCAGGGCCGTGCTAAGCGGACACAGCATCAATTCTCAGCCGACATCTGACCAGGCTTCAGGGTGACGTGGGTGCAGATCAGACGCACCAGATATAGGAAGCTGCTAGATGCTGATTCAGGCCATGGGTTCATCTTGCTCAGTTTTGCCTGTTCTGGCTCGTAGTAGCTCTCCAGGGTTTCAGACAGGAGTTGTTCTCAAGTCCTACCTGGAGATGCCAGAAGTTGGACCTTCTGCAGGCAAACAGGTGATCTGCTGAGGGGTCACGTGGACCCAGCAAAGAGTTCCTTATCGGGTCTTCAGGTGAGCCAAGTTCTGTGCAGCAGGAGAATGCCCAGAGCTCAGCTGGCTAGGCTGTCCTGCCAGGAAATTCCTTCAGGTAGGATGATCAGTGGAACATGTGCAGAGGAGGGCGGCCTGGAAACCAGGCCTTGCGAAGAGCAGTTGAGGGAGTTGGTATGTTTAGCCTGGATAAGAGGAGACTGAGAAGTGTCATGATAGCCATCTCCAGATACCTGAAGGACTTTCACATGGAAGACGCATCTTGTTTTCTGCTGCTCCAGGGGGTAGGAGCTGAACCAATGGATTAAAAAAACTAAGAAAGGAGATTCTGGCCAAATGTTAGGAAGAACTTTCCAAAGATAAGAGCTGTTCTATGATGGAACAGACTATCCTTGCAGGTTTCCAAACTGAGGTTGGATAGCCATCTGTCAGGGATTCTTTAGCTTTGATTCCCGCGTTACATGGGGGTGGACTAGATGACCCTTAGGATTCCCTCCAAGTCTACATACCAGTCATTGAGTATGTTCATGGGAGTCCCAGAGCACCACCGCCCTGCCCCAGTGTCATTCCCAAGGGAAATTTAAATAAAAGGAGAGCAGATGAGAGGTTTGATGTTGCTAATAAGTTTTTGTTTCCCCCGCCACGCACAGACACTGCCATCTCCAAACCTGACCTGCTCTCTCGGATCGAGCAAGCGGATGTCGCTGGTCGGGGGGATGTCGAGGAAAGAGAAGCCCTGAAGGAGACCACCCTGGGTGAGTCGCAGAGTTGGCAACCCCCACCCCACCCCCGTCTGTGCTGTGCAGGGACAGCAGCTCAGGTCCACCCCTGATGCTGAAGGGGACAATTTACAGCTTGAGGCAAACAGCAAAAAGCTCTGAAAACCTGGTCAAGGATACTTCACAACTGTTGCTCATCCCACATGGTGTTGGCTTTGCGAGAGTTACGTTCCTTGAGTTCTGAAGTTGAATTCCGCCACCCAGCTCAGTGGCACAGATAAAGCAGATGTTGCTTCGCCCTCACGGCATGCTCCTGCTTTCGTCACTCCACCACAAACTGGCCGCACACTTTTCCTCTTTTCTTTTGAAATAATTTTATTTGGTTTTCAAGAACAGGTAAATACATAAGCAGAGGAAGTCATCCGTTGAATAAAGTATGTCTGTACAGTTCCATTGCACTGTTACGTTTCTCGTTCAGCAACTAAACACAGGACCGCTCTAACAGATGAATTAATTAACTGAACGAAAACGAAATCCCTCCCTCCCACACAACCAACAGACCCTTTGGTTACAAGTATCATAAGAATATCCCATTACTTCTCATCAGCTAACTGTAAAGAAATAAGTATCAGTTTACTTGCAAATCAGAAGACATACCAAATTATATTAAATCTACCAAAAGAGCGGGGATGCTGGTGGCGCTGTGGGTTAAACCACAGAGCCTAGGACTTGCGGATCAGAAGGTCAGCGGTTTGAATCCCTGCGACAGGGTGAGCTCCCGTTTCTTGGTCCCTGCTCCTGCCCACCTAGCAGTTCCAAAGCACGTCAAAGTGCAAGTAGATAAATAGGTACCGCTTCAGCGGGAAGGTAAACTGCGTTTGTGTGCGCTGCTCTGGTTCGCCAGAAGCGGCTTAGTCATGCTGGCCACATGACACGGAAGCTGTACACAGGCTCCCTCGGCCAATACAGTGGTGCCCCGCAAGACGAATGCCTCGCAAGACGGAAAACTCGCTAGACGAAAGGGTTTTCCGTTTTTGAGCTGCTTCGCAAGACGAATTTCCCTATGGGCTTGCTTCGCAAGACGAACACGTCTTGCAAGTTTGTGTCCTTGTTCTTAACACCATTAATACAGTTGCGACTTGACTTGAGGAGCAACTCATAGAACGCAGTGTACATAGTAGCCTTTTTTGAGGTTTTTAAAGACTTTGGTGATTTTTGAAGCTTTTCCAAAACTTCTTTGCAGCCAAGTTAAGCTTTTAAAACTTTTGGGGTTTTTGGATTTTGGGTTGGGGTGTTTGGAATTCAAGGACTTGGTGTTGGGGAGGGGTTTGCAAGAATCTGGAAGCTTGTGTGTTTTTTTCTGCATTTTTATGATTTTCTGTGACCATTGGGCCACTCTGCTGTTTTTTTTAAAAAAATCTGGATTTGAATTTCTGTGTGCTGGGTGGCTGGGGGAACAGTTGGGGAGGGGTTTGCAAGAATCTGGGAGCTTGTGTGGTTTTTTCCTGCATTTTTATGATTTTCTGTGACCATTGGGCCACTCTGCTGTTTTTTTAAAAAAATTCTGGATTTGAATTTCTGTGTGCTGGGTGGCTGGGGGAACTTTATTTATTTATTTATTTATTTACGGCTATTAGCCCATAAAGTATGTACAAACATAAAAGCACAGAGGCATAAAGACTAATATATTCGGCACCAGAAGGTGAACACCATGATGCAGGGGTGGGTCATTGAGCAGAGCCAGATAACAGCTTGGGGCCCGGAGAGCTCCAAGGGACGGATCCCAGAAAAGGAGAACTGAAGACGGGATCCGACATGCACTCTCTTCAAAACTGACCGATTAGTTTTTGATGTTGTTGTTTTTGGTGGTTTTTGTGTGTGAGATAACTGCATTCAGGAATCTCGCCACCTGCAGAGTTACAGAAGGATCTGTATCCTGCAAAAGTAGTGCGGCATGTGACTCAGCAGGCCTGCCAACCAAGCGCAGTAAAGCAGGGCCCAGGAATTTAGTCCTGGCTATGCTATGTCGGGGACAGTTGAACATTATATGTGAGAGAGAATCAACAGTTTTCCCGTCACACACGCATAGCGGAGACACCAAACCCTTGGAAAATCTGTGGCTCAGCAGGTTCGATGGAAAGACATTGAACCTTGCACGAATAAATGCATGTCGGTGTGGTACAGATGAAAGAGATGACATGTATGATGGAAGGCCAAGTGGTGAGGTTATTCCGTGATACCTGGGGAGCAGACACCCTCACCCCGGCGAGGTTGTGTTGATTTTCAATGTCTGCTAATCTCTGCTCAATAAGTCTTTTGGCTGAGCGTAAGTTCATCTTTAAGGAGTCCGCTGGGGAAATTCCGATGCTCAGAAGTTTGGCATGGATTTTTCCTACCCATGGATTGACAAAGTCGTCCCGCCAGAGGCACTGAAAAAGGTAATGGTTGGGAAGCCTGTGCCAGCTGGACAGCCAATAACCAAAGACTCGCTTCCAGATGACCGTCTCCAATGATGCAATCCTTAACTCCAGACGTATGGCTGCGTTGCTCACACACATGGGGAGTTTCAGGAGGCGACGGAGAAACTGATTCTGCAATGTCCCCAACGATGTTAAATTGGACCCTGGGGCCCAGAGCGGGGCAGCATAACAGAGGGTGGAAACCACTTTTGCATGGTACACCTTCAATGCAGAAGGGATGTGGGAGGCTCCGTCGGCCGCAAAAAATTGGAGTAGAGTATAAAGTATTGTGGCTGGGGGAACAGTTGGGGAGGGGTCTGCAAGAATCTGGGAGCTTGTGTGGTTTTTTCCTGCATTTTTATGATTTTCTGTGACCATTGGGCCACTCTGCTGTTTTTTTTAAAAAAATTCTGGATTTGAATTTCTGTGTGCTGGGTGGCTGGGGGAACAGTTGGGGAGGGGTCTGCAAGAATCTGGGAGCTTGTGTGGTTTTTTCCTGCATTTTTATGATTTTCTGTGACCATTGGGCCACTCTGCTGTTTTTTAAAAAAAATTCTGGATTTGAATTTCTGTGTGCTGGGTGGCTGGGGGGAACAGTTGGGGAGGGGTCTGCAAGAATCTGGAAGCTTGTGTGGTTTTTTCTGCATTTTTATGATTTTCTGTGACCACTGGGCCACTCTGCTGTTTTTAAAAAAATTTCTGGATTTGAATTTCTGTGTGCTGGGTGACTGGGGAACAGTTGGGGAGGGGTTTGCAGCAGTTGGGGAGGGGCTGGGGGAACAGTTGGGGAGGGGTTTGCAACAGTTGGGGAGGTTGTTGTACCAAATTTGGCTTTGTTTGGACTTTTTTGACCATAGGAACGCATTAATTGATTTTCAATGCATTCCTATGGGAATTCGTGATTTGCAAGACGAAAAATTCGCAAGACGAAAAAACTCGCGGAACGAATTAATTTCGTCTTGCGAGGCACCACTGTAAAGCGAGATGAGCGCCGCAACCCCAGAGTCGGCCACGACTGGACCTAATGATCAGGGGTCCCTTTACCAAAAGAGCAGCTTACACCAAATGTCCTGCTGGCCACACACAGTGACTTTCAAGTCACTGTTTACAGCCATTAGGACTAGGAACTCTCTGGGTGTTTTCCTCCTCATGCTTCCCTGTCCCAAAGAAAGTGGAGATTCTCAAATGATGGTATTCTATGCTCAGAGCAACATGGTCCTGTGCTTGTATGGATTTGCTTAATTCACACAACCCTTGAATCAATGAAGGAGGCAGACAGGAGGAGTCTGTACATCAGTGCTAGAGAGGCGGGGGTGGACAGTGTAGCTCGTCCTTGCATCATCTCAGCTCGGGTGGCCTTTTGCAGACCTGTCCTAAATGTGTCACTGGTGGTGAATGGCTGCTGTACCTTCTTCCCTCCTCTCCGAAACAGGCTCTCCGATTTCCGCCCTCAACGACAGCTCCTGGATGGAGCCGGAGGAAATGTCCCTGGTCAAAAGCATGGGCGACTTGGAGGAGAGCGAAATCCCCGGGGATCCCGCCATGAGTAAGTTGGAGCGGCCTAAGGGGGCGGGATCCTCTCCCTCCTGCACAAGGCTGGGAGGAAGTAGGAGGGAGAAGGAGAACATTGCCAGGGGAGGAGGGGGCCCGTGAAGAGTCTAGAATCTTTGACTAGGGGAATGGGGCTGCTCTTGAGACTTGGGCTTATGTGCTTGAGTTATTTGGAGCTGTCTGTGCTGTTTGTAATCTGTCGGGAGCTGCCCAGAGCTGCCGTATGGGCAGGGTATAAATAATAAATTATTATTATTATGTTGTTGTTGTTGTTGTTGTTGGCAAGGCTCGGGGTGATTTGTGGAGAACTGGCCATTTCTCATAGGAGTGGGTTTCTTTGACAACAAAGAGTTAACCCTCTGACAAAGTGCATTCCTTTGGAAGTGCCCTTGACAGTTGGCACCTTTATTATTATTATTATTATTATTATTATTATTATTATTATATCCCCCTTTCATCTTCACAGGGTGGTTTACACTATAAATCACAAAACTGCATAACATGATAACAAACAAAACAACCCCCCCTTGCAGTTTGAAACATCATTGAATTGTAAAATCATAAAAATACAGACAGACGAAATGTCCAAGCACCAAATCAAATTAATCCTCTAATAGCTCTTGACGAATCAGAAACATTTTCAGTGGGAGATGAAATATCAAAATTGCGGTTGCCTGTCTGATTTCATTTTGCTAATTTTTGAGGAGGTTTGTTTTTTAAGGGATGCTCTCATTGCATCCCATAGGAGGCGGTTATATTGTCTGCATCATTTTCTTCAAAGTAGATTTTTGGAGAGTTTTTGTGAGACTTTCTCTAATCTGTTTATTTGCAGTTGGGATGGGACTGAAGGACCATGAAGGGGTGGTTTGGGTTCCTTCTCCCATTTTAAGGGCAACTTCTACTGGGGCGTGATCTGTGATTTTAATAATAATAATAATAATTTATTATTTATACCCTGCCCATCTGGCTGGGTTTCCCCAGCCACTCTGGGCGGCTTCCAACAGAACACTAAAATACAATAACCTATTAAACATTAAAAGCTTCCCTAAACAGGGCTGCCTTCAGATGTCTTCTAAAAGTTTGGTAATTATTTTTCTCTTTGACATCTGGTGGGAGGGCGTTCCACAGGGCAGGTGCCACTACCGAGAAGGTCCTCTGCCTGGTTCCCTGTAACTTGGCTTCTCGCAGGGAGGGAACCGCCAGAAGGCCCTTGGTGCTGGACCTCAGTGTCCGGGCAGAACGATGGGGGTGGAGACGCTCCTTCAGGTATACAGGACCGAGGCCATTTAGGGCTTTAAAGGTCAGCACCAACACTTTGAATTGTGCTCGGAAATGTACTGTTACCTATGTTCGTTGATTCAACCAAGGGGACACCTGTCTGATTTCATTTTGCTAATTTTTGAGGAGGTTTGTTTTTTAAGGGATGCTCTCATTGCATCCCATAGGAGGGGGGGTTATGTTGTCTGCACCATTTTCGTCGAAGTAGATTTTTGGAGAGTTTTTGTGAGACTCTCTCTAATCTGTTTATTTGTGGTTAGGATGGGACTGAAGGATCATGAAGGGGTGGTTTGGGTTCCTTCTCCCATTTTAAGGGCAACTTCTACTGGGGCGTGACCTGTGATTTTAATGTTACCTATGTTCGTTGATTCAACCAAGGGGATGCCTGTCTGATTTCATATGCTACTAACCTGCCTCTTTCCCCCCTTTGGCCAGGTACTCCGCAGCTCTTGGAAGAAGACCCCGAAAGCTTGGAGCTCCCTGGCATGTTTCCCCGGAAGTGGACGGAAGTCTTCCAGGGCCCGGGCGAGGAACTGCTCTGCGAGAGCCACCCCATTTCGGTGGCGCCTGCAAGGAAGCCCCCAGGGAGCAGCCTGAGGCGGTCGGCTCGCTGCGTGGCTGAGTCGAGGAAAGAGGACCCCTCCTCTGCGCTGGAGGCCGAGGCCCACACTGGGCCCTACATCTGCTGCGAGTGTGGGGAAGGCTTCCTAGACAAGCAGCTCTTCACCACTCACCAGAAGACCCACGACGGAGGAGGGAGCTATCCGGCGATGGACCCCGGAGGAGGAGGGGGCCTGAAGCTGAAGCCGAGCCCCTTACCTCTCCAGAGGGCCCCGACGCCAGCGCGCCCCAAGCCCCCGAAACGCCCTGAACCCCAGAGGAGCCCCGCCCTCAAGCCCAGCACCGGGAAGCGCCCCGGGAACCACATGGTGGAGCGCCCCTACACCTGCACGCAGTGCAAGGAGAGCTTCAAACTGGAGGTGAGCCTTCTTCTCCACCAGAAGCTGCACACAGGGAAGGGCGACGGGCCGCTGACGTGCACCTACTGCGGCAAGGACTTCCGGGACCTCTCCAAGGCCGTCCGGCACCAGCGCATCCACACGGGCGAGAGGCCCTATCAGTGCACAGAGTGCGGGAAGAGCTTCATCCGCCGGGATCACCTCCTCAAGCACTGGCGCGTCCACACCGGGGAGACGCCCTATCAGTGCGCCACCTGCGGGAAGAACTTCCGCTACAAGGAGTCCCTGAACTGCCACCAGAAAATCCACACCCGCAACCCCGCAGCGCACCACCTGGGGCTGGGGGCGCAGGCCGGCCTGGTGGCCTTGAAGCAAGAGCAACCCTAGTGACGGCCCCGTCCCCAAAGCCCTCTGCTTCTGGCCGGCGTCGGCCGTGCCCCGCATGCTGAAGAACAGCTGCCCCCCTCCCTCCCGGTTTGCCCCCCAAGTGTCCCAGGGCATGCCGGGACGTTGGGGGGGGGCTCCCTCTCGTGGACCATCAGAGCATCGCTTACCCTTCCTGCGCTGTGCCGGGGGTGAGCGCAAGGCTGAGACATCGTACTCCGAGCCCTGCTTCCGCCTGGGTGGGCCACAGATAACGGCACTTAGGCAGTCTTTCCTGCCGCGCTCCCGCCGTTCGTGGAGAACTGGCTCTCTGCGGTTTTTCCTGTGAAGATGGGGCAACCAGGTATTCACCGCTTCTCCCTTCTTGCCCACAGGGACCCAGAATCTCAAAGACATTCTTCCGTCTCGTCACTGTGTGAGCCCTCCTTGAGGCTGATGTTTGTGTTCTTCCTCCCTCCCTCTCTCTCTCGCACACACACACCACACGATGAGCTTCCGGAAGCGGGAAGGTGGACCCGCCGGAGGCCAGGCCACACTTCATCAAATAGTCTAGGGGCGAGCTTCCTGCCTGCCCCCCTAACCTACTCCCCATTGGGCGCCCTGCCCGTTAAGCACCTTCGTGGAGCCCATTCGAAACCATCCTTTCCCAGTTAGTTGTTGTCAGTAAAGGTGTGTGGGTTTTTGAGGTTGTCTTTGTTTTAATTTCTCAAACTGCATCTGGTCACACTCCAAGGCTGTTTGTATGAGTCAAGAGCAGCTTCGACCAGGATTCTGGTTGTTATAACCCAACGCCAAGAGCTCATGTACTGTTGTTTTGCCGTATGAAGTTCCCGCAGGACTTGCCGCCTGTCCCATAACTGTCTCCTAGTTCTTCCTCTCTCACCCCAAAGGTATCTGGAGAACTGCCGTCCCCTGTTGTCTTGCTGTTATATTGCTGTTATATTATTATTATTATTATTATTATTATTATTATTATTATTATATTTTTTACAGAAGGCATCTTTGTAAATATTGGTTGAATTATATATATACATATATATATATATATGAATTTCAGTGTCGTTAAGCTAAATGTCAGCTGAGGTGACTGTAACAAGCCAGCTATTCCTCCGTGTGACGTCGGGTGTTTTGTCTGTGGCTGCGTTTTCTTGGGGTTTTTTGTAACACCTTCTTTTGCAAAATATGTCAATACAGTGTGTCTCTCTTCCGAAGCCCCTCTCGTCTCTGGGTAGCTGCGGGAAATGAAGCCTTGCCAAAGCAGGTCAGGTGCAGGTGAATTTTATCCTCAGAGTGTCGGCAGTTCCAAGTGCCGGCTGCGAGGCTGCAAAGACAGCATTAATTCTGAGGTCCTGGCATGCGTAGGAGGCCTCAAATAGAGTCTGAGGCGGGAGGCCAAGATAAGAGTAGGCTGGTCTCGTACCAGGTAACTGGGGTGCCCTTTAACATCACGCTAGCACTGTGGAAGTCCATCATACATGAAATGTTAGGTTAGCTTATGTTCCCTTCTATTTATATCCCGCCTTTCAACCAAAAAGGCTCCCAAGAATAAACAGATAACGTCAAAATACAATGATGCAAATTCAAAAGAATGCAGATGCAAACAGCTTGGGCTGTGGTCTAAACCACTGAGCCTCTTGGGCTTGCCGATCAGAAGGTCGGCAGTTCACATCCCTGCAACGGGGTGAGCTCCCGTTGCTGTTGCTCTGTCCCAGCTCCTGCCAACCTAGCAGTTCGAAAGCACACCAGTGCAAGTAGATAAATAGGTACCGCTGCGGCGGGAAGGTAAATGGTGTTTTCATGCGCTCTGGTTTTCGTCATGGTGTCCTGTTGCGCCAGAAGCGGTTTAGCCCTGCTGGCCACATGACCCAGAAAGCTGCTTGTGGACAAACGCTGGCTCCCTTGGCCTGAAAGCGAGATGAGCGCCACAACCCCATAGTCACCTTTGGCTGGACTTAACCATCCAGGGGTCCTTTACCTTTTACCTATATCATCTAAAACCAGTTTGAAGACCGTATCATGATATCGGTTTCATCATTTTTGCCAGCAAACCCGCAGCGCCACCCGCGTCCCTATCGCCCAGCCCTAGTTCCTGCCAAAAAGGCTCCCCCCCCCCAAAAAAAAACCCCTGCAAAAATGTTAACAACACTAAAGCAGCATCTTTGACTTATTAGGGGAGGGAGGGTTTCATTTGTGAGCAGCGAGAGACAAGCAGCCTCCCAAAAGTGCATTTGTAACACAAAGAATAAGAATGTAAGAAGATGCATCTTGGAAGAGCATGAAATGTCCGGGACCTTCTGGCTGGGGCTGATGGGAGGTGTAGTCCTAAACATCTGGAGGGCACCAGATTGCCACGGCCCCCTTGGTTGGATGAACTCACCCCCTGTGCCTGGCACTCTATAGAAAGCATTATTCAGAATATCCGTTTGCACGACCCACTAAGGAAGATAACGCAAAAAATTCAGAACGGTAAGAATTTCACATTCAGTTGCAACTATATAGTTTAATTAAGCCGACAAAATCGATGAATTGGATCCAATGATACCAGCTTTTCAAAGCCGGCTAGTCAGTTACACTTCTGGTGCGTCCCTGTCTCTTAGCGTCCCCCCCCCACATAATCCCAGTCCCCAAGGAGCAGAACCACCCACTTTGGGAGCCACTGGACTGGCATGAGGTCTTTTAAGGGCAGCATTTGCTGAAATAGTCCCGCCCCCCTCTTATGGGGATAAAGTGCAAACTTTGCTGCCAGCTGCTCTCCATTTAATAAGTTTCCCCTGCAATGCTCCTCTTTGGAGTGGGGCATTTCCCTATTTTCACGTGTTCTCATCAAATCTGAACTGATGAGGCAGGATCTGACCCACCTGGAACCATTTACCAGGACTGACCAGAATCTGTCTCAAAGAATAGGGTGTGCTCAGCTTTGGGGTGGTCCTAACCTGGCGGGGAAGGGGATCAGAAGATGCAGGTAAGCATTCACAGGATTTCTGCGGGTTTTCTTCCCACCTCTGTGTGGGCAGGACATGGAGTGAAGCTACAAGTTTTGGGTATGTCCAGCCTGGAGAAAGGAAGTCCGAAGGGTGACATGAAGACCTGTCCCATGGAAGATGATGGAGCAAGCTTGCTTCCTGCTGCTCCAGAGAAAGAGGACCCAAACCAACAGATTCAAGTGACAAGGCAGGAGATTGTGACCAGACATTAGGAACTTGTGACCAGACATTAGGAGCCTAGGACTTGCCGATCAGAAGGTTGGCGGTTCAAATCCCCACGACGGGGTGAGCTCCCGTTGTTCGGTCCCAGCTCCTGCCCACCTAGCAGTTCAAAAGCACGGCAAAGTGCAAGTAGATCAATAGGTACCGCTCCAGCGGGAAGGTAAACGGCGTTTCCGTGCGCTGCTCTGGTTCGCCAGAAGCGGCTTAGTCATGCTGGCCACATGACCCGGAAGCTGTATGCTGGCTCCCTCGGCCAATAAAGCAAGATGAGCGCCGCAACCCCAGAGTCGGTCACGACTGGACCTAATGGTCAGGGGTCCCTTTACTTTTTAAGAGCTGTTGAGCAGACTCCCTCGGAAGGTGGCAGAGGGCCTTCTTGGTAGTGGTGCTCTCTCCCACCAGATGTCAAAGAGAAAAACAACTACCAGACTTTTAGAAGACATCTATTCCCATTCAGTGTTATCTGCAAATTTGATGAGGCGCATCCCCTTGGTTCCTTCATCCTGTTAACTTCCTGCAAAGCCAGAATTGCAGCCCACAAATCCTTAGCAGGTGGCCATCCAACCTCTGTTTAAAAACCTCCAATGAATAATAATAATAATAATAATAATAATAATAATAGTTTACTATTTATACCCCAGCCACTCTGGGTGGCTTCCAACAAAATATTAAAATATAGTAATGCATCACACATTAAAAGCTGCCTTCAGATGTCTTCTAAAAGTCTGGTCGTTTTCTCTGGTGGGAGGGCGTTCCACAGGGCGGGTGCCACCACCGAGAAGGCCCTCTGCCTGGTTCCCTGTAGCTTTGCTTCTCGCAGTAAGGGAACCACCAGAAGGCCCTCGGAGCTGGACCTCAGTGTCCGGGTGGAAAGCCAGGGTGCACCCCTCCTGAGCATGTGCAGAGTGCTTCCCCGTCCCGGGGCCACTGGGGCTGGCTGATCCCCCTCCCGACCCAGGTGGGGACTGCGTCTGCGCTGCCTCCCGCAGGAGGATGGATGGATGGATGGAGGCGACCGGGCGCCGTCTGGCTTCATCCCTCCTGCCTTTGCTGCGGGTGCGCGGCTCCTCCTCTTCCCTTCTGCCCCCGGCGGACGGCGGACCCCTCTCCGCCTTCCTCCGCCTTCTGATTCCGGGGCTTCCCTCCTCCCTTCCCTCCTTCTTTCCTTCCTTCTTTCCGGCGGCTTCTCCGGACGGATCCAGCCCACCTGCCCGCTTGCCTCCCCAGGGGCGCCATGGCCGCTGAATGGGATCCTTCCGCGCAGGTAGGGCGGGGAGGAAGGGGTTAATTTTCCTTGCAAATAAGAGGATTGCGGGATTTTTTTTGGGGGGGAGAGAAAAAAAGGCTCCGGGGCTCAAGGTTTGCGGGGAAATCCCGCGCCCCGCCCTCCATTCCTGGATTGCAAGGGGCAGGGGCGCGCGCGCGCTCTGCACGACCCCAGAGGCACACGAGTTTGGGGGGAAGGATCCGGGAGAGGAGGTCTTCCCTGCGTTGCCACCACCCCTCTCTCTGTTTCCTTGGTGTGGGGCAGGCATCCCCAAACTCTGCCCTCCAGCACAGCTGTCAACGTTTCCCTTTTTTCAAGGGAAATAATAATAATAATAATAATTTATTTATACCCCGCCCATCTGGCTGAGTTTCCCAGCCACTCTGGGCGGCTCCCAATCCAGTGTTAAAAACAGTACAGCGTTAAATATTAAAAACTTCCCTGAACAAATTCCCTTATTCCGAATAGGATTCCCTGCAAGAAAAGGGAAAAGTTGACAGCTATGCCCTCCAGCTGTTTTGGGACTACAAGTCCCATCATCCCTGACCGCTGCTCCTGTTAGCTAGGGATGATGGGAGTTGTAGTCCCAAAACAGCTGGAGGGCTGAGTTTGGGGGTGCCTGGTGTAGCGGCTCCCAGAAGCTGGGGGTTGTTTTTGCGCTTTCTGTGGAGCATGCTCAAAGCGCCGGGTGGTTGGTGACTTGGCTGGCTGCTGGGGGCTCTTGGGCAGGGGCTGAAAGTGGGGGCTCCTTTGGGGGGGCGCTCGTTTTCTCCCCATCCTTCTCCTTGGCACGGAAAGAGCAGACACTTAAGTGCTGTAAATTGTGCAAATTCTACATTTACATCTTCCAAGGCAATTGGTCCAAGGTGGCATGCATAATCCTTCTCCTCCCCAGTTTGGAAGCCGCCCAGAGTGGCTGGGGAAATAATAATAATAATAATAATAATAATAATATAGCTTATCCTCACAGCAATCCTGGGAGGTAGGCTTGGACAAGAGGCGGTCTGTCCAAGGTCAGCGTCATAGCTGAGGAGAGATTCGAACCCTGGTCTCACAGGTCATAGCCCAGGACTGTAACCACTGAGCCACACTGGCTTTCGCACACACAGAGAACGCTTTATTTCAGTCCATGGACCCAAAATATACAGTACAAACACTGGGTTTTGCTATATATACAACCAACAGTATAATTTAAGGTAAAGGGACCGCTGACCATTAGGTCCAGTCGTGACCGACTCTGCGGTTGTGGCGCTCATCTTGCTTTACTGGCCGAGGGAGCCGGCGTTTGTCCGCAGACAGCTTCCGGGTCATGTAGCCAGCATGACTTAGCCGCTTCTGGCGAACCAGAGCAGCGCACGGAAACGCCGTTTACCTTCCCGCTGGAGCGGTACCTATTTATCTACTTGCACTCTGACGTGCTTTTGAACTGCTAGGTTGGCAGGAGCTGGGACAGAGCAATGGGAGCTCACCCCGTCGCGGGGATTCAAACCACCAACCTTCTGATCAGCAAGTCCTAAGCTCTGTAGTTTAACCCACAGCGCCACCCGCATCCCTCAGACAGTATAATTTAGAGGTCACTTAATCTGCTATCCTATAGACGCACTTACCTGGGAGTAAGCCCCATTGAACTCTTTGGACGTGGCTCCTGAGTAGCCATGACAGTAGGGTTATATTGCCAGAGAAAATGCACTTTTCAAAAGGGAACCACCAGAACAAATTTTGCCTCCTCTCCTGCAATTAGAAACGGGCTCTCATTCATAAGTGTAGCAACAAAAACTAACAGCTGTTTTTTATTTACAGTATTTATTTCGCAAGGTTTATATACCACTTGATTGGAATTGAAACCTCAAAAATGCTCATAGAAACAATAACAGTGAATAACAGTTTAAAAAACAGCTATTCAAAACATTCAAACGAATGATAATGAAAATCAGCAAAAAGCTAAAGACTAGATTATAGGCACTCTCAACATTGCACATGTCTGGATAGGCCAACAACTACTGAAAAGGCACCTGCCTGATTTCAGTGGGCAGGGAGTTCCACAGTTCCTTGTGGGACCTTAAAGATTTTGATTTGGCTCCACTGGTCTAGGTCCCCTGCACAAAGCAGAAGAAAACCAGCTTGCTCCTTCTTCCACGTGACAGCCCTTTAAATATTCGAATTCTTAAAAGCCTGAACTCTTCTTTTTTAAAATAATTTATTTTATTAGGGTTTGTAAAGAAAAATACTAAGATTATTATCAAACATCTTTTCTTTTGTCCAAAATAAAGCATTAATTTAAAGGCAAAAGAGAGAGGGAAGGAAGAGATGGAGAAAAGGGAATAGAAAAAGATTTAAAAGAGAGGGGAAAGTTAAGAAGATAAAGAACACTTCTGACACCCTTGGTGCCCTTTTTGTAACTGTCGTTTTGTGTGCGTGTGTATTTATGTATATATGTGTGTGTGTGTGTGTGTGTGTGTGTGTGTGTGTGTGTGTGTGTATTACCAACCACCAAAACACAAAACAGTGAAACCCCCCAGGCGGCTGATACATTGGGTATACAATATTCAATAATATACATAATGCATACTCAATAATTTTCAATAATAACATATTCAAATCAACCATATGTACACTTCTATATACCTTAACACTCCTCCTTCCGCAAGGTTTATTTAACATTTAACATTGTTTCCATTTTTTTAATTAATTTTCCAAATTTATGACAAACACACAAAAAATAAAAAGCATATTAAGAAAGAATAACAAACAAACATATAAAACATCTTACTATTAAAAATCCAATTTGATTTCCATTGCTAAGCGACTTCCTCAAATCCTCCCTAACTGAGTTTCATTCAGTCTCATTGTAGCAATTTTCCAATATCCACTTTATTCAAATTACTATCTTCCTTCCTTTTCATAGTTTCTCAATCCATAATATTATGCAATTCAACATATTTTAATCCTAGGCCAGTTTGGTACTTGCAAGTATTTCAGCTTAGGTTGTATTATAACATTTGGCTAAATGTTCCTGAAATTTCTTCCGATCTTCATAACTTTTAACATTTTAATTGCCCCAAATTGTTCAAACCTACTCAAATCATTCAATATCTTCTCAAATCAATCCTCCTCTTTCTCATTGACCTTTCATTCTATGTATCTTCACAGTTAGGTATTCTAAAATTATAATATTATTCAGTTTTTTCCTCCATTACGTAACTGTCGTTTGATTCTGCCCATAGCTGTCAACTTACAGATTTGAAAATAAGGGACCAGCAGCCTCGAAAATAAGGGATGAGCAGCCAAAATAAGGGATTTTGCTTAGCTTATGCAGAAATCCGGCACTGATGGAGCCAGGCTGCTTTGGCTGCAACTGACTGTGTTTTGCAGGGGGTTGGACTAGATGATCCTAAGGGTCTACAACTCCCACCAAAGAAGAGGGGCAGACAAAACTGATGAACAACGTCGAGATGGCAAAGCTTACAGGCAGAATTAGAAACCAGGAAGAGGACCTCTTTAATAAAGAATGGGGAAAGTTTATAAATTAGTTGAAAAGCTATTGGAAAGAGTTACATACATTGGTAGGATTGACAGAAAACTTGTAGTAAAAATTTGAACTGTGGATGGACAAATGGTTTATAAAAACAGAGTTATGAAAGGGATGGAGAGGGGGAAATCACTACATTAAGATGTTGCACTGGTTGGAGGGGATGCTAAGCAGCATGTCGGGGCTGCTGTCGTCCTGGTGCGAGGAGTTCCATCGGCCCTTCCCCGCCCGAGAGAGGGGGGGAGGGAGAGAGACCCACGCCGTCCGCGAGCCCGGCATGAGGCGGTTGCGGCGGCGCTGCGGCCGCTGAAGCACTGCCCTTCTGCGTCCCTCCCCATCCCCTCCTCTTCCTCCTCCCTCAGGCCGCCTCCTCAGCTGCCGCTGTCGCCTCCGGCTTCCCCTGGCAGCGCGGCGGAAGTCTTGCAAGAGAGGCTGCCTGCCCGCCCGCCGCCACCCGTCTCCTCACCACGCGCCCCTGAGGGGGGAAAGGGAGAGACGGAGACGCGGCAGCTCGTGCGTGCGCTCTCTCTCGTGGCAGAGGACCCCGAGCCGCTGCTTCCCTCCTGAGCCGGGCGAGCATGAAACCCGGGAAATTTAAGGGACGCCATCAATCCGGGGCAGCAGCGGGTCATGGAGCTGGGATAAGGGAGTTTCCCGCCAAATAAGGGACGCTTGACAGCTATGATTCTGCCGCTGCCTCTGAGTATCTTCCCTTCCTGTCTTTGCCAGCAGGGCTTGGAGTGGGGCAGGGGACCCCTGCAGCCCACCCCGGTGCACCCTTCCTTCCTCCCCAAGCGGAGCTGCGGCGATGCTGCCGGCCGGCCAGCCGCTGAGATCTCCTTCTGGACGGCGGTGGCCACCATGCAAGCGGTGGAGAGGAAGGTGGACGTCCACGCTGGGCGGCTGCTGGCGCTGGAGCGGAGGGCGGGACTGGCTGAAAAGAAGCTTTCCGGGACAGAGAAAGCCATGGCGGAGTTCAGCCACCACCTGGACGCGCTGGGGACCCTCATCCAGGAATACGGGCAGCTCCAGAGGAGGCTGGAGAACATGGAGAACCTGCTCAAGAACCGAAACTTCTGGATCCTTCGCCTGCCCCCAGGATCAAGGGGGGAAACCCCCAAGGTAAGCAGGGGGGATTCGCACAGAGGTAGAGCTTTATCCAGGGGAAGAGCTATGTATAGCCAGAGGCGTCTGCTGATATAATAATAATTTATTATTTGTACCCCGCCCATCTGGCTGGGTTTCCCCAGCCCATCCGAATACAGTGGTACCTCGGGTTACATACACTTCAGGTTACATACGCTTCAGGTTACAGACTCCACTAACCCAGAAATAGTACCTCGGTTAAGAATGAAATTAACCACAGATTGTGGGGGGAGGGAAGTTGTTATATGAATTCATAATTGGTGCAAATGTTGTTAAATTGAAATAATACACACACCCACACACAAACATATATACAGTGGTACCTCAGGTTACGTATGCTTCAGGGTACATACGCTTCAGGTTGCAGACTCTGCTAACCCAGAAATAGTACCTCGGTTAAGAACTTTGCTTCAGGATGAGAACAGAAATTGTGTGGCGGCAGCAGGAGGCCCCATTAGCTAAAGTGGTACCTCAGGTTAAGAATAGTTTCAGGTTAAGAACGGACCTCCAGAACGAATTAAGTACGTAACCAGAGGTACCACTGTATAGTCATACCTCTGGTTACAGACTCTTCAGGTTGCGTTTTTTCAGGTTACGGACCACCAAAACCTGGAAGTAGTGGAACAGTTTACTTCCGGGTTTCCGCGGTCACGCATGCACAGAAGCGCCGAATCGCAACCAGCGTCCGCTGGTGGAATAAGATTGCCAGTGGTTATTGCCAGGTTATTACAGGGATAATAATAATAATATTTATATCCCACCCATTCTGCTGGGTTTACCCAGCCGCTCTGGGCAGCTCCCAACAGATTAAAAACAGAATAAAACATCAAATATTCAGATGTCTTCTAAAAGTCAGATAGTTGTTTATTTCCTTGACATCTGGTGGGAGGGCGTTCCACAGGGCGGGTGCCACCACCGAGAAGGCCCTCTGCCTGGTTCCCTGTAGCTTTGCTTCTCGCAGCGAGGGAACCACCAGAAGGCCCTCGGAGCTGGACCTCAGTGTTTCCTGCTGCGGGGAGTTCCCCAAGTAAACAGTCCTTTGCCATATTGGGTTAGCACGAGAGAGGCAGTGTGGTTCGAGTGAACTATTTAGTTTAATTAAATCAACAAAATTGATGAACTGGATCCATTCTGCCCACCCTGCCTCAGAGGGGTCTTGTGGTGATCTGGTGAGGAGAGGGGAAGGCATGTACGACCCCTGATACGAATGCAAGAAAGGGGAGGTTTTGATGTTTCATGGTGTTTTCATATTTTGCTTGGAAGCCCCCCCTCCCCACGAGAGACCAGGGCGACCCAGTCAGATGGGCAGCATATAAATAAAATTGTTGTTGTTGTGAAATAAATATTGTATTTCAAAGTAACGGTGTTGTCACAGATGTAATGAATAACCCCCCCTCCCTATTTATTCATTCATTTAGAAGACACCTGAAGGCAGCCCTGTTTAGGGCAGCTTTTAATGTTTGATGCATTACTGTATTTTAATATTTTGTTGGCAGGGGAAGCCCAGCCAGATGGGCGGGGTATAAATAAAATAATAATAATAATAATGATATTTGTTTTACATGCCCTCTCAGGTGCCGGTGACCTTCGACGAGGTCTCTGTTTGCTTCTCGGAGGAAGAGTGGGGGAACCTGGACGAAGACCAGAGGGAGCTCTACAAGAACGTCATGAAGGGGAACTACGAGTCTTTGGTTTCACTGGGTAAAGAGAACCCTAAAGCAACAAAGCCGGTTGTCGTAAGATTCAGGGCGGGGGGGGGGGGGAAATCCTGCTTCATGCAGCACCTAGTTAAACTGTGGAACTCCCTGCCACAGGAGTCAGAAATGGCCACCAACTTGGGAGGGCTGTACAAGAGGATTGACAAATTCGCGGAGGAGGCACAGGCTGTCGATGGCTCCCACCCATTATGGCCACGCTCTTCCTGCACAGCCGTAGGCAGAAATCCTCCTGAATATCAGTTGCTGGGAACCACAGGAGGCGAGAGGGCTTGTGTTCGAATCCTGCTTGCGGGTTTCCCACAGGCTGTGGCAGCAGAGCAGAGCCATTGTGGCTAGTAGCCAACACTAGCCCTTGCTTGGGTCACTGCAAATCCTCCGGATCCTGCCAGGTTTTTGTCAGTAAACATGAGGGCTAGAAACTTGATTTGAGAAGGAATCCATAACCCTTAGAAACCTTAGGGTGCCCCATTCTCTCTGAGGACCGTCATGGGATAAGTACCGTATATTTTGCTCCATAAGACACACTTTTTTCCTCCTAAAAAGTAAGGGGAAATGTCTGTGTGTCTTATGGAGCGAATGTGTGGTCGGTCGCTGGCTCCCTTGCCCAGGCCTCCATTTTTTAATGTTCTGCAGACGGACGCTGTTTATTTCCCCAGATACATGTGACTAGCTGATTAGATTATCTGTCTGGAAACGGTAGAAACGGCTCCCTTTCTTTTCCTAAACGGCTCCCTTTCTTTTCCTGCACAACTTTGAGCTGATCCTCAAAAAAAGGGGCTTTTCTCCTTTGCGAAAGAAGCTGCACAACTGTGAGCTGATCGCCCAAAAAACAGGGCTTTCCCCCTTTCCTCCTCTAAAAACTAGATTTTGTCTTATGGAGTGAAAAATACGGCAATTCTTTGGTCTTGCCTTTCTTCCCTTCCTCCTCAGATTACGCCATTGCCAAGCCCGACCTCCTGACCCGGATCGAAGGTGGGCAGGAGCAGGCAGCTGAGGACGAAGAGGCTCCTAGGAGCATCGGCCCAGGTGAGTTAAGAGAGTTGTTTTTAAGCAGAATTGTAGTTTATATTCTTTTTTTAAAAAAAGGTTGGCTCTTTTTGTTTTTCGTTTAAAACAGGCTACCTCAAACTTGGCCCTCCAGATGTTTTCGGCCTACAACTCCCCTGATCCCTAGCTAGCAGGACCAGTGGTCAGGGATGCTGGGAATTGTAGTCTCAAAACATCTGGAGGGCCGAAGAAGGCTGGTTTAAAATATTGTAAGCTGCTTTGAGGAAAACAAAACGAAACAAAATGTGACATATGGGGATGGGGAAATCAATTAATGCCCTTTTCCCCTCTTGGCATGCAGAATTCCCCGCACCCAGAAATGACACTGTCTCTCCTGTCCAGCGGGAAATTGTTCCTTCGGTAGTGGGCGAGTGGGATTCGGAAGAAAGCGGGGCGCCCCCGGACGAAAACCTAGGTGAGTTGGGGCCAGTGTGCCTCTGAAGAGAGGAATCCAGACCCACCTTGTCCCCTCTTGGCAAAACGTCCCTGTGGCTGATCAGCGTCCTGTGCAGCCTCAGTGCATCACCTGGCTAGAGGCGGCAGGAGCATATAGATGCTAATTAAAAATATGGACCGCAGCAGTGTAAGACCTGGACAAGAAACATGGACCAAGGAGTGTGAGAAACCACTTGGATTAAATTGTATAAATTTGGGATTAATTGGAATTATTCTGATATTGATTGGAATCTGTACAGTTGGCAAAACTGTGATAATATTGAGTAAATATTGGAAAATTAATTAAAAAAAAATTTTTTTTTTAAAGAAACAGCAGTAGCACTGGTGCAGCTGCAAAGTGCATCCAGCTGTTGAAGCCTGTTAGCGGGGCAGAATTGGGCTGGGGTGGCTCTAGCCAGGAATATATATATATATATATATATATATATATATATATATATGTGTGTGTGTGTGTGTGTGTGTGTGTGTGTGTGTCAGAAGGTTTTTCCAGATGTTTAGTCGGAATCTCCTTTCTTGTAACTTGAAGCCATGGGTTCGAGTCCTACCCTCCAGAGCAGGAGAAAAAAAGCTTCCTCCCTCTTCTGTGCAACAGCCCTTGAGATAAGTTTGTTCCCCTCTTGTAAGACACAATAATAATAATAGATTTTATTTATACCCCGCCCTCCCCGGCCAGAGCCGGGCTCAGGGCGGTTAACACCAGTAAAATTACAGTAAAAACATAAGGGGGGGGGGACACACCAATTTAAAATACAGGTTAAAATGCAATTTAAAATGCAGCCTCATTTTAAAAGTAGCCCATAGATCAAAACCATAAAGGGAAGGAAACATAAGGGTCAGACTGAGTCCAGAACAAAGGCCAGGCGGAACAGCTCTGTCTTGCAGGCCCTGCAGAAAGATGTCAAGTCCCGCAGGGCCCTAGTCTCTTGGGACAGAGTGTTCCACCAAGTCGGGGCCAGTGCTGAAAAGGCCCTGGCCCTAGTTGAGACCAATCTAACCACCTTGAGACTTGGGACCTCCAAAGTGTTGTCATTTGTGGACCTTAAGGTCCTCCGCGGGGCATACCAGGAGAGGCGGTCCCGTAGGTACGTGGGACATTCAATGAACCTGGCTGTTGGAAGAATCATGACAGATAAAAGAAAGTCCTCCTTTAGGCAGCATTGTTAAACTGTGGAACTCCCTGCCACATGAGGCAGCAATGGATGGCTTTAAGAGAGGGCTGGACAGATTCACAGAGGAGGAGAATGCTATCGATGGCTACTAGCCAGGATCACTTTGCTTTGCCTTGACAGACAGAGGCAGCAATGTGTCTGAATCCAAGTTCCTGGAAACCGCAGGACGAGACAGGGCTCTTGTGTTCGAATCCTGCTTGCATCTGGTTGGCCACTGCGAGAACAGAATCCTGGACTAGGCAGGCCATTGGCCTGATCTCTTCATAGGTTCTTACCTTCTTTTGTTGCTACAAAGTTGGGGGAAATGAATTCACCCCACACCCCATCACCACCATCCCAGTAACAGCTGGAAAATTTATTTTCCAAAACTCGTTCCGCCTCTGATCTGGTTTCCCTCTCCCTACAGATGCCACCCTCTTCGCTGAGGTGCCCGCCAGGCCAGAGGTGAGGCCTGGGGACCTGGCGCAGTACAGCGCATTGCCAGAGGCCTTGGACCAGGCTGTCTTCCACTTCCCCGAGGAGGGCCTGGCGTGCGTGGACGGGCAGACTTCCGGCGGCAGCCTGGAGGAGCCGGCCGCGTGCGGTAGCGACTTTGCGGACTTCACCACCATCATCGTGCCCGAGGGGGCCCTCCCTGGCGAGGCCCCGTACGTCTGCGCTGACTGCGGGAAGAGCTTCCTGTACGAGGAGCAGCGCGCCCTGCACCAGCGGACGCACCCTCGAGCCTCCCCCGAAGGGAGCCCCGCCTCGAGCCTGCGGCCGGGGGGCGAGGCGTACCCCTGCCCCGAGTGTGGGCGCTGCTTCCCTCACCAGGCGAGCCTCAGCAAACACCGGCTGTGGCACTTGGGCGAGCGGCCCCACACGTGTTCCGAGTGCAACAAAAGCTTCCGCCTGAAGATAAATCTCCGTCTGCACCAGCGGAGCCACGCGGCGGCCACGACGGGCCTGGCGGCGAAGGCGGGCTCCTATATCTGCGGCGAGTGCGGGCGCAGCTTCAACCACCACTCCAACTTCCTGCGCCACCAGATGATCCACACGGGTGAGCGGCCGTACGCCTGCGGCGAGTGCGGGAAAACCTTCATCCGCAAGGAGCACCTCGCCACCCACGGGCGGCTGCACACCGGCGAGCGGCCGTACCAGTGCCCGCTTTGCCAGAAGAGCTTCACCCGCAAACAACATCTCGTCGGACACCAGCGGCTCCACGAAGGCGGAGATCCCTGGCTGGACGGCCGTTCAGGGCAGAGGCCTTTCCGGAGCCAGTGGGGCAGGGCAAAGATGCGGGCGGAGGCCGGCGGTGTGCCTCGCATCAGGCAGGAGCGGTTCCCCCCTTAAACGCCCACTTTGGGCACGGCCAGGGCGCCCGGTGCTGGGACTTAGTGGGATGCAGGCTGGGGAAGCAGTTGCGGACTGAACCGTTGTGGTTGCCAGAGCTGGAGACGGAAAACGAAGGCTGCGGCTCAGAGAGGTTTCTGATTTTTGTTTCTTCAAAAGGGGGGAAAGAGAGATTTCTGCCGACTTTCTCGATGTTGGCTGAGGCCGAGAAAACGAAACTGGTCCTCTTTGTTTCATTTGCTAAGTCTTGGTGGTAAAGTGTCGTTCCCCAACCCGCTTCACGGCCGTCTCGGTGTCTTGCTTCAAACACGTTCCTTACAGGGTTGGCGCCTTCAGCACCGTGCCTTTTCTAAAAAGGTTTTGTGGGCCTCGGTTCTGAACCCTCGATCTTTCTCCCAACTCTGCAGCTGCAAAGGGGGCTGGGGAGAGCTTCGTTAGCGACGAACCCCAAAATCTGGGATCCCCTCAAAAGTTTTGCGGTCGTTTCGCAGCAAAAACGTGAAGCCATGGGTTCGAGTCCCACCCTCCAGAGCAGGAGAAGACAAGCTTGCTCCCTCTTCCGTAGCAGTTTGTAGTTAACGAAGCTGCTGGGGAGGTTTGTTTCGTTGGGTTGGGTGGAAGCAATGCCCCACTTTTATTTTAATTTTCAAATTCATAATGGCTAGCAACTTGAGACAATAAAACGTAGCACAGGTCATTGCTCAGCAGTAGAGCTTCTGCTTTCGTTGCGGAAGGTCCCCAGTTGAGTCTGCGGTGGATTCGCCAGGTTATTTACAAAGGACCCCATCTGAATGCTTGGATTGCTGCTGTTGGTCAGTGTGGACCAATAGTCCGACCCTGTACAGTGGTACCTCTGGATGCAAATGGGATCCGTTCCGGAGCCCCGTTCGCATCCAGAAATGCAACCCGTGTGCGCGGGTTGCGATTTGCCGCTTCTGTGCATGCGCGTGACGTCATTTTGACCGTCTGCGCATGCGCGAGCGGCAAAACCCGGAAGTAACGCGCTCCATTACTTCCTGATCGCCGCAGCTGCAACCCGAAAATACCTATCCCGAAGCTACTTCAACCCAAGGTATGACTGTATCAGGCAGCTGCCCATGTTTCTGAAAAATTATTTTTAAAAGCAATTTATGAAATACAAAAGCAACAAGCCAGTTTCAAAGCTATTAGCAGTAAGGCTTCAGAAACCCAATTAGGTAGTACCATATTGGCCCGAATATAAGCTCCCCAGCTGTTTTCAGCAGCATATGGTAAAAAGTCGCGAATATAAACTGCACTTTAACTTTTCAGGGTTCGAAATTGGAAAAAAGGTGTGGCTTATATTCGGGCCAATACGGTTGTTGTTGTTTAGTCGTTTAGTCATGTCCGTCTCTTCGTGACTGTAGATCTTACCATACAACAAAATGACAAGACTGCTGTCACACTGCAGTTCCCCTAGTCACCAATAGGTGGCAGCACCAACTCCAGCATGGCAGAATGGCAGCTAGGCGCGTGAGCGAGTGAGCAAGTCGTACGGGCAGCCCAGGTGACCTGTTTAAAGGAGGGTGGGATCCACTTCAGAGAACAACGGGGCAAAACTGTGAAGGGAGCAGGAGGGGAGGTTTGGGCGAGCTGGGAGGGGATGGCTGAGGGGGTGGATAAAGTGTGGGGGAACGGGGGTTGGCAAAGGGATTGGGGGGTTGGCGGGCAGGGGGCAGAAGCCCCAAAAGGCAAAGGTACCCCTGACCATTAGGTCCAGTTGCGGACGACTCTAGGGTTGCGCGCTCATCTCGCTCTATAGGCCGAGGGAGCCAGTGTTTGTCCGCAGACAGCTTCCGGGTCATGTGGCCAGCAGGACTAAGCCACTTCTGGCGAACCAAAGCAGAGCACAGAAACGCCGTTTACCTTCCCGCCAGAGCGATACCTATTTATCTCCTTGCACTTTGATGTGCTTTCGAACTGCTAGGTTGGCAGGAGCAGGGACTGAGCAACGGGAGCTCACCCTGTCGCAGGGATTCGAACTGCCGACCTTCCGATCGGCAAGTCCTAGGCTCTGTGGTTTAGACCACAGCACCACCCACATCCCTAGCACATGGCTGTTTGACTGACTTAAAACATGTGCGTTTGTCTGCATAATTTAGCTGCCTTGCAGTGGATTGGACTAGATGAACTTGGGGGTCCCTTCCAAGTCCGTAGTGGTGAACTCTGCTCTGTTTGATGCAGAATCCGGCTCGCTTCGCCCCAGTTAGACCTTGGGCTCTCTTCTTAACGCCCTGCAGAATCCTAGACGCTTGTCACCCCGTTTGTTGTGGGCGGCTGAGCTCATCTCAGAATAAACAGCTCTTTTGTGAGAACGGCCTTCCTCCCAGGGACTTTCCAGCTGACTCAATGACATCCTTGTTCAATAAGAGGAGGAGATTCAGTGGAGGGGGAACGATGCCTCAAGCGCCACCCACAAGCCCTTCTGGCCCCGGCAAGGGCAGGGAGATGCCTCTGCCTGGATACGGCCCACCCCCCGTTGCTGGTGTTTCAGGAGCTGATCAGGGACCCCCCCCCATTTCTTAAGTGATTTCCAAGCCTATTTGGCCCTCTGCCCCCTTTGTTCCCCTTGGTTTGCACGACCCACTTGGGAAAACAATAACACATGCAAAACTCCACATTGCTTCAAAATCTAATTAAAATTATTTAGTTCCATTAATCCATTAAGTATACCTAAAGGAGCGTCTCCACCCCCATCGTTCTGCCCGGATGCTGAGGTCCAGCTCCGAGGGCCTTCTGGCGGTTCCCTCATTGCGAGAAGCAAAGCTACAGGAAACCAGGCAGAGGGCCTTCTCGGTGGTGGCGCCTGCCCTGTCGAACGCCCTCCCATCAGATGTCAAAAAGATAAATAATTACCTGACATTCAGAAGACATATTAAGGCAGCCCTGTTTAGGGAAGCTTTTACTGTTTGATGCATTACGGTATTTTAATATTTTGTTGGAAGCCGCCCAGAGTGGCTGGGGAAACCCAGATGGGCGGGGTAGAAATTATTATTATTATTATTATTATTATTATTAATCCCACAAAATGGATGACTTCAGTCCAGTGGTTATCAGCTACCCAAAGTCTGATTCACCCCTCAAGTGCCCCCCCATCGCAGAATTGGAAGGGGTCCCCAAGGGTCATCTAGTCCAGCCCCCTGCAATGCAGGAATCTCAACTAAAGCATCCATGACAGGTAGGTCACTCAACCTCTGCTGAAAAGTCTCCAAGGAAGAAGAGCCCACCACCTCTCGAGGGAGTCCGTTCCACTGTTGAACAGCTACTGACAGCAAGTTCTTTCTGATGTTGTGTCTGAATCTCCTTTCTTGTTACTGGAAACCATGGGTTCGAGTCCTACCCTCCAGAGCTGGAGAAGACAAGCATGCTCCCTCTTCCATACACAGCCCGTCAGATATTTGAAGATGGTTGCCATATCTCCTCTCAAATCTCCTCTTTTCCAGGCTAAACATCCCCAGCTCCTTCAACTGCTCCTCATCAGGCTCGGTTTCCAGACCCTTAATCATGGGTAGGCAAACTAAGGCCCGGGGGCAGGATCTGGCCCAATCGCCTTCTAAATCCGGCCCACGGACAGTCCAGGAATCAGCGTGTTTTTACATGAGTAGAATGTGTCCTTTTATTTGAAATGCATCTCTGGGTTATTTGTGGGGCATAGGAATTCGTTCATTTCCCCCTAAAAAAATATAGTCCGGCCCCCCACAAGGTCTGAGGGACAGTGGAGTGGCCCCCTGCTGAAAAAGTTTGCTGACCTCTGCCCTTGATCATCTCAGTCACCTTCCTCTGCACACCTTCCAGCTTGTCAACATCCTTCGTAAAATGTGGTACCCAGAACTGGACACAGGACTCCAGGTGTGACCTGACCAAGGCAGAATAGGCCCTTGATCTGAACATTATACTCCTGTTGATGCAGCCTGGAATAGCATTTGCTTTTTTTGCCGCTGCATCACACTGTGGACTCAGAAAACACAGGCAGTAAAAAGTGGCTTAGTTACAGTGGTTTAAGTTCCTAAACCATTGGCAAAAGAACACAATAATACGTCTCAAGAGCCAGAGGCAACCAGATCAGACCCCTTTACACGCTGGCTGAACATCTCAGATAGACTGAGGAGTGTCAGGATCAAGTCCCTTTGTACCCGAGAATCGGTCCCAGGCCCTGTTCAAGGAGGTTGGAGCTTGTGGCGTATCCAACTTTTGTGCCCTGTAAGTTCGAGGTCTCCTGTCTATAATTTATGTTATCTTATACTGTTAATATTATTACAATAATATAAGAAATGATATTAAGATGCACTGTTATATATAAACTACACAATTATAAATATTATTATCATTATATGCTTACCTGTATAAGCATTATATGCTTACCTTTTTCCCTGAAAGGAATGCAAGGAGGCTTGCAGATAGAATAGGAACTGCTAAAAACATAGGGGGGAAATCGTTGAAAAACAACTAGACATTAATAGAATTTGAACTATATATATTTATGAATGTAAAAGATATATCAAAAACATACATATAGTTGCAATAAAAACAGCATGGCACCAGACCTTACATTAAAAGCAGTTAAATTACACACACATTATATTATATATTATATCTAGGAAAAACAGAGAAAAGTTATTAAACATGATTAAAACACTATTAAATATACATATTTATATAAATGAACAACAATAAAAACATTGCAGTGCATGCCTTTTCCTTGAAAACAGTCTGTTCCTAAAAGCCTGTTGAAATAAGGTCTTCGCCTGCTGTTGAAAGGACATGGAGGGAGGCAACCTGGTTTCTTGTGGCAGGGAGTTCCAAAGTTATCTTGGAGCAGCCACCACGGAGAGATCTCAGATCTTGGGTAGGTTTGCAGGAGAGTTCTTTCAGACAGCCTGGACCTAAGCTGTATAGGGTTTTATAATTGGGATTCCCGCACTGAAGGGGTTGGACTAGATGACCCTGGAGGTCCCTACACATTCCGTGCTTCTTGGAACAATAACAGGGACATGTCCCCCCTCCACCCTGTAGGGGTCGCTGCGCCGAAAAGAGCCGCCCGGCTTCCCTTGCGCAATCTGCCGACTCTGGTCACGCGGAAATTCGCTCAGCACCAAGAGGATGGGTCAAGGACTCCGCGGGGGTAGAAGCTGCACTTCCGGCTTTCAATTGACCCTGAGTGTATGTGTATGGGGTGGGGGCTAAACGAAGTAAATCAAGACTTAAGAGGGGGCAGCCATAGATGGAGTGGGGCGGAGGCGAGCATCTTGAGTCCCTTTTCTTTGGCGAACAGAACCTGGAGCCGGTATTGCATGGGGCAAATAAAGATGTATAATTTATTATTATTATTATTATTATTATTATTAATAATAATAATTAAATTTGAATACCACCCTTCATCCGTAGCTCCATAACATAAGGGAGGCGCCTTCAGGGAACCTGGAACATAGATGTTGCAGTGCACTTAATGACATAAATAAACGCAACTACAATTTCCCCAAGGCTGCAGCTCCCTTTGTTTATTACATTTGTAAGATTGCCAGAAGAAATATCAACAACCTCAGATATGCAGATGACACAACCTTGATGGCAGAAAGTGAGGATGAATTAAAGAACCTTTTAATGAGGGTGAAAGAGGAGAGCGCAAAATATGGTCTGAAGCTCAACATCAAAAAAACTAAGATCATGGCCACTGGTCCCATCACCTCCTGGCAAACAGAAGGGGAAGAAATGGAGGCAGTGAGAGATTTTACTTTCTTGGGCTCCATGATCACTGCAGATGGTGACAGCAGCCACGAAATTAAAAGACACCTGCTTCTTGGAAGAAAAGCAATGGCAAACCTAGACAGTATCTTAAAAAGCAGAGACATCACCTTGCCAACAAAGGTCCGTATAGGTAAAGCCATGGTTTTCCCAGTAGTGATGTATGGAAGTGAGAGCTGGACCATAAAGAAGGCTGATCGCCGAAGAATGGATGCTTTTGAATTCTGGTGCTGGAGGAGACTCTTGAGAGTCCCATGGACTGCAAGAAGATCAAACCTCTCCATTCTGAAGGAAATCATCCCTGAGTGCTCACTGGAAGGACAGATCCTGAAGCTGAGGCTCCAAGACTTTGGCCACCTCATGAGAAGAGAAGACTCCCTGGAAAAGACCCTGATGTTGGGAAAGATGGAGGGCACAAGGAGAAGGGGACGACAGAGGACGAGATGGTGGGACAGTGTTCTCGAAGCTACTAGCATGAGTTTGACCAAACTGCGGGAGGCAGTGGGAGACAGGAGTGCCTGGCGTGCTCTGGTCCAGGGGGTCACGAAGAGGCGGACACGACTAAACAACAACAACCTGCCGCTTTTTCTTCCAAGGTGCTGAAGATGGTTCACGTGGTTCTCCTGCTCCTTCGCGTTTTATCATCGCACCAACCCTGTGAGGTGGGCCAGGCTGAAAGGCAGTGACTGGCCCCCCAGCCCAGGGAGCTGAGTGGGGGATTAAAACCCACATCTCACCACTCTGCTCCACTGGCATGTGTGCCTGCAACCCCTCCAAGCAGGGCTGGGGACGCCCCCTCCTCCCCAAAACTTGTAGTACCAGTAATTTCCAGAGGTAGTGCAATGGTCAGCATCGGACTGGGACACTGGGAGAGACCCGGGTTCGAATCCCTCCCCCGCACTAGGCTCACTGGGTGTGTGGCCTTGCGGGGAGCAGTCTCACTGGCTTCTCTCAGCCTTGACCTACCTCACAGGGTTGTTGTTAGTGAGGGTAGAATGAAGGAGGAGGAGGAGGAGGAGAGAACCATGCCCCAGGCCACCTTTTGAGCAACTTGGAGAAATATGGGTGGGATATGAATGCAGCAAGCAAGCAAGCAGTAAATGAATAAATAAATAAATAAATAAATAAATAAAATTGGCATGGCCGGCAGCATATAAATGCAATAAATAAATAAAAATTTAAAAAGGCAGAAAAACCGCCTTAGATCTGCTGGACGCAGCCGACAGGTGTAAATGAAATAATAATTATTATAATAAATATAATAATAAATATAATAATAAATATAATAAATAAAACCACGTGCAAGAAATAAGACATAAAAAATCAGCACGGCCGCCTTAGATCTGCTGGACGCAGCCGACGGATGTAAATGAAATAATTATTATTATTAATAATAAATAAATAAATAAATAAAACCACGTGCAAGAAATAAAAAATCAGCACGGCCGCCTTAGATTTGCTGGATGCACCTGCTCGGGGCTATTCATTCCGTTAATTTAATTTCATGAAAGGCACATACCGTAGGAGGGAATAACCCTCCAAAGTGTTTAAGAAAAGTGAACAAACGAACGGATAGATAGATAAATAAATAAATAAATTCCGTCGCCCCTTAACTCTTTCTTTTTTGTGTGTGTAGTTATTTGACCACCCCCCACCCCCCGCAGAGGGCGCCGAACGGGAGCCGGAAGTTCTGGGGCGCCGCTGGCTCGCGGCGCAGGGTGCTCCTCTTTACCCCTTGCGGCGCCGGCGGCGACAGGAGACGCAGCAGCAGCAGCACGTCGAGCGACGGCGTCGAGCCTCGGAGCGCGCCTCCCCGGTGCGCCTGCGCGCCGCGTCCCGTGCGCGCATGCGCGCCCCCTAGCGCAGAGCGGCGCTTGGCAGGACTGTGGCTGCGTGAGGAGCTGCGCTCGGCGGCGGCGGCCGCCTCCTTCCTTCCCTCCCTCCTTCCTGGCTCCCCTCGCTCCGTCCGGCCTCCGCCTCCTCCTCCTCCTCCGCCGGGCGGCGGGCGGACCCAGCAGCCCGGCTGGAACCTCGTTGCGGCGCCGAGCCCCGGCTGAGGGGGGCAACAAAGGGCCATGGAGGGGGGGGCGCCGCCCGCACAGGTGAGGCGGGGGGGGGTTAACCCTGTCCTGCCCGGAGGGGGGTGTCAGAGGGGAGGGACCCTTCCCAGGAGGAGGGGGGTGGGTGGGGAGGGGGACACTCACACGCTGGGCTTCGGGGGTCCCGGGAGGAGCCAGCTGCGTTTTGTGGGGAGAGGGATAATCTATACTGGGGGGGGGAGAGAGAGGAAAATGTGTGTCTTTGGGGGGGTTAGAGGAAATGTGTGTCTTTTGGGGGGAGAGGGAAATGTGTGTCTTTTTTTGGGGGGGTCCTTAATCTGCGAGTCTTATGAAAGCTGCGTTTTGTAGGGAGAGGGATAATTTATACTGTGGGGGGGGGAGGAAAATGTGTGTCTTTTTGGGAGGGGTCCTTCCTCTGCGAGTCTTACGAAAGCTGCGTTTGGTAGGGAGAGGGGTGAACTCTACAGTGGGGGAAGGGAAATGTGTTTCTTTTTCTGGGGGGGGGATATCTTGTGCTTCCCCCTCTGCCTCCCCCTCCCCAGTTAGCTGCCTTTGGGGGGGCAGGTGGTGGTGCGGAGTTTGAGGGGTTCCCCCACCACCACCACTTTCCCACCCGGTGGGCCTGTCAAAAGCCGGCCCAGACAGCTGCTTGCTGCAGTCCTTGGAGGCTGCCTGCCTGTACTGGAGGGGGGGGGCGCCTCTGTCGTAGCTCTTGAAATCTATGCAAAAAGGGGTGGTGGTGGGGGACAAGCATTTATCCCTCTCTCTGTGTGTGTTTTCCGCCCCCCACTTTCCGATTTTCCCTGGGCTTCTCCTGCCACAGTTTGGCAGATTACACCCCGCCTTCCTTCCCTTAACCTTATTGCTACCATGCAAATGGCACAACCAGCTGGTCATTTGTGGCCTGTGCAGTAGAATGAGAAGTGGGGGGAGGGAGGAGGGAGGGAAGAAAGAGAGATTTGTTTACATCAGGCTTTGTTTTCGGCCATCATTGGGGCTCGGGGCATTTGCCTTTCCAAAGAGGGCTAGCCTCCCCATCCCATAACCCTGCTCTCCTGCCTGCTCTCCCTTATCCCTAAACCCCTATTCCTGTTGGGAATACCCCTCTCCAGCGAGGTGGTGCTGATCTTTTAGGAAGAGGGGTGAAGAAGAAGAAAGCGTAAGCGTTTAATCCTCCGGCCCTCCTTGCTTACACAGATTTCACCCAAGGCGTTGATTCTGTGAGAAACCCCCTGATCTCTTTCAACCTTTCATTTCTTTCTTCCGGAGCCTGACACAGACACCAATTCTGTCTCCTGTCCTGCATGTTTCTAACCAGCTGTCAGTAGCCTTGAGTGCAGGGAGAGAGATAGAGAGAGAGATGGGATGTTGTTGTTAATATTAAGGTGAAGCCAAAACAGATCTGTCTTTGGACAGGAAGGATGGGGTTCCTGCTCTTCGTTCTATAGACCAGTTTGGAGAACAGGATGTTATTTCTTCTTTGTGTGGGGAGAGATATTCCATTATAAAATGTTGGTGGGGTTCCACAGCAGCCGCCCTTGTTATCTGAAGATTAGCTCTCCTCTGAACAATCTCCAGTTTTCTGGGTCTTGCTCTTAAACTGTGTCTGAAATCTCAGGTGAAGGCCGGGTACAGGGACCATTCTGGAGCAACTGGGAAGCGTATGTGTTTGTGTGTGTGTGTGTTGAGTTCAGCTTGCCCTGTGGTAGAATTGACCCTAAAAACAGTACCATGGCCAGGGCCTTGTAAATGCATGGCAAGCCCTCAGCATAGCCTCCCCTCCTAAAAAAATGGTAATGAGGAAGGAGGCGTGGCCACGGGGCTGTCTTCTGATGCACCTGAGGCAAGGATGCTCCTGGCATAGGATTTCCCCCTGTTCAGTATAAAGTTATTGGCTAAGGCTGCAGTCTACTCAGAAGCAAGCCCCGCTGAGTTCAGCAAAGCTCACTCCCAGTGAAGTGGGATTACGATTGCGGCCTTATGCAAAGGAGTGCATAGACATTCTGCTTCTTAATTTAGAGCTCCCCTGGGCAGGGCTCACACAGGAAGCGCTAAGGTGTTAGCCAGGAAGTGGGGTTTTGAGAGTTGATGGGGGAACTGCAGCAACCTAAAGCCTCTCTGAAGAACCACAAGCCCGGCTGGAGGTAGAAGGAAGAGAGACTGACTCAAGCTGGCTTCTGCCACGGTTTTGTTATTTGTCAGGCAGTTATTAGGGCCTTTCCCCAGCTGGAGATTCCCGGTGGTTAAGCTGGTTCATGTCTGTAGTGCAAATGGGGCTGCCCCACCAGGCAGAAGGTTGCGCTTAGCTTTGCAGATATTGAATGTCTCAGGGAACAACGGGGCACTTTTTCTTTTCTTTTTTACTCCTTACTGGGTTTTTAATTTTATTTTAAACAACCACCCTGTATTTGATATTTACAGAGTATCTTCTGAAATACATGTTGTGCGCATTTTAAGATACACATGTGCCACTTGTGGTAACTGAGGGTATATGCTTCTGTGGATTTTTTTCCTAGGATCCACAATCCTTCCAAATTTAGGGAGCCAAACTTAAATTTCAACTATCCTGGTTTTGGAAGCATCCATGCCAACATAAATTGGCTTTCCCCCACCAACCTGGTGCCCTCCAGATCTGAAGACATCAGGTCTAGATGAGTGTCATTAGAGCTTTAGCTTCTGTTAGAAGTTCAGCGAGATGTTGAATTACACACACACATGCACAAAGTTGCGCCATTTTTATTTATTTGTATGCTGCCTTTCTGCAAAAAGCAGCTCTATGAAAAATTCTAAAACCATCAATATTGAATAACTTGCATGCACGAAATCATTTCTAAAACAGCAATCAATATGAGCAGCATGGGCCCCTGTGATGACAGGGAGCATTTTGCTAGCTCAGTTCTCTTCCAGATCTTTCTTTTAACAGAGCCAAGCCAGGTAGCCTACACTCCTGCTGTAGCTCTCCTGCCTCTGGGCTAAGCACAGGAGCCAAGTGGAATCATAGAATTGTAGAGTTGGAAGGGACCGTGAGGGTCATCTAGTTCAGCCCCCTGCAGTGCAGAAATCTTTTGCCCAATGGGGGGCTTGAACTGAACCCATGACCCATGAGATTAAGAGTCTCATGCTCTACTGACCATGCTACTCTGAGGGAGCCTCACAGCTCAGAGGCAGTATGCCTCTGATTGCTAGATTCTGGGGATAACAACAGGGAAGGACCGTGCCCTGTTGCCATGCCCTGTGTGTGAGGACTGAAGGGCATTTGGCTGTCAGCCAGGATGCCAGACAAACTGGAGCTTTGAGCTAATGGTGCAAGGTGATCTTTATGCTAGCCTTTCCCAACCAGATGCTCTCCAGATGTTTAGGGACTACAATGTCCATCAGCCCCAGCATCATACGGGAGAGCTGATGATGGGAGTTTTCATCCAAAACATCTGGAGGGCACCTGCTTTGAAAACACTTGCCTCATGTAGTTACGCCCTTCCTCTCGTATAGGCAGGTGTTGCTGCAAATGTGTGTGTTCAGGTCTATGGGCAATGCACTTGCCTTGCCTGTTGGTTAGCCCACAGATCCAAGAAATTCCAAATAATCATTCCATCATGCTATTTGGACGCCACCTTTCCAAAGACAAAACCATGCTCAAGGCGGCTTGCAACATAAAAAAAACTTTGGTAACTGCAGACATAGCAAAAGTAGCCATGAACAATAAACAGAAGACCAGAAAGCACACATCCAAACTGAACAATTTCCACATGAATCGTAAGAGCCTAAAGATATAAAAAATTAACAGCAACAACTGCCCCCCAACAAGACCCCTCAAACAAAAACCCAGCCCATTAAAATAACAGCTCCTGTACATTCGCACACAATTGCTTGCATGTTTACCCAACAAGGGGAGCTGCTAATGAGAATGGAACCTGTTTGCCCTGGCCTTTTAGTGCTGGATATATCCCTGGGTGTGCCCCATTTGCTCTCGTACCTGCTCTTGACCAGCTGCGCTCGGCTATTCCATCAAACACATTATCTCAGCGATCTGGTTCTGTTGTGGCTACATGCCTAGCAAATTGAGAGTGGGAGCTTGAATTGGGAGCGCCCAGTTCACAATCTCACTGCGCTGTCTTACAGGCGTCTCCTCTGAAGTAAGCCTCATTGCCGTCAGTGGGACTTGCTCTTTTGGATTAGCATCCTTAGTAAGGGTGGTGGTGAGGAATCGTTTGCCCTCCAGGTGCTGTTGGATCTTCCAGATGCCACCAGCCATCCAAATGGCCAACGGTTAGGGATGACAGGGATTCATTTGTTTAAAACAGTGTTAGGCTCACCTTCATTGTCAAGCAACCCCAAGGTGGGGACACTGAAACGAAACAAGCTTAGGTAAGTTCAACAGCATTGGAGAATCACAGGTTTCTTCTTGCTGGTTCACAGGGCTGGAACATCCCCCCTCCCCAGCCAGTTGTAGTTTCAAGCATCCCACTGGAGTGCATTGAAAATGTGGGCTGCAACAACAACAAAAAGTCTTTTAAGATTGGCACCTCAAACTTATTATGGCATAAGCTTTTGTGGACCAGAGTCCACTTCGTCAGAAGTCTTATCCTGACCTGCAAGTACATATATACTTGGTGGTAGTGGTGGGATTATAAAAAGTGAGGTCAGGAGGATTTGACGGCTGCTCCTCTGGAAATGAGGACAATGAGCAATTATGTCTGTACTCCTGGGCAGAGAGCATTGGCTAAGACTTCCCTTTTCCAAGGCTGCCTATCTTCCCACGAGTCAGTGCAAGGGAATATGGATAGCCAGGGCTCTCCTTTGGGGCTTGGTTGGCCACAAAGCCAAGAACAGCAGTAAGGAACCCAATGCAATGGCACTTTCAATTCCCAGCAAGTGGTATTCAGCAGCGTTCAAAATTCACCAGGCGCATTTTGCACCTGGCTATCAGCCGCTTGCGACCAAGTGAAAATGCCTGGGAGACAATATGGCGCTTGACACCTCCCCCAACTGGAGGTGCATGCCTGGGGTTCCTTGGATCTTGACTGTTTTCACACATCCTGTAGAATTCTATCCATTGTATTTTATCTGCACAATCGGAATGGATTTCAGGAGCAAAAAGGTCACATTGAAAAATACGACTTTCGATCCCCGAATGGCAACTAGGCATTCCGTTTTGGCGACTGTAACGACTGTAACCTTGGCTTAGGGAGCAATTTGGCAACTAGCTTGTATATCTGAGTTTCTAACACGGGTATTCAGAGACAGTGGAGGTAGTAGGCATCCATCCTAACAATGCCTACTCATTTATACTCAGGCCCATTAAATTTAATAGGGTTTCCTCCCAGGTGAATGGGGTTAGCAGCGCAGCCCCATTCGCCACTGAAGAAGCCGAACGAATAACAGAAAAAGGGACATGGGAGTAAACTGCTTTAGAAAGTGAGGTGCAAATAAAGTAGTGAAACAACAACTTCCCAGCAACAATCACATCATATGCAATATGTTATGCTCTTGGTAGGCTCCTTTGGTGATATAAAAATAGTTGTAAGAAACATTCTAGTAAAAAAACCCAATGACCCACACCGAGTTCATGCTGGGTAACCAAAATGATCAAGGGGATGGAATGACTCCCCTGTGGAGGAAGGTTGCAGCGTTTGGTACTTTTTAGTTTAGAGAAAAGGTAAGAAGCAACGTGAGAGAAGTTTATAAAATGATGCACGGCATCTAGAAAGTGGGTGGAGAAAAGTTTTTCTCCTTCATACCTGTGGGCATCCCAGTGAAGCTGAATGTGGGAAGATCTAGGATAGATAAACGAAAGTCCTCTTTCATGCAATGCATAGTTAAACTGTGGAACTCAATGCCACAGGAGGCAGCAATGGCCACCAACATGGATGGCTTTCAAAGGGGATTAGACAAATTCATGGAGGGGGAGAGAGCTGTCAACGGCTACCAGCCACGATGGCTATCTTCTGCATCCACAGGCAGAGGCAGCAATGCTGTCATCTGGCTGGCCACTGTGAGAACAGGATGCTGGGCTAGATGGGCCATTGGCCTGATCCTGCAGGCTCTTCTTATGTTCTCAAGTGTGGAGCAGTGCATTCATATTTTCATTGCAGGACAGTGAGCACTGGAAGCTGCTTATCCTGGATCAGACCAATGGTCCATCCAGCTCACTATCACCTTCACCAGTCTTGGGGGACCTGTGGGCCTCTAGATGTTATGGGACTACAACTCCCATCGTCCCTGACTTGGTCATGTTGGCTGCTGGAGCAGATGGGAGCTGGGAGTTGATGTTTAGAGACCAACAGGTCTACCACCACTGCTCTACACTGTCAGTGCCTCTCCAGGTTTTCAGACAGAGATTTTTGCCAGCCCTTGCTGGAGATGCCTGCAATTGAGCCTTGGACCTCCTGCGTGCAAACCAGTTGCTGTGGCTGTTTCCCCTAACCCTTGTCTTTTTCTTCAACCAGGCATCAGAACTGGACCGGGAGCCTCGGCGACGGTTTCCTCCTCGGCTCCCCACCGACCCCGACCAAATGTTCGAAAGGGAAACGCAGACCGCTGAGATCTCTCTCACCTTGGTGGCGTCCTTCCAAGCGATGGAGAAGAAGGTGGAGTCTCACGCCACGCGGTTGCTGGATTTGGAGGGCAGGACGGGGATGGCGGAGAAGAAGATAATAGACTGCGAGAAAACAGCTGTGGAAATCGGGAACCAACTGGAGAGCAAGTGGGCTGCTTTGGGGACTCTGATCCAGGAGTACGGGCTGCTGCAAAGGAGGCTGGAGAACATGGAGAACCTCCTGAAGAACCGTAATTTCTGGATCCTCAGGTTCCCCCCGGGCTCCAAGGGAGAAACCCCCAAGGTAAGGACCTCATTGGTGCTGCAGGATAATGGTGTATCTTCCACCTAGATCCGTGGTCTGAGCATGCAAACCTGAGCATGAAAACAACTAATCAGGATGCGGCAGCTAGACTGGTGCCTGGGAGTAGAAGCCGAGACCATATAGCAACGGTCCTGAAAGACCTACATTGGCTCCCAGTACGTTTCCGAGCACAATTCAAAGTGTTGGTGCTGACCTTTAAAGCTCTAAACAGCCTCGGTCCAGTAGACCTGAGGGAGCGTCTCCACCCCCATCGTTCAGCCCAGACACAGGTCCAGCTTTGAGGGCCTTCTGGCGGTTCCCTCCCTGCGAGAAGTGAGGTTACAGGGAACCAGGCAGAGGGCCTTCTCGGTAGTGGTGCCCGCATTCCCATCAGATGTCAAGGAAATAAACAACTACCTGACTTTTAAAAGACATCTGAAGGCAGCCCTGTTTAGGGACACTTTTAATGTTTGATGTTTTATCGTGTTTTTAATATTCTGTTGGAAGCTGCCCAGAGTGGCTGGGGAAACCCAGCCAGATGGGCGGGGTATAAATAATAAATTATTATTATTATTGTTATTATTGCGAAGCTTTAAAAGGAAATTAAACAAATGCATGGTGGATGACAAGTCTATGAGGCTGCAGTCGTATGGACGCATTGAAGCCAACTTCTGAGTTGGCATGTGTAGGACTGCATGGTCAAGCAAGCTTTATGGAACCTCCATATGCAAGAGCAGTCTATCACTGAGTCCCAGTTAGTGGGGAGCAACAGCAGGATCAAGTTATTGCCTTCAGGCCTTCTTTGGTTGACTATGGTTGGAAAACAGGATCTTTGAGTAGATGGACCTTTGATCTGATCTAGGGAAAACTGGGACTTGGGAAAACAAGGCCCTGTCTAATGTCCCTGGGCAGGGCGAGTCAGTGTTGAGACTGAAAGATTAAAAAAAGACTCTTGAGCCTTTATTTTGTTTCATCTTGGTTGCATTTAGTTAACTCATGTTGAGAGGAAAGGTTTGCAGAAATAGCTCATAGGAGGGAATCTAAATTTCTTCTTTTTTATTTAAAGAAGATGAAGTGAGACAGCTGTCCAGAAGAAGCTATAATTTACATAGAGATGGAGTCTAGATTTCTGCACAATTCAGACATCCAATTTCTGCAGTTTGAAATAATTTGCGACAGTGAAATTGGTTCTACTTAATCTATGTCTTTTGTTTGGTGGCAAAGCTGACAGAGGGAGGAGAGTTCTTCTAAGGCAGGGGTGTCGTTGGACTACAACTCCCATCATTCCTGGCTATTGCCTATGCTGGCTGGGGCTGATGGGAATTGCAGTTGACAATATCTTGCACATTCCTTGGGAATAAGTGATACTGAGTTCATGGGAATTTACTGCATAGGATTGAGCTGTTGGGGATGTTTTGAATAAGGAGGTGGGGGACCAGGAGAGTTAGGGGGTGTTCTCACTCATTTGACGCTTAGGAGGACAACCATGGTGATATTGTAGTTAGTTCACCATACAGTCGTGGTAAAGATATACATGCATGGTTAGATACTAGTTCAGAAAATAAAAATGTTCAATCCAAGATCAGTCAAGAGAATGGGAACATTATTAACGGTCTTCAAACAAAAACATCTTGGAGGTCCCAGGCCACAGATTGGTTAGGCTGGCCTCAACCAGAGCCAGGGCTTTTTCGGCTGTGGCTCCGATCTGGTGGAACGCTCAGTCCCAAGAGACTAGGGCCATGCGGGACTTGACATCTTTCCGCAGGGCCTGCAAGACAGAGCTGTTCCACCAGGCCTTTGGCCAGGGCACAGCCTGACCCCCTCCTTTGGTAATTCTTCACAGAACTCGAGCCCAATGGTTGCCGTCAATTTGATTTGAACTGATTTTATAATGAATTGATTTTAGAATGCTGTATTATTTTACTGTTGTTAGCCGCTCTGAGCCGGGCTTTGGCTGGGGAAGGCGGGATATAAATAAAATTTTATTATTATTATTATTATTATTATTATTATTATTATTATTTTCATAGAAGCGAAGAGAGCTACTATTCGCATGTGATCAGTGCAAAATTGAAGCAAATTTGGAGAGAACCTGCAATCCACGCATTTGCTTTTTAATATACCTCCGCCACGTAGTCCATTGGCTTAGCAGTGCCTTGCAAAACACATATCAAATGGGTCGATTTATCTGAAACTATGATACGCAAGGCCTTTGTGAACCAGATGTTAAGGGGAAAAGATTGGCGTACTTTTCCATAATGTTTCCAATAAGAGAACCTACAGTGGTTGATTTTGGCCCAGGGGTTTCCAGCTGGGATCCTAGCTCTTACAAAAGCAGGTGTGAAATGTTGGTTGGATGAGAAGCTTGGAGAATGCTGACAGCTCTTGTGGTTGCAGGTTCCCGTGACGTTTGACGACGTGTCCGTCTATTTCAACGAAAAGGAGTGGGAGAAGCTGGAGGAGTGGCAGAAGGAGCTGTACAAGAACTTAATGAAGGGGAACCACGAATCCTTGATCTCTCTGGGTAATGTTGCGCAAGGCAGTTGTGGACTCCAGCTGGCCTGGACAGGGAACTCCATGCATCCTTCCGGGGAAGGGCTGAATTTGAGTGCCAAACCATTTGTCTCTGGGGCCAGATAATCATGGGGCACTCTGCTTATGCTGTCCCTACTTAAGCCAGATCATTTGCTTAATCTGCTGGAAGCTGTTTCCACTCTCATTACGTCCAGCACTCTGGACCATTGTCTGTTCAGCTGATTCTTTGATTGATTGATTGGGGAATGGGCATCCCCACCTTCCAAATCGGAATTTGCATGGTTGATCTTGTCACGTTGATAACCAGCCTGGAATTGCGATCGACGTTGTTACAAGCTTGTGTCTGAACCCAGTATTCCTGTGTCTCCCTACACACATTGCCAAGAGGTTTCAGACCTTTGGCCAGAGTTATAACACGTGTTCATTACAAATACTGTATGTGTTTACTCTTAACCTTATGCCCCAGGAAGTTCACGCACAAGAGGAATAAATCGGGTTTATTGCATGGACTGAAAGCGAGAGGGTATAGCGATTGTGCCTCAGGCAGCGAAGTTATAAGCAGGAAGCAACTCATGCGAGATACACACCTTGATTTAAAGAGTAAAGAAGGGTCCCTATCAAAAGCAGCCTGCATTTTGGAACATGCCACGAATTCCCCCAAGAGGAAGAGCTGTTTGACAGTGGAACGGTCTCCCTTGGGAGGTTGTGGACTCTCCTTCCTTAGAGCAGCCTTTCTAAACTTTCTCTCCTTTCTTAGAGCAGCCTTTGAATTACAACTCCTATCACCCCTAGCTAGCAAGGCCAGAGCTCAGGGATGATGGGAGTTGTAGTCCAACAACATCTGGGGGACCCACAGCTTGAGAACTGCTGCCTTAGAGGTTGTTCAGCAGAGGTTGCCTGGCCATCTGTCAGGGATGCGTTAGCTGTGATTCCTGCGTAGCAGTGGGTTGGGCTAGATGACCTTTGGGGTGCCTTCCAACTCTAAAATTCTATGATTCTGTGATTCTATGAAATGTAAAGGAGGCAACAAAATAAAATATGTCCCTACCTCCACACCCCGCTCTTCATGTAAAGAGTATGATTTACAGGCAGAAACTGTGTCTTCGCATCAAATTACCGTATTTTTTGCTCTATAAGACTCGCTTTTTCCCTCCTAAAAAGTAAGGGGAAATGTGTGTGCATCTTATGGAGCGAATGCAGGCTGCGCAGCTATCCCAGAAGCCAGAACAGCAAGAGGGATGGCTGCTTTCACTGCACAGCGATCCCTCTTGCTGTTCTGGCTTCTGAGATTCAGAATATTTTTTTTCTTGTTTTCCTGCTCCAAAAACTAGGTGCGTCTTATGGTTTGGTGCGTCTTATAGAGTGAAAAATACGGGTAGATGTTGGGGAATGAAAGATAAGATTCATGCCTTTCGTTAACAGTCGTCAACAGGTTTACCATACCTATTAGCCAATCACCCATTCCCACTACCCTTCTGAGAAATACCCCTCCCCACCCTCTCACTATATAGAAGGGTCTGGTGACTTCTGTTTCAGAGTATCTGAAGAAGTGTGCATGCACACAAAAGCTCATACCCAGAACAAACTTAGTTGGTCTCTAAGGTGCTACTGGACATTTTTTTTAAATTTTTTTTGGAAGGATTCTTTTAAATACTTTTTTAGGGGGGGAAGTTTTTTTAAGGACTTGATTCTTTTAAAGGATTTTTTTGGGAAGAGTTTTTTAAATAATCTTTTTCTAGGTTTTTATTTATTTATTTCGACTACGGCAGACCAACACTGCTACCTACCTGAATCTATTGGCTGCCTGTTCATGCAACACTTTGATGCTGGGTGTTTTTGGACCTGTTCATGAAAGTAGTTCACCTCTTTCTTCTCCTTTTGTCTCATGTTAGGGTTAGGGCCAGGGCCTTTTCAGCACTGGCCCCGACTTGGTGGAACGCTCTGTCACAAGAGACCAGGGCCCTGTGGGACTTGACATCTTTCCGCAGGGCCTGCAAGACAGAGCTGTTCCGCCTGGCCTTTGGTTTGGACTCAGTCTGACCCTTATGTTTCCCTCCCCTTATGGTCTTGATTTATCGGCTACTTTTAAAATGAGGCTGCATTTTAAATTGCATTTTAACCTGTGTTTTAAATTGGGTCCCCCCCCCACATTATGTTTTTTACTGTGATTTTATTGGTGTTATCTGCCCTGAGCCCAGCTCTGGCCAGGGAGGGTGGGGTATAAATAAAATTTATTTTTATGTTTATATTTATTTGTTTGTTCATGTGCAGAATTTCTCCCCTGCCCTTCTAGCGCCCATGTACCACTCAGGGTGGCTTACAACAATTTTAAATCGCAACACAATCAATATACATTTATTTATTTGTCAAAATTTATTTGCCGCTTAATCAACAGAAATCTGTAAGCGGTTTACATAAAACCATGTGAAACAGTAATTTAAAATGCTGACTAACTGCCTCCCACCCGTCTCCTAAACCGGTGACCGTCTTGTTCTTTGTCTCCAACAGACTATGCAATTTCTAAGCCGGGCGTTTTGGCCCAGGCGGAGCCTGGTACCGACTCGTGTCTTGGAGATGAGCAGGACTCAGAAGAGCAAGGCAGTCTTCCTGATCCTACTGCAGGTGAGCAACGGGTCTGTAGGATTTGTGCTGCAGGTCTGTCTCCGTGTGTGTGGGGTGTGTGTGTGTCCTGCAACAAAAGGCACTGCTTTAAGTTCAGACAGAACTGTTTAGTCCTGCTTCAGTATTTATTTCTCTCTTTTTTTTACAAACAAACCCCACTGTCACAAAACTCGTTTTATGCAAATCGTAGCCATGATGGCTGTGCTGGGCCTCCAGAATTTGAGGCGGGGTTGCTTCTGAATCCTAGCTGCTGGAAACCACAGGAGGGGAGAGGCGCTGTTGTGCTCAAAGCCTGCTTGCAGGTTTCTCATGCTCAGAGCAGCCTAGCTCCTGTCAGTACGCCTTTCAACCGATGTGCAGCAACTAGGCTCAATAGCTGGTTCTGCCCCGACTGGGCTAGGTGACTGGAGCACTTTTAGAGACCTTGCAATCCTGGGAAACAGGTCCCAGTGCCCTGGACCCACAACTGTGCATTGTGAGCACCATGCAGAATATAAATAACGCGGAAGCTAGCCGTGAAGCATAACTCCTTTTATTTATAATAGCTACTACAAACTAACGAACTACTGGCTTGCATGAGTGTTACAGCTCCCACTCAGCCACCTAGTCACAACATAGATAAGACTCTCTCTACAAACAGAGTAAGGCATTCAGTCAGGAGCGGAAGAGGAGAAGAGCAGTTTCCGCCCACTCCTTTCTCAAAACATCAGATCAGGAGATTCTTGCAATGGGAGGGGGTGAAAATATCAACAGCTCCTGCACTTTCTGCCAGCTGCAGCTTTAGGGGCAGCCCCATGTAGAGGGCATTGCAGCAGTCCAGGCAAAAGGGTGGGATATTTGTTGTTTAGTCATGTCCGACTCTTCGTGACGCCCTGGACCAGAGCACGCCAGGCACTCCTGTCTTCCACTGCCTCCCACAGTTTGGTCAAACTCATGCTGGTAGCTTCGAGAACACTGTCCCACCATCTTGTCCTCTGTCGTCCCCTTCTCCTTGTGCCCTCCATCTTTCCCAACATCAGGGTCTTTTCCGGGAGTCTTCTCTTCTCCTGAGGTGGCCAAAGTCTTGGAGCCTCAGCTTCAGGATCTGTCCTTCCAGTGAGCACTCAGGGCTGATTTCCTTCAGAATGGAGAGGTTTGATCTTCTTGCAGTCCATGGGACTCTCAAGAGTCTCCTCCAGCACCAGAATTCAAAAGCATCCATTCTTCGGCCATCAGCCTTCTTTATGGTCCAGCTCTCACTTCCATACATCACTACTAACAAAACCATAGCTTTACCTGTACGGACCTTTGTTGGCAAGGTGATGTCTCTGCTTTTTAAGATGCTGTCTAGGTGGGATATAAAAGCGTTAAATATATAAATAGGCTACCTAGTCTGGAGTCCGCGTGGAATGATGGTGCTGCGTTCCTGGTGCATCCTAGTCCAGTGGCAGAACATGCAGGGGCTGGCTGTTGAAGGGGGTTTCTTGAGAACAGCGAGAGCCACTGCCAGCCCCCTTCCCTGCAATGTTGTCGCTGCAGGCGTTCGCTGATCCTCCTGCAATTTTACATTTTTGTAAAAAAATAAAATCCTCTTCCTTTCTGAATCCTTCCTCCCGCAGCTGGCATCAGGGTGGTGATCAAAACAGAGGAGCCCCATTCCGACGACTGCCCGGAAGACCTGGAGCCGCACCAAATGTCCGGGAGCTCGGAGGGGGATTTCCAGGGCCTGGATCAAGAAGCCCCCTGCAGAAGTCCTTACAGCGCAGCCACACCTCTGGGGAACTTTGCAGGGAATAACCTCGAGGAAGTGGGCGACTACGACATGGGCTTCGGGGAAATCAAGAGAGTAACTGTCCAGCACGGCACATGCACAGGTAAGAGCTTGCAAAACAAGGTTTATTAAATTTCTGAGAAATCAATCAACTTAACCAAATACAACTTGATGGTTGTTCCATCAATACTGCAAACAGCCCCAGTGTTCCAAAGGAGCCTTAAGATAAATAGCATAGCCAATGGACTATTTCGCTCTAGTAAGTCTCTTTCTCTTGCATGTGATTGTGGGGGTCTTCAAGTTGGTGGCCAGGTTGCACGGAACAGCAATGGGTCCAATCTCCCTCTGGCAGCATGCAGTTGGTGTGTCCGTTTTTCTAACGCATACCAGGTGCGCATCCGCGGGTTGCAATTCGCCGCTTCTGTGCATGCGTGTGACGTCATTTTGAGCATCTTCACATGCGCAGTCAGCGAAACCCGGAAGTAACCCGTTCCGTTACTTCCGGGTCGCCCCGAAGCGCAACCTGGAAATGCTCAGCCTGAAGCATCTTTAACCCGAGATATGACTGTATTTCCACCTGTGCTGCTGGCAGCAGAGCAGCAGAGGCGTCCTTTGATTTTCTGAGTGAAGTGGGCCAGGGAGCCTTCGAGGGAGTCTTGGGCTGAGCTGGGGTTTGCATAAAGGTTTCCCAGCTTATATTCTGGCTCTTGCCATCCACGAACTGAGGGTAACTCTGAGGCTGGGGAGAGCAGCACCTCACAATCTTGCAGTGCAAAATTCCTCTCCCCCTACCACTCTCCCTTGATCAGTGGAGTTCCCGGAGGGGTGCGTGGTAATCGCCCTTCTTCTCTCCTCACCCCCAGCCCTGCTGAGAGAGCAAATCCAGCCATTCCCCAAAGCCATATAACCACTCTGATCAAGGTAGTAATCATAATAATAATAATAATAAAATAATTTATTTATACCCTGCCCTCCCCAGCCAAGACCAACACCGGTATAAAAACAATTGATTGAAATACAACATTAAAATGCAGCCTCATTTCAGTAGGAACTCAAATCAAAAACTTTTGGGGATGAAAACGTCAAGTCTTCACCAAGGCCAACTATCCAGACTGGTCCTACGTGGGCCAGAAAAAAGCCAGGGAAGTCCCCAAATAGGAGTTACAACACAGAAGGAGAAGGGAAAAAGGAAAGAGGGGATCAAATTGACTCCAAGCCAAAGGCCAGGCGGAACAACTCTGTCTTACAAGCCCTGCGGAAAGAAATCAGATCCTGCAGGGCCCTGGTCTCATGAGACAGAGCGTTCCACCAGGCCGGAGCCAGTGTTGAAAAGGCCCTGGCTCTGGTTGCGGCTAATCTGACTTCCTTAGGGTAGTCTGTGTGGATTGCGAAAGTTGCCATTTTTTTAAAAAAGAAAGAAAAGTAATTCCTACTCTTTAGCATTGAGAGGGTTGCAGGGACTCATGACTGTCAACAAACTGGCAGGCCGTTTTCAGGAAATCCTGGAGAAACTTTAACCCTGAAATGTTTCCCCTGCCGATCAAGTGACGCCCTGACCTTTCCTTTTGTTTCCCTCCAAGATGGCGGCATTGTGATCAAAATGGAGGAGGAGGAGGAGGAAGAAGAGGAAGAGGAGGAGGAGGAGGAAGAAGAAGAAGACCCTGTCAACTTGGAGCCGCGTGGGCTGTTCTCCTCGAGAGCGGAGCCCCCCTGCTCGCTGAATTGCAACGTGGAAGTGATGCGGGAAGAGAAGCGGGTGGTGAAGCCCTCCAGGGCCACGGTGGGCATCTGCGCCCCTCTGTGCGAAAGGGACAGTGGCGTCGAGTCGCGGCCGGTCACCTTCCAGCAGAGGAACCGGACGCGCGAGAGGCCGTACATCTGCCCGGAGTGCGGCAAGAGCTTCATGCTGCGCATCAACTACATAATCCACCAGCGCAACCACCTCAAGGAAGGCCCCTACGAGTGCCACGCCTGCGACCTCAGCTTCCGCATCAAGCAACAGTTCCTGCTGCACCAACGGCTGCACACCGCGCGGCGCGGGGTGGCTCCCCCGCCCCGGCGGGGCCAGGCCTACCCCGACAAGCGCAGCCTCAAGCCGCAGCCCAGGCCCCCGCCGGCCCCGGGGAAGCCCTACAAGTGCGGCGAGTGCGAGAGCAGCTTCAGCCACAAGTCGAGCCTGAGCAAGCACCAGATCACGCACGTGGGCGAGCGGCCGTACTCGTGCGGCGAGTGCCGCAAGAGCTTCCGGCTGCAGATCTCGCTGGCCATGCACCAGCGGGTGCACGCCGGCAAGAACGAGCTGTCCTTCATCTGCCCGCAGTGCGGCAAGGCCTTCAGCCGCCCCTCGCACCTCCTGCGGCACCAGCGGACTCACACGGGCGAGCGGCCCTACAAGTGCAGCCAGTGCGACAAGACCTTCAGCGAGAAGTCCAAGCTGACCAACCACTACCGGGTGCACACGCGGGAGCGGCCCCACGCCTGCGGCGAGTGCGGCAAGGGCTTCATCCGCAAGCACCACCTGCTGGAGCACCAGCGCATCCACACCGGCGAGCGGCCCTACCACTGCACCGAGTGCGGGAAGAACTTCACCCAGAAGCACCACCTCCTGGAGCACCAGCGGGCGCACACCGGCGAGAGGCCCTACCCCTGCACGGAGTGCGCCAAGTGCTTCCGCTACAAGCAGTCCCTCAAGTACCACTTGCGGACACACATGGGGGAATGAGGACTGCTTCGCCCCCTTGCTCTCTCCCATCGCACTAAAGCCCGGGGATCGGGGAACTGACGGGGTGGGGAGCTGGGGGTTGGGGGGAGAATCCTCCCAGTGCACCCCTCCGCCCTCTCCCCTGCCCCGTGCCCTGGGAGCACAGACTCATGGTCTCGTCCTTCAAGTAAATAACGGGTTTCAGAACCAAACTAACCATACCTGTGTTGGCACCGCGCCACCTGCCAGCCCTGAACTCTCCGCCTTGCTTCTGCCTTCCCTGCCCTGTTCTGCTTTTTTTTATAATAAATGTGGAGTCTGATTTTTCTTTGGTAAGCAAATGCCTTCAGGTTTTGGGTTTGTTTCACGAGTGTCTGGGAACTCTGTATCCTGGGGAAAGCCCAGGTGAACAGAAGGTCCTCAAGGAGCTAGTCCTGAGTGTGTGTATGAGCATGTTTAGACCCGAGGAGAGAAAGCCCCAAAGGACCCCTTTCAGCAGGGACAGGAGGAACCCCAGCGTTGCCACATTTGCCTTAAGATGCGTTGTGCAATTTGGAGGAGGGGCAGCATCCTTGTGTGTACTTTGCACTGTTGTTGCACAGTTTGGGTCTTCTTTGACACTGGGCAGAACTGACATATTATTTGTTTCCCCTGTGGGAGAGAAGTTTGGATTTGTAATTACTCAGGAGGTGGGGGAAACATGCTGGGAGAAGAAACTGCTTGTGATTATTTCAGGAAGACTCCATTGGTTTTCTTCCCCCTGGTACATATGAAGCATCCTTAAAGGTAAAGGGACCCCTGACCATTAGGTCCAGTCGTGGCCACTCTGGGGTTGCAGCGCTCATCTCGCTTTACTGGCCGAGGGAGCTGGCGTACAGCTTCCGGGTCATGTGGCCAGCATGATTAAGCCGCTTCTGGCGAACCAGAGGAGCGCACGGAATCGCTGTTTACCTTCCCGCCGGAGTGGTACCTATTTATCTATTTATCCTTACCTGGTCAAATGGCGGGTCCTTCTAGCTTGCTATTTCCTGCTTTGATTGCAGGAACTCTCAGGGCTCCTTCTAGACCTTTCTCCCCGAATCCCCTTCTTATTGAACCTGGAGTTTTTGCATTGCAAAGCTGTAGGCCATATGCCTTTATTGTGGGGCATTTTAAAACTTGTGATCAAAAGGGCTAGAAACTGGGATGTTATAAGACACCATATATTGTATTGCTATGGTGGTGCTGTGAGGTTCCAGATACTGAAAAGGATGCCAACCAATTCTTCCCTGGAGCCTCTGAGGGTGAAATAAAGGAGTGAGGAGCTTTGTGGCGGCTTCATACTTCCTTAACTCCAGTTCCTTAGTCCTCTGGAGTGTTGATGGGAGACAGGAAGGATGTATAGCTTCTCTTGGCCTGGGTTTAGCAGTGAATGATTTATGTTCCGCCTCTGCGGCCGGAGGCAGCATGTCTCTGAATACAAACTGCCAGGAATCACAAGTGGGGGTGACACAGGAGGCAGCAGTGGCCACCAACCTGTGGCAGGGAAGACCCCTTTCAAAGACACCCAGTGCAAGGCCAGAGGCTGCCAGTGGGGCAGGGTCACTGGGACTAGCGTTGACAGGTAGCTGGCTCAAAAAAGCTGCCCAGAACCTCTCTGCTGCTACAGGAGTCTCGTTTTGGGAAGGAGGTCTTACTTCACAGTGCATAGTTAATCTGTGGAACTCCTTCCCACAGGAGGCAGTGAGGCCACGAACTTGGATGGCTTTAAAAGCAGATTGGGAAAACTCATGGAAGAGAAGAGGGCTCTTGATAACACTACAATGCTTCTGAATCTCAGCTGCTGGACGCCACAGGAGGGAGGGTGGGCTCTTGTGCTTGGATCCTGCTTGCTGGTTTCCCTTAGGGGCACCCGGTTGGCCACCGTGAGAACAGGGGGCTGGCCTGGACAGGCAGTTGGCATGAGGTTGTCTCTAGGCTCTTCTTAGGCTTTTACGGAACCTCCAGTTCCGGATGCAGTCTATTTAGAGCAGAGTTTCCCAACCTTGGGACTCCAGCTGTTTTTGGACTACAACTCCCATCATCCCTAGCTACCAAGACCCGTAGTCTGGGATGATGGGAATTGTAGTCCAAAAACAGCTGGAGTCCCAAGATTGGGAAAACACTGATTTAGAGCTTTTGGTTCCTGGGGATATTTAGCCAGCGTGAGAACTAGATAGGCCGCTGGCCTGATCCAGCTGGCTTCTGGTTATGTTTCATCTTCCTAGAGCAGCGGGGAGGGCCTTCCTCCCATCGCACTCGCTCCAGGGAGCAGCAACCAGCAGGAGAGCAGAAAGCGAATTGGCCCCCCCTTGCCATGAACTCCTCCCTCCGCAGGTGGCGCTGCGGCGCCTCCAGCGCACAGGAATCCGCGTATCTCTTTCCTCCTCTCCCCCTCCTCACGCCGACTCCGCTTCCTCCGGGCCGTCGCGCGCATGCGTGCCGCTGTTTCCCCACTTTTTTTCCAAACACAGAACCGCGCATGCGCGGCAGCCGTGTTAGTGAGACGGCTCTGGTGGGTACCTCCTCCTCCTCCTCCTCCTCTCTCCCCGTCTCTTCCTCGCCCCCCTCATTCCAACTGCGCCCCCCCACCCCGAGACCCCCGCCCCGACAGAAGCCCCCCCCCAGCCCCGCCGCGCGTCCCCTCAGAAGGCCGCCTCGTCTTGCCCTCCCCTCCCCCCGTGCAATAGACGGAGCCTGATTGGGCCGCTCTCGGCTGCCCCGCCCCCTTTCCTCCTGGGGAGGGGGAGGGGAGACAAAAGGCCCCGGCGGGGGGGGGTGTCGTTGAGGGAGGGGGCGCCGCCGCCTGAGGTGAGGCTGGTCTGGTCTCCCCCTGAGGGGAGAAAGGGAAAGGCAGCCCGCCCAGCCCCCTGAAGGGGCCTTCTGGGGAGGGGCCCCCTCGAAAGAGTGGGGGGGGGGGGCGTTGCTGGGTGTGAATATTGGGGGGGGGGGGAGGCTGGTGGTGTGTGTTTTTTCCCCTGAGGGGAGATATGGAAGCGCCGCCTTGGTTTTTTCTGTCAGCTGGGGCGGGGCTCCTCGGAGGGGGAGGGGAGCATCCAGGGGGAGGGGAGGGAGGGAGGGAGGGAGCGACGTTGTAGGCCTTGGAGAGAGAGAGAGAGAGAGAGTGAGTGTGTGTGCAAGATGACTGTTTGTGCAGGGAGAGGGAGGTGGGGAGCCAGGGAGGGGGTGGGGGTGAATGAGAGAGGGAGGGAGGGAGGGAGAGAGAGAGAGAGAGAGAGAGAGAGAGAAAGGGAGCTTAGTGCTGTTGGCCTAAGAGGGACTGGCTTGTGTGTGTGTGTGTGTGTGTGTGTGTGTGTGCAAGATCGTTGTAAGCCAGAAAATAGCTTACAACAAGATGACTGTTTCCGCGGGGAGAGGGAGGTGGGGAGCCAGGGAAGGGGGTGGTGTGTGTGTGTGTGCATGAGAAAGTGTTGTTGGCCTTGGAGGGTTTCTCTCTCTCTCTGTGTGTGTGTGTGTGTGTGAGTGTGTAGGATGACTGCTTGCTTCTGCCTGGCAAGGGAGGGTGGGGGTTGGGGAAGGTTGGTTAGGAGCATCCCTGGGAGGGGAAGCTGTGTGTGTGTGTGTGTGTGTGAGAGAGAGAGAGAGAGAGAGAGAGAGAAATGCTGCCCTGTGTGCTTAGAAAGACTGCTTGTTTTTGCATGGCACAGAGGGGGTGGGAGGCTCTTGGTCAGTGTGCTTTTGGGGGGGGGGGGTTGCAGTGGAAGAGGGATTCTTTCTCCATGCAGCTTCCATGTCCAGAAGGATGTGCTTATTTTTGTATAATGGGGGTTCCGAAGGACAAGGAAAGGGTGGTTATGTCCTCAGTGTTCTGCTTTGATGGGAGACTCATCTCTTGGGACCGTTCTTGCGGAAGTGCACGTTGCCCAGATGTGCAGGCCTGAGGAGTTGCAGCTAACATCCCTTTTTGAGACAGGCTGGGTTCTTATGCAGAGGCAGGATCTCAAGGCTGGGAATAAACAGCCTCTTAATTTGAAAACTGTCACTAATATAGAGTTTTTTTCTGGACCCTTAACTAACCAGCAGGATGGAATCCCCTTTGAACAATTTGTCTTCTCCCAGGACAGCCTTCCTCACCTTGGTGCCCTCCGAAGTATTTTAGAGTACATATGAATATTCTGGTTGGGGCTGATTAGAGTTTTAGTTCATAATATATCAATGGCACCAGGTTGGGGAAAGTTGTTTTAGGTTGACCAGATGGAAAGCAAGACCTGGATTTTTTATTTATTTATTTATTTATTTATTTATTTATTTGCTTGCTTGTTGACTTATTTAAGTGAATTAGTTTGGGATCCATCCATTGGATGCAGAGTGGCTTAGAATTCTTTAAAATAATTACGGTAATTTATATAACACTTTTCTGCCAATATTCTTAATGGTTCTTTCCCACCCCCCGCAAAAAAAAAAGTTCACAGCAAATACATTCATCCTAATAGACAAAATACTATTAAAAATGGGATTTGGGGGAGGAGGGGAAAATTAATTCACTTACAAATCCTTAGGCAATGTTACACATTTTCTACAGTCACATATGGAATAGCCACTGCAGGGATGTGCATGGGGACGAGAGATGGCAAATGACTTGAGCTGAAATGATGGAGCGGACCTTGGTGTCTCTTCTCTTCCCCAGATGCAGCCAAGTTGCATAGAAGGGAGAGTTGTGGCAGGTGCAGCTGTCATGTAATAAGGAAGAAATCTGCACCTACTGAAATTATCTCTTTTACCAAGTATTCCAGGTAAATGAGTTTTGTTGTCTTTGCTCATGGTTACTTCTCTGTTTTCTTCCTCTCTGTATTTCTGCTTCTTTTCAAGAACCGAAACCCCTGAACAGCAAGAGTAACAAAGGAAAATGGGATGCTTTTAGTAAGATCCATCTTAGGCCAGGACACTACATGCTTCTGTGTCCAAACACACCAGGTGAAGAGCAGTGGAATAGACAATACAAGACTGGGTGAACCATTGGTATGGCTCAGGGGTTCTCTGCAGGTTTTTTGTTTTGTTTTTAAGAATCTATCTAAAAAAATCATATTAAAATACTTAGTTTATTTCTCTGCATGCATTTCTAAACATTTTATCTTAAAATAGTACTTTTAAAATGCATTTTGGTGTCATTATTTTTTTGAGCTAAAGACTATTGCAAAATTGGCAGAAGTGCAAATCCAGAAGATAATAGCATTTACATCAGTGTACTAGTCTCAGAGGTGAGAATTAGATCAGATGGCTTTAAAAAAAGCAGGCGCCTTCTGTGCCAAGTTTTTTAAGCCTGCTGGAAACTTTTCTGTTTCACCAGGCCTATGCAGGCAAATAGGAGTACATGCCCCGCAATGGGCTATTGATCTTTGTTTTTAACTTTTTCGTTTTTAACTTTCTATTATTTTGTGCTTTTCTTGTATAGTTTTAGTCCTTTTTTTACTGTTGTAAACCGCTGTGATAAAGCGGCACATCAATAAACAAAACTAGAATTCCTAGTGGGCATTAAAAGCATTTTGGTGTAAAATGTAGTTAGTAGTGTATAGAAAACTAAGGGCGGTGAGTGTGTATGTGAGAACCAGTCCTAAGGATTCCACAAACGAAGCATTTGCCAACCTGGTGCCCTCCATATGTTTTGGACTACAACTCCTGTCTGCCCCAGTCAGCATCCAGTTTGGTAAAGCCTGCATTAATGCAGCTCTAAGATGCACTTTTGAGGTGGCTTATAAGCACAAACTCAAATGTAAAACCTGTAATATTGATATAATAATTTGGTATCTCACAGGGACTTGTAGCTCAATGACCAAGCATCTGATCTGCATGCAGAAGGTTGCAGTTCAACCCTCAGCACCTGCAGGTAGGGCAAGGAGAGACTGCTGCCTGAAACTCCGCTGGTTGTTGAAGGTGGTCCTGAGTTAGATGGACCTGTATGGGCTGACGCTGTAGAATGCGGTTTCCTGCATTCCTAACTTGCTTGTGCTTTTGGGGCGGAGCAGACAGCAAGCCAAAATAGATGGACTATACTGATCGTTCTTCTCTCCTTTTGTAACCAGCTTCAGCGTTTCAACATGGAGCCCCGGCAGCCGGTGCCTTCGCAGCCCGAACAGAATTTTGTCCGAGATGCCAAGCAGAACATGGCCGAGCTCTCTCTGTGGACGGTGGTGGCTGCGATCCAAGCCGTGGAGAGGAAGGTGGATTCTCACGCCACACGGCTGCTGAACCTGGAACGGCGGATGGTGACCAACGAAAAGAAATACGTGGACTGTGAGAATGCCGTGGTGGACTTTGGCAACCAGATGGAGTGCAAGTTGACGGCACTGGGGACGCTGATCCAAGAGTACGGGCTGCTGCAGAGGAGGCTAGAGAACATGGAGAACCTGCTGAAGAACCAGAACTTCTGGATCCTGAGGCTCCCTCCAGGCTCCAAAGGGGAAACCCCCAAGGTAAGGATACTTGGGGACACTCTATTCCCTCCCCCTTTTACAGCATTGTGAAAAGCTCCTCAGACTTGGAGATGTGTTGCTATTAAAGGCTGCCTTCCAGATCATCAGCCAGCAAAACTTTTGTTAAGTAGAAAGGTTAACTCTTTCAGGCTGCCGGTGTGCCACAAACAACTAGCTCATGAGCCCAAAGTCTTGAAAACTCGGTTGAGATAAGAACTATACTTGGCTCTGGTGGAGATGGTGAACTGTGCTTGAAGGCTGTCAAAGGATGGAGGAATTCTCACCAGAGAGAAGAGAAGTGTGTGGTTCTGTGGATGGCCCCCAATATGCAGTCCACAGTAAAGAAGCGAACAGTGTCAAAATCTGCACAAGATTATAGTTATGCCCGCCACAGGGAGGCTAGTATGGCGTCTGTATTTATTTTTAAGGCTTGCCTTGTGTGACAGCAGAGCATTGAGGTTTGCTAGGCCTTGATTCTCACTACTTTGCGGCTTCGATCCTTGCATTATTTTTTAGGTTGCCGTTTTGAGTTCTTGTTTTTAATTTACCTTATTCTAGATAACTTCAGGCAAAACTCCATTACTGTTGAGTGTTAGGTGGGAGGATTTGTGGAGGGCTTTTTTTTGGGGGGGGGGGGGGAGAGACACCAACATAGTTTGAGTGTTTCCTTAGCTCATCCGGCATGCTTAGATGCTGTTTGCCTGACATTATTGGAATAGTTGAGAAATGCATTATTTGCTCTTCTAAACTAGTGGAGAAACTTGTTTTCTGTTCAGCTAGTGCATCCCCCAAGCTCTGGAAATTATGGACACATCTTTTCTTATTGTCCTTTTCCTCTAACCTCCATGGACGAATAGAGTAGTGTGGTCCAGCTATGCCTGTTGGGATTCTCAGGTACCCCAGAGAATCGTTGTGAGAGCTGTTAAATAGCATAGAGAGTCCTTAAGTAACTGCAGTAGCTCACCAAAGAGGATAAAAGGCTGATGCCTGCCTCTGGACATGCCCCCTTCCCACCCAAACTTCTAGGGTAAGATGCCAAATGAGCTTTATGAATATCTTACCCTTAATCTTCATGAAGCCATGGGTTAATCGCTGCAATATATACAATACTTGAAAAAGTGAATATAAGTGGATACCAGCTTTGGGGATCTGGGAGACAGATCTGCGTGCAGGGATATCTCAGCAAAAAATGGAAAGCCCTTTGGAACAAGAAGCTATTTAAGACTGCAAAGATATATGAGCATGTCTAAAAATGCATAATATTCTTGGTACTTTGCACCCCAGAAGCGTCAATCCAAATGTTGGAGGAAAGATTGTTCAGGATTAGGTACATGTATCCATATGTGATGGGGGTTGTAAGAAAATTAAGATGAAGTATTCTCGGAACGTGGTGAAGTAGTTGACAAGTTGACCTTCTTGGGCATTCTTAACAACTTTTGATGGAAAGAACGAGATGGTACCATTTAAAGATATGCTGCCTTTTTATTTGTGGCTGCAAGACAGGTAATTGCAAAATATTGGAAAAGTAAAAATGGATGTTCAGCACAAGAATAGTATTGTTACGTTTGGCAAAATGCTTTGGCAGAGAAACTGACTAAACAGATCTGAGCTTCAAGGTTGCCTGAATCTGAGGGTGACTTTGCAGTACAGTGGTATAGTTTTATTCCATGAGCTAATAGATAAGGTGCTTTCGAGCTGCTAGGTTGGCAGGAGCAGGGACCGAGCAACGGGCGCTCACCCCATCGTGGGGATTCGAGCCGCCAACCTTCTGATCGGCAAGTCCTAGGCTCTGTGGTTTAACCCACAGCGTGCAAGTAGATGAATAGGTACCGCTCTGGCGGGAAGGTAAAAGGTGTTTCCGTGTGCTGCTCTGGTTCGCCAGAAGCGGCTTAGTTCTGCTGGCCACATGACCCGGAAGCTGCACGCCAGCTCCCTTGGCCAGTAAAGCGAGACGAGCACCGCAACCCCAGAGTCGTCCGCGACTGGACCTAATGGTCAGGGGTCCCTTTACCTTTAATAGACAAGGTGGTCTTCGGAGTCCACCATCCACACTTGGGACTCTATGGACTGGTCCAGTGTGATAGATAAAAGATACTCCTTTTATACGCCGGAAACTCAGATTGCTTTCCGCCTACATTTATATTGCAAAAACAACATCTTAAATTTTTTTAATTTAATACCTATGTGTGGGAAAGGTGTCAGTACAGTGCAGTTTCCTTTCGAGGGTAATGATGGGTTTGGAGGCACTGATGAAGTTGAGCTGCCAGCTGCCCCCAAAGTGACTTTCACATCAGTTAAGACTTAACAGACTGATTAAGACTAACCAGCCAAATCTCTAAAAGGAGGTAGCAAAGAGGTGTCTTAAGCCCTATTGCTTCAATTGCACTGGGGGCACAACTTTCAGTGGCTCTGGGCAGAATGCAGGAATGGAATTGCCGTCATGTTCCCGGTCAGCCATTCCTCTGATATCCACTACAGTACAGGCAATGTTTTGCTACCTGAAACAATGATACTTCATTAGATAGGATCATTGCCCTGACTTGAGATAGATGCTGTCCCTGGAAATGTTCCATTTCCGTTCTTGAAAGCCTGGTGGATCCGGGTTTGGATTTGGGCGGGAGGGGTCTTCTTTGGGTGGGTCGCTTCTGGGTTGATCATCCCAAGAGAACTCGGCTTCTGCTCTCAGTATCAATGGTGCAAATTTGCTTATAGGTTGTGCTTTGAATTTGGTTTTGTGTAGAACTTTGAAATGTTTGTCAAAGAGCAATGTGGGGTCAGCAGGTAGGTCATGACATACCTGCCCTGTGGAGACCTGAGCCTTTTGCCAATGCTCCCTGATTATTACCAAGCATAATGTCCATAACCATGAGGACTAGAAACTTCACCTGAAAAGTACAGCCTGGTAATTGAGGTTCTACTCAGGATAACTAGGTTCCATGTGTACTACATAGGGCAGAGGGTGATGACAAGAGACAGACCCAGGCAACGTTGTATGTGTCAGCTGTGAAACCCACTTTCAAACTCTGCTCCCCCTTGGCTTGTTTTTTTTTTTGGGGGGGCTCCTGTTGTTGTTTCTTCAGTTTCTATACTTCCCTTCATCATAGTATCACAGGGCAGTTTACAATGTAAAAGCACAAAAATACATACCACAGTAACAAACAAAAACAGTTACCCCCCCCACACAGTTTAAAAGACCATAGATAGGTTAATTATCCAAAGGCCTGGGAGAAGAGGAATGTTTTTGCCTCACGCCTAAATGTATGTGATGAAGATGCCAGGTGAGCCTAGGAAGGGCATTCCACAAATGGAGCTACTGCAGAAAAGGCCCCGCTCCAGACCTCTTACAGAGGAGGCACATGAAGAAGGGCCTCAGATAATGAGCTCATGGTCTGGGTAGGTTCATATGGGGAGAGACGGAACTTGCGGTACTGTTGTCCTCAGCTTCTTAAGGCTTTATAGGTCAAGACCAGCACTTTTGAATTGGGCCCAGAAATTAATTGGTAGCCGGGTCAGGCTCAGTGTTATATGCTCACACCGTCTTGCCCTGGTGAACAACCTGGCTGCTGAATTTTGTACTAGCTGAACCATCTTCAGAGGCAGCCCCACGTATTACGCGTTGCAGTAATCTATCCTAGAGGCTAGCAGAGCATAGGCAACAGAAGTTAGGCTATACCTGTTCATATTGAGGTACAGCTGATGGCGCTCTGTGCCACTGAGGCCACCTGAGCCTCAAGCAACAGCAGTGGATTCAGAAGTACCCCCAAGCTGCATACCTGCTCCTTCAGAAGGTGTGTAACCCCATCAAGAGCAGGTGACCTCCCATCCATTCGGTCTAGGGAACCGCCCATCAACAGTGCTTCAGTCTTATCTAGGTTGAGCTTCAGTTTGTAGGCTCTCGTCCATTTAGTTACTGAGGCAAGACTGCCACACCTGCAGATGGAAAGGAGTAGAGCTTTGTGTCATCAGCATAAATGAGGAGTGGTTTTGCCAGTGCCTCTTTCGAGCAGGCAGGGACTACCCCCTCTTGCATTAATCACCTCCCTGGCCCAATCAGCTGTCCCTCCCTGCTAGTCTTCAGCCAAGAGGGGCAAGGGTCCAGAGCACAGGTGGTCGCCCTGACGGATCCGAGCACTTTGCCCACGTCCTTGAGCCTTACTAACTGAAACTCATCCAATATAATAGGACTAGACAGTGCTCTAGGTAACTCTTGAGATTCATCTGCTGTAACAGTGGAGTCAGGGTCCCAGCGGATGCAAGCGATTTTATTCTCAAAATGATTTGCAAATAAGCCACAGCGAGCTGCCATCAGTTCTGTCACCACCTTTGGGCCAGACGGTAAAAGGTTCTTAGGCACTACTTAAATTATTATATATTGAAGTGCCACCTTTTTGCTCAGAGCTTTACAGAGTAACAGACAGGCAGTGGAAATGGAGCTATTGCATTGAATCTGGTAGTTGCTAGATTGCTTCTTAAAAGCTAAACTCAACAAAGTTTCTAGGTGGAGATATTTATCTGTCTGTATCTGGATTGGATTTGAAATTGCTTTTATATATGCAGGTGTATTGCATATGGTGTTATTGTATTGTGAAATCACTTTGAGATTTTTCATGGGAACTCTATACGTATGTTAAATAAATAATAGGAGTTTGCTTCATACCGTTTTTTTCCTTCAAATCTCTAAATGTTGGTCGGGGAGGGGAGCATAGGAATAGCTGGTGAGTCTGCTTGCTGTGGGGAGCGATAGGCTGTGCTCCCTTTCAGCTTCTCTAGACCAGAGCAGTAACATTCTGGCCCTGCAAAAGGTGATGGATTTGGAGGGAAAAGGGACACAGGTAAGTGCCAGGCAATCGCCCTAGAAGGTCTAAGTCTGCGACTGCTGTGATTCCAGGTGCCGGTGACCTTTGAGGACAACTCCGTCTACTTCTCGGAGCAGGAATGGGGGAACCTGGATGAATGGCAGAAGGACCTCTACAAAAACATGATGAAGAGCAACTACGAGTCGTTGGTCTCACTGGGTAAAGAACTGGCTATTGCTCTTTTTATTAGCTGCTGATGCAAGTCATGAGGCTGGCTCAAGTGGTTTCTTAAAATATCTACCTCATCTGTTATCTAATTGTTTGCCATTTACTCCCTCACGGGGTGCAAATAATAAAATTATTATTAATCCCTGTTGCTGAAAACTGCAGAAGGGGAAAGTGCTCTTGTAGTCAGGTCCTGTTTGCGGGTTTCCAACAGGCATGTGATTGGCCAGTGTTAAAACAGGATGTTGGACTAGATGGGCCGTTGGCCTGATGCAGCAGGTTCTTCTTAGGTTTGTCTTACGTTCCCAGTATCTCTAGGGTGCCACAGAGCATCTCTTTTAAGGTAGCCTGGCTTAAGCATGGACATTCTACTGAGGCTCTGATCCACGTTGCTTAGGCTTTCTGCCGAACGGTGGGCTGGTGTAAACACACAGTCGCTGTTAACCACGTTTGGGGATCACTGCTTGATTTTCTGCAAGTGATAAGCTGTGTGATGGTGTGGAGACTGTGCTGGAATGCTCTGCAGTGTCCAGGACCTGGGAAACAGCCAATACAAAGCAGGGGTGACTGTGGGGAAGTAGCTGAACGCCACGATCTCCATGACTTCTGCCTGTTCAGGGATACGTTCCCAGTCTCTCCTCACCTCCCCACTTTGCCCTTCCTTTGTGCTCTGAAGCACCTCAGGACCTGCTCATGTAACTTCTATGGTGCACCTGTCATCTAGCGTGTTCCTTGCGGTGAATTTTCAGTGGGTACGGTAGTGCTGCCAGCATCTCCCTTAATCCTGTTCAGTACAGCAAGTGGGCTGAAGGGAGTGCTGTGTTTTCTCTTTTTCCAACAGACTATGCAATTGCAAAACCTGACCTTCTGTCTCGGATTGAGCAAGGCGAACGTCCCTGTGTGGAGGAAGAGGAGGTCCCTAAGGAGAAAGAGATTTCTTCGGAGCCCAGCCCAGGTAAGCAGCTGGAATCCCAGAAGGGTTTGGGTGGATGAATAGGATGTACAAGGCTGTCTTAACTGACCCTTCCATCTCCAGTGAGAGCCAGTGTGGTGTAGTGGTTAAGAGCGGTAGATTTGTAATCTGGGGAACCGGGTTTGCGTCTCCGCTCCTCCACATGCAGCTGCTGGGTGACCTTGGGCTAGTCATACTTCTTTGAAGTCTCTCAGCCCCACTCACCTCACAGAGTGTTTGTTGTGGGGGGAGGAAGAGAAAGGAGAATGTTAGCCGCTTTGAGACTCCTTCGGGTAGTGATAAAGCGGGATATCAAATCCAAACTCTGCTTCTTCTTCCAACTGGGATTCTCCCCTCCCACCCACTAACTTCAAAATGTGCAGGAGATTTTCCTCTCTCTTCAAGAGGGGTCTGCCAGGACTCCCATGTCTGAGGTTCACCTTGATGGTGTGGGCCGCAAGACCTGTGGCCCAGGACAGGGAAGTCTTGTGCATCTGGCATTCTTCCTGTTACAGCAGAGCAGAATGAAAGACCATCTTTGTGCTCCTTTGGGGTTTGTGATCGAGTAAAATTGAAACGGGCTTAGCAAGTAGTTGCAGCCTGGTGCAAAGCGGCTCACTGAACAAACACCCTCTCGTTCATGTCTCCCGAAACAGAAGCCTTGGTTTTTAGGCCTGGCCTGGCCTGCCAGATGGAAGGGAGAGAAAATGCACATGTCATTGGAGACCAGGAGAAAGCAGAAGGAAGGGCAGCTCCGAGCGACCACAGTGTTGGTGAGTGGAACCTGTAGGTTAGGCCGTTTTTGTCCAGAGTATTTCAGGGTTTCAGAAAATACAAAATCCGCTCGGAAAAGAATCTTGACTGGATTCTCCTCATGGTTTTTGCAATGGAAGAAAATGTTGAAAAGTAAAACCTAGAGGAACGCAACTCTTGCAGCAGGGTCTAAGAAAACTTCTCCTCTGCACCCACACCCCCCCAAACATGAATGCTAAATATATTCAGCTAGAATTTAAAATATGGTTTGAATAGTTGGTCTGAAACATCGTGGGGAGGAACTACTAAACCTGACGGCCATGCCCTGCCTCCACAGTCCGCATACCAGCTGCTGTCGACTGCAAGAGGGCAGAGGCCTCTTGTGCTTGGCTCCTGCTTGCTGGCTTCCCATGGTGGGTGTCTGGTAGGCCGCTGTGAGAACAGGATGCTGGGCTAGACAGGAAGTTGGCCCTTTTATCCCAGCAGGCCTCTTCTTAGGTTCATTACTACATTGACTTTCAATGTGGTTCTGCAGAATAAAGAGGCGACAGAGTTTTCCAGCTGAATGAAAAGCCCTAGATGCTCATTTTGAATAGTTTGTCAACAGATCTTTTTTTTTTGGTGGTGGGGGTTGTATTCATTTTAAAATTATAGCTTATTTTATGGTGACTGGGAGTGGCCGCTGAGACCATATAACACCAGTCCTGAGAGACCTGCATTGGCTCCCAGTACATTTCCAAGTACAATTCAAAGTGTTGGTGCTGACCTTTAAGGCCTTAAATGGCCTCCGTCCTGTGTACCTGAAGGAGCGTCTCCACCTCCATCGTTCTGCCTGGACACTGAGGTCCAGCACCGAGGGCCTTCTGGAGGTTCCCTCCCTGCGAGTGAGGGTTACAGGGAACCAGGCAGAGGGCCTTCTTGGTAGTGGCGCCCACCCTGTGGAATGCCTTCCCATCAGATGTCAAGGAAATAAACAACTATCTGACTTTTAGAAGACATCTGAAGGCAGCCCTGTTTAGGGAAGTTTTTAATGTTTAATGCTGTATTGTGTTTTTAACATTCAGTTGGGAGCCGCCCAGAGTGGCTGGGGAAACCCAGCTACATGGGCAGGGTATAAATAATAAATTATTATTATTATTATTATTATTATTATTTATTATTATTATTTATTATTATTACTGTTGTTGTTGTTATTACACACCTGCAAATTCCCTTGACACACATGTAGCAGGTGATTCATAAATTAATAACAATAAAAAACGAGGGGTAAAAATGCCTTCCTGTGGTCTGCCAAGGGCCCTGTTCATGCCACCGCACAGTTGGAGGGCAGTGCCAACCCCCTGGCAGGATCTGTACCCCCTGCCCCCTGCTAAGGTGCTTTCTGAAGTCCTGCAGAGACTCAGCCAGGCGATGCCCATGTTGCTGCCCTAAAGCAAGTCGGGGGAGGGGAGAGAGACTAAATTGCCCCAAGTTGAGCTTCCTCCTAACCGCTCTTTTCGTTGGCACAGACTATGGGGCTGCCGGATCCTCCTTTGGCTCTCCAGGGAAGCGGGAGCAAGAGGTGAACCTCGAGGGTCCAGAGGGCACGGAGGAAGGCGAGCTGCGCATCAAGCCTCGCGCTGGTGAGTGTTGCACCGGGCGCACCGGGGTGCAGGAGGGGCGGTGGCGTGGCAGAGGCGCTTTGCGTTTGGAGCGGATCAGGCTGCCAACCCTTCCAGCTGCTACACTTGAGCCTGAGGAACATGTCCAAGCAGAACGTTATTCTCCCCAGCCCACTTAGTGCCGTGGCTGTGGGCCCTGTGTCGAAATAGCCACAGTTGAGGGAATCCGCATTTGCAGTGCATGGTGTCGAAGTCAGAACCTGGAGCAAGCCAAGCTCCTCTGATGCTCCCTTCTTGTATCTTGAGGGGGCTGTGTTTTATGGGGTGTTTGGGTACCTTTGGCCCACAGTGGGGAAAAGGGCCTTCTGCTTCAAGGCTCTGTGATGATGTTTTATGGCATAAAAGGGGTCTCTTTGTGTAAAGCAAGATAAAAATGTCACTGAGCTACACCTCCTGTTTCGTGTTATTCTCCCCACCTCGGTATCAAGTTTGCAACCTCTGTGTGAGGAGCTGCCTTCTTGGTAGAACTCTGTCCTGTTGGGCAGCTTCCCATGGCCCTGTGGCCTCACAGAAAGCGTTTGTTCTTGCTGCTGCTTCACGGCCCGCCTCCCAGGCAAGGGGAGCTTCCTAGCCCCTGAGTCAAATTACTCTCGACCTTAACATAAGACTGAAGATGGGGTAGCCTAGCTTTTCTGCTGCTCTGGAGGGGAGGACACAAACCAGGGGATTCAAAGGAGATTCCAACCAAACATTAGGAAGGACTTTTCTGATATTAAGAGCTGCTCGGCTGTGAGACAGACATCCTTGGAAGGTGGTGGACTTTGCTTACTTGGAGGTTTTTAGACAGAGTTTGTGTGACCGTCTGCCAGGGATTCCTTTGCTGTGATTCCTGTGTTGCAAAGGGTTGGGATAGATGATCCTTGGCATCCCTTCCAACTGCTATGATTCCACAACATAAGACACACCATGCTAAGGACCAGGGAAGAGAGTAGTATAGGAAAACTCTATATGTTTCTCTGCTTCTTCAGCCCATTGGTTGTACCTCTGAGCCACATCCCACCAGTACAAAGCCTTCCTCCTTCTGTTTCCACCCACCCACCCAGCAAGCCCCCTTTCCGTGAATTCTGTTGTAATGTTCAGGATGAACTTGTGTCTTCTGTATTGCTGGCTAAAATATTCTGAGTGCTTCCTCCCCCGCCTTCTCTTTTATGCAACGAATCACACTTGCAATATCCACAGTGATATTTAGCCAACGCCCCTCCTAGCTGTGATGTTGGCCCTCTCCACATCACCCATGTGGCCTCCCACCCTCCACCACTTCTTGTATGGTGTGCAAGCAAAATGGTCTGCTCCTGTTAAAGTATAACCCCTGCCTCGTGGTATTCTGGGCCCTCATGGTAGCTTACATCCATGACAGAGCGATAAAAGTACAAAGAACCAGAATGCGCCGGTACCATTAAAAGAAAAATACAAAGCAGCAACATCTCAGAAAGGTTCGGATGGTCTCATCTTGGCCACCTGTGTGCTGCCTTCAGTCTACTGATCCAGCAGCCTTGAGGAGGGCAAATGCGCTTGTCCTGTTTGACTAGCAAAGGACGAAGGAGAGCCAAGACCTGCTTTCAGGAGCCGTTTTTTGTAGTGGAGGCAATCCAAGCACGCGTGCTGCCAGCCCTGGGTCATTCTGGTGCTGGCCTTGAGTGCCCCCCTGCCCCGCTCACCTGAGAATGGCAAGGAGACTTGGAGGGGCACTGAGGCTCTGAACATGGAGAGGGGGAGAGGCTGGTTTAGAGCCCACCTGGACAAAGAAATGGGCTGCTGGAAGGATGAGCAGAGCTGGCTGGCTGGCGAGGCTGAGAGGAGACGCTGAAAGAGGGAGAGAAAGAGAGAGAATGAGCACGAGCCCTTCATGTAAGAACACAGCTACTGCCTGTCCCCCTTTCTGACTTGTCTCCTGCTCTCACCTGGTAGCCGTTTGCCGCTAGGCGGGAGCGAGCGCTGATCACGTTTCCATGCTTTCCTTTGCTCTTTCGAACTGTCAGTCGCTTGTATAAATGTACCCCGAACGTGGCTTTCTTCTAGGGTATGGGGGGGGGGGAGAGGGGAGAAGGCAAGTGCTTGCTTGTTCTTTGACTTAAGAATATAGTAATTTCAGGGGGGTGGGCACCTGCAGTGTGCAAGCACTGAGCAAGGGTCAGAAAGATCCCTCTGACTGCACACTAGAGAAGCACATTTTATAAGCTCAAGCCCTGTAGTCTGCAGCCTGCTAGACAAAGGAGTCCAGGGGCTTGGAGCTGAAAGTGTGGACGGGTGAGAGCAGGCCTTCTGTGGCTCTCCAGAGCAGAGAGGACTTCCCAGGCAGGGTTGACGTGAGCAGTGGAGAACAGCTCATGAACATTGCCGGGGGTAGGACTAGATGACTTTGAGGTCCCTTCCAACTCTGCAATTCTTTGATTCTAACGTTTTTGGGTAGAACGGAGAGCAAGGCATAATGGGGCTTGTCAGCTTACAGACCTGGGTTCTTAGTTTAAAATAAGTGCCAATAAGACTTTTAATAACGTGTGCAAATGCCCAGTCAGGCTGCACCAACCAGAGAGTTGCCTTGTTGGTCTTTGTACACGTTGCCTGATCGAAAAGGGGCTGTGTCCTCGTGACGTGGTGCGGCAGAGAGGCCACGCTGGCCGCAGCCGCCTTGTGCAGTGGTCAGGCAGGAGTGCGCTGACGACTGAGCAAAGCGGGTTCCTGCAGAGCCACTCTGGGTTACCTGGCCCTTTAAGCATCCTCCCTCTGAACAGGCAGGAGAAGGTAGCTGGGCAGAATGTTGTAGGCTTCTGGCTCAGTTTTTAAGAAACGGATGTTGCGCGCGTTTGCTGCTTTGGAGAAGAAGCATTGCACCAACGCTCTTTTCTTTCAACCCACCAGATGACGGGCTAGCCTTCAAAGCAGAGGTCCTGCAGGCCCAGAAAGCACTGTGCGAGAGCTTGGGGCTGCAGTGCACCGAAGACGCCGTCCTCCACGGCCCCCACCCAGGGGCTGCCTCCCTCGGGAGCCGCTACAGCGCCCTGATGCACCAGCGGAGGCACCCGGAGAGCCAGGCGGACGAGGCCCTTCCCGGAGAGGGCAGCTTTGGCGGCGGCGGTGGCCACAGCCCCATGGCAGGCTTCCAGCGCGAGAGGCCGGGGGAGAAACTGTTTGTGTGCCCCGAGTGCGGGAAAAGCTTCCGTCTGCACAAGAGCTTGCTGATCCACCAGCAGAGCCACGCGGCGGGCGGAGGCTACCGGCCGCAGTGCGAGAAGAGCTTCACCTACAAGCAGCAGTTCACCCTCCACCAGCGCATCCACACCGGGGGCGGCGCCTACACGTCGGTGGCCTGCGAGGAGACCTTCAAGCAGAGCCACAACCTGAAAGCCCTGCCCCGGGTGCCGGCCGGAGAGAAGCCGTACGGCAGCGCCAAGTGCGTGAAGACCTTCAACCTCAAGTCGTCCTACCGGCAGCACCCGAAGGGGCACGGGCGCGAGAGGCCCTACAAGTGCAGCCGCTGCCCCGAGAGCTTCTCGCAGAAGAAGAGCCTGGTGACCCACCAGCGGCTGCACTCAGGGCGGGGCAGCGGCAGCTCCCTGGCCTGCCTGTACTGCGGCAAGAACTTCAGCCACCCCTCGGATCTGGTGCGGCACCAGCGCATCCACACCGGGGAGAGGCCCTACCGGTGCGGCGAGTGCGAGAAGAGCTTCACCCAGAAGCAACATTTACTGCAGCACCAGAAGATCCACCTGCGGGAGCAGAACCGGCTGATGGGGACGGCCGTCCGGGAGGCCCTGCTGGACGCCATCTTCATCTAGCGGCCCCCTCCCACCGGGGCTGTGGCTCTGCAGGGAGGGGCGGAAGAAGGGCAGGGAGGGAGGGGGTGGAGAAATAAGACTGTTACCTCAGAAATTGGGCCCCCAGGGCTGCGAGGGGGCTTCTCCGCGACCTCCCTCCTAGCCTGGAGTTTAGGATCCTGTAGACTCTCGGGTACTCGATAGGACCTTTTTATTTTAAGGGTGACTAGAGATTGTTCAGAGTTGCTGAAGAAAAAACAGTGGCGTTGGTAGTAACAAAAAAATGCTTCTGGGGTTGTCTTTTCTGTCTCGTTCGGAGTGTACCATACTGTAGCTGCCCCTTCCCACTATCTCCTCCTCCCCGCCCCCGGTTGCCAGAGGGACATTTTCACTTCAGAATAACTCAAGACGGACGACTGTTGGCCCAGAGACGGCGCACCCATTCACCTTTTCTGTAAACACCGATTTCTCAGAACTGAACACTTTTATATACTTTTCCCCTGGATTTTTCTTTTTCTTTCTTTCTTTTGGTCTGTGGAAACTTAAAAAATAAACTAGAAATGTGGAAAAAGAAATTAGCTCAGCATTCTGGTTAGTGAATGTTTTTTTTCCTGGGGAAAATGGAAATTTCTGGGCACCATGTGTGTTTCGTGACATTGTGGGGTGACAGCAGCAATGAGTGAGGGCGTCTTCCGTGGCCCTGCTGTCTTTTCTGTGAGACCCTCACTTCTCCTGCCACCATCCACCCATGCTGGGGTCCTCGTACCATCTAGAACCCCAGAGCAGGCTCCCCTTACACAAGTTCGGAACAGTGGGACCAGAGCGGGGGGGGGGCACATTTGCTGGCCCCTAAGGCACTGGGAGGGACGCGGGTGGCGCTGTGGGTTAAACCACAGAGCCTAGGACTTGCCGATCAGAAGGTCGGCACTTCGAATCCCCACAGCGGGGTGAGCTCCCATTGCTCGGTCCCTGCTCCTGCCAACCTAGCAGTTCGAAAGCACGCCAAAAGTGCAAGTAGATAAATAGGTACCGCTCCGGCGGGAAGGTAAACAGTGTTTCCGTGCGCTGCTCTGGTTCGCCAGAAGCGGTTTAGTCATGCTGGCCACACGACCAGCTCCCTCGGCCAAGAAAGCGAGATGAGCGCCGCAACCCCAGAATCGGCCCCGACTGGACCTAATGGTCAGGGGTCCCTTTACCTTTACCTTTACCTTTAAGGCACTGGGAATTGCACCTAATGATTTCAGCTTTTAAAACTTTTATTTTGCAATAAACTCAGGAGCAATAGATTTCAGCTTTCAGCTTTTAAAACTTTCTTGAAAACCTTTAAAGCCGTTTCCAAGCAGAAAGTTGTCTTCCAAGACATGTACGTGTTGGCTATTTGCAGTTTAGTAGCACAGAGAGCTTGCTGGGGAGACCATGCATTAAAAAGGGACTCAAAAAGTACTTAAACAAGGTTTTAATTACAAAAACAAAAACTCCTTTTACACTAAATACATCAACAAACCAGACCCAACCACCAACTCATCCCCCAGGGTAACGGGAGAGCTAGGTGCTGCTCCTTATATACTCTACCCAAATGCTGACACAGCTTAATCAATACAACTCAGCAGCCCCTGCCATGTTTCACTGTAAAGCTGGGTCTCGTTATCTTGCTCTGGCCCTTGCTCTGGCCCCTTAAAGACATACACATTGGGTGGAACAATGATGAACCTTTACATTTAAAGTAACCATTCAACAGTACGTATGTTAAGTCTTGTATGTAAGTCCCTTGCATGGCATCAGAACAGACTTGGAGAATATTTTGCAGTGCAGATTGTGCTCACATGCAGAGGGTCTGCTTCAGTCTGAAATGTTAAGAGGCTGTCTCCAGAATGGCTGCTGTAACTTGAGACAGAAGGGGAATTACTATTGCTAATAACCAATATCAGTCAAGACCGTGCAAACGCATCTTTCTTTGTAATTAAACGTGGCGAGGCCCTCTCCAGTCTAAAGGTAAGGCAGAAGGAAAGGCTTAAAGACACTCTTGTCTCCCAGACAGCCCTTTCCTCAGCAGCTCAGCATTTCCACGGATTTCTCCAGATGTTTCTGATCTTGCATTGGGAAATGCTCTTCTTTGAAAATCGGACTGTGAACTCCTCCGGGCAGGGAACCGTTCTTGCTAGATTTTGACACTGGATTTTTGTTAATGGGGGATTCAGCCTCGCACAAAGAAATCAAAAGAACTCCCAAGGAGGGTCATCTCGCCCAGTTCCCTGCAGTGCAGGATTCACAGCTAAAGAATCTGACAGGTGGCCATCAAGCCTCTTGTTTCGAAACCTCCAGTGCGGAAGAGTCTGCCACCTTCTGAGGGAGTCCATTCTATTCTCAAACAGCTCTTGCCACCAGAAAAGTTATTCCTAATGTTGAGTCGGAATATCCTTCCTTGTCATTTGAATCTGTTGATTCGGGTCCTGCCCTCAGGAGCAATAGAAAACAAGCTTGCTACACCTTCCATTTGATACTTCCATTTGATACCCATCGTTCAGCCCAGACACAGATCCAGCGCCGAGGGCCTTCTGGCGGTTCCCTCATTGAGAGAAGTGAAGTTACAGGGAACCAGACAGAGGGCCTTCTCGGTAGTGGCGCCTGCTCTGTGGAACGCCCTCCCTTCAGATGTGAAAGAAATAAGTAGCTATCTTCTCTTTAAAAGACATCTGAAGGCAGCCCTGTTCAGGGAAGTTTTTAATATTTAACGCTGTATTGTTTTTAACATTCGATTGGAAGACGCCCAGAGTGGCTGGGGAAACTCAGCCAGATGGGCGGGGTATAAATAATAAATTACTATTATTAATATTATTATTATTACTTGAAGGTGTCGTATCATGTCACACCTCAAGTCTTCTCTTATACAGGCTGAGCACCCCCAACTCATGAGACTTGGTTTCCAGACCCTTTTATCGTCTTGGTCACCCTCATCTGTACATGTTCCAGATTATCAATATCCTTAAATCATGGTACCCAGAACAGGACACAGGACTCAAGGATTGGTCTGATTCAGGCACAACAGAGCAGCTATTCTCACTTCCCTTGGCCGAGACACTTGACTTCTGTTGATGCAGCTTAGAATAATAACATTAGCTGTTTTTGCTGCTGTATCACGCTGCTGGCTCATGTGAAACTTGCGGTCTCCTAAGACCCCCTTGATCCTTTTCACATCCGTGTGTCGGGCTTGGGGAGTGAAAGGAAAGTGTCTGCACTGCCACTGGAGGTTTCAATATCCTGCATCTAAAAAACAGGGGTTGCAAGTTGGGGGAAGGATCGTGGCTTAGTGATGGGATACCTGCTTGGCAGGTAGAAGGTCTCGTGCTAAGTCTCCAGCTGTCAGCATCTGGAAAAGTAAAACTTTTAAGAAAGAGAAGGAAGGGTGGGGGAAGCAAGTTTCTCCCCTTACAATAGAGGAAATGGCATTGAAAAACTTCACCAGTGTCAACAGGCTCTCTGGAGGCTCACATTTTGCAGTCGGAATGAAGCCTACAAATTGGTGCCGCAATTGAGTGGTTAGGGATGCTCTGATTCAGAAGCATTTGCACACTTCCCCCATACAACCCTAGTCTCTATTTGCTAGCCAGGCACAGATTTCACTGGGGCAAAATGTCAGGTTTTAGGGCTGGGATGGGGCAAGACTAGGTTCTCAAATCCCTGCTTGCTGTGGATATAGCAGAATAAATTGCTAAGAAGTCGTGCATAAAGGCAGCCCTGTATCGGGAAGTTTTTTTAATGTTTGGCATTTTATTATTTTTTATATTTTGCTGGAAGCTGCTTAAAGTGGCTGGGGAAACCCAGGCAGATGGGTGGGGTATAAATAATAATAGAATGGTGGTGATGCATTCGCCCCATAAGACGTACCTGACCATAAGACGCACCTAGTTTTTAGAGGAGGAAAACAAGAAAATATATATACTGAACGAAACAGTGGATGTATGATTTCTGTGGTTCATGCTGTGATCACAGACATGATGTGTGATTTGGCGGTGAGTTTGGGGTAGCCCAATTCAAAAATCCTGAGAATCCATGTGGGTCCGTGCTTTGCAACCACGCTTTTGTGCCATTGCGGCCCCACGAAACAGTGGGTGTATGATTTATTAGGTGCAGGCTGTAGCCATGGACATGCTATGTGATCTGATGGTGAATTTGGGGTGACCCAATGTAAAAATCCTGAGGATCCATGGGCTTTTACTTTCCCCCTCCCAGGCAGCCTCCACTAACATCCCTTATCTCTCTTCCGATCCCAGCGATCAGCTGTTTCCTTCCAACACTCCCTTTCCTCTTGTTTGCCTTAGTGTCTTTTCCTTAGCTGGAGCAGTTTTTTGCTCCTCCTTTTCTTCTAATTTCTCTCCTTATTGCTCAGCGTCTTCCTGTTTTCCCCCTTTGCAAGTTTGCGGCCTTACCTCCCCCCTCCCAGGCAGCCTCCTTTATCGCTAGAGTACCTTATCTCCCTCCCTGATCGCTTGCCGACCAGCTGCTCAGCGGCTTTGTTTCAACACCCCCTTCCCTCTTTTTTTAAAAAAAAGCATAATCTGTTTTTTGCCCCTGGGCAATTTGGCTCCAAGGACCACACATTCGCTCCCTAAGACGCATAGACATTTCCCCTTACTTTTTAGGAGGAAAAAAGTGCATCTTATGGAGCGAAAAATATGTTGCTTTAGACAGTGCAGTTAATCTGTGGAACTCCCTCCCGCAGGAGGCAGTGATGGCCACCGGCCTAGATGGCTTTAAAAGAGGATTGGACAAATTCATGGAGGAGGAAAAGGCTATATCGATGGCTAATAGCCACAATGGCTCTGCCCTGCCTCTATGGTCCGAGGCAGCAATGCTTGTGAATGCTCGTTCTTGGAAACCACAGGAGGAGAGAGGGCTGCTCGTGTGTGTTTCCCTCCCTTTATGGTTTTGATCTATGGGCTACTTTTAAAATGAGGCTGCATTTTAACCTAAATTTTAAATTGGTGGTCCTCCCCCCATTATGTTTTTACTGTAATTTTACCGGTGTTAGCCGCCCTGAGCCTGGCTCTGGCCAGGGAGGGCGGGGTATAAATAAAATTTATTTTTATTATTATTATTTTTATTATTATCTGTCTTGGGAGACAATGGAGGAGTGCTCCTTTGGGGGTGCGGTCAAGCTGTTGGAAAGTAGCAGCACCTGCCGTGTCTGCAGAGACCGATGCAGGAGAGACATGTTTTGTTGCAGCCAGGGCAGATGAAGGTGTTCGGTTGTTCTGCTACAGATGCACCAGGGCGTTTTTTGTCTCTGCGCTCCTCCCAGCGGTCATTCCTCCTCTGGTCACTGCTCTGTATGCACAACCTGACCATCTGTCTCCATGCACTGGGGTTGTCTGCAAGGGATTCCCACACAGCAGGGTTGACGTTGCCAGACTTCACGTCATGTATACAGACATCTTTGGTCTGCTAGTGGGAAGTCAGCTCCCCGTAGAGAACATCTTTGGGGGTCCTGCCGTCTTCCATTCTGTATACGTGACCCATCCAGCGTAGACGTCACTGAGACAGGAATGTGAACACCCTGGGAACATGGGCTTGGGAGAAGAGCACATAATAATAATAATAATAATAATAATAATAATAATAATAATAATAAAATTTTATTTATATCCTGCGCTCCCCAGCCAAAGCCGGGCTCAGAGCAGCTAACAACATCTTGGTTTGGTAGGCATTCCAGATTTTCAACATCTTCGTTTTTGTCTTCCACACTCCCCTTCCCTTGCAGACCTCCCGACGGACAAGGCACCGACTGAAGCCAAGCAAGATCCCCGAGTCCTTGAGCCGTGGGGGCCCGAGACGTCTGGGAAGAGCGCCTTCGGGGAGAAGGGTCCTCCTCGCCCAGCTGTGTGGCCGGGGAGCCTCCCGGGGGAGCACAAGCGGTTCAGCCCCGTTGGACTTGCCCTGGCCGAGTGGCCGAAACACAGCGGCGAAGCCAAGTCTCACCCGTGCCCAGACTGCGGGAAGAGCTACGGGTTCCCAGGGGTTTTGGAGGACCACCGGCGCAGTCGCTGCAGCCTCGCCCCCTCTCCGGGATGCCTCCCGCTGTCGCCCTCGGGCGATGGGAGCCTCCCGAGGCCTGGGCTGGGCTGCCAGGGAGAGGCGGGGAGTGCCAAGCCCCTTTCTCCCCTTCCTGCGCCACCTGGGGAGAAGGCCTGGGCGTGCCCCTGGTGCCAGCAGCGCTTCCGGTTGCAGGTGAACCTTCTCATCCACCAGAGCAGCCACCTGGAGGCCGGAGGCGAGCTGGGCGGGCAGGACCGCCTGGCGTGCCGCTTCTGCCCGCGCCGCTTCGGGCGCTCGGACCACCTCCTGCGCCACCAGATGAGCCACACGGGCGCCCGGCCCTACCAGTGCCCCTCGTGCGAGAAGAGCTTCACGGACAAGAGCAAGCTGACCAACCACTACCGCACGCACACCGGGGAGCGCCCCTTCCGCTGCGCCGCCTGTGGGAAGAACTTCATCCGGCGCCACCACCTGGCCAAGCACCAGCGCACCCACACCCGCGAGAGGCCGCACCAGTGCCACGTCTGCCTGAAGGGCTTCATGCAGAAGCACCACCTGCAGAAGCACATCCGCACGCACACGGGAGAGAAGCCCTACCGCTGCAGCCAGTGCCCCAAGGCCTTCTCCTCCCAGCAGCGCCTGCTGCTGCACTGCTGCGCCCCGACGCAGGTGGTGGCGGCATCAGCGGAGGCTGCGGGAGGCGGCTCAGCGGCGTCCGCCACCGCCCTCCTCTCAAAACATTGATGTACCTCCTGCGCCGTTCACCGGGCCGATCTTCCGGTCTCCCGTCTTCAGAAGGGGCGTGGGGAGCAGCAGCGCCCTCAATGCCGCCAGTTTGCTCGAGAGATCCCTCGCCGGACCTCAGCTCTCTCCTGCAAGCCTTGGCGGCAGAGGGTGCGTTGCAGAGCCTGAGATGCCATGGCAAGGCGAGCGCCTTGCAGGACAGCAGCTCCTCTGCACCTTCAGTGTAAATGGTAAATCACATAAGGGTGGTGTTTCCCTGCTGGGGACTTTGGTTGTTGTGGTGCTAACGTGTGCTTAGAAGGGGGTTGCGCATGAATGTAAGTATTAAGAAGTCTTAAAAGTGGCCGCTGACGCCGTCTTTTCTTTTGTTTCCGAGGCAATCGCTGTTGTTGGACTACAACTCCCATCATCCCTAGCTGGCAGGACCCCAGTGGTCAGGGATGATGGGAACTGTAGTCCAAAAAAACAGCTGGAGATCCAAGTTTGGCAAACCTTGAACTAGGCCCTGATATAGCTCAGGGTTAGGGTGGTCATCCGAAAGAGGGAGGGGGATTTACATCTGGGGAAATTTGATGTAAAATATTAAAATGGTGAATATGTCAGCCTGGTTATGTAAGCCTGGAACAGTGGAGAACAGGACTCGGTTTGTGTCTCGCTGCGTTTAGAAGAGCCCTATCCAGCGTCTTCGTGGTTTCAAGCTCTTAATCGCAGCTGGAATGGCCAGGTGACCTCTGAAGCCACACAGAACCCCAGTGAAGCGAAGCTCCTTCGTCTCTTTTCCAGGTGTCCAAGAGGTTCCCCGTGCAGACTGGGCCAAGGGCCTCTTATTCGGCTGTTCTCGCATGATGCCTTGCTGCAGAGTTGGGACCAAGCATTTTGGGAGTCTGGAAAGGGGCACCCACCTTGCCTGAAACCTCACCCAATGGGACTATAACGACACCTCCTACAACGTGTGGCCGTTGGGACTGTGGAACTTCCGTTCTTTTCTGAAATGCTTCCCTGCATCGATAGATATTTGTTTCTTTAAAAACCCAAACTTTTGTCCTTTAGGGGCTGGACATTCTGTGTTGTGGTTTTGGATAGATATATTTTTTTCCTGATTTTGTAATCCTGCTGTAAAGGCTTACCTGGGGGGAAAGATACACACTGGAAATGCAAACGGGAGCGTCGTGTGGTTTTTCTTTCTCCTCTCCTCCTCCTCCGTTCCACATTTTCCTGTTTTAAAGGTATTAGAAAGAACTTCTGCTCTTCTGTCTTTTAACAATCCGTCCATCCCCGTCCGTCCCGCTCTTGCAAGGAAGCACTGAAATAATTCCATTCTGTATAGGTAGAGACAGCCTTGGCCAATCTGTGGCACTTTCCGGGTGCATGGAACTACAGTTCACATTGGCTCCAGCTTTTGAATTGCAGTCCATAGCAGCTGGAGTGTACCAGGTTGGCAAAGACATTTGTGCCCACATTCCGTGCTGTTTCGAACCCGATACCTGAGCGTGCACCTCCCTCCTCTCAAAACTTTGCATCACCAGGCTTTGCACCGTGCAAGGCACTGAAGATGCGTTGGCTGGGTTTGATGGGGATGTGGGGTTGTGGCTGGTAGAAATCAGGGACTGAGTAGCTCCCAAATAGCCCCTTTCATTATTTTGGCCTTTCACTTTTGCCCTTGGGATCCAAACAAAGAGGTCTTTTGGTGTCGCCAGGCACACTGGAGTGACAAGTTTTGCGTCCATGCGCCCTTCATGTGCTGAGCGCTGCCACTCTCAGGCTTTGGCAGTGCTTCACTGGTTTGCAACATCTGCTTGAAAAATATTTGGATTTCATTGAGAGTAGCAGAATGGGGGTATGCTGCCCCATCCTGTTATGTGCTGCCTACCTCACCAAATATTCCGGTTTTAGCATATCTGCTCAAAGAACCTTGAACCTGACTTCTGAAGAGTTATCCAGAATGCGGCAGCTAGACTGGTGACCGGGAGTGGCTGCCGAGACCATATAACACCAGTCTTGAAAGACCTTCATTTGCTCCCAGTACATTTCCGAGCACAATTCAAAGTGTTGGTGCTGACCCTTAAAGCTCTCAATGGCCTCGGCCCAGTAGACCTGAAGGAGTATCTCTACTCCCATTGTTCAACCTGGACACTGAGGTCCAGCTCCAAGGGCTTTCTGGCGGTTCCCTCGCTGCGAGAAGTGAGATTACAGGGAACCAGGCAGAGGGCCTTCTCAGTGGTGGCGCCCGCCCTGTGGAACGCCCTCCCATCAGATGTGAAGGAAATAAGCAGCTATCTTCTCTTTAAAAGACATCTGAAGGCAGCCCTGTTTAGGGAAGTTTTTAATGTGTGACATTTTAATGTATTTTTCATCTTTGTTGGAAGCCGCCCAGAGTGGCTGGGGAAACCCAGCCAGATGGGCGGGGTACAAATATTATTATTATTAGCACCACCACCACGCTCTAACCAACTGAATAAAATAATGTGTGAATGGAGATACACATCTTTTGGAGATGAGGGCTGACAGGTGACAAGATAGGCATCTGCAGGTATCTCTAGGGCTCTTGTATGGAAGATGGAGCAAACTTGCTTTGTGCTCCTCCAGAGGGCAGGACCCGAACCAGGGGAGTCAAATATCAGGAAAGGAGGTTCTGACCCAGCTTGAGGAAGATCGTTCTGGCGGCAAGAGCCATTCAACAGACCAGCTCAGAAAGCGGTGGGCCCTCGATAACAGCGTTGGAGGCTGTTTAGGAGACATTGAATGGCCATCTGTCAGGGGATCTTTAGCTGTGAGTGCAGGGGGTTGGACTAGATGACCATCGGATCCCTTTCAACTCTACCGTACCATGAGAGGGTTAAGCCTGAGTCAGGCAGCCCTGTTCAGGGAAGTTTTTAATCTGTGATATTTTACTGTATTTTTGGTTTCTAAGGAAGCCGCCCAGAGTGGCTGGGGAAACCCAGCCAGATGGGCGGGGTACAAATAATAAATTATTATTATTATTATTATTATTATTAAGCCACAATTACGTAATAATTAGTGGGGGAGGTGTGTTTTGAGCAAAATTGTTCCCCTGTCTAACCCATAAGGAATTGAGGAATTTCCAGACTGCACTTGTCGTTTCTTTTTTAAAAATTTATTCATTTTTCTTTTTCATTCATTACATACATCTCAAATTCTTAACATTTACTATATATTCCTCCCTTCCTCCCTCCCCTTCAAGGCTTCCCCCAACTTCCGCTTCTGGTTTGTTTCTCTTTTCACCCATTTTGCTATCTCTTAACGGAAAAAGTTATTAATAACATAACATCGAACGTAAAGACTTAAAAATAACAGTAAATACACCATCATCTTTCACTATCTTCTAAACATTTTCTAATGCTAATAATGTGAATGTTTATTTCAATCCTGCCATCAAGTCTATTGACTTTCTTTGTTTCTGCAAACATAATATAAATGGTTCGCAATCTTTTTCAAAGTCTCTGTTGTCTTTTTCTCTTAGTCTATTTGTCATTTCTGCCAGTTCTACATAGTTCATCAACTTCTCTTGCCACTTGTCGTTTATGACCATTGAAGCTGGTCAGATGTCATTAAAAGCAACAAACCACGGAGGCTAATAATAATAATAATAATAATAATAATAATAATTTATTTATTTATACTCTGCCCATCTGGCTGGGTTTCCTTAGCCACTCTGGGTGGCTTCCAACAGAATATTAAAATAGAATAGTCTATTAAACATTAAAAGCTTCCCTGAACAGGCTGCCTTCTAAAAGTTTGCAACAAATGCAAACTTGTGATGTGGATGGAGTGTAAATAAGAAACTGTAAGAAAAGATTTGAGACATGAAAACCGTTGAAGGGATGGAAGGAAGTCTGGGTAAATAAGAAGACATACAAATTTTTGAATGTAAGAGTATTTATTTTATTTGTTGTTGTTACAAAAAAGCAATAAAAAGTATTTTGGGGGGGGGAAGTCTGCAACAAATGCAACCATAAATAAAATAAAATAAAATAAAGTCTGCAACAAATAAATGCAACCATAGATAAGCAACGATCAGCCCCAGCAAACGCGCCCCATGGAAAGGGATGATGGGAGTTGTAGTTCGACAGCGCCCGGTAGAGCCGGGATCTCCGCGCCGTACATGGAGGGGGCGTGTCTATGCAAATTCTTCCACCCTGTGCGCCAATCCGGTGAAGCGGGGAGGTTGCGTAGCCCTCCGGCGGCCGGCTCCCTGCGCTTCTCCTCCTGGCCCGCAGGTGGCGGTGCGGAGTCGCTCCCGGGGAGCTGCGGCTTCGTCGCCCAGGCCTGGTCCTCGCGAGCATGCGCAGTGCCGGCCCCACGGACCCAAGGCAAGTGTGGGGCTCTGCGCGGGAGACAAAAGCGGGAGAGAAGCGGCAGGGCGGGCTGAGGGTATTGCAAAGGGATGGGGGGTGAGCGCGGAGCGGCCGGTCAGTTGCATTTCAGGGTGCAGAAGGGCTGATCATCTGTATTTCAGGGTGCCTTGGGTGCAGAAGGGCTGATCATTTGCATTTCAGGGTGCCTTGGGTGCAGAAGGGCTGATCATTTGCATTTCTGGGTGCCTTGGGTGCAGAAGGGCTGATCATTTGCATTTCTGGGTGCAGAAGGGCTAGGCAGTTGCATTTCAGAGTGCCTTGGGGTGCAGAAGGGCTGATCATTTACAATTCTGGGTGCCTTGGGTGCAGAAGAGCTGGGCAGTTGCATTTCAGGGTGCCTTGGGGTGCAGCAAAGCATTTTTGGGGTTCCTTGAGGACGCCTTAGGTCAGATAAAGCAGAAGAGAGGCAGGGATAATTCCTGCTGTTTATTTTGGGGTGCAGCGAAGGTGCTGAGGGCTCTGCTGCTTTCGAAAGATGTTTCTGGGGGTGCTGCAGGAGCCCTGCCCTGGCTTGAAAAGTGGGGGGGAGAAAAGATACCTTTGCTTTGGGGTACGGGACTTAAGGGAGGATGGCATCTAAGCTTTTGGCTTTCTTCCCTCTTGGCAGCTTGCCAACTTTTCCCCAAGGCCCCCTTTCCTAGGGTGAAGGGCATCCCCAACGCGGCACACATCTCTCTCCAACTTTGGTGTTTTGGTTCCGATAAGGGGCATCAAAACCTGGCAAGCGACTCTTACCCAGGACCCTGTCCCCAGCGGTGAAATTTCACAGCTTCCGGTAAGCGGCCTCTGAAAGGCATTCCTTTTCCTGCTCTCTAATTGTGTTGGAGGCTCAATTCTCATCCAGCACTTGAATCACACGGGGTTGGTCTGGATGACCTTTGGCGGTCCCTTCCGACACTACAATTTCCTGATTCCATTTCCTCCACCCTTGCAGAGCAAGCCATGGAGTTTGAGGTTTCAGAATCCGGCCGCCAGCTGCCGTCACGCCCTGCGGTGCCCTGCAAGGCCACGTTTAACGGGGAGGGGAAGGTCCTCGTCCCGGAGGCGTCTTCGTGGTCCGCCGTGGAAGCCACGGACGTGGCGCTTCCTTCTCACGGCACCCGGCTTCAGGGGCTGGAGAGGAGGATGGTGGCTGCAGAGCAGAAGTGGGTTGTCTGCGAGAGGGTGGTGGCAGAGATGGGGCAGGAGCTGGAGAGCAAGCTGTCCGCGCTCGGGACCCTGATCCGGGAGAACAGCCTACTCCAGAGGAGGCTGGACAACTTGGAGAACCTGCTGAAGAACCGCAACTTCTGGATCCTGAGGCTTCCTCCGGGCGTTAAAGGAGAAATCCCTCAGGTAACCTTGCCCCGGCTGGCTTAATTTACACTACAAATTATATGTACATTATACAAATTATATGCAAATTGTACAAACTATATGTGTTGAATGCTCCTTCCTTGGAGGTTTTTATTGAAATACTTTATTGTCACTTGTACAACTTGTATACAGTGAGATTACACAAGCACCCCCCACTCCGCTCTCTTAGTCTTAATTCCCCTCGTTTACCCACCAAACCCAAAAGTCAGTTGCCCTGTTGTTATCTTTTCATTCAGCAGCTTAACAGCCCACGGATAGAAGCTATTCTTTACCCTGTTGGTACGACTAATTCTGCTTCTATATCTTCTGCCCGAGGACAGGAGATCAAGAAAGAGCCAGCCAGGGTGTGAATAATCATCCCTGAGAATTTTCCTCACCCTCCTGAGGCAACGTTCTTCCGCTATTTCATCCAGCAGATTCACGGGACAGCCCATAATAACTTGTGCTGCATTCCCCACCCTCTGTAGGCACTTCCTATCCGTTGATGTCAAACCAGCGTCCCACACCCTGATGCAGTAGGAAAGGACACTTTCTATTGTGGACTGGTAGAAGGAGATCATCAGATGTTGATTGACATTGTTCTTCCGCAAGACTCTGAGGAGATGGAGTCTCTGTTGGGCTTTCTTTCACTGAGATAAACTCCTAAGAGACTCTCTCCACACAGCGGGGCTAGTTCTCCTCTCTTCCTCCCAAAGTCCAACACCATCTCCTTTGTCTTGCTGATATTAAGGTGCAAGTTGTATACAGGGACTCTTTCTTTCGCTGCGATTCATCTTCTTCATTACTTTTGCATCCCGCCTTTTGTCCACGGAGTTCAAGGCGGCTTACGTGACAATCCCCATCTTATTCTCACAACAGCCCCGTGAGGTAGACAGGGCCTAGAGATTCCAAAATAAACGTCAAGAAGAACTTTCTGACGGGAAGAGGAATGGACTCCCATCAGGAGGTGGTGGGCTGTCCTTCACGGAAGTTTTATTCTTACTTATTTTTGGACAAAATAATAATCATAAATAAATAAGAATAAACATGTGCACCCCACCACTGAGACCATTCCATTGTAACTATCCAACCTCCCAAAATTTCAACACCTCTTGTGATGGTTTGACCCCTTTCTATTTTAACAGTTCAAATTCTACAAACATTCTCCATATCCCGCCAAAATCATTTCTCCTGTGTATTCCCAGTCTTACCTTAAAGGCATATGTTAATGTATCATTAATAGCTATATCCCACACCTCTTTAGACCATTCTTTTATTTTATATTCTGCTTGCCCCTTCCACTTCCTAGCTATCATAACTCGTGCAGCTGTCAATAAATTTGTGAATAATAATAATAATAATTTATTATTTATACCCCGTCCATCTGGCTGGGTTTCCCCAGCCACTCTGGGCGGCTTCCAACTGAATATTAAAAACAATACAGCGTCAGACATTTAAAACTTCCCTGAACAGGGAACAGTTGTCTTTTAAAAGTAAAATAGTTGTTTATTGTCTTGACATCTGGTGGGAGGGCGTACCACAGGGCAGGCGCCACCACCGAGAAGGCCCTCTACCTGGTTCCCTGTACCTCACTTCTCGCAGTGAGGGAACTGCCAGAAAGCCCTTGGAGCTGGACCTCAGTGTCCGGGCAGAACAATGGGGGTGGAGACGCTCCTTCAGGTATCCTGGACCGAGGCCGTTTAGGGCTTTAAAGGTCAATACCAGCACTTTGAATTGTGCTCGGAAACGTACTGGGAGCCAATGCAGATCTCTCAGGACTGGTGTTATGTGGTCTCGGCAGCGGCTCCCAGTCACCAGTCTGGCTTCCGTATTCTGGATTAATTGCAGTTTCTGAGTCACCTTCAAAGGTAGCCCCCCATAGAGCGCGTTGCAGTAGTCCAAGCAGGAGATAACCAGAACATGCACCACCCTGGCGAGACAGTTTGCAGGCAGATAGGGTCTCAGCCTGCGTACCAGATGGAGTGGTGGACAGCTGCCCTGGACACAGAATTGACCTGTGCCTCCATGGACAGCTGTGAGTCCAGAATGATTACCAGGCTGCACACCTGGTCCTTCAGGGGCACAGTTGCCCCATTCAGGACCAGAGAGTCCTCCACACCAGCCCACCCCCTGTCCCCCAAGAACAGTACTTCTGTATTGTCAGGATTCAACCTCAATCCGTTAGCTGCCATCCATCCTCCAATTCCTTCATAGCTTGTGAACCTGAAGCACATGAACGTAAGCAGGTACTCTCTTGGTGTTAATAAGGATCAGGCAGACTCAGCAATGGAGAATAAGAAGGTGAAGTTTATTGCCAGGCAATAAGGACCCAGTTTGGAATCTCTTCCAAAAGGAACTGGGACCCCGATTGACAGAAATCCAGAGGTCTTTATACCTGAGCAGATCACAGCAAATCATAGATCATGAGACAACCATGAGGCAGTCACGATATCGCCAGCGAAAATTAGCCAATTAGCAAGCTTCTTGCCATGCTTCCAGCTCCTGGTCAAGCACAGAGTTCTAGTTCTGCTTTCCGCTGCTTGCAGTGATGCTCTGTCTAACCTCTCCCCTAGTTATGACAGGACAGGGAGTATTGGAGATTTTGTGGTTTGCTCTTCCTGTTCTGTGGATTAATTTAGCCTGTATCTAAGGGGATTTTGTACCAGTATCTCTGATTCACGTCTTCCCCTTGTCCAGGGTACACGGATGTTTGTAGGGGAAAGGTCGGCTCCTAATTTTGCTGTTTCAAGCAGTATGCAGTTAGCTAAGGCACAGCTTCCCTTTGATTCAAAATGGATTATAAAAATACTGTAAGCCCTGATTATGTGCGAGCATATATGAATATATTGATTACTGATAACTGATTATATGAATTGCATAAGGGTAGCCCTTCTTCCTTGCCTCAAGCCTTCCGCCCTGTCGTAAATTGATAATAATGCCGTCTCTGGACTTTTGGTCCGCTTTAACCCAGTGATTTCTGTTATCTCCTTTAACACCCTTTGCCAGAAAAATTGTACACCCCTACCACATGTGAACATAATTCCCGGTTTCCTGTCATTGCCTCCAACATAACGTAAGGTTTTTTAAGCAGAGGTTGGTTGGCCATTTGTCGGGATTTCTTTAGCTGTGATTCTTGCCTTGCGGGGGGTTGGACTAGAGAACCTCTGGAGTCCCTCCTTGTTCTTCCACCTGCAAGTGAAGGCACCTTTATTCCGACAGGCCTTTGGGAACGGTCTGCTTTGGAAGAAAAGGACCGCCTCTCCTGGTCTGCTCCACAGAGTGTTGGGATACTGCCAGGGAGACAAAGTCCATCATGGCCCCCAAGCCGGCTGCCGGACGATCCATCGATCGCCCGTGGATACAGTATCAGCAATTAGCGACACGAGTTTCCAGAAATAGCTTGCCACATTCCAGAGCTCATGCACACTCTATCAGCAGATAATTCACAGCAGAAGTTGCACGCAGGAGAGCATTATTTACAAGTTTTATTCAGCGTTGATCAGAACAAAGAAAAACATGACTGCCTGCATCAGTGTCTCCAGACACAGAGAGAGAAACGGAAGCAACAGAAAACATAAACATCCTGTGAACAGGAAACGTGCAGACTCTGTGACTCACAAAGCCTGCTCCCTTTTAAGGTGGAACGGAAATATCCTAACACGGAGGACCTTAAGGTCCTCAAATGACAACATTTTGGAGGTCCCAAGTCGCAAGGTGGTTAGATTGGTCTCAACTAGTGCCAGGGCCTTTTCAGTGCTGGCCCCGATCTGATGGAACACTCTGTCACAAGAGACTAGGGCCCTGCGGGACTTGACATCTTTCCGCAGGGCCTGCAAGACAGAGCTGTTCCGCCTGGCCTTTGGTTTGGACTCAGTCTGACCCTTATGTTTCCCTCCCCTTATGGCTTTGATCTATGGGTACTTTTAAAATGAGGCTGCATTTTAAATTATATTTTAACCTGTATTTTAAATTGGTTTCTTTTTCCTATTATTTTTTTCCTGTAATTTTACTGGTGTTAGCCACCCTGAGCCCAGCTCTGGCCGGGGAGGGTGGGGTATAAATAAAATTTACTATTATTATTGTTACTATTATTATTATTATGCCGGGCCTTATTTACCATCTGTGTTATGGATTTTCAAACATTCTATCGGAGTTTAATTTACTTTTTAACAATGATCCCTTCTTTGTTTTTAGCTTTTGGTATTCTCGCTGTGTTGTTTGAAATGGTGCAGAGTCCTGATCTGACTTGCACTGGCTGGACGTGGGGAATCCCCAAGGGAAGGCCCAGGGGATGAAGGCTCAGAGCCCAGTGGTCAGAGGAAAGGAGGGAGCAGTGTTGGGAGTTTGGTGAGGTTTAGTGAGCAGGAAGAGGCTGTTGCAGATGTCAGCCCCAAATCGGAAGCTGCGTGTTGGCAGCCTGTGGAAGAAGACAGGGAGTCTCGCCTCCTGCTGCAACCAGCTTGCCTCTCTCCTGTCTCCCAGAAGCAGTAGAGGTCTGAAGAGGGTGGAGCAAAGAGCGCCAGGACAACTGAGCTGCTGGGGAAGGAACCGGGCCAGGAGCCTTAGAGAGCGGTGGGCATTCAGTCCTTGCAGTTGCTTTTTGGGGGCAATAATAATAATAATTTATTATTTGTACCCTGCCCATCGGGCTGGGGTTCCCCAGCCACTCTGGGCGGCTTCCAGCAAAGATGAAAAATACATTAAAATGTCACACATTAAAAACTTCCCTGAACAGGGCTGCCTTCAGATGTCTTCTAAATGTCAGGTAGTTGTCTATCTCTTTGACATCTGAAGGGAGGGCGGGCACCACTACCAAGAAGGCTCTCTGCCTGGTTCCCTGTAACTTGGCTTCTCGCAATGAGGGAACCACCAGAAGGCCCTCGGCGCTGGACCTCAGCGTTCGGGCAGAACGATGGGGGTGGAGATGCTCCTTTAGGTATACTGGGCAAGACCTCTTGGGAAGATTTGCTGAGACCCCCTAGGCCTGAGCTTTTGTTTCCTTGAATGAAGAGATCAAAAGTGGGCGGAGGGGGGAAGATCTCTGGATGCGACAGACGGAGGCGGGAGCTCTGACGTGTGGGACTCTTTCCACCCCAGGTGCCAGTGACCTTTGGCGACATCTCTGTCCATTTTGACGCTCAGGAGTGGGCCAACCTGGACGAGGGGCAGAAGGAGCTGTACAAAGGGGTCATGAGGAGCAACTACGAGATGCTGGTTTCGCTGGGTAAGAGCTTCGACCCCCAGGCGGGATCTGTGCCTCTCTTTCTCTCTTAAATCTCCCAAACGATTTACGGCGTCTTTGTGCTGTTCCGTTACGTGTGATCGCGTTATCGCTGCCTGTTGCTTGTAAGCCGCTTTGAAGGCCATTCTATTTTTCAATTGTTATCTTCTTCTTTTTTGAATTTGCATTTTATTTATTTGCTAACATTCTTATATTACATTGGTAAACGTTGTCATACTACATTACAGGACTTACTATAATATAATTTCCAACATGTATACAAAAATTATATACAAATTTTATATACTTAGAAATAAAATGAAACAAAACGAAAGAAAGAACAAAAACAAAAAACAAAAACAATTTCCCCCCAAAAAATCATATACATACCAACACACTAGACTTCCTGTCTTTCCCGTTGTATATTCCTTTTTTACAAATGAATGTACTCTTATTATAGTATATTTCTTTACATATTATCTAATACATTCCTATATCAAAATGTGCTCTTAGTCTTATTTCTCAACTCAGTCTCACTCCAACGTCAATCAAATGCTATTTTTCAATTGTTATTTATCGAATTTGTGTACCGTCCTTCGTCCGAAGGTCTCGGTTCACGCTGTGAAAATGCAGAACGGAACTGCTAAGTAGACAGTAAGAACAAGAACAAAGCAAACCAACATTTAAAAGGAAGTAGATGTTTGAATTAAAAGTGGCGTAGGAATATAATAAATCAAATCTGTGCCACACACTTTCAAATGTTTTGACTTCCATTTTTTGACTGAGCGCAGCTTGTGTCATCCAGAACCAACAAATTGCGGTTTAGAAGATCACATAACATCCCTTCTGTCATTGTGTGTATATTTTATTCGGATTTGTTCATGAGATCCATAACTTTTAGTATATGCTGAAAGGGCTAAGTTCCTCCAGTGTGCAGGAGTTGTGATCTTTTCAATAATAAATGATATTTTGCTTTGTGAAAAGAATATATCTGTGCCACACCTGCTTTTGGGCAGACTGCATCTACCGTATTTTTTGCTCTATAAGATGCACCAGACCACAAGACACACCAAGTTTTTGGAGGAGGAAAACAAGAAAAAAAATATTCTGAATCTCAGAAGCCAGAACAGCAAGAGGGATCGCTGCGCAGTGAAAGCAGCAATCCCTCTTGCTGTTCTGGCTTCTGGGATAGCTGCGCAGCCTGCATTCGCTCCATAAGATGCACACACATTTCTCCTTACTTTTTAGGAGGGAAAAAGTGAGTCTTATAGAGCAAAAAATACGGTATATTCCAATTAATGTTCATTCTCTTCCGCCCCCCATCCTCTTCCTCGTACCCCCCTGGCATTTCTGCCCATTGTGCAAGCCCCACCATCCAGTTCTGAATGAGACTGACCACCTCTCCTTTTCCCGTGGCCAGACTATGCCATTTCTAAGCCCAGGATCCTGTCCCAGATTGAGCGAGGGGAGGAACCCCGTGTGGAAGACCCAGGAGACTCGGAGGCGGAGGAGCTACCTGTGGAACCAGGTAGGTGGGTGGGGTGATGAGGGATCAAGCCCCTTCTCCCTTAAATGGCCCTCTCCACTTTCCCGGCGGCAATGTTACTGCTTGGACATGAAAACACATGAGCAAGATGTTGGGCCAGGCAGAAGCTATGGTCAGGCAAAGAACCACAGACACTGAGAGATAACAGGACTGCTCAAGGTGCCCCGACTATAAAATTGGAGAAATCGAGAGATATATAGCGGCACCGGCAGCAAATCTCTTCTTTCTCGTATCCAAAAATGCAAGAAGGGCCTTTACACTCGCCAGAAGCTTGGCTCTGCCCTCGCCGGTCCTGGAAGGAGCCTTTAAAAAAGTCCCACATGCTCAGAGACTTTGCGCCTGTTCATTGGGGGAGAGAGGAAGCCCAGAGCAGTTGTTCTTTAGATGTCCCTTTTAGGAAGAGGTACGTAGTGAGACCATTGATCCCCTGCTGGTGAGGCTCACTGACCTCCCGGAAAAGCAAAAATTCGACCTTTTTCTGTTAGGCAAAGCTCATAAGATGACCCGGATGGTCGCCAGATTCTGTGTACAGATCTGTAGGCGCAGACCATCCCCCGATCCAAACTACCGTATTTTTCGTTCTATAAGACGCACATTTTCCCCTCCAAAAATTAAGGGGAAATGTGTGTGCATCTTATGGAGCGAATGCAGGCTCCTTGGCTTCAAGGATAGTTGCCTGAAGCCTCCGGAGTACAGCGGGAGCGCAGCGGTTTTGAATCCTTCCTGTCATTTTGTCCAATTCTGCATAGCCCATTAATTTCGTCTGCCATTCTTCTTTCGTCGGAATTTCTTCTTGCTTCCACTTCTGGGCTAACAATACTCTTGCTGCTGTTGTTGCATATAAGAACAGTTTGACATCTTGTCTATTAATGTCTTGGCCTATAATACCAAGTAAAAATGCTTCTGGTTTTTTTAAGAATGTATATTTCAACATCTTTTTCATCTCATTATATATCATTTCCCAGAAGTTCTTTACTTTCTTACATTCCCACCACATGTGATAAAATGTCAGGTCTTGCTTTGGGCTTCACGTTGGGGCAGCTGGTTGGCCACTGTGATGGCAGGATGTTTGCCTAGATGGGTCTGATCCAGTAAGGAAGACTCATCATATTTTTTTATGTACAGTGGTACCTCAGTTTACGAACTTAATCCGTTCCGGAAGTCTGTTCTTAAACGAAACCGTTCTTAAACCGAGGCGCGCTTTCCCTAACGAGGCCTCCCACCGCCGGTGCCCTTCCACTGTTTGCCTTCCGTTCTTAAACCGAGGAAAAGTTCGCACGCCGGGACACTACTTCCGGTTTTGCAGAGTTCACAAACCAAATAGTTCGTAAACAAGGCTGTTCTTAAACTGAGGTATCACTGTACTGCCGTTAAGGAATCTCAGAATTGGGACGTGGCACACGAGGAAAAGGGAATGGTCTGGAGGAGGAAAAAAGCAAGCACAGACACAAGTCCCAGCCGCTCTGAGTGGCGGTTCTGGTTGTCTTGCCCTCCTGAGCCTGTCTGCGCAGGGATGCTCTTGGGCATGGGAGATGTGCTAAGTGAAGAGCAAGAGGTCATGCGTGGCCTCATTCCCCCTGGGCTCATCCAAATTCTTGTTACACTGCCGTTTCTACGGGGATATACGCTCGGTATTTATCACTCCTGTTATACAGAAATCTCCAAATGGGTCCGAACTTCAATGTCTAAAACTCCTGGTAGAGGACAAGGATCTGGAGATTACGCTAAGGGTGGCCAAATTCTGTGCGACTGCCATAAAACGTAGGGAACAAGCTGTACTACCAAAATGATTAAGGTTTTAAATGATAATTTTAGGTTATATTTTAGTGTTCAACATTTAATATATATATATATATTTTAACTACCGCTAAATCTGAATTGTCTCTGTTATAACCAGTTGCAATTCAATGTATCCCTGTTGTGTTTTATGATTTTCCTGATAGTGTAAGTGACCCGGACGACTGGTCTGTGACCGTAATAATAAAATTCATTCATTTCCTGGGCTCAGGATCCCCGATCGCTGCAACGGACGCTTCTTCCTGGGACGGGGAAGAGGTCAAGGAGGAGGTGAGGCCCTTTGATGACCCAGAAGAGAGTCAAGAAATGAACCTCGCCATCGATCCCGACTTGGGTGAGTCCTCTCTATAGAAAGATCTTTCCTCTGAAAACATTTTATTTTAAAAATCCAATTTGGATCTAAAAAAATCCAATTATTTTTTATTTTTTAAATCATTGATTTTTATCCACACTGCTTCTTAGCAGCACTTGGGGTCAGAAGTTCCCCAAATGCCATAGCAAAAAAAAGGGGGTGGGGTTTGAGGTTTGATTCCCAGAAAAAATCATTTGGAGTATACAGAAATTTCCTCTTTATTTCCCAAAGAACTCCAGATTGTTCAAGACGAGACGGGGCCGCAGATTAAGGAAGAGCAGGAGGAAATCCACATCAAGGAAGAGCCTGCGTCTCCCATGAGCCCTGGCAGCGGTGAGTGTTGAGGCCCCTTGGGCACAGAACCAGGAGCCCTTCTTGGATCTGGGCCTCGGGATGAGCACCAAGAACAGGCCAGCAGTGCCGTTGACCGTTCTCCGGGTTGGTGAAGCTTGTTTGACGACAATGAGAAAACAGAGCCTTGAGCGTCGCCGGCCTGGTCCTGCGGAACTCCCTGCCACTAGAGATTCAGCAGGCGCCTTCTGTGCCCAATTTTTAAATGCCTACCGTACTCTGCCAGTCCTAGGCAGGCAGTAAAGAACACCTCCTTCCACCGCGGTTAATTGGGCTCCGCTTTTAAATGGTCTTATGCAGGGGTCAGCAGACTTTTTCAGCAGGGGGCCAGTCCACTGTCCCTCAGACCTTGTGGGGGGCCAGACTATATTTTGGGGAAAAAATGAACGAATTCCTATGCCCCACAAATAACCCAGAGGTGCATTTTAAATAAACGGACACATTCTACTCATGTAAAAAACATGCTGATTCCTGGACTGTCTGTGGGCCGGATTTACAGTAGAAGGCGATTGGGCCGGATCTGGCCCCCGGGCCTTAGTTTGCCTACCCATGATCTTATGCTTTTGTTTCCGTAAGCCGCTTTGAAATATATTTTTAATGATGCAGCAATATACATATTTTAAAGTGATTTGATAAACAAAAAAGCATCTCCGTGTGCGATGACATTTGTCCGCAGCCTCTGCTGTCGTTGGACTTTTTCTGCATGTCGGCCTTTTCCCGTCATGTAAAGGTAAAATGACGGTTGGGTTCTTGGGGGGGGGGGGCAGCAGTAAAAGATTGCTGGGGAATGATGACCAGTTTCGGTCTCCTCTCTCTCATCCACAGGGCCCCTTGTTCCTGCCTGGATTAAACAGGAGGAGGAGGAGGAAGAAGAAGAGGAAGAGGAAGAAGAACAGCCCATTGAGGATCAGCAGGTCTTGGTTCCAGCAGGTGAGGGCTGACTTGGGAAGAATCATAAAATCATAGAATCCGTTGAGTCATCTAGTCCAACCCCCTGCAAAGAGGAGGAAGGCCTTTTAGTTTTTGGCATAGAATAGAGCTGCTGGGTAGATGTTGTGGCTACCTAAAGATCCATAGCATTCTTCAGGCAGACCCACATCTAGGCCGAACTGCAAGATCTTTACTCAATCTTTCGATGTAGCGGCACCTAAACTGTGGAACTCCTTGCTTATTGATATCAGCCTTCATTATATACTCTTTTCAGTACCTGCTAAAAACTTTCTTGCTTAGGAAAGCTTTCCCAGATGTTTAGAAAGTGCCTTCTAGTTTTAATCTGTTTTTAGTCTTAAAGTGGACGCTCGGGTTGCGAATGTGATCCGTGTGGGAGGCACGTTCGCAACCCGCACCGTCGCACCTGTGCATGCACAGGTCGCGATTTGGCGCTTCTGCACATGTGCAAAGTGTGATTTAGTGCTTCTGCGCATGCACAATTGCTGAAACCCAGAAGTAACCTGTTCCGGTATTTCTGGGTTTGGCATGGTGCACAACCCGAAATCGCGCAACCCGAAGCGTCTGTAATCCAAGGTATGACTGTATTCTTATTTTAACTTTTCAAAAGTAAAAACTTTTTTTATATAAAAAATATTTGGTTTTTCAAATAATTTTTTTACAGGGAATATATCACACATAAATAATAAAAATAAGATTCCAAGGAATCTCCTGGACTTCCATCCTCCCTTTTGTGGCTCCTATTATTATTAATCCTTTCCTCCCACATCTTTTGTGATAATCCAAAACCTTTACCTCTTCCATTCAAAAGTTGAAACTTCAAAGGGGTCTGCAAAAAGAATAAGTCAGTAAGATTATTAGCAAAAACAAATTAAAACATTCGAGGAAGTTCCGGGCTCAATCCCCAGTCGCATCTGTCGGCAAGGTGGGGGGGAACCCTGGAGAGCTGCTGTCAGTCAGTGTAGGCAATACAGAGCTACATGGAGCAACACTCTGACTCCTTTGTTCAATCAGCCCTTGATTTAGAACATTGAGGACTAGAATCTTGCTTTATTTTTAGGGGAGCACAGCAGTAGAGCCTCTGCTTGGCATGCAGGAGGTCCCAGATTCGGCCCCCAGTGACCTCTCTAGATAGGGCTGGGAATGTCCTCATCTGAAATCCCCAACGGCTGCCTGCCAGTGTAGACAATACTGAGCAGGATGGACCCAACGATCTAACAGCTTCCTGTGAGCCTCAGGAGACTTTTCCTTGCCCCTACCCAGCCCCCTTTTCCTAAAGATGGTTTGCTTTTTGCCCCAGCTGGACTCAGGACGCTGTGCAGGGCCGCAGAAGAGGAGGAGGAAACTGACAAGAAGTCGGCCACCCAACCCAGCGCGACGGAGGACCCCGAGCAGAAAGCGGTCGAAGGCAACCTCTTCCAGTGCGAGATGTGTGCCGCGGACGGCTCGCCGCGGACGGCCTCCGCCGACCACCCCTACAGCCGCAAGCGGAAGTTCCAGTGCACGGGCTGCAACCGCAGCTTTGCGTTCCAGGGCCAGCTCTCGCAGCACCTTCTGACGCATGCGCCCGGCGCCCAGTTCCCATGCGCCCAGTGCAACCTGTGCTTCTCCAGCCAGAAGTCGCTGGCCGTCCACGAGCGCGTCCACTCGGCCGACTGGGCCCTGCCCTGCTCCGTCTGCAGCAAGGCCGGTCCGCCCGCCTTTGACCAGAACCAGCAGTCTCCCGCACCTGGCCGGCCCGCCCCCTGCCTGGAGTGCAGCGTCTACTTCACTGACCCGGCCGCCCTGGCCGCCCACCGGCGGATGCACTCGGACGACTGGCCTTTCCGCTGCCCGCAGTGCGACCGGACTTTCGTGCACCAGGGGCTGTTGCTGGAACACCTGGAAAACCACAGCCGCATGCAAAGCCGGCGCTGCCACACCTGCGGGTCGTGGCTGTCCTACAAAGGGACCCTGATGCCCAGCGGAGCCCGCCTGTTCCACTGCAAGAGGTGCAACACCGCCGGACGAGTCCCAGGGGACTTGAGGGCCTGAGGCAGGAGAATTCGACCCGCCGTCGTTGAGGGGGCGGCCCTCAAACAGGCACAGAGAGCGTTCTCTGGGCAGACCCTTTGAGCTCAGCAAGGCAGCCGGCGACCCCTCTCTCGGGAGAAAAACAGGGCATTCTCCCCCAAGACCTGCACAACTTTGTGGCTTTGTGCAGGTGGCAGGAAGGCAGACCGGTAAACGGAGAGCCAGGCTGGGGGTGAGAAGCAAGCAGAAAGGGCCGCCCAAGATTTGGCACAACTTTCTCTGAGCCTGGCAAGCGAGGTAGCAGCGGGACGAGAAAGTGCTTTCCCTGCTGGGTTTCCCTGGCCCGGTTCCCTGTGCTGGGGTTTAAGGCTTGCACCTCCCAGGAATCTGCAACAGCCTTTGCGAGGCCTAGCAGAGCCCAGTAAGGTGGGGATAGTCACTCGGGTTGTGTGTGTGTGTGTGTGTTTTCCTGCCTTTGCGTGCAAACCTCCAGGACGTACCGTATTTTTCGCTCTGTAAGACGCACCAGACCATAAGACGCACCTAGTTTTTGGAGGAGGAAAACAAGGGAAAAAATATTCTGAATCCCAGAAGCCAAAACAGCAAGAGGGATCGCTGTGCACCGCTCCCTCTTGCTGTTCTGGCTTCTGGTATAGCTGCGCAGCCTGCATTCACTCCATAAGACGCACACACATTTCCCCTTACTTTTTAGGAGGGAAAAAGTGTGTCTTACAGAGCGAAAAATACGGTAATCCCCAGGGCCTAAACTGCAGGCCTGCTGCACCGCTCTCTTTTGAGTCCTCACGTGGGTCAGACAGTGGAGCAGCGTTCCTGGGATGGCCAAGCCTCTCGTTATGAAGGAAGGGGGTCCCTCTCCCTGGCCAAGATGGGCCCAGCTAGGATTTTGCGGTGTGGAAAAGCTGTGGCCACACACCATCCGTGGATGCAGGTGGAGAGGGCCTTGTTAATTTCCCCCCTGCAGTCGTCCTCCGTTTCTGCGGCCTCGATAAGCCCCAGTTCCTTTTCCTTTGGCAAACTTTTCTCTTTTCTCCCGGGCTCTGTCCGCCTGAGGGACGCACCTGCCTGACTTGCAACCTCCGGGGCATAGATTTCTGCCCGTCCTGCAGGGGGGCGGCACGCGCTGAATGCCCAGGGATCAGTGGGGCTGGGAAGGCAACGGCGCTGAGACATGAACCCCTCTTGATAGCAGCAGCTCCAGCTCTGTGGAAGGTTTGGCCCTTGGCACAGCCTCCTCTCCCCTCCCCGGGGGCCACAGGCACAAATCCCCGCAAAATACCCCCAAACGGGGAAAAGACCTTTCCAATGACGTCTGCAGCGGCCAGTTCTGGGGTCCTCTCCTCAAAGACAGCTGCTGAAGCCCCCTAGAGTGGCACGTTGAATGCCCGTGGTTTGTGGGGTCCAGCCATGAACCCAGTACAGTGGGTGTAGGGCAGGGGCAAGGAAATATCTTGGTAGTGCCACTTCCTTCCGCATCTGCCAAGGGAAGAGGCTCCAGAACGGATGGCTCGCTTTCCCTCCTCTGTTCAACCCCCCAGCGACCCCATTTCCTCCATGCCCGCTGCCTCTGGGCTACTGAAGGCCTCAGAGCTCCTCATTAGGTGCTTGCCGCTGCCCCCTGCCCCATAGAGGTGGATCGGGACCTCCTTAAAGGGGCAGCCACTCTGACAAAGGTGATCCCCTGTGGATCTGCGATGTGTGCCAGCCTTAAGCTGCCCGCTCTCCACTTTTCTGGATCCCTCTGTAGGGCTTCATCCCGGACTTCAGAGGTTCTGGTTCTGTCCTTCCACAGGACTCTCGCGGTTGCTATTGCCTTTCCAAAGCAGGGGTCCGAGGAGATGTTTTGCCGCAGTTCGGTTGAAACAGGTTGGCTGCTGAGCCCTTCCTGTCGTCCCCATCGTATTACGGGATATTCAACTTCTGGAAGATTTCCTTCTGCACCTGCCTTTTATAAATAGGAACTTGGCTCGCTTCCTTAAGCTCCGTTTGTGGCTGTGACGTCTTCTCCTGTCCCCTTGGAGTTGTGAATCCTGCTCACATGGAAGAGGAGGGAATTTGCCACCAGCTGAAAGTCTTTCCTGCGAGTTCCTTTTCCCGCAGGTTGACCTGCCGCTCCTATCAGCCCAGTCCCCATGGCCTGTGGTCAGGACTGACTCTGGGACCAAGCTGCGTCGAGGGCTCCTTCCCCATTGGAGAAGCGTAAAGTTCATATAGCAAGCCATCCCTTGGGTGGGGCTGGTTGATGTTGGTTGAGAGTCCTTCTGGGGCCATCCCGACATCCGCTTTGGCGCTGGAAGGAAGCTTCTCTGCCAGATTCTGGGTGGACTTAAAGGCGCTGTTCCCCTATCCCCGGTTTGGGATTAATTCCCACTCCAGGAATCTCCTGTAACCTCTTTGCTGTGGAGCCGATACACGAGTTTAAAACGTTGCTGGAATTATGAAAATAAAAATTCAAAAAAACAACCTAGTGCGTAACTTTTTCATTTTGGAGTGCCTTGTTTGAAGGCAGCCCTGTTTAGGGAAGTTGTTAATGTTTGATGCTTTATCGTGTTTTTAATATTCTGTTGGGAGCTGCCCAGAGTGGCTGGGGAAACCCAGCCAGATGGGCGGTTATAAATAATATTTTATTTTATTTTTTATTTATGTTGAACAGACATAAAAGAGTAACTGCAAAATTCTGGGACAAACTCAAGTAACTTTAACTCACTAGGATATGTGTGGGGTCCATTGTTCTGTATAGCTATAGTAAGGGATTTTTCCCCAATAGCCACACCATTGTGATATTTAAGGTAAGTTTAGTTGTTCATGGTGGTGAGTGCTGGGGAACCCAAAAAAGTGGAGTCCACAGGATTATAAATTACACAAACTCCATAAACAATGACAGGCAACACGTGGCTAACAAGAATATTAGTAGCATGTACAATTTTTTACAATTCTTAAACAGAAAATATATGATGGAGTCACAAATTGTACAATTCAATCAAAAGTGCGTGAACCAACAAGTAGTCAAATACCACAGAGGCAAACAAGCCTTTCAACAGTCACAATCCTGTAACCGTGTGATAATAGAAGCTCCAAGCTTAGGAATTCTTAAACAGAATTCTTAAATGGAAAGTATGTAATAGAGTCACAGAGGATGTGAGTCTATCACTGTTGCATGAACGAAATTAGACATAAATTACACAGGCATTCTCTCACCCATATAGTGTGTGACTTTTTATTGCTACTAATCGACCTGGGCACCAATTTGGAAATCAGAGGAGACTGGTCCATTCGAGAGATGGAAACACTGCTTCACCAAGCCCAGTCTGCCCTTAGCTAGTCTCTCAGCCGCCTGGCTTCTTACCAACAGTCCAGGGGGTGCCTGTGCCTGTCACTTACCTCCTCTTCAGTTCCAGTCTATGGGACTACTCGAGTGCACCGGGTATTAGGGAATTGGGAAACGCCTCTGGCGGGGGACCCGCTGTGCTCCTCCTGGGGCTCTCACCTGTGGCTCCTAGAAGCTGTTAACAGGTGACAGCGGCCACAATCCCAGGAACAACTGGCCGACTAAACCAGACGAGGGGATCTGATGGGTCTCAAACTCTCAGTGAGTTAGGGACTTGCCCTGCGTGCGAAGACAGGATGAGCATATGAGACCAGTGTAGTGTTCCCAAGGCAAGGATTGGACTCTGATTAATAAAATATACACGAGGCTTGACCAGCAAGACTCTGGGAGGGGTACGTATAATAATAATTCCTCTCCACCCCCTGGCCCAGGTCGTTTTATTCACAAAAGAACTTTTTACACAGTGTTGAAAAGAACCAATCATATTTCCAATGAGCATTTCAAAAACCCCACGTGGGGACAAAGTTAAATTACAAAAAGCTAATTTAAGCATGCATACTTCCGGGGTAATTAAAACAGGACTAAAAAGGAGGAATGCATTCAGCAACCCCGAAGGTCATAAACAAGCAGTAAACATGAGAGGAAGGATGGGTAGTATTTGCCATCTCTGTGAACTCTCTTCCTGGCCCTAAGATCTATCTCAAGATTAACAAACTACATCAAAGTACAGTGGTGCCTCGCAAGACGAAATTAATCCGTTCCGCGAGTCTCTTCGTCTTGCGGTTTTTTCGTCTTGCGAAGCACAGCTATTAGCGGCTTAGCGGCTATTAACGGCTTAGCGGCTTTAAGAAAAAGGAAACAAACTCGCAAGAAGTTTTGTCTTGCGAAGCAAGCCCATAGGGAAATTCGTCTTGCGGAACGACTCAGAAAACGCAAAACCCTTTCATCTAGCGAGTTTTTCGTCTTGCGAGGCATTCGTCTTGCGGGGCACCACTGTAACCTATTAATTTTATGTACTGAGGATGCCTGATGAAGCAACTGGCCTGTGTTTCAGAATGCTTATACGTGCCTGTCAGGTGTAGAGAAATAGGACAGATGCAGAGGCGTGGATTGATCAGGACTCATATCAAAATGGCTCAAACCCAGTCAATGCAATTCTTTCATCGTGGACACAAATGACTTGCTCCATATTTTTTATAATTCCTCATAACAACCCCACCTGATCACTACATCCAGCAGTAGGTTGAATAGTCAAGAAGGCGGTTTCTGCATTTATTGTGGAGGGAAGTGAGGGGCAGGTGGGACTAGTCCTGGGAAAACGGCTCATCTAGGAAAAGGAAAAGAAGAAAAGGCTAACGAGTAGACCCTACATAAATCTGGAGTCCCCACGATGGTTGGATGGTACCTTATAAGCCACCTTGCAAAGGTCCAGTGTACCTGAAGGAGCGTCTCCACCCCCATCATTCTGCCCGGACACTGAGGTCCAGCGCTGAGGGCCTTCTGGCAGTTCCCTCACTGCGAGAAGCAAAGCTACAAGGAACCAGGCAGAGGGCCTTCTCGGTAGTGGCACCCGCCCTGTGGACTGCCCTCCCACCAGATGTCAAGGAAATAAACAACCAGCTGACTTTTAGAAGACATCTGAAGGCAACCCTGTTGAGGGAAGTTTTTCATGTTT